GAGCGCACAGAGCGCGCAGAGCATGGGCATTATATATACACCCTCATTACCCCCAGATAGCTTACACTCTCTTCGTAGCCAACTCATGTTAACTATTGGACTGATAGTTCTTAGTGACAAGTGACTTCTCATACCTTGTGTTCTTCCCAACCAGTTCATACTATTCAGATTGTTACTAGGAACCCTAACCCAGTTAGGCCCCAGTAGGATCTCTAACAAATATCATAACTAATACCACCCCTAGGGAGGCAGCGGCTAGGGCAGAGAGCGCCTAGTACGGCGACGGCGTTAAGAAGTAGAAAAGGGCCGACGAAACACTTAGGAATAGATAGACGACATTAAAAACATAGAATACTCTATTAAATATATAAAGAATGACACACAGCCAACACTGTGAATTGTTCAGCACTGCCCGCCCTTTTATGACTACGAGTATCGATCAAGAATATATTAAGCAATGTAATGCGCACTTATAGTTATAGTAGGGCGGCGTTGATAACTAATAGTAGGCGTGGGCTCTCACAGATGTTAGCTTAGCGTCCCATGAGCGGCGCTGGGCTCGCTGGGCCACCACGGCATTCGGGAATGCTCTGGGCCGCGGGAAAAATTGCCGATGTTAACTCGTAACACTGATAACCTCGTCGTCCTAAAGGTGACTGTCAACCCTTACGCGTTTACCAGTGATTCCGTGTTCGTTCTTGAGATGCCGATTCACGTTCGAGAGACTTCTAGCCTTTTTCATTGAGATCACGCTGTCGCAACGATCACAGATCCAAGAGGCGGAATCGTCAGGCTTCGAGATATCGCAATACTCGTCACTATATTACCAGATATAAGACGACGAGATACCTCGTCGTTTATTAGCCTTACGGCCAACCTGCAACTACATTACGTTACCGATCCGTCTATTCTCAGTACGGCGCGACGGCGTCTCGCTACTCGACGTTCGAAGAGTAACGATCGATGGCGAGGGCGTTTCAATGGAAGGTTGTAAACTGTCCGACATTTTCACATATAATTTGTTAATAAAATAGTTATCTCTGTTATTGACCGCCATTTTATTCCCGGTGCCAAGCCTGCCAAGTCTATGACTAGTCAGGACTATAGTCTCAGCGACCCTCGAGACTATAGTCTCACGGGACTATAGTCCTGAAAGACTATAGTCCTGAGGACTATAGTCTCACCAACGCTGCACGAAAGGGCGGCTTTCGTCGACGATAGATAGACTTCCTCAACTTTCGGACATGGAACAGGTTCCTTACATTAATTGTATCGTCAAAGAAGGGATGTGTATCCACCCGGTGTAAGTCAATCTTCATACCGAGGTCGAGTTTTGAGCTAAGTCGTCCTCAGCCTTCCCCAGGCGATTCCGCACCGAGTCTATCAGGATGATTACTACGACGGGTACCTAATTCCGAAGGACTCCACCGTCATCCTTCCCAGATGGGCTATCCACATGAGCGAGTCCAGAGGTTACAAAGACCCTGAGGCTTATAACCCGGTGACGAACCAACCCATCCCCATCAACTTGACTGCCTATGATGAGGGTATGGCCCATTGTTCGAAGCCGTTCTCCGTGGTGTTCAAGCCCAGGAGCCAGGACCATGTCGATGTTATCAAGCGTGAGATGAGTGACGCTCTGGGGTTTTTGAAGGCATGGGATGACTAAACGGCCGGTGTTTAAAAGTTGAAGCTTAGCCGCGAAGAAACGCTGATTGCCGCCTGTGCTTTTAATTCTCGTTTCGTGTTCATTATTCGGTTTCGTCAAAACCTACCACCGATATCTGTGTTGCTCTGGCAGGATGGACCTAGTCGCAAAGAAAGGGGTCGCTCTGTACTGTTGAGGCTGTAGATGCCTGCTTCGAACATCTCTCTCGGTTACATCGTGACAAGAGAAGTTGAGCAGGTCGAGAGATAAAACATCAGTGTCAGATTGACTGACGCACGGCTCGCGGTCAACGACTCGGCCTTGCGGACGGAGAATTCTCACACACATATCCATGTGTCTGCTCGAACCGATAGAACCAAGGCTTGCATCGACGTCTTTCGTGCCACACAGAACAGGAGGCTGCTTTGCCGAAAGCGGCAACCTGGGGACGCGGGCAGATCACGGATTCTGCCTGGCCTCCATCTATTCCTGACTCCCTATCCCAGGGTACTGGACCGCGCTTATATTGTTCGCGACGCTGATCAAATCTTGAACAACGCACAGTAAACGTCTCACCGCAACATCTGCCCTAATTTTCAAACTGGCTGCTCCTGGGTTCCGATTGCCCAGACAACTGCCGCGCCTTCGTGACCTGGGGTAAGTGGGGAAAGGCGACTGTGGGGTATGTTAAACCAAACTAGGGTCAGCTATGTTGATTGATTGACTGAAAAGAACATCTATCTGAAGTGTGATAGAAGAGGCTTGAAATATGTGACGGGCAAGTAGGTACAGCAGTGCCAAGAAATTACTCCCCCTAGCCTAATATGGCTAGTCGGGCTGGTCGGACAGGGGCTAGAGCCTCGCTGTTGAGTTGATCACGTTGAGATGAGAATGACAAACACCTGCGTCCTTGATCCGGAGGGTTATTTCATTTTCCTTGGACCAGCCTGAGCCGTCCACCAGTTCGCTTGACTGGATTTCCTACCGCACTCGTCGGAAGACTTTCTTGGTATATACCTAACCGGACGAAGACAGAATGATAGGCTGTGCCCCAGCCTGCAACATAAGGCTACGGTAATGTCGATCTCGATACAAACTCAGTACTGCAGGAGGGCAGTCGAGGCCGTACATCGAACAGGTCAAGTCCAACGTCGCCTTGCACCCACCAACCAACCCCGCATGCACACAAGTCTGCTGGCAAAAGCATCTTCTTCATACAGGCAGCTCTCTTCCCCTAAGGGACATGCTTCTTAACTTGCCCACAGTCGCTCCCTAGGCAGTAATCTACGAGGCGACATGTTCGGCAGTCCTTTTCTCCACATCGTCCTGTTCCCAGACCTCGGGGTACTGCTTCTCACTCTCGCCACTACTGATCTTTTCGTCTCCGAGTTTATAGATCTGGCGCGGAACATGGTTGGCCAGGTATGGGTCATAGTCCTTCACACAGAAGCAGGCAATCAGGCCGACGCCCGCGACTGCCACGGCGGAGTAATAGAGGTAAGCGTAGGCCGCCGCATACGCGTATGGAAGCTCGGCTGCTACAGCCTCTTGGACCTTGGCGGTGATGACTGGAACCTTTTGCATCGCTTCTGGAGTGCCTGTCACAATGGCCTCAAGAAGGGCGGGAACAGAGCCTTCAGGCAAACCAGCCGTGATGGCTACAGGAGGAATATAGGCGGCAAGCTTAGATGCCATAGCCCCTAGAAAAGAAACCATGATAGACATGAAGAAAACTAGCTGGAGTCGAATGTGTTTTAGGATCGCCACCGGCGCTCCCCAGAGAACAATGGACGAATAGATGGCCAGAGCGATGGTTGTCTGTCTCCCGTGTCAGCCACGTCCAACCCTGTCAGATATCGTTGGGACCTACCGATAACCATGCAGTAGTCTGCCAGCTAGTCGTAGCAGAGCTATAAAGCCGTGCGACCTCTGGTCCACCTTCAGTTCAAGCACTTCGCCGACCGTTATTCCGAACTTACGCGAAGGCCAGATGATGCTCAGCGCGACATAGGATGTCCCTGCCACGGACTCGATAACGATCAGGCAGACGAATCCACGGATATCCTTGAAGAAATGAACATGAACCGGCACAATAGGATTGGGATGGGAGCCGTAGGCCTCTGTGCCATTCGTTAGCTTCAATGATGGTGAGATACAGAGATCCAGGGGCCGTTACCCCAGAAGACGAAAACGGTGACCACGCAGCCTCCAGTGATGATAAGCCCCAGAATGGTCCCGGATGTCTACGATAGAGGTTGGCCGCCTGATTCTGTCAGTCAACCATGTCGTCAATAATCTTGGCCTTCTTTCACTGACGCCCAGTAAGAAGAGGACGAGGCCGGCGACAATCAAGAAGCATCCCAGGAAGTCGACTCGTTTGAACTCCGCCATTCTCGTGCGAGTACCACGGTGTAACTGGTCGAAATTTGGTGGCCGATAGAAGACCACCTGCATGATTATGACGAAGACCATGAGTGGGATAAAGATGTAGTAGATGTATCTACGGGACATCCGTCAATCCAAGGCACTTGTGCGACTTAGAGAGTAACTCACCTCCAGTTGTAACAATGGACGATTCGAAGGCCTGTGCGGTCAGCGCCATAGTAGAAGGCCTCGGTGACAACGTACCCAGGTATTGCCCGAATCCGGTGGAGATGATGTTCGGAAGACAGGCAAATGCAACTCCCACGAATTCAAAGCGGTTGGGGCAGATCTCGCCAACTGTCAGACCATAGCAGGTATGAGCCCCCGCTGCAAGTCCCATCAAGACCTACGAGGGTTGTAATTAGCATGAAGAAATGGTACGATGTGGCTCCTGTGCACTGGCGGAGGCGCCAATCAAGGTATTCATGGCCTGAGCTGTAGCTGCAACAATTCCTGACACAATGTGAGCGCTGCCTTCCAGCTATGCTGTTTGCGCTGGGACACCTGCCTCCGCTGAGAGCGATCGAGGACGCTCCAATGACAAGCCAACGGCGTCCAAACTTATCAGAGATTCTGCCAAAGAGAAGAGAACCGATGCGGCAAGAGATAGTCCAAATGATAGAGAACAGACTAGCATTATTGCTCGGTCCTTCAAGGCACGGGGTTAGAGTATGATCTCGTTTAAGAGGGGGCCTGTTGCGCTCTGACCAATATCTTCGTTGATGACTGTCAAGACCGCTGCTGGGGGAGCAAACCCCCAATAGCTGACGGCCACCGCAGTCCCCAGTGAGCAGATGGCCCCAATCAGCCGGAGGCTCATGAAATAGCCTTTCTTTGCCTTCTCAACATCAGTCGATAGAGCGTTGGAGATGGAGATATCTTGTAGAGCGCCTTCATCGGCATGAGCAAGTATGAGCTCCTGGGGCTTGGTGTTGCCATGACTACTACAGAGTGCTGTCTGGGAATGATTTAAGAACACACAAGACCTTTATGGTTAGTTGAATGTTAAGTATCTTGGCCATGGTGATCTGGATCGCAACCGTGGGCCCTTTACATGTCTGGTTCAACGAGGCTGCTTCCCCAGACTTGTCGGAAGTCGGATCTGGGGATGGCGGAACCCCTATCCTTTCAGGCTACCATCTCCCCAGCCCCGACAATCCATTTATGGCGAGCAGACCAAGCGTACTAGATTACACAGCAGAGCAATCTTTTCTGCAGAGTCACCTCCTCATTGTATTTAGGGTGGTCGCGGCGCTCGTAGTCGTCATTGCTCCTCACGCATGGCAGACACAGTGTTTGAGCGAGTTGAACTTAAATCTGGAACTTCTAGTTATCGTCTCGTATTTTCTTCGTAGACAATTTCCTGCAGAATTCGGATTCGCACTCTGAAACGTTTGACTCCGCTCCTCTTGTATATCGCGACGGGGCCCGATCAGCTGACCACCACTAAATGAGAGGTGAGGATACTTTGCCCGCATGGCGTACCTTGCGTTCGTCCAACCTCGGAAATCCTCGAACTGAGTCGACTTCGTTTGTGCCAGCGGTATTCCAAAGTTAGAAAGTTCGGCTCAAGAGTTCGGACGTGTTCGGCCGCCCATGTTGTTGAGAACCCGACCAAGTCCTACCAAGCAAGTTGGGTCGGACGATCGTTTCCCGGGCAATGAATGATTCAGGGACATGTTCTGTGATTTCCTGGCGAGCTATATAGAATATGTTTACACTCTCTTCTGTCTCTGCTGGGCTCGACTGAACGCTGTGGACGTGAGATTCAGACGTCATGTTAGGTTGCGCCTCTCTCTCTCTCTTCATTTGGACAGCCAACACCCAGCTTTTGCCGAGATTTTCTTGCCCTCGTGCGACTTCGGTCTCAAAACGTCCGTTACTGGAACTGTGGCGGTGAATGGGAACTCAAAGGTGGAGGAATTCGACGCTGTCATTGTGGGCGCAGGTTTTGGGGGTATCTATCTCCTGCATACTCTGCGCAAATTGGGATACAAGGTGAAGGTCCTGGAAGCCGGGAAATGGTTCGGCGAGATTTGGTGGTGGAACTCGTACCCTGGAGCTCGCGCCGACACCCATTGACCGTTTTACGAGGTCAACGCAAAGGAACTGTGGGACGACTGGGCGTGGAAGGAGCGGTTCCCCTGCCGCGGTGAATTGGTCAGGAACTTTGAGCACGTTGATAAGAAGTGGGACCTGCAGAAGGATATTCTCTTCAACAACGCGGTCATAAAGGCCGATTTCGACGAGAGCTCAAACACCTGGACGGCCATCACGAATAAAGGGTATATCGCCAAGGCACCGTTTCTTCCCCTAGCCACCGGTTTCGCTGCGGAACCATATTCACCCAAGATCAAAGGACTGGAGACCTTCAAGAGCCCGGCATACAATACTGTACTGTGGTCTAAAGAAGGGGTCGAGCTCAAGGGGAAGAAGGTTGGTATCATCGGTACTGGATCGAGCGGTGTCCAAGTCATTCAAGAGATTGCACCAATCGTCGAGCATCTCACCATTTTCCAACACACTGCTAATCTCGCTCTCCGCATGGTTCGAGAGTTCTACGACGAGAAGACGGTCTAAAAATAAATTGACGCGAAGAAAATCCGTGGGGAATAAAGCAGCCTTCCTTGGAAACCCATTTCTACGAAACCTTCCACCAGAAGAACATTGAGGTATATAATATCAAGAAAAACCCGATCGCCGAAATCACACCCAAGGGTTTAAAGCTAACTGGGAGCCAAGAGGCTGAGTTTGACCTTCTGGTTCTCGCCACTGGCTTCGATGCGGCCACAGGAAGCCCCGTGAAGCCCTCAACTATATGGGCGGCTTGGGACATTACGAGCAGCTTTTGAAAGCTTGCACCGCAGCTGGATATGAATAGTTCAACCTGAGCTAATCTCAGATCGCAAGAATCAACTTTCCAAGGCAGGTATATTGAAATTGAAAATATGTTACATATACTATTACCCCCTGCCTCTTTGAGTAGTAAGCTGATCACTTGGAGTTAACCACCTACCAGCTGGTTAGATCGCCACCGGAGGCTATCAGAGACTGTGATTCTAGCAATGGCCGGCAAGCAGAGGGCCAGCATAGTTAGTAGAGGCAATTAACTACCTTAATCAGAGCGTCGGTGACGGGCCGAGTATCGAGGACTGAAATATTTCGTCGCCTGATGCTATTGTAGTACCCATAGCCCATGCTCCGCAGGCAGCGAACAGGATCAGCTATTTCCCGCCAAAGACTTTTATGACCGGGTGTTTGTTGCACATAGAACTGACGTGATTTTAAACTCGCAAAAAGGTGACTACGTGGTCAGTCTAGTACAAGCAATACTGGGGCCTCCAGACACCACTTGTGTGTCTCTCAATCTGCTTAGATCCTGGAAATCGAGCCGCAGGGGCGGTCGCAAGATAGCGTCGCATCTGGCTGCCCTCTGTATCACTGTGAGTACTTACAGCACCTCGGTTGACTACAATGAGGGGCATGTCCGCTTGGGGTTTCAGACTCTGGTTGGGGGAGGGGGTGGAGGTTTTCGGGGCTTCGGAGGGCGGAGTCCGAATTTTCGGACGCCTTTGGGAATCGTTAAGGGCCTTCTGGAGCGCGAGAGATAGAGCACGGGGTGATTGTCAACAACCTAGGCCAAGGTATCTTAGTTGACAAGTGCAATTTCTCGTCCATGGACGGAGTCGACCTGAGATCTCGCGACTTCTTTGGCGCGGTGGTCCTCGTTCTAGAGTGATATAGCGCCACCGTGCAGGCAATCCTTTACAAAGAGATCAACAAGCAGACATATTCGTTGGATCGTCGTTCAGAATACAACCCCTCAATCAGGGTCTCAGGTACCTTGGAACGTTTTTCTGGGGATGCACGTGTATCCGGACTTCGACTCGCTGCCCAGAACCGAAGGCCAGCCTCAGGGGAATGCCTGGGGTCTATGGAGAGAGAACGAAAAATTAGGAAGTGAGTAGCCGAATTCGTCTATCTATAGCAGTGAAACTATATTCCCAGTGTCTGATGTTTGAACATGTAGCTCTCAACTACTTGACTCCCGAAGTCATCCTGCAGGCGACTAAGGAGATCAAAGCAGGCGTCACAGTGCAGTTAGACCTCCCCCTGAGTCATTTCGACCACCTTGGAGCCGGGCGACAAGGCTTCAGCCACCAGATGATCGACTTCAAGGAGCGACTCAAAGGCACCGACTTAGATATTGTCGCTCACGATGATGTCCTGACCTTAAATACCCAGAGTAGCTCTCAGTGGGACGGTCTGCGACGTATCGGACTGCAGGAATCCGGAATATACTATGGAGGAGTCAAGCACCGGGACATAGACGAGAAGCGGGAAGATGGAAGGCGAGGCATTCACAGTAAGACTTTCCCTGCCCCGCTCCCCTGAGAATCTAAGTGAGACCAAGAGATGATAACACCATATACTTTTATCTTTCGTTCTGGCAGAATGGGTAAAGCGCGGTGGCATAGCCGGGCGCGGTGTCCTCTTCGACTACCATGGATGGCGCCAACAAACCGGGCAAGCCCCCGTTACCATTCCTTCGGCCACGATGATCACCACGGAAGAGCTGGAAGCCGTGGCCAAACATCAAGGCACGCAGTTGCGCGACGGAGACATCCTCGTCCTTCGCACAGGGTTCACAGACTGGCATCGGCAGGCGAGTAAAAAGGAGCAACAGGAGGCTTCAAAGAAAGGTGCGTTTATCGGGCTTGAAGCAACGGAAAAGAGTGTAAAAGTGGCTGTAGAATCACCATTTCGCCGCAGTGGCAACCGATACGCTTGGATCCGAAGTCACTCCTATACCATTTCTGGAGCCCGGTGCCGTGCGTCTCCAGGAATGGCTTCTGGTTCATTGGGGGACGCCAATCGGCGAGCTTTGGGATCTCGAGAGGTTGGCAGAGGTTTGTTGGGAAAGGAGGCAGTGGTCGTTTTTCCTGACCAGCGCGCTTCTTCACGTGTATGGCGGAGTCGGCACGCCGCCCAATGCAATCGCGATTCTGTAGCCCGGCAGCTATCGACCTAGGAAAGAAGATACTGGTCCTCTATGCACTGTAGATGCCACACGGTAGACAATGTCCGGTTCGGTGCCTCTATGCTTCAACATTTCGTCTGGCGAGGAGTACATCTCAAGTTGCCATGCTAAGGCCCAAATAGAGGAAAAATTTGAACCTCTAAAAGAGTCTGTGAACTGAATTTCTCAGAAAAAAGCTGTGCTGTAGGCAGTTTAGGATACTGGATCATTAAGCATGTCTTGCGTACGTAGCACTATTTGATCGCGGGTTTTGATCATCTCCACCCGTTGTTCGTCTCATTAAATTGACTTCATCGCTCTGATTCGGTTGGCCAAAGCGTTGGCGGTCACCGAGATGCCGGGCGCAATTAGATCCCACCCGTGTGGCACGCCTGGATATAAATGGAATTCGGTATGAATGTTGGCGGCAGCGATGCGGCGGGCATATTCCACGTCCTCGTCACGAAAGATGTCCAAATCTCCCACATCAATGTAAGTCGGCGGGAGGCCTTCGACCGACGGCGCTCGTGCTGCCGCAGCATAGTATGGAACATCTGATGATCCTGCTTTGCCGCTCAGGTATGCCTGCCAGCCGGTGGTGTTGTCATTGACTGTCCACGTCCCAAAGGGCTCGAGCGCCTTGATGGGCTTGGTGTTTCTATCGTCCAGCATGGGATAAACCAGAATCTGCTTCGCCAACGGTGGGGTCAGCGCTTTGTCTCTCGCCTTCAACGCAAGGCCCGCGGCAAGGCCGCCGCCTCCACTGTCTCCCATGATTGCGATCCGAGCAGGGTCAACGCCGTACTTCTTTGCGTTCTGGCTCAGATCCTGCAACCCTGCCCAGACGTCTTCGATGGGCAGTGGATAGGGTGCTTCGGGCGCAACTCTGTAATCCGGGGCAAATATCTGGACTCCGGAGCGTGACGCGAGGTCCTTGATCCTTTTACGGTAGAGCGGTACGTCCAGGGCGATGTAGCCTCCGCCATGCAGGTAATAGATAGCTGGATTCGAACCTGTGGTGGGTGTGCCCTTCTTTATGAAGCGGTAGACTGGGACCTCGAAGCTGCCGCTAGATTTGACATGATATTTCTCCTCAGTGACGTCTTGTGAGTCAGGATATGAGCCAAAAACCGGACCGAAAAAGGCGTCCAATGCCTGGCGCTTTCCCGCGACATCTCCAACAGCCAACTTCGGGGCATTTGCCATTGCCGGGAGCAATGGCTCCAAGACTTTAGCGAACTCTAAATCTAGTGCGAGAGGCATGTTGGCTGCGTTGAACCAGACTGGGGCTAGGGGGGTTGCTTGATAGATTGAAGAGAAGATCTATCCGGAGTGACAGAAGAAGCCTTAAATAATAAGAGCTACGAGGTGACAGTTTGCCGCAGTGCCAAGAGATCCCCTCTTACCTAGCCTAACTGGGTTAGTACAATAGGCCCGCTGCTGCGTGGTCTGGATCCAGAGGTGAATGCGTTCACCAGAAGTATTTAATCTCCGGAGATGGTCCTTGCCCGCAACCTCAGGGAAGAGATTTATTGTAGGGAGCATGATGCTTCAGGCTGTGGCCGAATGGTCGCAACGGAAAATCAAGTCCAGGGTTGGTCCTCGGTCTGAAGTTGGAGGGGCACTCCGAATATTCTTATTATTCAGCAAATCGTACTTCATGTGGGGTACGACAAAGGGGAAGAACCAGAATGAGCTAGCTTCAACTTGTCTAGCCAATCACTGTCGGTTGTCCTCGATGGACTTGGATCGATAACCTCGGACAACGGAAACTCAGGCTGTGTCCACAAATCCCTTGAAGCCATCAGACTAGGCGAATTGGGCGTTCTTGGCTTGAATACAATACGTTGCTGAGCGGCACAAGCTACTGCACAGCAACATCCCAGGCCGACGAGCGAGATGGGTCGTAAATTCACTTGAGACGCTCCTTTGCAGGACCACTTCGAAGGCCTCTGCTGCTTCCGGATGGGGCAGGCTTAGCCAGAATACTAATATTTGTAGAGCACAAAGACATCCTTGATACTTCTCGCACTTTCGAAGCTGCATCTACATGCTCGAGCATATCCACAAGGCGGCCACAATGGATGTCTGCCCGGCATGGGCCTGGTGCACTACAGGGGCGCACTCCACCTGCAGAATTTCCCCTTTGCATGGTGGGCGCGCCTTGTTCGATCTGTTTCTAAGTCTATGGTAGCGCAGCACCAATGTTGAGGTTGGCTCCAAACACTGATCGCGAGTCCTCACTAAGGAGCCAAACAACCACGCGGGCGACATCGTCCGGCTCGATTATTTTCCACCCTCGGCTTTTCCAATCGTTCAGTTGTGGCTCTTTACCACCAGTGAATTCTCTCAACACGGGAGTTGCAGTCGACCCTAAGGTGTGACAAGGGAGTTAGGATATTTTCACATCTCGGACAGAGGGCAAATCAGAGACATCAGCATATCATGACATACCCGGAGACACAGCATTGACCCAAATCCCAAACTTCGAGACGTCCTCAGCGACACTCTGCGTGAAATGCGCGTTGGCAGCTTTGGAGGACCGGTATGCGTAGACGTCTGGGTCGTGTTTCAGCGAAGCCATACTAGCAATATTCACGATCGCGCGGTCGCTCTTGGGAATTCCCAGCGCCTCCATGGCGCGAATCTGAGCACAAGTACAATAGAAGACGCCATCGAGATTGATTCCCCAGACCCGGTTCCACGACTTGTCTGTCTCTTCCAGGATGGTTGGGGACTGTCTGACCCCAATTTGTTTGCGGCAAGCCCGCGGAGTTAACAGCGCCATGCAGGTCTCCGAAGGTCGCGATCGCGTCCTGAATCCAGTCCTCCACGGCCGATGAAGACGCCACGTCCAAGACGGTCATGCGAATCTTAGTCCCTAGATTGAGTTGGGCAGCAGAATCTTTTATAGCCTCTAGACGTTTGGCAGAGATTTCGCTGGCAGCGACCGCACGCGCACCCCGACGAGCCAGGAGGAGAACAATGGCGGCTCCCATTCCCGAGCCTGCGCCAGTGACTGCAAAGACCTTGCCTTCGACGTTCATGGCCGAGGATACAAAGAGTACTGGGGACTTCGAAAATTTCAGACTCGAACTTCACACCTGGGCGCGCTTGCTTTGTCGATAGACAGTTCAACCAACTATGTGCAGCGCGCCTCTCAAATATTTCATACCTGAGCATAACGGGCCGTATGGCATCGAATGGATGAAGTAGTCGAAAGATCAATTGAAAAAAAAAAAAAAATAGTCACCCTATTGCTTGAGCCACTTCATTGCGTCTCGGAGTTTCGGGCAATGGATCGAGGCGTATACCGAGTCGTTCGAGGGGGTAAATCAAGGCTCTCTGGCTCCCACCGCTGGGCCTATTGACCAATAGCTGGGCACTTTCTGACTTGCGGAGTAGCTGACTCGTTATATCCCCACCTTTCTGCTCAGAATAGACAGAAAAGGACAAGCTTACTTTGAACACTCCATATTTTTCTTGTCATCCAGGACTGGCTGCATGGTTGCATTGTCGGCGGCATTCGGCAGCATCAATTCAGTCCCTCAGCGAAAAGCCTATAGGAGCTTTGTTTGGGAGTTCGGTCCAGCTCCCTTCCAAGAGACGGACCTTCATCGGAGGGCCCTCCGCATGAGCGGCCTCGTTTCTTTCGGGGGGGTTGTCACGATTCCGAACGTCAATTCTGGTGTAATAAGTCTTGGAGCGTCCGAAATCTAGCTGGCGGAATGGATGGGGGTGAATCCGAAACCTGAGGAGCTGGCATCTATGGCCTTGGACGGGGCATATTGAAACATTACTTCATGCGATTCTTCATCGGCTCGCCAGCTCCCCAACCGATCTTGGGCCTTGAGTTCGGGTAAATGCCGCAGGAGGGGCCCATACGGTGCAGTTCGCCTCTGTCGAATGTACTGCCCAAATTTATATTCCTACCTGTTTCAACCGGGTCTTTGGCACTTCTTCTGATTCTTAGTCACAACTGCTCTGGTGTTGGGCGCAAACAATTAGAAATCACAGAGCCTGCTACAACAGAATCCTGACGACAACGACAACGACATCGGTTTCCAAGATGATCTCGAAACCAACTCTTCGCATCGGCAGCGTCTCGTCCACAACGGGTGACAACCCGCATGCCATGGCCCGCATGGTCCAACACGGCAATGTCGACGTTATAATTGGGGATTGGCTCTCGGAGATGAACATCGCTTGGAACGCCATCGTGAAACAGCAGAATCCGGACCTAGGCTACGAGAGAGGTTTTCTGGAGCAGCTGGAAGAGTGCCTGGACGATATTGTGGCACGGGGCCTGAAAGTGGTCACCAATGCTGGCGCACTGAACACCCGCTCGCTCGCCCGGGAGGTCCGCCGCCTCTGCAGGTCAAGAGGGTATGATGTGCCCGTTGCGGCCGTGCTGGGTGATGATGTGCCCAACGTCGTCAGCCAGCTCGGCCAGGCTCGCAGTAAGTTCAGGCACCTCGACCACGAGGAAAAGGAGCTAGACGACTGGGAGCTAAAGCCGGTCTGCGGTGCAGCATACATTGGGTGTCGGGGGATCGTGGAAGCACTGCACTCAGGGGCGCAGATCGTCATCTGCGGGCGATGTACGGACGCGTCGCCGCTCATGGGGGTCTCAGCCTGGCACTTCCAGTGGTCGGAGGATGACTACAACGCCATGGCGGGCGCACTAGTCGCAGGGCATCTGACCGAGTGCGGGCCGTACGTGACAGGAGCCAACTTCACCGGGTTCAAGGAGATTCTGGACGACTTGGTGGACCTGACGTTTCCGATCGCGGAGATCAATAATAAAGGAGAGTGTATTGTGACAACTCTGTCCGTCGGTGGCGGTCGCGTCACGGAAGACACTGTCCGGGCGCAGATCCTCTATGAGCTACAGGGCCACCTGTATCTGAATCCGGATGTAGTTGCTGACTTGTCGCAAATCAAAGTCGAAGCGGAGCCCGGCACGCGCGATCGCATTCGTATATCCGGTATCAAGGGCCTCCCGCCCCCACCGACGACGAAGGTCATGTTCACCGCGCCAGGGGGCTACCAAGCCGAAGCCACTTTCTATATCAACGGTCTCGATATCGAAGAGAAAGTGAAAATGATAAGACGCCAGCTCGACTATATCTTCAAGGACCACAAATTCAGTAAGCTCAGCATCGAACTGTACGGGACGTCACTCGAGGACCCTGTGAGTCAACAGGCCGGGACGATCTTCTTCCGCATCTTCGCCCAAGCCCGACAACTGGAGGACATCAGTGCGGCGAAGTTCAAGATCCCCATCTATGCCCTCCGAATGCAGGCCTACCCTGGCTACCACATGAACTTGGATTTCCGCACCATGGACCCAAGGCCTTTTATGGAGATCTTTCCGGCCCTCATCCCACAGGAGGCGGTCAAAGTCCAAGTCGAGCTAGAAGACTCCGGACGGCTGATCGATATCCCTCCTCCGCAGAGGACGGCGGAGTACCCGCGGATCCGGCCGTCATACGAGACGGCGAACCCTGTCGACCTAATGAGCTTCGGGCGGACGAGAAAGGTGCCCTTGGGATCTATCGTGCACGCTCGATCGGGTGACAAAGCTGACAATTCAAACATCGGCTTCTTTTCCCGCTCCCAGTACGACGATGAATACGACTGGCTGAAAGCCTTTTTGACCGTCGAGAGACTCAAACTTCTCCTTGGGGACGACTGGTACAATGGCGACACGTCGAGACGTGTCGAACGCGTGGAATTCGTCGGCATCAAGGCCGTGCACTTGTGAGTGACTTGGACCAGCCCCTAGTATGATCTACTCCCTGAATATCCAAGAACTCATTCTCGTTTCTAGTCGAATCCTGGACAATCTTTCGGGAGGTATCGCCTCCTCGAAGCGTATTGACGGGCTAGGCAAAGGCATTGGCGAGTTCTTGAGGAGCCGCTTTGTAGATGTGCCACTGACGTTTCTCGAGCGAGGTCGCATTTCCTAGAACCCGAAATAGTGCAAACGTAATACAGTCCCGAAACTTGATTAAGGAGATCTTCATCATGTTGTAATACGGACAGAGAAAGGCCTACACGTAATGCCTCCCCTCGATTTGGGCTTTCCTCCCGAAACAATCACCCGTCCACTGTAACATCTCCTTGCAACGGACCTCATGCAGATGATTTCGTTATGACTCAAAGTTCCAGCCAAACTGCGGGTGAAGGAAGATGTTGTCGTCACAGTGGTCTCCAAATAGTTCCGGAAATCCACCAAAATAGTCTTGGTAGTTGGGGTCGAAGTCACTGCTGACCAAGGGCCAGGAAGCCTGCTGAGAGGCTTGCTCCCCAGAGGGAAGATGTCTGTTCAGTCGCCCCTCCTGGTTCGGCAAGGGCCTGGTCTGAATTTTGGTGCCCATAAAGTACTCGGAGGCATCAGTTAGCACGGCGTCTGAAAGCCTGGCAAAGACTTCGTGACAACCTCTGCCCGTGTTCCAGCGTTCCGAGAGGGCGACCAACACCGTCGAACACGCCCTCATATCACTCACGATTTGGCTGATGCTCGGCTCGAGGGTCAGTAGAGCTCGAGCAGGCGAAGGCCACCCGTCCCCCAGGCCCTTTATTTCACGTCTTTTGTTCTGAAAATGAGTCCGGAGTGCGTACACGTACGAGAGTCCCACCAGGAAGACGGCGTGCAGGGTGACCCAAGCATAGTTGATCTTGCGAGCTTTGTGCAGATCGGCGTATGAGGAGATTGACTGCTGGGAGAAGTAGTAAATCTGGGTCAGGACCTCTGATGTTTGAGGGATGTCCTGCAAGGAATGGATGGGGCGATGCAACATCAGAATGCAGTTGTGATACAGGAGATTATACCACTCGCGCGTTCTGTAGTTCGACTTGTCTTTGATTCTAGTAGCAGAGGCATCGACCAGAGGCAACGAGGCCACGCCGGTTTTCCATTGGTCCAATTCTTCGGCAAGTTGCTTTTTGATGGCAATGCTGGTCTGCGGATCCGGCATCCGGCTCTTAGGCACATTGTGAAGGTCTGAGAGAATTTTGCCAGTGATGATGCGGTGCCAGGTGATGTGGTTGAAGATTTTAGTGTTCGCTGGCCAGTGTGGATACTGCAATATGTCTTCTACGGATGGCGAGGGACCCCAAGAAGCCTCTCCGTCGTCCTCGACGGCGGGATGTTCGGTATCGATCTCGACAAGATTGATCGACATAGGCCGACCCAAGGTGTTGCTGACGATTCGGTCCATCTGGAAAAGAGACCAAAAGCAGCGGCGCTTAATGTCGAGTTCCTGCCTGACGTGGTCCTCGTCGGCAGGTGATAGGCCAGCAGGGAGGCGGTAGACGGCCTCTCGATGGAGACCCAGCTCAATGCCCAGCCTCGTTGCCATGCCTAGCAAGTGCCACAGGCTCGCTGAATTGCTGTAAGATACGCTCAACATTCGGTATTGGCACAGCAGCATGATGGTCTGTAAAGCAATCAAACCTCCCGATTCAAGAACGACGCCCAGTTTCGAGATCGCGCGCTCATGGTGCGTTTCCGCATCAGGGAGCGATTGCCAGGAGAATCTGTGGACTTGGACGGTAGCAATAGCGAAGATCATGTCCAGGGCAAATGCTTCCACGGGATGAGATTCATAGTACTTTTCTTCCGCATACATCGAGATGAGGCTGTTGATCAGCTTTTTTGGATGGAGATAGGGGAAGGCCAGGTGGTCATGCGATAGGTACGCGGCCAAAAGACTTCGTGCTAGTGGTTCGGCCGGCAAAGCGCTTTTGGCCATCTCCGGACTGCTGTACCTCTGTCCGTTAGCCGCGGCGGAACGGCGAAAATAGTCTTCGTCGTCGTCGTTATTGTTGCTGTCGCCACCGATGCGGCCTGGTCGGCGGCTAAGAGCGAAGAGATTTGCTAGAATGGCACCGCTGGCCGAGCCCAGATACTGCCTGGGCCGGCCAGCGTGAAGGGAGAGGGAGTACACTTCCTTAGCGACTTCGTTGTCGTTTTCCGCCTCGCTCTTATCTGCTCCCTCATTATTGTCATCCGGCATATCCATCATCTCGCCAGCCGCGTCCAAGACCTCACTCGAAGTGGTCTCACCGGCCGCTCTTGCAGCAAGTTGGGCTTCGCGGAGCCGTTTCGACAGGACGCGGTTTTTGTTCTCCAGCTGCCGCAGACGACGTTCTAGGGTCTCCGAGACGTCGCCGCGGCCTAGGCCACCTCGCGCGTTGTAACAGCATGCCGTACCGGCATTTATGCACGTGGAGCACGAGGGCAGAGCCTTGTCGCATCGTGCCTTCCGCCGATAGCAGCGATCGCATGCCAGTCTCGACAGTTGATCTTCCTGCATCGTACAAGCCGGCAGAAGTGACAGCGGCAGCCAGCAGATGGTATCAGCATTCCACAAGCACAACCCGAGCGACGAGGAATTTGTGCTTGGACCCCCTTCAACAAACCAAGATGGCTTAATTCCGGGGTTTCTAAGAGATGCTTGGAAGTCTGCAGAATATGGGCAGAATTCGGCCGTCAAAACTAGGCATGAGGTGGGCCATAGGGTCGTGCGGGAGGTTTGACGAAGGCTACTCGGTACATTGTGTACCTAGGTAAGTTCAGCTTGAGAACGCCCCGCGCTAGCAAAGCATTTGTGTCCCGGCTTTCGCGCTCTGGACCTCGCGTCCTCAAAGTCTGTTCAATGGCCTGGGGAGCCTGCGGGGTCTCTAGATGGGTTGGAACAAGCCCGACAGGCATCTCCACCCCGTCAGTCGGCCCAACGGAAACATAGCTATTCGAATGACTGCCCTGACAGGAGTTGTTACCCAGTACGGGGTAGTCTCTGTCAATCGACTTTTAGCATATATAGCTGTTTCATCTTCAAAATACTGTTAAACTGCCCGTCTTGATGCTCTATCGCGGTGTACAACGCGGCGTAAATTGCTGGTCTCTGTTGCCTAAGCGCTCCCTTTCTCAGCCACCTATTTACTCGTACCGCTGCAGCGATCACTGGACTGGAAACACCCGATCAAACTTGTGTCATGAAGATATATAGAGTCAGAGGATTGCTCTAGCTCCACTACATCTGCAGGACAGCCTGAAAGACAAAATTAACACAATGGCCACAGAGCCCAGCAAGACGGGGTTCCGTGGCGGACTCGTGGCGCACTCTATGGCCACACCAATAATGATCACGAATACAAGACGTGAAAGTCAAGAAGCAGCCCTGCAGGATGAAACTGTTGCCAGGCCACAGGAAAATGTGAGGAGGACTATTGTAAGATTTCGTGCGAATCGTGAATTGGCCCTGTTGGTTGAGTGCGTGGACAAGCAGGCCCAGACAAAGGGACAACCAGATTTCGGGGTCGAGTCCGTCCGAACTGGGTATGCAGAGATCCGCTTTGTCCGACGCCCGGCAACCCCGCCCACCTCAAACCCCGAGACTTCGGTGACAAAGTCTTTCCTCTTTGTCGAGAGGTGTATTTTGCGTGTGATGCTGGTGTTAAATGCCCGGGAGTCTGGGGGTAGAGGGTGTCCCTTAGTACATTGCTGATACATCGCCAATACACACGTAAGGTGTGCGAAGAATCGACCTATCCCAGGGTTCATGCAAGACATCCTACCCAAACCAAAATGACGTCTTTCAAGGTCCCCCAGCCAACGGAGCTGACCAAGTTCTATATCAACGGCGAATACGTCGAACCCAGCACCAAAGAGGTCTTCACCGTTCGCAACCCAAAAGACAACACAGTAGTGTCAGATCGCGTGCCAGTCGGGGGCCCAGAGGATGTCGACGTCGCAGTGCGTCATGCCGAGGCCGCATTCAAGGGCGAATGGAGTGAATTTACATAGGCAGACAGAGCTCGTTGTCTGTACAGGCTGTCCGAGATCTTGGATGAGCACCTCGAGGAACTGCTTCGCCTGGACACTCTCACCGGTGGGCACCCGGTGTCGCTCATTCCGACCCGAGAGAAGAACTACATCGTCAACGGACATCGGTATATTGTGAGTACATCAATCAAAACTTGGTCCATGCCCATTGGCCTACTGACAAGTTGCCAGCGGGCTGGTGTGACAAGTTCAAGGGTGATTACCTACCTGATGACGACGGCTTTGTGAAGATTGTGAAAAATGAGCCCCTTGGGTAATACTTGACTTTTGGGCAGGAAATATCCCCCCAAAAGAGGAGTCTGCTGATATTTGGACGACAGGGTTTGCGTGGGGATCTGTCCGTTCAATTCCCCAGTGGCAACGTTCTTTCATAAAGTCGCCCCTGCCCTGGTCACCGGAAATGTCATGATTATCAAACCTTCAGAGAAGACCCCGCTTGCCTCTCTTGCGCTGGCTCCACTCACAAGCGGGAATCCCCAAGGGTATTGTCCAAGTTGTGACCAGACCGGGGAAGACGGACGAGCTCTTTTCCAGGCACATGCGCGTCCGCAAAATTAGCTTCACGGGCAGCGTTGCTAGAGGTAAGAAAATCCAGGCGGCCGCAGCACAAAGTAACCTCAAGCGTGTGACATTAAAACTCGGTGAGTCCCCTCTTTTGGTAGTATGCGTGAACGAAGGTCCCCTGACTCGGCCAGGTGGAAAGGGGCCAAACATCATTTTCGAGGACGCCAACTTGGACAACGCTGTCGAATGGGCCCTCAGAGCCATCATGGCTCGAAGTGGCCAGATATGCATTGCTGCGTCTCGCCTCTACGTCCAGAGATCGATCGCCGACGAATTCATCAAGATATACGTCGAGAAGATGAGAGATGCTGCCAAGCATATGGGGGACTCCTTCGACTCTGACACAGCGTATGGCCCTCTGGTAGACAAATTTACTTTTGAAAAAGTCTAAGGCATGATCGACAGCGCCAAGGCAGGAGAGGCTGAGCTCTTGGTAGGAGGGAATTCAATCGGCAAGACCGGCTGTTTCATTGAGCCGACCGTGTTCGTAAACCCCAAGCCTAAGGCTGAAATCCTGACCGATGAAGTCTTCGGTGCAGTTTCCGTGATCAGCACATTCGACACAGAGGAAGAGGTCATTCAGAAAGCCAACGATACCGAATATGGGCTGATGTCTGGAGTATTCACAAGAGATATAACTAGGGCACTCCGTTTTTCGTTCAAGCTAGAGACTGGAATCGTGGGCGTTAATTGGGCCAGCTTTGTAAGTGAAAACAAAAAGCACTCTCAAACGACTTTGAGACCGCCTGATACTGAAGAAATTAGCTCAACATCCAAGTCCCCTTCGGCGGCGTGAAAGCATCCGGATTGGGCCGTGAATTTGAAATGGGCGTATGTAGCCCACTTCTACTCGGTACGCCGACAGGCGGTTTTGCTGACCGGCTTCAGGTTCTCCGATCGTTCACGGAGACGAAAACAATCCTGATCAAGTAAGACAAGCCACGTACATGAAAAGGTCTCTGACCTTCTATGTCTAGCATGCGAGCGACCTAAGAGAATCCGTAAAGTCAGAGTAGGGCAAGGGGTTGCTCACCACGGCATTCTAAGTCCATACCCCTGAAACACCGACGCGGAAAGGGACTTAGTAGGTGTCTTCGGATTTAATTAGCGCATCACCTGCCGCAATTTCACTTCAATTTCCGATCGGGTTGACAGTTTTGCACACCCTCGGACTGACGTCCAGGCCTGGCACCACAATATAGCAATGTCGTGTTCTACTCGGCAGTCTACCGGGATGATCAGGCCTACGACCCCCACATTTGACTCGAGTTTTTTTTTTTCTTTGACGAGTTACAATCGAGTACTTTATCCAGGCATCTAGGTTATTGCGGCCCTTTAAATCCCCCTTAATCAGTGACGTGGAAGGACGTCAATATTCCATGATAGGCTTTATCTTCGAACTCCGTGTCCTTCAGATTGCCGCTGTTCTCTTCACGCAGTCTCAGCTCGTCGATGTCTAGTATCTCTATAACCATCAGCGTTCTAACTGTCAATGCTGGATCTACAATGCAGTCTTCGGCCTCCTCCCATGCAAAAAGGCCTGTCAAGAAAACTGCTGCTCAGAATCCAAGCAATAGCCAGAAATCCAACGTTGTTAGGCTTCTAGCCCAGGACCTGAACTCGTTGCCAGCACTTACAAGCACGTGGTTGATAACCAAGACGATTTCCTACAGTATCACCCGCGATCGGGTTGTGCTCAGGATTTGGACGTGGCCGAGGCCGGATTACTCAACTACTCGGACGCAGGTCGCGATGGAGACGTTACAACGCTGGGAATCTTGTTCAAGATGATAGGCCTCGAATGGTCGACATAGACGTCCAAACGGACAGGAATACTTCACTACTTGCGCCTCTATCGATTGACACACTCTCAGACAGGATAGCAGCTGGCAATTTTGCGGAATAATTCCACAAATTTACTGATCGGGGAGATGGCGGAATACCCGGTGCCGCAAAGAAAGGAGAGTTGCAACCGACTTGCAAACGAAATCTCCGCAAACCAACTGATGTCAGACAGCGATCCATCAGACAATACAAGGGACCCTCAACGAACGGAAATGAAAAACCGGAGAAGCTGGTTAGTCGCTTCGGTCAGTTGCTCATTGCTGAGAACGGCCGTCGAAGATATTACGGCGCCACGAGTAACCTCCACCTCACCCAAAGCAAGCCTCTTGGTCTATTGTTGTGAGCCAACCATACGCATGATGTCTTTTCATGGTGAGGTTGAGCTTGCGCGCTCTGGATTGCAGTGTAAAAGCGATGCTACGTACGAAGACCATCTCACTGACTTCTTCTTTGCATGGCACAACTCACTCCTCTGTATTCTCAATGAAGCCGTGTTACCACCACCGGGAATTGTATCGGTTGGGAGTGTTGACAGCTTACTTCCACCGGCACTGGAAACACCATCCTGGCCTTAGGCGCCTCCCACTCCGGTCGAATTCTTCCAGGTGTCGCTATCCCGGCGGAGTTCTTCGCATACCGTGCAAAGATATTGCTCGATATTGAGATGGATAGCCCAAGTATGGCCACTTTGCAAGCATTGGGAGCTTTATTGGCCAACTAGGCAGCATTTGCACGGGATTCTCGAAGCTCGCTGTATATAGGGATGGCTGTTCAACTGCTGTCGGACTTGGGACTCCACCTCGATCTGGCCGTCACTTTCGATTCTAAAGAGACTCGGCAGAACACACCAATTTGTGTCGAACTATTTTCTGGTCAACGTAAGCTCTCGATACGTGGGCTCTCAGTCTGAGCGATAGGGTGCGTCGCGAACACCCAGAAAACTGACTGTCTCCTAGCTTGTGGAGTGTCTATAGTGTTCGGCCATGTTCGATGTGCTACAATGATGGACTGGTCCCCATCCCTCAACCGGTCAGGACAATTCCCTGGAAACCATACTGGCGAAGTGGCTACGTTGTGTTGGTTTGGGGGTGGCAGGAAGGCGAATTAGCTAGTCACATGTCAGGACAAAAAGAACTAGCATCGATTCCAGCTGTGGACTACAGATTTTTGAGGCAGGTGGGGGCTATTGAGCATGCAAGCGTCAACAAGAGGGCATAGAAATAGTTGGATCAGTCACAGAGTGAGTGTACTAGCATGGCATCGCTCTTAGAGTGCTTAGAAGTTTACAGTACTAGCCGTGTGTCATTATTTACAGTTTCTGCAGAGTATTCCATTGGTTTTATTATCGCCTACCAATCTATAAGTATATCTTTTATCCTTTTCCTCCCTCAACGCCGCCGCCGTACTAGACGCTCGTTGTCCTGGCCACTGCTTCCCTGTAAATGGTGTTGGCAGTGGTCTGTCTTGCTAGCACTGACTAAAAAGGCATTCTCGAATTCCGACCTACCTGACAGGCCCCTGTGCGTTGCTGCACGTGGATGCCAAACTCAGAAGTGCTGCGTTACAATACACTGATCATAACAATATTCTGAGCATTACCGGAGGCCTAGATTTTTACGCAGTAGACAATAGTCACATTGATCTGGCGTAAATATGTAGTAAATTTCGAAAGATATCCGAGATTCATATATAGCTCCCTGTCATCTCGTGCACAAAAACCTAGTCGTTCTACAATGTTCACGGGGCCGCAGACAACCCTCACAGACAGCAGCTTCTATTTCGAGGTCAATGTGATGCGGGAACTTCAAAGATGGCATCATAGCATACCAGATCAATTGGAGGTCGATGCATCCTTTGATAAAAGCCGGCTGGCATTGCCGGCCGTCTTGCCCTGAATTCTTCGCATGAGGGCATGCTGAAAGATAGTGCGAAAATCTGTGAAGCCTCAGCTACAGCAATGTGTCGACTGTTGGTAATGTATCGACACCAATGGGGAATGAGCTCCATGCATCCACAGACACTCTCCATTATCTTGACTGCGGCAATGATTCAGATCCACAACTGCTGCATATAATCGAGAGACAAAGGTATGCAAGCGCAGGAGAACGTATCCATTTGCTACAGCGCTCTCCGGGGATGTCATATTTCAATATCGGAACTCGCTTTCTGGAGACTACCATGTCTCTGAGGCGTGATTGGCAAAGTTGGGCTTTCAGTGGAATAGGTAAAAAGCAGCCCGACCACGATATGCAGCGTGGCATAAATGACGTGCTTTCATAGTCTCGACGCAAGGTCGAAACTTAGATATCAACTACGTACCCAGTACTAGTTTTTCTGTCGCGGGGGTAAGACCAACGTGAAATAATCTCATAGACAACATCGGTTCTATGAGCTGTGCATTAGATCATGATTATGCTTCAGATGTAATTTTGGTTTGCAACAGTGGCGATCTCGCGACCCTGTCAACATGATTCCATTATCTAGCCTAATTTGGCTCCCCCAGTTTTGCCCCCGCATTACTCTATACTCCGACATCCTCGTTGGAATGAGATCTACCAGTACACTCAAAGCGACAAGTGGAGTCACATGTATCGGCCGACAAGGCTTGTGACCCATCAATACAATGTAAGCCCGCGATGCCCTCGTCCAATGGCTGAAAACCTAGATATCTCAATTGAGTGGTGTGTCAACACGAGGAGCACGACTAAGAAGCCCCGGATTCTGTAGAATGCGGGGGATACCTCCTCCCTGCGAGTCGGACCTGTCGATTTAAATCTTTCTACGCGCAATCAGTGTTCCTTTCCCCGTCAGGTACATGTCAAACACAATACTTGGAAGTGACAAATCAGCGGCAAAGATCAATGCTCTTTGCATCCCCAAACCAGATGGGGCTGCCGAGATTTATGAATACCAGCCTATACTGAAGTGTCTCCGATTCGGAGCGCGATCATCAGGGCCTCGAATTATACATTTGACTGTGCATATATATAAGCTCTCGAATTATAAATTTGAATATGCACACAAGCTCCCTTCACAGCGACAGAAATACTCCTTTCTCCCTTAGTTCTCCAGCCTACCTAACCTTAACGTCGCCGACACCCAGATCACAAGAGCTGTCATGGGTGTCTTTTCCATTAGCACTAGGGCCACGGTACAGCCTTTTATCGTCAACACGAAAGCGGTCGTGGACTACTATAATGTGTATATCATGACCGTCACCCTCGTGCTAGCTATTATACAACCAATAGTCAGCATTCTCCATCCTCTACTCCAGGTCGGCACACGAGCTAAAGATCTTCCACCGGGTCCACCAACCCTCCCACTCATCGGGAATCTTCATCAGGTGAGCGACGAGACCATGGTCGGACTTAGAACCTTCACTAAGACGCCGCAAGATCTCAGGAGCAGGGGATTACGGCCATCGTCAGTTTCAGAAATGGGCAGAAGAATATGGGTATGACTTGCGACCACAACGTTTTCGCTCTGCACAGTTGACGTAGATTTCTTACCTAGGCCGATCTATTCCCTCATCCTCGGCACCAAGACCTTTATTGTCCTCAACACGGATACAGTGGTCAAAGACCTTTTGGATAAGTGTAGCGCTACGTACTCGCCAAGACCAGAGACGTACATGGCGCACGACAGGGCTTCAAGAAATGGACCCGGGTGGTGTCAAGTGCGAGCGCTCAACTCTTGGACTTGTATCCATTGCTCCGAAGACTGCCCAAGTTCCTGGCTCCAAACTATGAGTATGCCAGAGAGCTGCACAAAAAAGAGAAAGAGCTTTATCGCAGCCACTGGCTCGCTGCAAAGGAACGGATCATCAAAAATACAGCAAGGGTAAGTGACTTGCATTTGAAAGAGACGGTTGAAAAGCATGCCTGAGACTAACTCGGTGTCAAACTAGCCTTGCTTCTGCGACGACCTCCTCAAAGCACAAGAGTTTGAGAAGTTTGACGACGACCAGGCAGCCTATATAGCCGGATCGCTCCTTGAAGCTGGCTTCAACACGACAGCCTCTACCCTCCAGGGTTTTGTCCTGGCCATGATGGTGTTCCCTGACGTCCAGAAACGAGCACAGCAAGAACTAGACGAAGTTGTCGGGTCTGGCCGACTGCCAACGATGGACGATGTGGCTGATCTACCCTACGTCCACGCCTGTGCCAAGGAGAGTTTGCGATGGATGCCTCCTATGGTCTATGCAGCACCTCATGCAACCACAGTAGACGACGAGTACATGGGTTACAGAATTCCAGCCGGGGCTTCCGTTATCCCTAACGTCTGGTGAGAAGTTTTGAGATATCCTCCCTCTACCCAGAGACCATCACCTACATTTCAAGGACTGCTAATACTAGGATGACCAGGTACATTACCCAGGATCCCAAACGTACTCCTCACCCGCGAGTTTGCGACCCAACGCGCCATATGAACAATCTGCAGAGTGAGTTCCAATCTGCCAAGAGTTCCAATGTCAGCGAACGGCATAATTTTGTTTTTGGTGCTGGGCGTCGGCTATGCCAGGGGACGTATATCGCGGAACGCTCTCTCTTCCTTGGTGTGTCGCGCATGTTGTGGGGGTTTGATTTCTCAAGACCTCTGGATGAAAAAGGCGAACATTACCCCGGATATCAACGTCTTGAGAGGAGGTGCAGCTATCGCGCCAGCCCCATTCAAGGTGATTATCAAGCCCCGGAGCAAAGAGAGGGCAGACTTGATTTGTGGAGTGTGGGCGGACACCGAGGCCAACGTTCTGGATCCAGAAGCCAAAGAGTGGAAGCACGTACCGAACGGGATGGTGTTTGGCACGTATGTACCCCGACGCGTCGACGTGTGAGCATCAACGAGACGAGGTGTGAGCAGTACATCCAAATAGATGGGCAGGTTGCTGCCGAGTAAACTGGGCACACAATTAGGGCTTGCAGGCAGGATAGAGGAGCTTGTAAAACTCCGAGATGTGCCGTCCAAGACATACAAGAGGGGGCCAATACGGCACGATGATTGCAGTATTATAGCCGAGCATCCTTCAGCTCCTACTTGTCCACATCTGACTTCAGGCCGCGTCTTTTTGGAGCTTATTTGGCGCCGAGACCAGAGACAACAACGCACATGATCTCAACGGCAGAACAACTCTAGCCAGCAAGGTTCGTCAATCTGTTTTGCCCTCATCAAGGTGTCTCTACCTGCCCGCTATGTCCGACTCAACCTCGTCTCATCTTACGTCGCGCATGGCCAAGTTGAACCCTTTCTCGAGGACAACTCGGAAAGTCGACGACGAGGACGCGGGCGAAGTAATCGACGACTCAACTGTTGCCGGTGGAGGCCATGGAGCCCGCGAATCCGACATCACCAAACATCGGCTTCGAGTGAGCCATGCTCTCAGATCGTACCTCGTAAAGCAGAATGTCCTCTCCGAGGAAGATGCTGGTCTAGACAATGACAATCCACACCAGCTGACCGGGCCACTACATGCGCTCCTCAGCAAGCCACATATTAATGTCCCATCCTATGTAACCGATCGGTCTCACCCATTGCCTGAATATTTCATCAGTTCGAGTCACAACACCTACTTGCTAGCCCACCAGCTCTATGGCACTTCTTCCGCCGATGCTTACAGGACCGCTCTCAACACGGGATCGCGCTGTGTTGAGATCGATGCCTGGGATAACGAGGACAACCAGGACGAACCCAAGGTGACGCATGGCTATACGCTCGTTTCAAATGTCCCATTCCGAGCAGTATGTGAAACAATCCGTGATGTGATTGACCAGGAAGCTGGTCAGTCTGCCTCCCAGCCAGGATACAGAGCAGCCCCGATTCTTCTATCTCTAGAAAACCACTGTGATGCACATGGCCAATTGCGTCTCGTCGACATCATGAAAGAGGTATGGGCCGACCGCCTGTTGAGCAAGGCTTTTAGGCAAAAGGGCCACGCGGAGCAACAAGGTACTGGCGAGCAAGTGACCCTCGAAGAACTTGGTTCAAAAATAGTGCTCATTGTCGAATACCATTTTCCCAGTGAATCGGAAAGCGATGAAGAGGAGAACTCTAGCTCAGACGAGGATGAAGAGGTGAAACTGGCCAGAAAGGCCTACAACGAGAAGAAGAAGGCTGCCCCCACCATCATCATTCCTGAACTGGCCGAGCTAGGGGTCTACGCTCAATCAGTGAAGCCGCGCGACAACTCATGGTATGGCGAAGTTGGACTCAAAGACGGGCCTCACCATCATCTCATCAATGTCTCAGAGACTGGTCTACGGGCCCACATGCCTGCCGCGAACGATAAAATTGCTCGCCATAACGCTCGACATCTGATGCGGGTGTATCCCAAAGGCACCCGGATCTCTTCCCGAAACCTTAAGCCGGTGCAGTTCTGGGGTATCGGAGCCCAAGTATGCGCACTGAACTGGCAGACGTTTGGGGCGAGCATACAGCTGAATGAGGCCCTCTTCAGTGGCACAGATGGTTATGTTTTGAAGCCGGCAGCTCTGCGAGCAGGTGGATCCGGCACGCTCAACAGCGGGAAAAGGAAGATACTTCGCCTTCATGTCGCAGGAGCATCTGACGTGCCTGTGCCAGAAGGACGTGAACCCGATGACATCAAGCCATACTTGACTTGCAAACTCTATCACCCTGACATTGAAGAGGATGACGCCCCGAAGCGCAAGACGGCACACTACAGGCAACACAAACTCGGGCTGCTGCACAGGGGCGAGAATCCGCCGCCCACGGATCCTGTCTGGGGCGAGACGCTGGAATGGGAATATGAAGACAACGAGCTGGTGTTCCTCCGGATGCTCGTTAAGAGCGATGACAGTTTTGCCATTAACCCGATCTTTGCCGTTGCCGCGGTGAGGTTGCTGTATGTGCCAGAGGGCTGGAGTTTTATTCGCATGCTGGACCTGAAGGGAAGGGAGACGAAATGCTCGCTTCTTGTGAAATTCGAGATTGTGGATGCAATATGATGGAGATGCAGGTGCCAGTCAATGGAAGCCACGATGGTCAATGATGCTCCGGCTGAATATTCTTCCTCCGCCCGCATGCGGAGTCATATAATATATATATATCGAACTCCAGCTCGTTTTCCCCTCTATTTCATACACTTAAAACCCTGGACCTGCGCCCGTATCTCTTTCGTCTTCTAGTTTTAGGTCGTTTCGAGACCAGCGGGCGAGCTTGATAGCTTCGGTGAGCGAGTCAACAGACGACAATGGTTTCAGGATGGGTCCTGCCCCTCCAGCCTCTCGCCTCATCAACGCGGCGACCTCTCAGCTCAAGAGAGCTGCTGGCCTTATAGGAACAGCATCGTCGCGGACAGTTTTTCGAAGCTCCTCCTCCATATTCTGCTCCACGATCTGCAAGAGCCCTCAAGGCCTCTCGATCAGGATGGCGTCCACGCTCCCCTCCTCTCCCATCTTCGCAGCCATCGCCAGTCATGACCCAAAATCTCCTGCAATAATCCACAGCGCCTCCGACCGTACCTTCTGCTACGGCAGTCTGTTACACGATGTTGCTGCCGCAAAGGACAACTTGGCCGCTCTTGCTGAGGGGAAATCTCTGGCGGGTGAAAGAATAGCCTTTCTGGCGGAAAACGGATATGATTATGTAGGTGCGGGAGCAATACTACAATCCTCGTGCTACACATGTTGACTGACGATGTTCCAGTGACGTTCCTCTCAATCCTTTCACACGACGCAATTGCCCTCCCATTGGCGCACACCCATCCGAGCTCCGAGTTGCGATACATCCTCGAGAACAGCGAAGCCGCACTGTTCCTCTCGACGGAGAAATTCCAAGAGAAAGCGAAAGAGGTGGTGAAAGAAGGGTTGATTCATGCACCAAAACTCAAAATCCTCTCAAAAATTGAGACCGGAGCACCATCCGCTGAGAATGTCGAGTTTAGCCCCAAGGCCATTGAGAACGGTGGATTCATGCTCTACACTTCCGGGACCACGAGTCGTCCCAAGGGGGTGGTTCTATCCGTGGACAACATGACGGCGCAATCAAGCTCCTTGATCGAAGCGTGGAAATACAGCTCCTCAGACCTCCTCCTTCACGTTCTCCCACTACACCATATCCACGGCACGATCAATGCGCTCTTGACTCCGCTAATGGCCGGCTCAGCAATTGAGTTCGCATACCCCTTCAACGCGGACACGGCGTGGAAGCGGTTTGCTGCGCCATTCCTCCCTAATCCGTCGTCTTCCCCTCCAGACGCAAAGAAAAGACCGATAACTTTATTCACCTGTGTCCCGACGATATACAACCGCCTTCTTGCAACTCATTCCTCCCTCTCCACGCAAATGCAGATCGCAACCCGCACAGCGATCGCCCCTCGCTACCTCCGGCTGAATATATCCGGCTCCGCTGCTCTTCCTGCACCGACAAAACAAGCTTGGACGGAGCTCTCTGGGGGCAATGTCCTCCTCGAACGCTACGGGATGACCGAGGTCGGCATGGCATTGTCTTGTGGACTGGCGTTGGAGGATCGTGTGGACGGTTCGGTTGGGTGGCCGTTACCGGGAGTCGAGATACGACTCGTCGATACTGAGACAGGAGCCCTGATAAAAGCCGGTGAAGAACTAGATGAAAACGGTCAACCGCGCGAAGGAGAGATCCAGCTCCGTGGCCCTACCGTGTTCAAAGAGTATTTCCGTAACCCCTCGGCTACAGCGGCGGAATTTGTCAAGTCTGAGGACGGAAAGGGAAACTGGTTCAAAACAGGTGACGTGGCAATCCGCCAAGTCGTCCCCGGTACAGGCAGAAGCGAGCAGTCGTGGGCACACGGGCCGATGTACTTCATTCGAGGCCGCAAATCCGTTGACATTATAAAAACGGGGGGAGAAAAGGTCTCAGCATTAGAAATTGAACGGGAACTGCTGTCACTTCCCGAGATTGCTGAAGCTGCGGTGGTGGGAATTCCGAACGAGCAATGGGGCCAAAAGGTTGCTGCAGTTGTGGTCCTGAGTGAGAAAGGGAAGAGTGGTGGTCGGGGAGGCAAGCAGTGGGGAGTGATGGATCTGCGCAGGGCCTTGAAGGATCAACTGGCGAATTACAAGATTCCGCAGGAATTGAAGGTCGTCGAGAGCATCCCGAGGAATGCCATGGGAAAAATCAACAAGAAGATGCTAGTAAGGCAGGTCTTTTGAGAAAGACTCACAAGAACCGCCGGACCCATGCACCATCTATTCAAAACTCGGTCGGGGCAGCATGCTTTGTTGCATCGACTGATGAGCGTCAGGTAGACTGGACTGAGGAAAAAAGAAAAGGATTCCTTGTACACACTGATTTCAGACAGTGATAGCCAGAGGGTGCGAGGGCACATACGGACTCCATCATGGCAACTGATTTCTTGTTGTACAAGTAGCTGCGCAACCGCAGCATCTCGAAATATCGTTGTATAACTTCAACAACCATTCACCACCCTACCTGGACGCTCTTTTTCCTTTGCGTCCTAGTCCTCCACCTGTGGAAGAAAGGGACAGTCTAAGAGACACCGAAGACTACCCGCGCTTCGTGCCACATCTGAAATAAAGTATTAACCTGGTACTTCTCATGCCAGCCGTGGCCATGGTGGTGCTTGTACAGGACCAATACTTGACCTGCGAAACATACCACGGGGGGCACCGGTCCCGGTTCTTGACCCATGTGACCGGTCGAGGTTGAGGTGTACTGTACCTCGTATTAGGAGGGATGACAGCGGACTGATCAGATCGAGAATGCGAAGTGATTGTGTACACGTAGCGGATTTTTTTTTGAGACCCTGGTTGATGAAAGGACCTTGGCGACCAACATGACCTCTGTCGTAAAAAGGGTACGTGTTCCCCCTTGGTGACTCATCCGTAATATCCCTGTTGCAAGTGTTTAGGGGTCCTCTCACCTAGGCAGACAGGGGGTATACGCAAACCAGTCTCTTCACCATCCTTCATTAGGCCTCCTCCACAATATTGAAAAGTTTCATATATTTACAGGCACATAGTACCATGCATTGCACGTGACTTGAGCCTCAATGCTGGATTTAAGCTTTGTATGGAGTATATGCATTGGGGGTCAGCTGGTCCGATTGCGCAGACGTGGTCGACGACATGATGTGAGAATTTGGCCACCGATGTTTGCCTTGTCGCAGCACTGCACGAGGAATCCATCTCAAACCCTGTTTTTTGGTTTTTCTTTTGGTCGAAACTGGCTCGAAGTCCTTATCAATCGCTGGGTTTTCGTTATCGGGGTTATTTTTGGTCTGATTGTGGCGGATTTGGGTTGTCAATTCTCTTGCAGCATCTTTTTCTGCGATCAGTGGTCACGCAGTCTTCCGGAACGCTTCGAGCTCAAAGATTTCTCAGCGTCCTTCCTGCAGTGGAATACGTCAAATCCGAGTATCTGATTTCCTTCTGCGATTGTAGTTGCTAAATCTGCTCAGAAGGATTTTATGTCCGCCGAGGGATGCTTGGTGAAAGGCCTGGCCACGTTGCAAACTTACCATTGATAGTCTGGTGATGAGGGTATCTGCACGGCCGTCTCGTGTTCAACATGCCTGCCTGGGTCAAGTTCATGTACCCAGTCAGTGGCGCTGTTATGGGCGCGCATCAGAAGTGGCAATACATTTGCGATCAGAGCGCGCTCCAGCCACTGCGCCCGAGAGCAAGAGAGGATGAAATGATCAATCTGTCGGAATGAATATATATGGGCCATGGCCCGTGTCGCTGAGACGTCCACGCTTATTCCTTGCTGTACCTCTCAAAGGGGACGATCACCCAGAAAATATTAGAGTTCGGCTGAGTTTTGTTCGGTCTATAAACATTGGTAATCAACACACCCGGGGCGGGCACTGCAAGCAGGGCGGGAGGATAGCATCGATGTCTTCCAATTTGTGTGCAGCGAAAATGGACTCGAAAAGCGGTATTGATGAAGGTAGGAAGAACATTGACGAAAGAGCTGAAAGCGCAGCTAAAGTTGCTTGCAGGCAGGGGAACGCAGCAACGCACGCTTTCGAACCTATACATTGCATTGCCCGTCCAAGCCGACCCATGGACCGTATTGCGTGTCCAAGTGGGGGACAACAAGAATGATCGTCCACTTCTCGACTCTCCAGGAAAGCAGAGCGACCCGTCATTCAGTCTTGTCAAACTTCGGCTGAAAGCCCAGTTGTGAGTGTAGGGGTGTGTTGCCTCAAGGGGTTTGTGCCATTTTTCAATGCAAAGTAGCATCAAGTAATCCCCCTTCTGCTCTTGAAGCGCCCGCACAGACTTTTCGGTAGCAAGGAGGGGTGCAACTCGCGGGGGTTAAGGGCGAAATGGCCGGGTCACGGGTGCGCGGGCCGAGCGGAATCTTAGGGTCAAGCAGTCGAGCCGACGGCTCGGGGAGCGTGGTATCGTATCTCATAGGTATGGGAGATAATGTGGAAGTAACCGTCTCGACCCTAAAATTCTGCAATTTTGAAACTAATGAGAAGATGTTGTCACATCCACGTTTGAGTGTGTTCACACACAATGACAGAAATGTCCGGCAAACTTGCCAAATACAGATTGGCCACGGAATAAGGTTGCTCCGCGTCTGACATGCCCACTTGGGAAGTGCCTCCCGAGCATATCAATTTCGTCGCCTTTTTGCTTCGAACGAGGCTGTGTAGGCCTGCTCCAACATATGTAAAACATGAGCTAGCTATGTCCAGCGACACCTGACTTGAGGTAAGATGAAGCTCCTGTCCCTTGCGTTCTCTGGTGTGAACTGTTGTAAGGAGTCTCTGGACACAGCATGGAAGATTTGCCCGCAAGCCCGAGTGTGCAAGCAAAATGTGCTTCGATAATCATGTTTCTGAAAGACAGTCATTTGTGTCATCTGTGCACGGAACTACGTAAGCAGCTTCTTGCAAGCTCATCGCCAGGTGTCTATGACTTAGGCATCTTCTCGTTCGGTCACTACCCAAACGTGGGACAGCCTCAAATTTCTGTCAGGTCTGGACGCCATTTGTGCTCTCTCTTGTGGCGAAGCCTAGGAATACCCCGACTCCCTGGCAACCCTTTGCTTTCAGCCACGACGTACAGCCTTACATGTCAAAAGCCCAAGGGCCGCATTGTTCAGACACTGACATTGCCCGATGGGCGAACTCGTCAGTCGCATCTGCAGAGTTGGCATGGAGAGATGTCGACGCGTCTTAGAAACCTGAAGCGGAACCCTGCCCGAGGCATACTTTCTGGCTCTACAGCATCCAAGCAATGTTTCGGTTTGGTCGACTCCTGGTAACACAAGTGTCTGGACAACCACGAATGCTCTGTTAACGATGATGATTCAGGCAAGCTTCCAACTCGGCTTTTGTTCGTGGACACGACGAATGCCAGACCCCGTATCGAACTCTGCGCTACGGCCGACCTTTGCAGCGAGCAGCGAGACAAAGAACTCCGCCATCTCACCCTGAGTCACTGTTGGAGATAACAAGAAAAGTCCACACTGACGAAAAGCTCAATGGCGCCTTCCAAGTTGACCATCCCTTTTGATCAATTGCCTCGGACAATGGCTAGCACCATCATAATTACGTTGGAATTGGGGTTCCACTACTTCTGAATTGATTCTCTATGCATTGTCCAAGACGACCATGATGATTGGCGGCGCGAATCCGCCGAGATGAGGAGGATCTACCGCAATGGAGTTTGCAACCTTGCAGCCCTTTGTTGAATCCTACTAGATACAACCGTCAAGACACGGTAGTACTGGGTAAGCAGAACCCTGTTGATGAATCGAGCATGGGTTTTACAGGAAATTGTTCTGTCACCACGTTCAATCTCCTACGGTACCCAACTCCTCTTCTGGGAGCGTACCAAAGCTGCAGCCGCGGAAGTCAAGCCAAAGATGACCGCTTAAATGACACGCCCGTCACCACAGCTTTCTTTCTTCTTCTGACTCTGATAGATGACTGGGGGCGGCTATGGTGCAGGGTCGGAATGTTCGAGGCAACTATGGCCGAGACAAACGTGTACAACGAGCTGAGCCGACATATAGCAAGCACCATGTTAGATCAGTTTGCCTTGATGGCAGAAATCTCTATTGTTTGAATACCCACTCACAGTATACAATCGGCACTTTGGCAAGTAAGTGGAATGAGAGACTGACTGTCAACATATTGGCCGCTTGAAGCGATTCCTGAAGCAGTAATAAACTCACAATCATCATCTTTGAATTCTCGGCGTCTCCTGGAATGGGGGAAAGACCCCTCTGCGGGATATCTTCAGAACAGTTCATCATTTGTGCTGCAGGAGAGCAGGGAGACGGCCACGTACTGCCAATGAAAACTGGTAATAGAGGGCGAGCGGAATGGGCCTTGCATTTCAGCTAGGCTGTAAAGCAGCAGCCCTGCTTATATAAAACTGATGCTACATTCGCAGTTTTCGCATCTACTTTTGAAGATATCGCATCTGGTCTCTTGTTGAAATCAACAGAGTTCGGATATGGTCCCTCGTCCGAATCCTACTCCGGTTAAAAGACTTCCTCCTCCCTCCTCAATCGAGCAGGCCAACCTTGAAGCAACAAGCGATGTCGCCTAAACGATGTCGATTGATTGGCCCTGAAAATCGGCACAATGGAATGCACAAGTACGGATCTTTCCTCGTGCCTTTGAGATTCAGCAAACCCCTCTCGCTGCGGTGGAACAATGGCCGAGCCGTCCGCCAGATAGAACTCTTGCGTGGATGAAATACTCGCGACCCAGTTGGCGAAAGTCTACAAAGTGCCGCTTTCCGGTCGTTCCTGAGCAATGATTCTGGCACCAATGCCATAGATGCTCTGGAATTAGGCAGAATTGATCTCGCCTTTTAACTCCTCTCGCAACCTCCAATGACAGCTTCTCCCGGCCATATTCCGACGGAGACGTCAATGCGTTACCCCAGAATTTCCCCATTTTCATCGACCGGCACGACACTCCTTGTGTGTTCTTTACGGGGAATTCAAAACCTCAACATCTCCATGCTGCTCAAGCCGTACCTGGTGATCTGCAGGACGGTAAGTGAAAGGTCAGTGGAGAACCACCTGCTGGCCATGAAGCCAGTTTTGAATAGCTTCCCCGCCATGGCTTTCCAGGGCTCCCACCTCGAACTCGAGGTCCTCGAACGATATAAAACGGTGACTCGGAGAAGAAGGGTTATTTCCGATTGCACGGTGCTTCTACACTCTTCTGCTTGATTCAACGGCTCTAGGTAGACATACATCCAACGCGGCCAGCAATGAAATCCCCCATCTTTGGGGCGGCATCTGTGCTGCTCCTTCTCAGCACGTTCGCGAAAGCACAGAATTCTTCGTCGACTGTACCAGTCATCGATCTCAATTACGTAAAATACAGCGGCCACCAGAATGCCACCGCGGGCATTAACTACTATCGTGGCATCCGTTATGCTGCCGCTCCCACAGGCGAATTGCGCTGGGCAAAGCCCATGCCTATCGAATACATGAACAACTATAACGGCCAGACCATCAATGCCTCGACCCTCGGCCCGGCATGCTATCAATCCTCTGCGAGGTCCACCTATGCTTCCCCTTCGGCACCACAAGGACAATCAGAGGATTGTCTGCTCCTCGATGTGCTAGTGCCTTCCAAGCCTGTTTCAACAGCCTTGCCTGTTCTTTTCACGTAAGTGGGTCATTTTCAACCAGTTCTTCATGGTCAGCATAACTTCTCCGAGATCTGGTGGATGCCAATCTGGAGAAGACCTCAGTGAGCGCTCTGCTCCTCCCTTGCGTGATCCAGCTTTCATCCTCCCAAGTCTGCAGACTTTGACTTCGAATGTTTCAAACCAGCATTCACGGTGGCGGGTACGTCGGTGGTAGCGCTCCATTCTCCTACCCAGGCGACGCCCTAGTAAACCGGTCCAACGGCAACATCATTTACGTGGGTATCCAGTACCGCTTGGGAATGTTCGGATTCATGGGCGGCGATGTCATTGCTGAGAATGGAGCGTTGAATGCTGGCCTGCTCGATCAACGCGCTGCCATGGATTGGGTCCAGCGTAACATCCGTGCCTTCGGTGGTGATCCTGGTCGCGTCACTATCTGGGGGGGTTCGGCTGGTGGAGGCAGTGTGTCATGTCAGCTAATCGCGAATAGCGGCTCTGATTTCCCTCCTTTTGCAGCCGCGATTGCGGACCATCCCTGGTGGCAACCCCTGGCAAACAGGAGCACGCAGAATATCCAGTACAATACAGCCCTGAAGCTGTCGGGCTGTTCGGATATCAATTGCCTCCGCGGCCTATCTTCTGCGACGGTGGGAAACCTCAACCAAGCAGTGATAAATGCAACATACCCTGGACCTGGCAACGCATACGGCGTCTACTACTGGGGCCCCGTGGTGGATGGCAAGTTCATCCGCGACCTGCCGGACCAAGAATTTGCAAAGGGCAATTTCTACAAGGTTCCCTTGATCACCAACCGCGACGCTTACGAAGGCTACATCTTCTCCAACATGACGCAGACATCTCAGGTGGACGAGACGGTAGATGTGAGTTTCGACCGGTCTTCTCTTCGATTCCTCCTCTGCAGCTACTAACGAATTGCCCCCAAATTAAACTAGGCTGAAGCCCTCTTCCCCTCCGCTGGTCCTTCGTTTTTCTCCCGTCTTTACTCGCTCTATCCACGCAGCTCCTTCAACAGCACCTTCTACCAGCGCCAGACCTGGTTCGGAGACTTCATCATAAACTGCCCGACCTACTACATGGCCTCGTCCATGGTGGACTCGCTGTCCAACCGCTCCGCGGTCTTCAAGCTCACGTTCGCGGCCGGGACGGAACTCCACGGTGCGACCAACCCTTTCATCTCGTCTAACGTGACCAACTACCCCAGCGCGAACAACCTGACCCTGGCGCACATCATGACCAGCTACTGGGTGAGTTTCACCGTGTTTCACGACCCGAACCCGTTGCGGACTTCCGGCGCGCCGTACTGGCCGAGCTACATCTCCGGAGCGGCTGGGTCGGCGGCGGAGGGCGAAGGCGTGGGCTTCACGGTCCAGGCCGTCACGTACAACAGCATCAGCGCGATGCCGGATCCGGACGCGGCCGCCCAGTGTGACTTCTTCAACTCCAGGGGCTGGCAGATCAGGAATTAGGGTCTCCCTTCGCTATTGATAGTTGTATAGGCCACAAAACGCGGGGCCATCTTCACGGCGGGCCCGTATGAATGTGTGGGGAGTGGACATGTACATACCGACAACGTATTGCTATGGAGGATGGACACCTATTCGGTCACTGTTTGGTTCCGTGAGTAATACATACACACTGTGCGCATAACAGTATGGGTGACATCTGTGACATAGCAAGACACGGACGTTCCCGAGCCGTGGCCAGTCGTGTGTGCGTCGAGAATCGGGATGGTATAGAGTAGTACATTATATAGAATCCCTTGTGTGACTATACTCTCCAAGTGCAAAGATCTGGCAATAGCAACAGCATATCTTGCGATCTGAATGGGCATGCCCATGGAGGTGGACACGGGGCTAGTTGAGGTCTAGGTCCAGCATGTCATAGTCTGCTGGGTATTGCCGGTCGTAGACTCTACCCCCGTCCTTTCCTGCCTTCTTTCCTTCTAATGCGAGGCAGGGTCTATGGCTCGAGGTCATATATATCGCACATAAATTCTCCGTATCTGCATACCATGTCCTTTGTCCAGGACCCCGGTCCCGATACCCAATACAGTATCCCCGTTATCGTTGCCCGCATGTATCGGCGGTGCCAATGCCGATGCCGGTGGCGGTAAATGTACTTTAATAGCAGAGGGGAAAGCGTGCGGCGAGAAAGGCGACCTTTGTAAGGTGGCGAGATGGATGGGATAGCATCGCATCGCGATGGAGTACTCTATACTCCTTCTGTACGAAGTATATATTCTAGATTGACTAATTAGATCGGCCGATGCGAGTAGCTATGGGAGTATCTCTATTGAGTACCTCGGCACATGTCATTTTCCGCGTTCGTCCTCCAAGCTATCAAGCCACCAAGCCACCAAACATACATACCATCTACCGCTGATGAGCATCCATCCAGCGGGCCCAGCCAGGGAGAAGGAAGGAAAGACGGACGGAGGGAGGAGAAGAAAGCCCATCGCCACCATCCGAGTGTGCTCCGCACCCGAGACCGTAGCTCCGGCCCATGCATTACTTCGCCCTCGAAAGCCCTCGAAAGTCATGTACGGATGTTATATTCCCGTCTCCAGATGACGGAGCTGATCCTTGGGGCATGGCTGAAAGGAGGAATGAAGACGGGAAGAGAGATTTGCTCATCGATGCATTTTATGTATGAGCATGCAGGCAGTCAGCCTCGTGGGGACCCTGTGGGAAGAACAGCGAACACTACTAGTAGACATCAAGCATCTCACCTTGCCTTGGCCGATGCAACCCTATCCTTACTACTTGTACGGAATAGGTTATAAGCGCATGTCGAATAGATGATTACTTTTTAGTCGTTGGGCAGGAAGAGGATAGAAGGAACGGAATGCATTCCGTGACCCAGATCTCAGTCGTTAGGGATTTGCACCTGCGCTAGGACCTTGGCTGGGATGTGGCGCCCAAAGTACATTCGTCCCGCCACACACCCCTCGAGCCCAAATTCTGCTAAATTGCTTGTCCTGTTGACCTTGGATCCCAAGCGTTCAGTGGCTCGACCTTCACCAGTCACCTATTCTTTCTCCGTTGGGATGACACCAACGAATGGCCGTGCCCACTACAGCATGTAGCGATAGTCTGGACTCATGTCTCCTAATTCGGTCTTCTCGTACTCCGTAAGCCCGACATCGTGAGTCTTCTCTCTATTCCGATTCTGGGTGAGGCAAGCTAGGAAGTAGATGACGCAGGAGACAGCGCTCAGACAAATGAAACCCAGGCAAATGCTGTAACCTTTGTGGAAGAAAGTCTTTGCGTCGGTGGCCTCGAAGCTGTAACTTGCAATGATACCTAGGTCAAGGACTCAGTATCTCGTCAGACTCAATCAACGAGCAGCAACTCACCTCCGATGTTACCAAATCCAATCTGCCACGCCGTGCCCACTGCACGCCGATGGTGACCTCCAAGGTTCATCGAAAACCAGCAGACAATAACTGGCATGGCACTGTAGGTTCCCGAGGTAATCATGAACAACGCGCCATATTCTAAATCGGTGTTGTGATGCACCGTCATGAGGATAGCAAAGCCTGCAATTGCAATGCAAATGTTGACCATTGCAAACAGAAAACGGTGGCGGAAACGATCCGAAAGTGCAGCAATGAGCATGCTCCAACCAAACGCCGCAGCCCATGGAGGGACCGAGTGGAGTTGGGTCTGAATGGCGCTGTATCCATATGTCTTGATAATGGTGGGAGCAAAGTAGGCGTAGGAGTAGGCTGGAACATGGTCAGCCTTCACCCTGTCCGAGGAGGGTCGAATACACTTACCTGGCACAATCAAGCCAAAATACATGAAACCACCCACGATAATCTTGAAATCTTTGAAGCAGTTGATTACATCCTTGACGGTGATGCGTCGATCGAGAGCCGACTTCCCCTGATCATCTCGAAGTCGAGCCTTAATGTACTCGCGCTCGGCCTCGGTCACCCATTTTGCATCTTCGGGAAAGTCGGGGATGGCAAAGAACCAAGCAAAGGAGACGACACAAGTAAGGACACCTTCCAGGATGAAAACCCATCTCCAACCTAGATAGCCTTGCATGCCGTTCATCTTCCCAATGGCGGAGGCAAGGAGACCGCCGAAAGCGCCGGCTAGGGTGGTACTGGCAAAGAAGAATGTATATCTCTTCTGTGCTTCGTGTCTCTTATACCACATACCAATGAGATAGAAAGCTCCTGAATCAATGTGAGATGCGTAGCCTTGGCATTAGTTTTGGGGGAATCACGTACCTGGAAACATGCCGGTTTCAAAGACGCCAAGGAAGAATCTGGTGGTGAGGAAACCACCGTATCCCTGGACAAGACCTTGACAAATGGTAACCAGACCAAAGCCAAACATGCAGATGGACAGCCAGACATGGGGCCGGAGTCTCTTGAGGATGATGTTGGAAGGGATCTCAAAGACGACATAGGGGACAAAGAAGATAGTCAAAGCGGTGCTGTACTGAGTGCCGCTCAGGCCAAGATCTTTTTGCAGACCGAAGATGGCGGCGTTGGCGACATTGGTTCGATCCAGGAAAGCCAAAAGATACATGATTGACAGAACAGGAATAATCCTCATATCAATCCTGGTGATGAGTTTCCGTTCCGAGACGCCTGGCGGCAACACGGCCACCTCGCCATCTCTGTAGCCGGCAGCTGGGTGGGCCAGATCAGGGTCATAGCCCAGCTGGTGTTCACCCACACCGGTTGTGTCATTGTAACTATGCTGGGCCTTTTCATCTGTAAATTGGTTAGATAGGTGGCGATATGGCATGCAAGAACCAGGCTTACTGGACCCGTCTATATCGAACCGCATGATGGCGACGAGGACGGCGATTTTCTCACAAGCGGATTACGATGAGGAAAATCCGGGGAGAGGAGAAGATCAATGTGTGTCGCGAGGAGGGCAGCGGGTCCTCTTTGTAGGGTCACAGGAGGCCTGTGAGGGTGAGTGCCGGATTGGAAGCCGCAGGGACTAGAACAGGAGCTTTGTCCGAAGCGAGTGGCAACAGGGAAGAAGCAGACATTTCTCTGGACCTCATGCTGTGTTTGGCGAGCAGTGGGGTGGAGGAGTGTTGGGCGTTTGACAGCAGATCTTGTCATGGATGCCGCATGGATGCAACATTGAAGTTGGTGAAGAATCAAGAACCGGGTTTGACTGGTTCAAGCGGCGAGCCAAGGCCTGGCACATACAAGCAGCGAACAAGCAGCGATGGTGCCGAGGCCAATTGTCCACCCGCAGATTGCTGTCGAGGCTTATAGGTCTAGAGGCTAGTAAGCCTAGAAGGGGTGGAGGGAGGGAGGGGGGCAAGAGGGGGCAAGCCGCCCGTTATGCTTAAACAAGCTTAGCAGTGGCGCCACCATCGCCTGCCCCGCATGCCACCGATGCCGAGATGCAAAAAGACCAAGAAAGACCCGGCAGGAGACCGATAAGCCCGGGGGAGAAGGATGGTAGATGGCGGCTCGGTGGGTGGGATGGGGCGAGGGCGGAGGGCGTTCAGGGAGGGAGGGAGGAAGAGGGCGGCCGGGAGACAGCGGCCTTGGGCCATCTACTTACACTACACAAGTACTTGTTATACCTGTTAGGCTCTTATATAGGCTGTTGCCGCCCTTGCGTCCCCCTTAGCTCCCCCCCCCCCTAACAGCCCCCAGCGGCAAAGAGGTTACTGCCTTTCGTCATATAAAACAGCAAGTCATCATCATCATCATTACCACCATCATCATCCTCCTTGTCTGGGCTTAGTGCATTGGCTGGCCATCTCGGCGCTGGGCGCTCACCATTTCGTAGCCAGAGATTCGCTCTCATTTTTTCCGGCTTGAGGACACACCTATTCTTGTTTCAACGCTCAGCTCACGTCCAACAGCCTCCAGCTCTGAACAAAGAGAGTCCATGGCTGCTCTACGCGGATCAAGCCAACACCATAGACGGCACAAAGAAGAAGGAGGCTTCACCGTGGAGCGTAGAAGACCTGGTTCCACGACGTTTTCTTCACTTTGCCCGCCCCGGCCGCGCTCACCCCATCACCGCTTTCCTCCTAGCTGACATTTGTCGTCTTCTTCATCCTCATCTCCGTCTTCATCTTCTTTCTCTTCTTCTTGAACGCAACGAGCCATAGTCATGGATCCGAATCCCCCTTTGCCTCCGCCTCCTCCGCCTTGTATTTCCTCTTCCACGGCCCAGGTTCTGGGTAAGCGCAAGTACGACCGTCAGCCAATAATGCTGGTACAGAACCAGGATCGACATGGCGGCGGCTCAGCTCCCCAGGTTCTGAGCTCTCGACTCTCGACCAGCCGCTTTTCCGAGCTGCTCTCCATAGATACCATGAGTTCCAAGTACCCCGGCATACAACCGGCGCTGTCAGAGCCAGCTTCAGGCCCAAAAGCAACCACTCCAACTCTCCGGGCCACCTTTATTCATACCACTCCCCATAGCATCGAGGTTGGCCGGCGACCTACCATCGACCGTAACCATGCTCAGTCCTTGGGGGCGTTGGTCTTGGACGCCCATATTCCATCAGTCGAAAGACCTCGCCTCCCGGCGAACCCACCACGTCCAAAACGACAGAATTTCCGCCCCAGTCGACCCTTGCAGAATTCCGACCAAGTCTACAGCGACCTTTGGATTCACATCCTCAGCTTTTGCGAACCCAAATTCCTCTTAGAAGCCAAAACTCTTAGTTCGGACTTCTATAAGCTTCTCACAAAAAACTCCATCATCTGGAAGAAGAGCAGAATCAATCATTATGGTGCGGATATGCCGGATTGTCCGAAAGGCCTCACGGAACAGCAATACGTCGATCTCCTGGCGGGTCGTGGCTGTCAGAGCAGAGGTTGTCACGTTGAGGGCACTTTCAAAGTTCATTGGATGTTTCAAGTTCGCTTGTGCCCGGCTTGCTTCAAGAGAAGAACAATGAACGTGAGTCCATGCTGCAAGCCACCCACCCTACCGTTGTTAGCACCTTGCCATATTCTGACCGTGATGGTTCCAGGACAACGAACTTGCACGCCACCGAGAGCATCGTCTCCCGTGCCTATCGGAAAACGATCCACCTCCACGAGACGGACGAGCGCTCTGGGAGCTGCTTCCACTTGCACGGACTGACGGGTAAGAGACCGTCTGTATTGCACTGGGCCAAGACTTTGTGCTAACGAAACGTGTTCCAGCCGCCGCGAGGCAAACTCTCGCCATGTCAACGCTGAAACAAACGACTGGGGACAAGATCGCGGGAGGTTCGCGTTTCTGAAAACGTCCTTTGCCAGACTTGAAGACGAATACCAGAAATTCCGCGCTTCGTACCCGCCCAACGACAGTGCACTCATGGCATGGGCACGCAAGATCCATAGAGAAACAATGGAGCACATGGTGGAAGCAAATAAACTTGAGTCGTGGTCTAAGGAGTACACAAAGACGGTACAACCGCCAAAGAATCAAGCTCGCCGACAGCAGAAAATTGAGTTTTTCGAAGCACGTGCCGCAAAAATGTCGCCGCCCATGGACCGCGCGATCTTGTGGAAAATGGCGCCTTTCAAACGAAACCTGAAGGGACAATCACCTACCACAGACCGGGTCTGGGAAACACTGTGGTCGAAGATAGAACCGTACAGATGGCAGGCAGAACAAGTGGAGCAATTCGAGCAATTGATGGCGTCCGACTTGATCGAGGACGTTCCGCAAGTCATGTTGTTCAGGCGACTGCATGAACATCGGCGAGGAAGGGAAGCAGTGCCGCGCTCATATCAGCCGGAGCAAAAATTTGTCCTGCAGTTTGCTCAAAGAGAACTTGCCCGTTGCCTCAATGACGGCGTCGCCGATGAAGATATTCTACTCTTGTGCCTAAAGAACGTTTTCGACGCCTACAGTATGCTGGGGACTCCCCCAATAGGCCTCAATTTCGACGGCACCACCGGCCCTTATCGTCTGACCTTAGACGACGCCAGGATGATTGTGGAGGATGTCTTGGAGAAGATGATCCCGCCACATTCGGTCAGGGGCAGGGTTGTGTTCCAAAGTCTGAGGTGCAGAGGTTGTCAGCGATCCGACCACATCCGAACATGGTCTTTCGTGGATGCATTCCAACACATCCTTCAAACTCATGCCAGGCTAGTGGGTGAAGGTCTTGAATACTATCAATTTGCCATACCTTACCCTTCGAGGGACTTGCGGGCATTGCTCGCAGAGGATGGCAGAGCCGTGTTCAAATTTCCCTGGTACACAGTTCTCTGGCCTAGGAACCTGCCTCTTGTGCCTCGTCACCAGGATGTTTCACAATTGGACGCCTGGCAGCCGGATGTCAAAACCGAGTTTATCGCATTGTCGAGGCCCTTGAGAGTGTCGGCCTTTTACGGGCGACGCCCTCTGCAAGGAGAAACTGCAGACGACGAGTTCGCGCTCAACTTCATACACGCGGCGAAGACACTGAACGGAGTCCAGCTGGACGGCCGCTGTCAGATGAAGATCGCCCTCAAGTACGCTCTCGACCTTTATGCGAAGAAGCATCCAACGGAGCCGCCGCTATCGGCTTTCCTAGAATCTTTAGACCAACTGACCACCGTCAACCCAGCAATCGAACTGAAATTTGGATGTGGAATTTGCGCCGGCGAAGACAATGGGCCCCGAGCCGTCCAAAAATCGAAGCAAAAGAAGACCATGTATGCCCTGAAGAACCATTGGGCGGCGAGCCATCGTGACGCGCCTGTTGGCTGGGGCCAGGGCATGATGGATCTCCCAGGTGAGGACGAAGTGTTGCAGCAGATTGTGCAGGTGGACAAAAAGCTCCAGAGTCAGAAGGACGCATTGGCGGAACGTGCAAGAAAATTATCCACGAACATCAGGAAACGACCAAAATCCAAGAGCAGTGTCGTTTTGCAGATGAGGCTGGCGGCAGAGGTGCTTGATGAACTCTTCCCCAGAGAGATTGTGCAGTCGTATGCATGAGTGTTCTGGTGGGCCATTTGCCAACATCACGATGGCCTCGTGGACCAGATTTTGGGTTCCCCCCCCCCTCCCCCGGCCCCCGAGGGAAAGCGGCGGTCTGATGTCTGGCCAGCGCGGGTCATGGATGTTTCGATCACAGGCTGCAGAGATAGAAATGGCCCACGCCGGGCGAATGAAGCTACCACAGTGGGTAGGCTTCTTCACTGATGGCCGTTCATCAACTCCATTCCCTCAGATATTCTCACCCTTGGTCACAACTTAGAGACTACCTCTATCGAACTACAGTAGAGAGGAGGTCTCAACGCTTCATCAACACGTGATCGCGAGGGCAGGAGTAGTAGTTGTACTTAGAACCCGGTACTCGGTATGTTCGCTGAAATTACCCAAGAAGGATATTCCCTCCGTGTGGAACTTCGGCCATTCCCAATCAGGAAAATATCAGCGAGACCAGACACCGGCGCGATATGGTCGGCGACCCAACCAACCCGACTTTGGCCGTTGCGAAATCTGACGGAGAAAGACGTGCTCAGCGCACCCACTGCGCTGGATCCTTTGAAGGGGAGAAATTGTCGGAGCCACTCGGCCGGCGACTGGTGCCACTGCATTGGCTAGCATCGAGCCTCCCCTGCCAAGCCCGGACGAGGCTTACCGAGCGTGATGCAACGGACGGCCTTCTATTGGCTGGAGACGCTGGTAGACGGCGATTAAGACCATTAGACTCTCGCTAAATGGTGCTAAACAGTGCTAAACGGTACTAGCGCCGTCCATGCTGATAACGTCAACGTCAGTTCCCGCACGCCCTTTGATAAAGAAAATCTCATGATTCTTATGATTTTTTTTCCCTTCCCTTCCCCTTCAGACGTGCCATTCGCCCATTCCGCCACTCGTGCGTTTCCGTTCCCACTCTCCCTCTCGCTCTCAGCCTCAGTCACTCCTTTTATGTGGGTCGTTTGACTTTCATTCCACTCGCAAGCAGCGAATTCGCCTCCAGTCGTTGATGGCCCATTATTCAGCCTCGCCAACTCCCACCAATTTACCAGTACTGTAGGTCTCGCCGTCCATAGCCTTTTCGGGAAAGTTCTGGCCGTGGTGCTCAGTTCTATAACTGGCTCCATTTGCTGTCTCGTCCTCCTCTCTTTCTGTTTCTGCCTCGAAATCCTCCTGCGAGAGACACTCCCAGATCAGTGAACGACTTTCCATCTCCAAAATGGCAACCGCAACCGCAACCCGCACATTCTCCAAGGCTGTTGCACGAAGCACGGCTTCGGCCACCTCGTCCCTCCGCCTCGCCGCTCGCTCCCCAAGATCTAATGCCGCCGCGAAACAGTTCTTCCAACAATCCTCCCGCCGCCACTACTCCTCCGAGTCAACTCCGCCAAAATCTTCAAACACTACCGCCATCTATGGCAGCGTCGCAGCCGTCGCCGCGCTCGCAGGAGGCTACTATTATTTCAGCACTCAAAACACTGCAGGACAAGACAAGAAGACCGGGAGCGTTTCCGTGGGCAGCGCCGGACAATCTGCCGGCATTTTCAAGCCTACCGCCGCGGATTACCAGAAAGTGTACAACGCCATTGCGAAGCAGTTGTGGGAGAGAGATGATTACGATGATGGCAGTTATGGTCCTGTCCTCCTGCGCCTCGCGTGGCATGCGTCGGGAACCTATGACGCCGCCACCGGCACCGGAGGAAGCAACGGTGCAACCATGCGCTTTGCTCCCGAGTCCGAGCACGGCGCCAATGCTGGCTTGAAGAACGCCCGCGACTTCCTCGAGCCCATCAAGGCCCAGTTCCCCTGGATTTCGTATTCGGACCTGTGGACCCTCGCTGGCGTCTGTGCTGTTCAAGAAATGTCTGGCCCTATCATTCCATGGCGACCTGGCCGACAAGACAGGGACGTCGCATTCTGCACCCCGGACGGCCGCTTGCCCGATGCCTCCAAAAGCCAAGACCACATCCGCGCCATCTTCGGCCGCATGGGCTTCAATGATCAAGAAATGGTGGCACTGTGCGGTGCCCACGCTTTAGGTCGCTGCCACGCAGACCGATCTGGGTTTGATGGACCGTGGACCTTCTCCCCGACCGTCTTCACAAACGATTACTACCGCCTGCTGATGGAAGAGAAATGGGGTTGGCGATCTTGGAAGGGGCCCAAGCAATACGAAGACGCCGCGACGAAGAGCCTGATGATGTTGCCTACCGACGTGGCCTTGATCAAAGATCCGACCTTCAAGAAGTGGGTGGAGAAATATGCCAAGGACGGAAGTCTGTTTTTCAAGGACTTCTCGAATGTGCTGTGCAAGTTGTTCGAATTGGGGGTGCCCTTCCAATCGAAGGCAGAGGATAGGATTCAGTTTAAGCCGACTATCGACGAATCTTGAATCCCTGCTGAACAAGAGCGGAGATCGCAACCGTTGTGACTAAATTTGTTGAGATTGCCGGGTAAAGAGGTCGAGCGATATCTCGTACCACCCCTCTCAATATTCTTCCTTGAATGATGTGTTTTGACTATTGTACTTTTCACGCATGGCCAGATCGCGGAGGCGTTTCTACAAGAATATCCATGCAGAGCTCTGCACCAAGCGGGTGGGAGCTTGCGGAAATGGATTGGAGGTCGTGATGTAATACCAAGAAGCATTCATACAGTACCTTTCCTTTCCAACCACCACGATACTTTTTTTCGATAAGCGAAAGCAAGCAAGCAAGGAAAAGATGCATAGCGATCGAATATTAGATTAGGCCGCAAGCTAGATCATAGACCATAGACCATATCAGACATCATACGGAGACAATATCGAAGACCATACACCCGCTTGCTCTTGGGCCCCCAATCTGCTTTGATGCTTTGATATTTTGATATCTACTCACATGCACACTCCAGGCCGAGAAGGCAGAGTCGGAACCCGTCCCTGTTTTCTGTTGACTTCGGATGGCATTGGGTGGTTTTTTTGGCCTCTGGTGTTGTCGAACTCAATTTGGAACACTGTCCATCCTCGCCCGCCACCTGATCTCTGAGATCAGCTCACACTACCAGCACCAGAACCTTCTGTCGTCCTTGCTGAGGCCCAGGCCACGAATGAAACTGACGGGAATAGGATCCAGCAGCCACATACCACCGCTGGCCATGTCGTCGAAAAACATGCCGCCAGTTCCCCAAAGCCACAGAATGGTGAAAACACCATTTGAGCCTTGACGCATCATTGTTGTCCACGGGCCTGGCAGCCTTGAGAGATAAGAGCTAGCGAAAAGCTGGGAGCAAGCGCTTTGGATGGCCATACCAACCGGCTGAAGTGCAAAGAAGAGAAAAGTGGCAAGGGGATTTGTAGGACCCAGCAGCGTATGGCTTGCGCATGCGTGCAATATCCCGCTGAGGACGAACACGGTCACGACTCGAATCGCCTCTCTTGCTGCCGACTGCTTTGGACAATTGTGTCGCTTGTTGTCTGGCCATCGGCAGCCACAAGAACCCAGACCGTTATTCCTTGGCAGAAATTCTGCAACAGCATCCCCAACGCTCACAAAGTGCTTTCTGAAAAATTGGTGCCATGATTCGCCCCAAAACCCTCTCAGACCTTTGCGCAGGATAGCGGACGGATTGCCCCAGATTGGTGGGAATGCGAGAGGTGACGCATTCAGTCCGAGTACCCCAGGGCCAAGAACGTTGACCTGCAGGAGGACTGCAGAAGCGAAGATCAGATCGACCGCCGTGTACATCCCTGCTGTGCCGAGAAGCAAGCGGTAAGTGTACAGCTCTGATGAAGACGTGATGTACCGCGACAGATGAGGCGGCGGTCTGTGCGTGAGGTAGCCGACGAAGTACGGGTCCGCGATCATGGCGCACTTTATGAGGTCGATGAGGAAGTAGTCAATAAGAAAGCGGGAGACATTCCGGGCGATGGAAGCGGTCCGGTTCGAACACGCCTTGCCCAGACCAGGATCATATGCGTGTGAAGCCGCGGGACTCCAGGACCAGTGGACGCCGCGGATGCTGGTGGCGAGGTCCAGTATCCAGAACAATCTCCGCCATATGGTTTCAGGCATGGGCTCCCAGGCAAGGAGGTATTTGGTGTCCCGTCCACTTTTCATGCTACCATTTGGTCTCGGATCAGCACCGCCATTTGTCTTTGACGTCCTTTCGTCCGGTCGCAGTACCAGTCTTTTGAACGACCTAGGGTCGTGCAAGAGCATGAAGTTGACAGCGAGGACAACACACAGGACCGAGTTCAGACCTATGCCGATACTGCCCACAACGCCGGGCGAGCGCGTATAGAGCAGGTTCCATAGCGAGACGTAGGAAATGCACAGAAAGACCGGCCAGCGACACCGTTGCAAGGACCGCTCCGATATCGAGGGACACGCCAACAACCAGCCAACAAGGAGAATGACATTCAAGGAGCCGACAAGTGAGGATGCGGGCGTCACGGTGCCGGCGCGGAGAGCGTCCAAATAGCTGTCATGCACTCTTTGCTCAGCCTGCGCGTAGGACATGCCGAGGTCCTAAGCGCTGGCGGCGATTCTTTTGCAGTTCATTGTCGCTCGCGTATAACGATGTTGAGATTCGAGGTTGGGGGCATTCGCCTAACAGCCATCCCGTTTTTTCATTAGTCGGGGAGTATTGGGACTACTGTAGATTAGGCATAGGGGATTCCACATACAGTTAGCTCTCCGGCTAAATACTATGCACTGGTACTACGGCGTGCTCACAGTCTGCTAATAGCACCCGCACTCCCATACCTTTTTCCTAGTATGGAGGACTCACTGCTCACTTGGGTAATAACTCTCGTCCGGACCTCCTTTTTTCTAGCTGAGGATCGGTACTACATCGGATGGGCAAGTTTAAGTGATTTCGTATTCGCACTTAAGCTCCCCACCAACGGAGGCTATTAGGTAGGGCCACGCGCCCGTCTCCGTCCGCCATGTGGCCGGGGGCGAACCGGGGGCAAGGAGGCCTGAAGACGAAAGGTCAATCCGGGGACGAAGAAGTGAGCACGGGAGCAGCAGGCTGACAGACAGAGGTCGAGACTCGAGGGTGGCATGGCGCCATCACTGTGTTTGTTTCCTTGCAAAAACAGGTAGCACGAGTAAGCGCTAGAGTGCCCCGTATGAGTGGCTTCTACACACGTTTATATAGATCAACGGCAATCAAAGATCTTGATTACAGAGGCGACGCACTCTGTGGGAATATAACTAGTAGGAATATAAATACAAGCACGTCACAACACATTAAAGCCCATGGCCTCATGCCGTCGGTCCTCACTCCAGGCTCGCAGAAACCTGCGGCGCAATGAAGACAAAGACGTTCGCAGCGTTCTTGAAAGGTTTTGCCGTTGTTTGCTTCCCGAGTGTGTCCTTGAGTGCTGGTATCGGGCCTCAACCCGGTACGTCCCCTCGTATATGTGCTCGTCGATGTTACACGATGCTGTCCAGAAGGCGTGTTCCTTCAGCGGCAGATCTGCAATGATATGAGCAGACAGCGAACAATACCGGAGCGGAGACTGACATGAAAGAGCTTAGACCTTTCACTCTCCCTTCTTCAAGCACACCAGATCCCACGGCACCCAATCCAACTGCGAACTCCGCCGACATTCAATGAGACGTCGTCGAAGCCATGGGACCCCATGCCGCCGAGCTGGTTGCTGGGGAACTGGTTCATCACCTATTCCAACCAAGAGCTGTACCATGTCTTTCGGAATTTCATCTGGACCCTCACGCGGCCTTGTGCGGACGACGTCTGCTACTCGCTCGACGCCACGCACCTCAGCGACCTGGCGTCCTTCCAGCTCGTGAACGACACGCAGAGACCCAACGCCACCTACTTCGGATACTCGCTTGACACCGCCATCGCCGAGAGCGCCTACCACAGCGTGCCCACGGGCTCGCTCGCCTCGCAGAACAACACATACGAAGTCCTCAGCTGGGGCTATGACTCCCTGGGCGCGGCCTTCGTGGTTGTGTATGAGACGCCTGCCATGTCGGAGACGGTAGCGTCCCTGGACATTTTCAGCCGAGACCCTGCGGGGCCGAGCAATGACACTCTGGACGCCATCGAGGCTGGGATTCAAAGGCTGGGAAACAAGAACCTCATTGACTTGTTGACAAACGTGACCAAGACACCGCAAGACGGAGGTAGGGACAACGATCCGTGGCCGTCGTGTAATGCGACGTGTAGGACCAACGGTGCGTGATTTCCCCTTTTCTTCCCTTCTCCCCACCCGATCTCCCTGCTCTCGGATATCGGTAATTCGTGCTGATATCTCACAGCGTATTCCGTGCCACTTTGAGTAGTGTGATCGAGAGGGTAACCCAGGCCAATGGATAAATTGGATTTTGAATGAACGTGATGGGCATGGCGAGTTCAAGACACGTTTCGGCAAGGCAGAGGAAATGATGTACCACAGGTGTGCCGAAAAGATTTGCAGGGTCCTTAGCGAAAGGCTGCCAACGGCGAGATCCAACCTCGTATACCTCCAGTCAGACACACATCTAATGCATCTGACAGGTGAATATAAATCGACATCTGTCTTATAGGTTGGAACAAGTGTTGTCGATCTCTGAAAATCCTCACCATTGTCGTAAGTTGCGCTATCCGTTAATCTTGGGACTCGTCGTTCTTTCCACCTAGTGATGACATGTATCCAACCACTATGTCGACACGGATGGTGACACCTAGCCTAATACTTCATCTCCCGGTCTTCTTTTGCGTCCTTGGTCTCTTCCCGTTTCGCCTTGTGCTCAGTAACCTCTCCTTTCTCAATGGTGACTTTTCCATCTGCCCACTTGTGTTCTAGCTCAAATATAACTAGCTCCCAAGTGAACTCCCTGAGAAGATCCGACATCAAGGGCTCTCCGTCAAGGTTATTGGAAACGGGAGTTTTGTTTGTTGACCTGGCTGTGGCAAGAATGCGTGCGATATCTGGGCGGCTGAGGAACATCCAGTAGTCGACAGGACTGAGGTCTGTGGCGACTTTTTTGATCATTTCAGCATCCGAGAATCTCCCACCCGCACCCACGATCCGATGTCTCAAAAGCTCGAGCTGCTTCACATATTCTGTCACGGTGTGGGATCTCTTTAGCTGCAAATTCTGGATGCTCTTCGTCGCCAATTTGATCACAAGTCCGTCGTCCATCTTGTACCGCTTCTCGAGGTATTTCCAAGCTTCGTGAGCGTCATTGAATTGGTAAAGGCATTCTCTTATTGCAGGATCGACCCAGTATTTCAGAAGCCCCAGGGCAAACATAAGCTTGGCAGAGCCGGCGGGTTCCTGACCATTATTAGCCCTCCCCTGACTGATGAGTTCCCAGACCATTTTGTATTCAGCAATTGTTCGAAAATCGTGGACCCAACGGTTATAGTTCGTGTAACCTGTAAGGCGTTCGAGGCCGGCGCCCGCGTCCGGAAAGAAGTCTGACATGGTGATGGAGATGATAACACAGGGGCAGCAGTAAGAATAGGGTTGTGGTTGGTGACATGAAATAAAAGATAAAGTCAAGTGTGGGATGTTAGAGGAGGCCGACCAACGTGTCGAAGCAGTGACAGTCCGTAGCCAGTACTGCCTGACCGCCTGCGGTCAACAGCCTCGTCACGCTTGGCGTTGAACTGCCTGACCAGTGCAGAATATCCTTTGTGCCAACACAATCCTGGAAACAATTCTCAACCCGTCAACAAAGGGGGTGATAGATTCTGCATGTCACAATCAGACTCATTCTGAACTTGACGAGAGCCAAACTGACAAAGGGATGGAGACTCTCAAGGGTAGGCGAGAGTGTCACGGAGGCAACATCGTCTGGGAATGTCACACGTTCGATCCGCTTATCAAAAGTGAGTTCACCTTCTTCGTTCATGGATGCCTTTTCCAACACCACACAGAGATGGACCAACAAGACTTCGCGCTGGCTAGTAAGCCATGGGGTCAAGCCCTGAGCACAGCTGCACAAGAAGCGAGCCATGGACTCTTGAAACCCTTGAACGGATGTGGTAAGTGAAGCCCCCCACAGGGATGTGAAAATGTTCCAAACCTGTCCCCGTAGCGCTAAGTGATGCACTCAGATTACCATCTCTACTTCCGCAGGGCCGGAGAGGATGCCGAAAAGCTGGCCGAGGCGCTGTTCAAGCTTCAAGCCAACCCTGATGCAAACGAAATAATCCAGTTCATCATTCGCACGAACATCGAGGTGCTGCGCGGATTGCAAGAAGTCTGCCACGATCACTTTAACGTTGTTAGGAAGAAAGCAATTGATGTCATCCAGGTGGATGTCGAATACAGCGGAAAGTATAAAAAGTATAACAAAGCTCAAGTTCGCAAGTTCGTCGAAGAAGTCTGTGGTGCATCCGATGAGCAGCAGCGCTGGGTCAATATCTTAGGTCTTGAAATCAATGTATCAGAGATTGCCCTGAAGCGGCTAAGCATTGCCAAAGAGGCGGCAGGGCTGGTCCATAAGAAGAGGGCAGAGACGATCAGCGATGAGGAAGCGCAAGCGCTGGAAGACCTGTACATCGAGTTCCAAAGCTGGCGGGCTGTGTTGTTACGCTGGGTTTTGCAGCTAAACAAGTTGACTGGCAACGGCGATTTCCTGCGACGCCATCGAAACGAGCTTTGGGATATCGTCGACAGCGAATTGGAAGGGTGAACTGCGTTGAAGCTGAAGGTTGGATAATGGACACGTGTCTCCCTTGCTCACACCATGTTACGCTGGATCACGACTATCGCTGAGAAGGCTGCCCCTTCCGCTCTCTTTCTCCAGAGATTTTGGAAAGACAGGAACAGTGGTTGTGTATCAGGCATTCCTCTGCACTGACAATCTTTGTTTGTGCACTGTGGGAAAGGGTATCGCCAGCAATCAGAGATTGTCTATTGGACATGTTGAGGATTGGAAGGTTCGTTGGGGGTGAAAGGCCACATGACTAGGTAGAATGCATAATACCTCCATCACAAGCAATGCTGAGATACGCAAAAGTTTGATGGGGAAGAGAGAAAGAAAGTCGAAATGAGGTCGCCAGACCTGCCAAGGCTGCTGCTGCCTGGCTCGCTGGCTGCACGAGTCAGGGATCGGAAAAGTTCCCATTTTAAGATAGTTCATGTCACTATACAGTGACGTCATCTTCTATCCCAAGTATGCTGCAAGGCTGGTCGCTGGTAAGCTTTACGAGGTACGGCTCTGGCCGAATGGGATCCTCTTATGGTCCGGAAATCTAGATCGACTTGATTGTTCTGCACCGAGGGGCAGTTTCCCTCTTCCTTGCACCATGGTCTCCGTGTAGTACAACGATCATATGCTCATGAGTACTCGGTACATCTCTGGGCATTCTTCCTGGTAACACGACGTTTAACAGACTCCTACTCGACTACATCAGTAGCGTTTTGCACATTCCTTTTGCACCAGCAAAGGCATCACAGGATCTCGCTTTAGCCTTTAGACAGGATGGGTGGAGCGACAGCTATGGGCCTAATGGGAGATAGTGGCTAGACTCAGAAAAGATAATGGCTGAGACGAGTAGTTGTACCAACAGGAACAGGCTTCCCACATCCGCACATTAAGGTCCAGAAACAAAGTGCAGAGTACAAGCCAACACATCGCAGATCGTACTCCACACAGGAGCTTCAGTAAGAATGCGACCAAACAGGCATCTCACATGTTGCTGCAGGGGAGTCATGGTGGATGGACACAGCTATCCCGCCATGCCACCGGTCGCAATTGTATCTAAGAGTATTAGCAGGGTGCTGGCTCACCTCACACCGAGGAGGTCCAAGCTGTCTCATAAGCAGGACGTCACCCAAAAGTAGCGAGTATGCAACAATAACAATCGCATCTCGAGATAGGAAGTAGCTCGAACAGATGTAGTTGCTTGTAAGCATGCCCTCTCTGTTGTAATCAAGCTCTTGGCGGCTCGTTCAGACACTTTAGATTACCAGAAAACATGGAACAATCCGCAGCGGAGACTGTCGGAATCTGAGCAATAAGCGTGAGGAATGTAGGGCCACAGGTACCTCGTTAGCTGGAGACCTGGAGGAGTGCATGCTGCTGTTCAAGGAGTCTACTCCCCCCTTCTGGCCAATGTCAGAAATAGGAAAGACGATAGATGATGCTTCCCAAGAATAGCCACGTAAGCCGTTGGGGGGGGGGGGGGTAATTGACGATATTTCCTGATTATGGAATATGGAGACAATACTCCAAAATTGTGAACACACTGTAGGCTAGTGCTCCTATGTAGCAGTCTGCGGAGATCGGTCCAGATAATGTCGCAGCAAGCGGGAGAAGCTGGAATTGATAGGCACCGAATGGTCAGCCTTGCTACCTGTGTCCCCTGTAAGACGCAACTGTTTCCATGTCCAAAGCCTGATATGCATATCAGATAGAATGGAGTCTTTCTAGAAGTGGCGAAAGAGAGAATATGACCCGGGATCTGCATTACCCGGAAGGTTGAGACAGAAAAGCCCAGAACCATAGATCAGCCGGGAAAGATTGGACTTGTCGTTGTGCGCTTGTGTGCGTGGCCATTTCTATATAAGCGATTTGGCAACAGGAGACTTGGTTGATAAGACATGGATGTTGAGTCCTTGGTGGATCTCTGCTGTTTGCCGCTGAGAAAGATGTGCAGATCGAAGGAAAGCCATGGGTTGAAACCTTGCAGCCTTGCAGCCTCGGGCGCATGGCGTGGGGGAGCCTCTGATGTCATCCAGAAGAAACGACGCCGCCACCACCACCATCACCACCACCATCACATATTCTTTACTTCGAACTGTTCCTTCTTTCTAGGAAGCCCAGACCATCGGAGCTCCCCTTGTCAGCGGCCGCAACCAACGGCACAAGACACAAAACAACGCAATTTGAGCTTCCGAGTTCAGGCCATGGTCGTGCTTCCTCGAATGGCATGACCCGCTGCCGTTGCCGCCGTGCAATCATCATGCATGAACTCGTTGCCATCGCCGAACAAAACGCACCAATCGGCCATGGCCAGGTTGATATTGGCTATCCCCCCAGACCTGAATCGGGTTAAAAAAGGAGATTAACCCCGCCTTGGGTTCTTTTGCAATTGGCTTTCTATCGACGAGGCTCTTGCCATTCGGACATATCATCACGCGAGCTTTTTTTTTCTTTTCGTGTGCCCTACTTGTTATGCAGAGGGAAAAAAGGGTCCCAAATATCTCCACACAAGGTATATCACTCATCCACCTGTATAGCATGAATCACTCACTCAGCGAATCTTATCGCAACTATGCCATCTGACAACCAAAGCTCACAAACCCAGACCCTGTCCTTCTCAAATATCTTATCTCTGCCATTTGCTTCCGGGGCATCCGCACAGAGAGGAACGGGGCCCAACCTTGTTCTGACTTCGAATTGTCAATGCAACATACTCCCGATCCAGAATAATGCCCGAGTCCAGGGGTAGGTGCCCCGAGAGATGTGCCTCACGAAGGCCCAGATGCTATCCCGCGTTACAGCCGGGCTGTGGAGGCGGATTCGATCCATGCAATCCTTGCCTCTTATTTCCACAATTCTCTTTCGTTGTCTTCTTATCTTTGGAACGTCTTGTAATGTCTCGACTCACTTGACGTCCTGGTAGCTGCAGTTCTTGGACGTCATATTGGTGCACGTCCCTCTTTCCACACCCTTGGAAACAGCTTAAAGATACGGGAACATCAAGATGGACATTGACGTGGAGAAGAAGCAGGAGTCTATCCCTGGGATCGTGGCTCCTAGCCAGGAATTTGGTCAGATCGTCTCCACCCAGGAGAAGACGTCTTTCTTCGCCCGTATCATCGATGGATTTCGCGAAAATCCCATGTCTTCCGCTCCATATGATATCGCAAGCAAACAGGATCCTAACGGGATACGTTGTATTTCGATAGCGCCCGCGTTTCTGAGTTGCTTGTCGATGATAACGGAAAGCCGCTGCCCAACCAGCCACCAGCACAGCCGGCATTGGTCATGAAACTCAAACAGCGACACTTACAGATGATTGCCATTGGCGGTTCAATAGGAACTGGTTTGTTCGTCGGGTTCGGGCTCAGCTCTTGCGACAGGCGGTCCGGCGGCTCTTGTCATAGCATATTGCACTCTTGGGATCATGATCTTTTGCACTGTCCATGCCTTGGGAGAGATGGCAGTCTTGTAAGTAATCACGCTTGACGGGGAGCACGGCGCTGGGTTACCTCAAAGGCGACCTACACTGCGACGCTCTCTGGTCTTTTTCCTCCTGATCGGGTCAGCGTGCTGATGCAGAGATCGGGAAAACGACAGATTTCCAGTTGCCGGCTCCTATTCAGCGTACTCATCCAGATTTCTTGATCCGGCGTGGGGTTTTGCAATGTCTGTACTCCCTCACAAACCGCAGCCCATTTTTGCTGTACTAACGCCATGTCAGGGGATGGAACTATGCCATGCAGTGGCTCGTTACTCTCCCGATCGAGATCATGGCTGCCAGTATCACTTTGAACTACTGGCAGGGTGCACGAGATGTCAACCCATGTGTCTGGGTTACCATCGTCTACGTTGTGATCGTCTCAATAAATCTGTTTGGTGTGAAGGGATACGGAGAAGCAGAGTTCGTTTTCTCGATTGTCAAGGTTGTCGCAACGCTAGGATTCATGTGGGTCAATCCTGTCAATTCTGTGTTGACGGGCAAAAGCTGACTTCAGATGCCAGAATATTCGCCTTGGTGGTCGACGTCGGCGGGGGTCCCACCGGCGATTATTTTGGAGCCAAAACATGGGGCGATCCAGGGGCCTTTGCATATGGCTTCAAGGGAGTTTGTTCGGTTTTCGTGACAGCCGCGTTCTCGTTTGGCGGCACTGAATTGGTGGGTTTTGGCGGCAGCCGAGGCAGAAAATCCACGTCTGGCGCTCCCTACAGCCATCAAGCAAGTGTTCTGGCGGGTTGTTCTGGTAAGTTTGATCTAGAGAATGCCGACGTGGTTTTGGCGCCGTGGCTAACGATTGCTGCACCAGTTTTATATGATTTCCTTGACATTCATGGGGTGCTTGGTCCGGTGGGACGACCCGCGACTTCTCAACAGTGGCAACAGCGCAAATTACTGGACATCGCCATTCGTGCTGGCCATCAAAGTAAGTAGTCCTCCAGCGGGCGATGACGTCGCTGGAGATGATGGATGCTAACAAGCCGTCAGAATGCGGGTGTCGGGGGCTTGCCCTCGGTCTTCAACGCTGTCATCCTCATTGCGGTGCTGAGTGTCGGCAACGCATCTGTATATGGCGCATCACGCACCCTGGCGGCCCTTGCCGACAATGGCCAGGCGCCGAAGATCCTTGGCTATATCGACCGAACGGGCAGACCGCTCGTGGCCATTCTCTTCTCGTCAGCACTCGGGGCTCTTTGTTACATTGTCGGGGTTGAAACCGTCGCAGAGACAAGAAGCATGGAACTGGATGTTTGCCGTCAGCGGTCTGGCCAGCATCTTTACCTGGAGATCCATTTGCCTGTGCCACATTCGATTCCGCCAGGCCTGGAAGTCCCATGGTCATACCCTAGACGAACTGCCTTACAAGTCTCAGGCAGGCGTGATTGGATCATGGATCGGCTTTGGGTTCAATTGCCTGGTGCTGGTGGCTCAATTCTGGACGGGATTTGCCCCGGTAAGTTCCTCTCATCCCAACATCAGAGCTGACGTCTTTTGACTGGCCGTCACCTGGTGGCGTATGACTGTGCCTCTGACGCACCGAGGATCTCTTGAATCGTTGGAGCAATGCGACTGACTTTTATTTTCCCACCACGCAGATTGGCTACGGGAAAATGTCATCATCTGAAAGGACCAAGATTTTGTTCGAAGGGTATTTGGCAGCTCCGGTGGTTATTGCATTCTACCTTGGATTCAAAATCTGGAAGAGGACTCCGATTCGACGCGTCAAGGACATCGACGTGGTGTCTGGTAGACGAGAGATCGACCTGGAACACATCTTGGCAGAGGAACGCGCGATCCGAGCAACGTGGCCGTGGTGGAAGAGGACGTGGAACACGTTTTGCTAGCGGAACGGGCTGGAAAGGGTATGTCAATGCGCACAAGGCTATCGAGGTCCTCGTGGGGACACGCGGAGAGATGGTTCACTACGCAGCACTAAAGAGTTTAGTTTGAAACCTGAGGCCGCAGGCAAGGAATGCCAAGAGACGGATGGGCAACGGTAGGGGGAAGCCAAGAGAAGGTTTCCTCATGATCGGAGTAGGTAGGTAGGCATGGGAACATCGAAAACATCCCAAACGGCAAGAAAAGGGCGAAAACGTGGGACCCCCATCGCCCCTTCGCCCCTTCACAGCGCCGGGGAGCGAATGACAGGGAATGAGCATTCAGCCATCGATCTTGGCTCGGAGCTTTTCTTTGCCATTCTGGCCATCTGATTGACACAAAATCGCCCAGGCGAGGAATTAGGCATTGCGCATCGCATCAGCACTGCCAAGGCCATTACGTGCGCCTTGAGAGGACTCACCTCGGCGAGCCAGCGGAGGGCCTTGTTCGTAACCATGACTGGTCTGAAATCGCTGAAAGTCGGACAAAGCGCGGAGGGTGCAGTAATATGTCCCGACTCCCCAGTCCGCACTTCGAAGGCGAAAAGAAGAGGAGAATGCCTGTCCCTGCTTTCGTGGCGTTCTTGTCCTCTGTTCTTTCTCTTCTTGTAGCGAGCAGTCTTGATCGACACGTGCCGCAGGTGGATGGAAAGACAAGAACCGCAGACCAGAGGTAGAGGCAGAGGTAGAGGCAGAGGTAGAGGCAGAGGCAGAGGTAGAGGCAGAGGCAGAGGTAGAGGCAGAGGCAGACCAGAGGCAGACCAGAGGCAGACCAGAGGCAGACCAGGGGGGAGCGGGGGCTGGTGGCGGATGATTGGCCTGCTTGCTGCTTGCTTGTGCTTGGTGGTGCCAGGGCCAAACAGGGCTCCTGGGCTCCTGGGCTCCAGGGCTCCAGGGCACTACCACACTATTAAGGGGGACGCGCGGCGCAGGTGCTGTGCGTCGTCAGCCTCCCAGCACAAGCTGCCGTCCGAATCCCCCAGAATTGGCACTGCACCCTGGACCGTGGTTGACAGTAGTGACAGTAGTGACAGTAGCCTCCTCGGGGGGCCAACTGGGCAACACTGGGCCAATCCAGCGCCCGCCCAAGTCCTCACGGCCGTCGCTCCTTTTTCTGCCTGGCCACCGTCCGTAGGTAGGCGATAGTCCACGTCGGCCTCCCAGTGCCCACCGCTACCCTTTCCAACAGTGAGTAAGTGAGTAGGTGTGTGAGTGAGTGAGTGAGTAAGTGAGCGCGCGTGTGTGCGCCTAGTAATTGCTTGGAGGCTCACGCAATCTTCGTCCACGTACCACAGCCCATTGCGCACTGCACCATCCTCACCACCTCACTGTCGCCTCTTCTTCCCTCATCCTCCTCCTCCCCTCCTCCTACTACAATACTCGGCACCTTGCTGTCTTGCTCTCTAGACCGTGTCGATACTTCTCAATCGCTCTTGCACCGACTTGCTCTCTCGACCTAGCTCTGGGTGAATGGCCTATCCCTGGAACTGATTGTGGCGAGGCAACTGGACTCGGGCTGTGCTCCGGCGACTGCGCCAGTTTGTCACCAGCACCCTTGTATCAGATTGATTTGATCAGATCAGATTGAACCCTTAGCACCCTCTGCTGCCCGGCTTCTCTCTCTCGTCGCCCTTGAGCCTCGAGCCTCTCCTCTCTTTCCGCTCTTCCTCTCTCCCGCCTTCCCTCTCCTCTTCCTCTCGTCGCCCCATTGACTGCACCCAACGAACTGCTCTGCAGCCATGGCGGGGAACGCGCGGCCGCGCATTCTCGACGACGAATTCGACTTCAACGCTGCCGACCTCTCGAAACAGTTCGAACAGTTGCTACGAACAAGGAGGTTAAACGAACTCGAGGAACAAGCAAGGACTCCTCGCTCTGCGTCACCCCATCTCGCACCTCCCACGTCGTCGCACATCACACACCCCCCGAACTCCGCACCCTCGTCCGTGGCGCCCAGTTCTCTCTCGTCGCAACACCACCCGCCGACCTACACCAACTTCCGCAGTTATCCAATTGTCCCTTCTCCGCCACAGGATGGTCCGTCCCTCAAATTCCGAAATCTCCTACTCACCTTGTCCATGACCCCCGTCAAATATGAAAATCCCGGCCTGCTGGACGAGGCATTAACACACGTGCCCATTGACCGAATCTATGTCGAGGCCGAAGAGGAACACAATCTGCTGAAAGCCCTAGCGGCCTCCAAAGGTGACAACGTCAAACCAGAATGGGGTTACCAGGACTGCGTCATCAGATCGCTGCTCAGGTACGTCGTTGCGAGCTGTCTTCCTTGGCTGGCTGAGTTTCTAACTTGATCTGTAGGTGGTTTAAGCGGTCCTTTTTCGCCTTCGTCAACAACCCTCCCTGCTCAAGGTGTCATGGTGCCACCATCGCCCGGGGTCAGACGCCCACCACCCCGGACGAAGTCGCCCGTGGAGCGACAAGAACCGAGCTTTACCAGTGCACGAATCCTGGTTGCCAGGCCTTTGAAAGGTTTCCTCGATACTCCGAGGTTTGGACGTTGCTGGAGACTCGGAGAGGGCGGGCAGGAGAGTTCGCCAACTGTTTCAGCATGCTGTGCCGTGCCGCCGGCGCCAGAGTACGATGGGTGTGGAACAGTGAAGATCACGTATGGACCGAGGTTTATAGCGAGCACCAACGGCGGTGGATCCACGTCGACCCTTGTGAAGAGATGTGGGACAATCCAAGAGTATATACGGAAGGTGAGCACACTTCATCCCCCCGTCGACTTCAAATCGCCGTTGTTCTGACGCAACCCCTGTCCAGGCTGGAACCGAAAGATGGCCTACTGTATCGCCTTCTCCAACGACGGAGCCACCGATGTCACCCGTCGATATGTGCGCAATTCTCGTTATCACCTCCCTAGAACTCGCTGCCCGGAAGAGGTCCTGCTGTGGATCATGCACGAGATTCGTAAAATCCGACGCGAGAACATGGACAAGCACGTGAGGAACCAATTGATGCGGGAAGACGAAAGAGAAGAGCGGGAGCTCCGCAGCTATGTCGCGCAATCCTTGGCCAGTGACATGATCAACTCCATGCCCGGGTCGATCAATGCTGAACGACCCGACGAGGTGAAACATCCGGTCGACAGACAACAAGAGGCCGCTGTTCAATGGTCTCAGCAACACATGGATCAGTCGGGCCATCGGTAGCAAGGATGATGCTATGATTCCATGTCGCTGGGGCAAGATAATTCGACATCCTGTTGCCCTCTCTGCCATTCCCTTTGTCATCACCCTACACGATAACGTCGTTATGCTTGATCTGATGATACCATTTTACAACTAGTCGAGGAGTAATTACAGCTTAAACACGGCATGCAACATTCGAGGCGTTGGGGCAAGTCAATACTGCATTTTACATGGACGCAAAACCACGACCAAGGGATACGGGAGGCTCGCTACATCTTTTCATGTGTCAGGGTACGGCAAGGGTTTGCATTTGATTACTGCTACGATCAACCACCAGAGGCATTGCTCCTTTTATGGTTCGACGGCGTTCGACGGCGTCACGTGCTACACGAGCGAGAGAATTATGGGAAGCATTCATCTGCGTGTTTTTGAGAGCTTTGCGGAGTAGATTGCACGGTCCAGCGTGTTCTTTTGGAAGAAGCTGGAGAAGATCTCGCCGCGCGTCGCCACAGCATTTGGAAAGATGTTCTGAGGTTGTCGATTTGAGCGGCAGAAGGAAGCGACCTGGAAATAAAATGTGGTTCCAATGTATCGATGGGCCACGTGTGTAGAGACAGAATCAATCAATCGGCATTGAACTGTCACGTCGTGAAAAGGATTTTCCCTCCTGCACCTTTGTCTTGTCCGGTTCGTGGATGGGGAAGACGCAATCCACCGCCCCATGCCAAGCACATGGTACGTACTCTAGACTCCATTCAATGTACCAGGATCGAGGATCGGAAATGGAGCATCGGCCGGACAAAGGCGTCGTAATTCAGACCGGCGGAATTCCGGGCTAATTTTCTCTACCTACCCAGGTACGGTACGTGTTGGTACGTACCATGTCCAACATGTCCTATTACTATTGGACTCTGGTCCGTCCGTGCGTCCTCGTCTGGATCGGCCATTTGATTCCCCAGGATGCCTGCATGCAGAGATGTACTCCCGAATGGTCTCTCTGGGAAATTCTCCATTGGGGCCTTTTCCGACGCGCACGACGAGCCCACAGATGTGGTACAGATTAGTACGAGGCCCGAGGTTAAAATACTCCCTCAGGACCCAGGTCAGCACCTATGTTCTAGTAAGTATACGCGCTGTTGGTGTGCCGTCGATGTACCGTTGCACCCTCGGTAGGTACCGGTACGCGGTACTTTTATAGGGCATCGGCCCGGCACCAGGCGTCCCGGCCTGTCGTCCTCTGTCATATGAGTACCTATGTACATAGGCACTCGTATTCTGGGCGCCGCGTTGGCGCCCTCATCCTCGTTGGTGATGGCCCCGGCGAGAGTCATGCTCATCACGCGCCGCATTCCCTTGAGGACGGGGATAGGAAGGCGGAAGGCGTATGTAGGAGGGCACGATGGGATGGGATGATATGATACGAGATCGCATGAACGGTACCCGGTACACCGAACACGTATTGTATGCACCCCACGAATACGTACTCCCACCGCAAAGCGGTCCTTGGACTATCTGTCCCATGCGAGAGCCTACGAGTGCAGACTACTGCGTAGGTTAGCCAGCTAGGTATGTACATAGCTTGGTACATACATAGCTCAGTGGGATAGGTTACGGAGATTGTAGCTCAAGGATCGCCATTCGCACGTCGCCAATCGCAAACCAGCGGCGAAAAGTTGACGCGGGCTTTGACTACGAGGACCCAGGACTCGCAAGAGTACCACATTCCAGGCAGGTAGGTACATGGAGGTACGAAAGTATTATAGGGTACTCAGGCGAAGCTCGACAACGGCTAGCTTGAGAATATGTCCATTGTCCGTATTCATGAGGGTCAGAAAATGACCTCCCTGTCCTCGTACGCGATCGGCCGCTGCGCGTGTAAAAGCTGCAGTGGTTGGGCCTGAGGACCTGTTGACGAACGAATTGCTTTTTGGAGTGCTTCCTCTTTGCCCATTCCCCACCGACTCTCTATATAGATCTCTGATTGTAGGGGGGCAGAAATGGATAGTTTTGAACGTGGATTGGTCCACAATCCAGGCGACAGAATTTTTCCTTGGCTACCGTGCGCATCAATCCCCATCTGTCTAATGTCTCATTCCACTCAGTAACTGCAGGTGCAGACTCTGACTCGGTATCATTAGTGTCGGATTCACACATCCCAATCTTGCCCATCATCGAAGCGAGGTGGCAGCTCCACATCAAACATGGGCCGCTCGACGACGATGACTTCAATGTTTCCGCCGGGGTTTTCGTCCACATTTCCCCTCGCATTGCCATCTTGCTCCGGCTTGTTGCCTTCAGCCGTGCGCACGTCAATGGTGGCGTAGCCGGTGTCGGTGTTGGTGATGTGAATCCTCGTAGGAGATGGCTCTGCAGGTCCAATCACTTCGATCCCCAGGATTGAGTGATATTCGAAGGTATACCAGTACATCCTGGGACATTTCTGCGCGGACACTGAGGTTGTCGTCTGCTCATCCGTAACCACTTCAGCCGCCGCCGCAGATGCACTTTCACCTCGTCTCATCAGGGCTAGGACATCGTCTTGCCTTTCGTCCTCGTCCAGTTCATCGTCCAGGTCCATCTCGTTTGCAGTGTTATTGGTGTCGAGATCAATCATCTCCGCATCGTTGCCTGAGGCGTCCTTGAACCTGCGTGATTCAATCCCAATATCACCCTCACGGTCTTTGAGATGGATCTCGTCTCCGGCTCCAGTGCCGCGTTTGCGCTTCCGTCTTCTTGTGTTGTGGCGCTCCCGCTTTTCATTGCGAACCAGTTCGGGTAGTGTTTGTCCTTTCCGGTTCTGGTCGTCCCCTTTCACGACATGTTTGACCACTTCGTATCTCCCCAATCGTCCAGTTTGTTCGACTTCTCCCTCCCCCAAATCATTGGTTGCCCCTTTCGGACGGTCATCGTCTCTCAGTAAATCTCGAGAGACATCAAACATGAACATCCAGACTGATCCATACAGCCACAATCTTTCTCCTCTCGTCGCCCTATCATTGCAATCCCAGAAACAACCCACAACCCGATCTTTGATTCTGGTGAAATCATGGGGCAGAAACTTTGAGGGATTCCGTCGTGACCAGTCGCTTAGCTTTGCGGTGGAAATATCGAATTCCACAAGTTGATGTTTCGCAGTGACAGCCATGAGCTTTGTGTTCGCTTCGTCAAGAGGTTCGTGGCTGACTGCGTGCGGGTTGTGGCGCGTGGCGTGTAGACCCAGGTTAGTACCAAATGACGGTCTCTTGGGAATGATTTGCGATGGTCGGAACGTGAGTGCAAGGATTGAGGAGTCAAGTTGTGGGAGACTAGAACCAGAGGGGTTGCGCATCCATTTTTGGCCGTGGATTATGGGGGAAGATGAGTCGTCGTCTTCGTCGTCCGATGTAGTAGATGAGGTGGAGGATGCAGACGAGTCAGAGGGATCTGAAGCAGCATCGTCGACGAAGTGGACGTCTTCGTAACCTTCAAGTACCCAGACGTCAATGGCACCGGATAAATCTCCCACAGAGAGCACGCGGCTATCGGTGGAGAATGCGACTTGCTTGATAAGTTGGAGGTAACTACCCAGGGCAGACTTTGTTGTCTTTCGGGGTTGCCGGTAGAGCTTGACGATTTTCTCGTGAATCACGGGACGGTCCTTTGGATCGTTCGAAGGCAGAATCTTTACCATGACCAGGGCGTTATCTTTCCTTACACAGTACAACCACTTGCCGTCAGGAGAGAAGCCCACTCTCCGTGCGCCTAGGCGGGCGACCGAAGGAGGAAGTTCAATCTGTCGAGTTCGGAGACATGGTTTCCCTGAGACATGAGTCTTTCGTAATTGAAACATCTTGACGTTGTTGGTGGTCGCTGCCACGACCAATCGTCCATCTCGAGAGATCTGTGCATCTTGAATGCTCTGGTCGCCCTGTAAGACAAGACTTGTGAGTGTTTCATAGCGTGATTCCGCTGTTCCGTCGGGGCCCAAATCAGCCTCTGGCAGATTCGAAAATTTGCGGACATGGTAGACCACGATCTCGCGATCCCACCAGGAAATGAACATCCTTGAGATCGGAGATGCCGAAATCTGTGATTGTTGAGGGAGATGTGGAAGGGCACGATGATACTCGGTCTGTGAGTGGCGAATTGGGACGATGACAGGCTGAGCATCCATGCCGCCCGAGACCAGAATACTCAATTCTTTGCTCTCAAAGCTAGCTGCACATTTGACGTCGTGTTGATGGAACCGTTTATGGGCGACTTCGGCCCACCTTGTCCTTTGTGTTCCAGAATGAAGAGGGGCCATCCGGTAGGTTACAGTTCTCCGATCAACACCAACCGAAAAAATGGCGTCTCCAGAAGCACTCGTGGCAATATCGAGGATATCGGCTTTGTGACTTTTCAGACGTTGGACCAAGGAGTAGTTCTTTGAATCCCATATCTTCAATTCCCCCGATGAATCGCCAGAGAGGATTGCTCCACTGGGCAGGCATTTGACAGTCCATACGACAGAGTTATTGCCCTCTACTGGTTTCCCCAGGCTCATGTTCCGTATGATTCTTCTGCTCAACACATCGATGACACGAATCGTGCTGTCTTCACACCCGGCGAGCAGGGTGTTGCGGTCGCGCCATACGAGGCTAAGTACTTTGGGTTTCTTTACTGGGAGTTGTACCAGGGGTCGAAGGTAGCGTAGGTCATCGTCCTCGGTAGAGAAGAGAATTATCGTCCCGTCAGAGCATCCAGCTGCCAGTAACTGTGACCCTGCGCCGCCTTTGAGTGCTTCTGGACTTTCGGCATCTTCAAGCTGGGGTTGCGCAGCAAAGCACCAGATATCCCCAAAATTTCCTTCCGCCTTGCTTCTAGGAGCACCTGTACTTAGATCCCACTCTGTCACTGAGGTTGACCCGCCAGTACTGAAAAGGCGTAAAGGGCCCCTTGAAGTCTTTGGCGCGTTAGAGTCGTTTTCCTCTTCGCATAGGAGGTCTTGAGTCCAGGCGAGTTGTTCGATCGTGGTGTTTTTGCTTCCTCTTAGAATGGTTTCCTGCACCCAGAGGCCACTTCTAGGATCCCATATTTCAATGTCGCCGTTGTTGCGACCCAGGGCCAGGCGCAGTTCGGAAGGTGTTTTTCTCTTTGGATTGGAGGAGTGGGAAAATGCAAGAGCGTTGATGGGTTCTGGAGGATACTGCACGAAGCGGCACCTGTGAATGTCCATTGTGTGGGGTCTGACAGTCACAGCATCGATATCATGGTGTCATTTGTGTTTGAGAACTTGAAAAGCACTCGACAACATCATTCTTTTGCTGTGCGAAGCCAGCTCTCTGTCGTTCGACACTAAATCTTTCACGGACAGAAAAAAAAGTTTCGCAGTCGGCGATAATAGGCGCCGACGAGCGTTATCGATAACGCCCACCAGCCTGCGCCCCTCCCCATTACCCTCCCTGTACCCAGCGAGCCAGTACCCCAGTACCCTCCTCGCCTCACATCGCTCCGCACCCGCACCCTGCCTGCTTGCCGCACCCTCGCTGGAAGTCTTCCTCCCATTTTCAGCCAGCTGTTGCTCTATCTTTCACGCCATTGAACTTCAAAAAGAAAAAAAGAAAAAGAAAAAGAAAAAGAAAAAGAAAAACAAAACACTTGTCATAGCCATGTGTCTAGCAGCACATCCTTCTACCAAACATACCACTGCCACATGAACAGCGCATCCCTCCCTGACTTCGTCGAGACCGCTTGCATGTACCTTGATGACAAACGAGACCATGATCTGCAATACATAAATCCCTGGAGCCCTGGCAAGATCGTCGCCAGTAGACAGACAGCACACAATCAATAGGGGCGTCACTGAGGTCCAACTGTCAAAGATTCGGTCTGCTACATAATTAGGGCTGATAGATGGCGCGGTTGCTGCCGAACTAGGCAAGCGAACAGGCCGAAGCAGCAGGTTTCTGGGCTGAGTGCTGGAGGCCGTTGCGCTTCTCCCGGCTACTTGAACCCAGTCCTCAGACCCTCGCTTCGGTTATCGTGAGACCGCCTTGCTGCGGCATGTGCTTGTGTCGTCGTCTCTCACGCCGTTAACACTCCGGAGACTGGAATAAGCTAGCAAATGGACGGCACTGTCAGGAGCCGACGACAGTACCACCCTTGCGACGACCTATCTCCATCCTGCAGTATCTCATCATTGTCGTGGAATCTTTTGAGCGCTGCTCATGTCCTTTTGAGGGAGCCGGAATCCTCGATTTGGTCTGAAATATTAAGCCCGACGCATCTCGCTTGCCGCAACAGGCCTTGTTTCGACTGACCGCCGCCTACCAGGCTTGAACAATCCTCAACCGAGGACTTTGGAGTTCTTGGACCCTTGGTCATCAATTCGCAAAATCCGAGGATCACCACGAGAGAGCCTTTCATCTGTGCTCTCCTCGACTTACGAACATATTCGGTTGCTGTTCTCAGGCTATGGTCGCCGGTTGATTACCTCTCACCTTGTGGTGGAGTGGAAAGCGCTGACTGCGAAAAATCGATCTACTCAATATGAGCGTTGACGCTCGACACTAGGAGCGCCATGCCGACCCTGGTAAATTATAATCAATCAACCTTCAAGGATCATGCGAAGCCAAACAAACGTCGCTTGCAAGAACTACAACACTCTGAAGCCCGAGCTCACGCTGCCCGGGTGGCGTATTGGCGCAAGAAAGGCATTCCCGTGACCAAGCCGGTGCCGCCGCCGCGCAGAAGGAGCGACAAAATTAGTGAGGGAGATTCCTCATCGAAGGAGCCATCCAGCACTGGAGCCAATATCAAGCAGGAGTCAGAGAGGTCTGATGATATCTTCCTTCAATGGAACTGTAGCCCATCTGCAGGCGCGGTCGTTGCGAGCGACCCATTGTTCGCTACAGATGTTGATCGTAAATCAGAGAAAAAATACGCACCAGGCAGCCAGTCTGGCTCAATTTCAACAATATCTTGTCCAACTCCGACCTCGAGCAAAGAGAAATGGCGCCGTCGATCAGAAACTGCCTCATCACACGAAAGCAGTCAAGGAGCTATTTGTGACCTGCCGGCCGATCTAGTCCGACTCGCTCGCCATCCGACTTCGCTCTTATTTGACCCGTTTGACTCTGTACCAGTCCGACAAGGCGATGAGGTTGTCACAGCTATGGATCACTGTATCATCTCCCCTGTCTTGCTTCCACAACTTTTATTGACGAGATTCAGATATCCACAACTGGGCGCCTTCGCAAAGACCTGGTTTGAAATACCAAACCAAAGACAATCCTCTTATCCGGGACGCTTTCCCTTCTGCTCTACAAAACGTAGAGCTCTTCGAAGCGACTGTGGCGCTTTGCCTGAGTTTTAGAGCAGCGGGTCAAAACTTTCAGAAACGGATTTGCAACTGGTCGCTCTATCACAAAGGTCAGGCGCTCAGTGGAATACGGACCAAGTTGAACTCGGGGTGCGTTGACGAAGCTGTTATTCTGGCAACAGTCTTCCTCATGATTATTGACGTAAGGCCTGACTGCCCCGATTGGATCAACCTCGTTAACAAGAGCAGAACGTATTCTTGGATGTCGTTGCCTACGCAGCGCACTTGAACGGTCTCAGAAAAATGATCAAAGCAATAGCCCCAAGTACTATGGAGACATTTGGAGGTACTCTTTTGTCTTTCATATCCTGGTATGTGTCACAGTTACTCGGGTCTGTAATCTAAACGAGATCTGACGGGGCTGCAAAAGGGCCGAATCCAATGCTTTGCTGATATTTGGCGATCGCGTTGCCCCGCATGACCCTACCTTTGACCGCGCTCAGTTACAGTACCCAAGTCAGCCATATCCGCCGGCAATAATAAAGACGGTTGCCGCTTTGACCGTGGGGTTTCAATCCGTGGCCGCGGATGGTCACCTGTCTAGTGACGTCCTCTCTATTCTTGCAAATACGATTCGTTGGACAAAGTGCATCGACCGAGAACCAGGGTCCGAGGCACCGTCGGAGGATGATCAAGCGTTCCTAATGAGCTTTGATCCCCGCCTCCACAGTGCCCAAATTATGAGATTATGTCGACTTTCCAACGAGGAACGGAAAGTGGAGAGAGCAGTCTGCAAAGCGCTGTTCATCTATCATGCAAACCTCTTGGGCTGGACCTGTCGTTGTTCAGGATACCGTCGCATTGTCGAAGAACTTGGAGACGCGCTACGTTGCTGGATATTCGAAGAGGCGTGGGCCAGAGATCTATGCGAGTGGCTCGCCCTGCTGACGGCGAATGCGGCACGGCGAGGCCGGTTGGATTACTTGCAGATGGAAGTGATGGCCAAGTTTGTGGCCTGCGAATACCCGGCGCGGGGATGGGAATCTGTTCGAGGAGGGCTGAAGAAATTCTTGTTGCACAGTAGATTGGAGCGCGAGTGGAAACAGTGTTGGGAGACGGCAGTGATGTCAGGAGCGGGATAATGCATGCAGCTGCATGTTGTGCGGTTCTCACACTTTGTATTCTACACGATCACTTTATCAGTCATTTTCATGACTGTAACGTCCTTGTATACACCATGGACAGTTTGGAATTGTGCATTCTCCATGAGGCTGGATTGCCTCCTCTTCAGTTCTCTTCACCTTCCTAGCAGCGACGTGGTATATGTATTAACACACTGGCTTACAACGGTCAGCGAGCCTCAATGCATTCATTTGGACAACACCCGTGATGATCATAGTAAAATTAGGAGAGCCTTCCTACGCCATTGCATGCTTTCGTTCTGGCTAATGTTAAATACTCGGTTTGCAGACGTTTATGTTGAAGGTGCCTGCAATTGAGCCTATTTCAGGGCCCTCGTGCAGCACTCTTCACTGTTTCAAGAGATCCGTAGGATTGCACAAGAAAAGAAGGGCCCCGATGGAACAGAGAGTTCTAAGCTGCGAGGTTGGCTACATATGGAATCAGCGTCTCGAAAGAACGGGGAGGGAGGAGTCGACCACTTCATGTACAGGATGAGAAGAGCCCCCGCCGACATATCCGAAGTTATCGCTGGGTGACAATGACAAGTTCCAAGGATAGATGTGCTGGCGAAGTCAATGGGCACGATCAATCTATGCTTAGTATGCTCTTCTGCTCTCGCTGATTGACCGTCTCAGCTGTGGTAGTCTCTCTCACCCAGAAAATGGCAACCATCTTACGCCGAGTAATAATGATTAACCATCATAGACTACTCCCATCACAGGAAACCCCTTGTTTCGAGTCCATCGGCTGTAGCCCGTAGATAGGAAAAAGTGTCTCTCGACTAGAGTGTCCTCGTCGGGCATGCTACAGTAGTGTTTGTTCTACAAGGTAAATCTGTCTTGCCATTAGTAGCGACTGCTGATGTCGGACAGGTTTCCAAGGGAATCGATATCTGATTTTCCTCTCGGCTCGGTTGCTCTCTCTCCCGATAACAGGATGAGCTTCTGCAGTATTTCAGTGCCTGGCAAGCGGCACTCATGATTGCACAGAGTAAACAGGCAGGGGCTCACATCTTGAGTGGAAACGGACTCTGGAGCGGTCAAGATTCGTGTGGGGAATTGTCTGTACAGGTGACATTCCTACATGCAAATAGGGTCGCTGGTACCAAACTCGGAAAGATATCCAGTTCATGCAGTCATAGTTCAATTGATAATTTGAGCGAGTGTTTTTGTGTGTCGAACGTTAGTTTAAGCTGAGCTTTTGGGCCTACGGTGAGCCTCCCTGAGCCCAGAGTAGGGAGCCAAATCTGGCTCGCTGGCTCTCTTCACGTGACCGCCTAAGTAAACTCCAAGTACCCAGTACTGGGTACGCGTCGGACGGACTGGGGAGATGCACGTGCTGCACGTGCCCTGCAATGGCGGAGCTTCGGTGTATTTAGCCGGCAGGGTCCGACGATTGGTTGATCGCGAAAACGCCCTAGCCCCTCAGCAAGGCACCTTGACAGTCCGGAAGTCAATCCTCGTTCCCTTCTCCGTCTCATTTCTCTGATTCTGCGATGTTGCCCTCCATGTGTTATGTTGTATTTGGTGCTTGATCTTGACACACCCTATTACGGCCTCATCAAGCGCGTTTGATGCCTATGCCCTGGAGATTACGCGCAAAATGAGCGACGACAAGACCTCCCCGTAAGTCCGACCTTGTTCACTCATCTGTTAGGGCGTCTCTCTGAACAACTCAAACAGGACTGAGGGAAAAGTCGTCAAAAGAGCGTGTACGGAATGTCGGCAGCAGAAGGTATGGATAAGACGCGTATCTATCGTGTGCGCAGCAACTAATTGAAGGCCGCTGGCTTGAAAGGCTCGCTGCGATGCATATCTTGATCCTGACCAACCGTGTACACGATGTCGGAAGATGAACAGACAGTGCATCATTTCGGAGCCTTTCAAGAGAGAACATAAGCGCAAGTATGCACAACTGCCCCATCTCATATTGGCACTGGGCCTATGTTGATCTAGAGTGCAATTACAGGAGACTGTCTGAGCTTGAGCTTCGCACCGACGAGCTTCAGGAGCGCCTCAGATCATCGAGCCATCACCCCGAGGCGGCGGCGACTGTGCCCCAGTCGTCTTGGGCGGCTGTTAATGACCTGCGGACCGTCAACGCCGAGTCCGAAAGTCGTCTGGCGTCGGTCGCACCTTTCTTTAGAGACGCCGCCATTGCCCCAGTCTCATTTCGATCGTTTTCTCAAGCGGCCGCCGAATCTCTGCAGACTCCGGAAAGTCTCGCTCATGACTATCAACCCGCAGGCAGCACTTTGCCACGGTGTCTGGAAGGACAATCCGTCGATTCTAAGGATATCGACGCGATGTTTCGGCTGTAGGCATGTTGAGCGGCATCATGGATGACCTTCTAAACTTTTCCCAGGTATTTCCGCGACTACGCCAGTCTTGTTCCCATTCTCGATCCTACGATTTCACCGAATGCATATTACAACCTCTCTCCCTTACTCTTCTGGGCCATAATCGGCGTCTCATGCCGTACCTATTCTAGAAACCCGACGCTCATTTCGGTCTTGCCAGCCAAGATCAAGACCATGGCGCTGATGTCGCTCAACGCGACCATCACTTTGCCCGTCGTGCAAGCGTTACTTCTGATCTTGTATTGGCCCTTCCCAAAATCAGGCAACGGACACGACATGACCTACCCGCTTAGTGCCGCTGTGTTACACATGGCAATGCAAATTGGATTACATGTGCCGGTCGCAAGTCACGAGTTCAGCAAAATTCCGGTCAAACTGACTGAAGACGAACTAAAAATCCGTGCTGAGACTTGGGGATATTGTACACTTGTCTATCAACGGTATGCTCTGGATATCTCGACCACCCCGTATTGCATCGACTAATATTTGCTTTCAGTGGTTGCTGTTTCAAGGGAAGCCCGCCAACGCCGATGCTCGATGTGCCACACGACCTCGAACAGCGGCGGGCATTGTTTCAGAGGATATCGCCGAAACTGAAGTTCGAGCTGAAACTACAGGATGTAGTCACGAGATGCTGCATTGCCGCCTCGCAGAACGGGCTCTGGACAATGACTGCTGATCAGGAAAGGTCGCTGGACACGTTGTTGAATGTCTTCCAGGCGCAGATTTCCAGTGTCGCGCTGGAAGACTCTTCCGGTGAAAATCAATCTCATCGGTCTCTTACTGGGCTAACTGTCTTGCAGACCTTGACCAACTCTACGTGTACATTGCGACCCTCACGATCCAAGTCTTCAATTTGTACAAATCCCCAATGGCACACGATCCGACTTCGCTTTATGATCTGTGTGCCTCGTGCTGTCAGGTAATTGAATCCTTTGACAATTTAGACAAGTCGGGACAAGTTTGCCTGGCCGGCGCCGGGCTCTACTTCTTCTACAGCTTGATGGTGACCAGCCACGTTCTCTTACGATTGCTCAAGACCTCTCTCAGCCGATATATCGATGTCGAGAGGGCGAAAACCGCACTCTTTCTGGGAATCAGCCTCCACAAACGCATGTCAGTCCAGAATGACGACCTCCCGGCCCGTAATGGCGTCGCCTTGACCCAGCTCTGGAACAGTAATCGCGTCTTCAAGAGACCTAATGGGACCGAGGTGGTGGCATTGCGTATCCGGAGCCGCCTGACGGGCAGCGTCGTTTTGGACGGGATTGTCTGGTGGAGGGAAGAATTCGGGGGATTCATGGGCGTCTACCCGCCACCTTTGGGTGACAATCGGACTGGTAGGATATATTCCTGTACTGATGGAACACATTACTGAGTGCAACAGAAGATGCTTCCGGAATCGAAGCGGCCAACGAGACGAATCCAACTGCTCAAGATGATGGCTCGATGCCGGTGGCAACTAAGCCCGACTACTCGACCTTTTTGGATGATCCAATGCTGACCGAATTTGGCTGGCCTGTCACAGAGGATGTCTTCTCTTCTATATGGACCGACGGTCCAATTGCCACGATATGATGGAGGTGAAGAAGTATGTATGAGTAACACGTTTCGGGTATTGGCTATTGTTATGATACGACTGAGAGCGGCAACAGTCGCGGAAGGGGTGCTGTTTTTGTTTTGGATGATTGGAGCAAACAGAGGCAAGGACGCCCTAATACTAAACGCTGGTTTTGCGCGACGAATACCATTTACCAGTCTGTGAAACTCGGCAGCATTTGATTCGAAACAGCAATTACACCTGTTGGTCCCTTTCTGCTCCTCCCCTTGTTTTCTCAGTCTACCATTTCTGTTCAAAAATCCCAATCCACTCCCCCCAGCCGCAAATCTTCCCCTGCATCTCTCGGACCAAATCGTCCCTGGTGGCCACAGGCTTCATCTTCTTGGTGTCCAAGTTGTCCTTCAAGGCGACGACCTGGAAAAAGTACCTGTGCTCGCCGTGGCCGACCGGCGGACGGGGTCCGGAGTAGAGAGTCCCGCGCAGATTCTTGCCGAGTCGGAAACCGCCAGCAAGCCATTTCGCCTCCGGCTCGGCGGCGGCGGTCTTGGCCGCGTTGTCCAGTTGGAAGTCGTCGGGAATGACGAACGTCTTTGTCGCGGGGATGGCGTAGTAGACGCCGTGGTTCGGCACGAGGGGCAGTGGTGCGTCCGGGTCCTCGCAGATCAGAAGCCACTCTTTGACGTCGCCCTGCTCGATGCCGCTCTTGACGGTGGGGTCCAGTGACCATGACAAATCAGGGAACTTGGAGGCGCCGAGTTGAGAGTGCTCGACGGTGAGGTGCGCAGGCGAGGCGCCCAGCGTCGGCGACGTGACTTGGATGTTCTTGGGGATGTCGGCGAAGAGGTCCGAGCGGGTCAGGAGTTTGGCGTCCCGGCCCTTCTGCGAGTAGAGGAGGCGGGCGAGGAAGTATTCGAGGTAGCGGAAGAAGCCCATGCTTTTGGGGTCGTGGTTGGTTCGTGCTTGGGAAGGGGGCAGCGGGTTGTGCGTGTTGCGTACGGCTTGCGGCCCTGGATATTTTCGGTTCTGTGATCAAATGGCTCTTGGACTTTCAAGTCGAACCACGTGTACTACGAGCATGACCACGAGCGACTCCCCTGCTATTCATATATAGGAGTTGGTAGCACCGACGTGCTGACTCTGTTGGGAAATAAGTTCCCAACCAACCGACTACTGGAACATTTTCCTGGGCCGAAGAGGCAGGGATGACGAGACTCTATGTAGATTTCCCATTCCCTCGCAGCTGCAACCATCTCGAGCGACAAGTCGGCCTTTTAACTACGAAGGGGGAAACGGCAACGGGAACGGGACGGGCATGCACGACGACCGGGGCCTGTTCTGCTTAATCCCGGCGGCGGCTGGTGGAGATGCACGGGTCATGTATGCATTTACAGAGTATTTGGTGCTGAACGGAGGAATTGGGCGATGGCATAGCGTGGAAAAGCAGATAGCAGCGAGCGAGCGAGTGAGAGGAGGCATGCGATGCAATGGCAATGACGATGGAAGGCAAAATTTCCGACTCGGACTCGGACTCGGGCTCCAAACCGGCCTTGTGGAGGCGTCCAGAGACCGCCAATTACCAGCCAGGGCGAGCACGAAGGGTGCTTGATGAGGACAAGCGAGGCCGGTACCGGGCTTCGGTGGGTTGCTAGAATAAGATGGAGATGATCAATCTACGATGAGCGAGGAGTCACCGATGCTGAGACTATCATACTGATGTGGAAAAGCACCATGAAAAGGTACTCGGTACTTCTACAAATAGATAGCCGACGCTCGATAATATCCTACAAGTACTTGTTACAACGAACTACTTCCCAAGTAGGCACTGTCAAGACATCTTCCATGGCTTTGGTCTCTCCCACTCAGTTCCCGCATCTGGGGATCCCTCATCAGGATAGACCACCCCCTGTGACCTTGACTTCTTATCTGCCACTCTTATCCCATCTTTCTTTCGCTGTCTTTTGCCGTGGCCATTCCCTCATTCTCTTACCTGACCCTATCGCCCACCTCGGCGCGCCAAATCTTCTCGGCCTGTTCCCTGATCCAAAGCAAGTAGCTCCTTGAAAGGAAAAAAGGTTCTCGAAATTGAAATGAGCAAAATATGCCAGTCGCCAATATCCAACCCTGCTTGTAACAAACAGTTGCCGTCATGAGGGGGTCCACGCTGGTTGGCTGACAATTCGGTCTGGTGACGTCTTCGCTCATTCAGTCACCCACCGAGTCACCCAACAATAAAAATATATCCCGGATTGTTGCCCATTGAAGGTAGAATTGAACTTTGTCAAGAACGACGCGAACCGGTCGGGGGCATGCATGTACTTGTTATAACGCAGGAGATGAGGTCATCCCACAAGATATACCACCTTTGCGTCATTTGTGTCCTGAGAAGAAGTCGAAAACGGAGAGAAGCAAGGACTTTTAAGATAAAGACCAAGGAAATACACGAGTTGTTGCGCGATATATTGCCGCAGCCATCAGCAAGATGCACCTATTACAGGGCGGTAGAAGACCAGCTGGTTGGCTAAATGTTTTCGATTAGTTGGTTCCTGAGAAGCCCCTCGTGCTTGCGTCTGGGGTAGCATGTGGACGGAGCAACGGGACAGGTGATAGTTCGTGATTGTGCGGCGTGTCCGAGAATAGTCCATGCATTCCAGCTATTCCATGCGGATCTGTGTGCAGGTGGGCGGATCTGCAAATGACGAAGATACATTCAGATCTTGGGTGATCTTGGGTGATCCTTTGAGCTCCATTGATGGGGCCAGATGGATTGGGGCCGTACTGGAGTAGTTGGTAAATGCTGGCAGAAATCGGCCATGTCTTTTGATTTGGGCCGACAGTGAAAAAAGGGCAGTGGAAAGAGGAGAGCAATAAGACGGACTGGATGTCGATGTAGAAGAGATGGACGACGAAGAGCCGCAGCTAGCGCATTGAAGTTTGAACGGGCGACTTGCGGGTCAGAGAGAGGGAGAGATAAAGAGAGAGAGACAAAAGGAGGAGGGGGATGTTGGGGGCTATTTTGCTATGAGGGATATAAATGGCAGACAAATGTGCGTCACGTGAGAAGATCCCCTAAGTAACAAATAGGCGCCGGGGGCGACAAGCTGTGGGCGCTAGGGGTGCCTGGGGCTTTTTTGTTGGGTGCCCAGTCTTTAACCAGTCCAGCGCCTATTTAGAGGAACCACAGGCAGTCCGTTCTTAGCGGCTGGCCCCCCAACTACTCCGGGCAGCCGTTGGTTGCCCATGAACCATGCCCCGAACTACTGCGTCCTTTGTTGGTTGGGCCCCGAATGGGCTCCAACAGTGGTGACAGGTCCTTCTGTCCTCCTGTAGCTACTCCCAGTGCTCCCTCTCGTTACGTCCTTTGTTATCGGTAGCCAAACTCTACAGTACCACTCCATTGATAAATACACCATCCATCGGCCTCGTTTGCTTTCAAAAAGACATTCGGCTTCTTCACACTTGATCCCTGTTTTAGCCCTTCAGCCCCCTTCTAACGACCATCCTTACCACCCCTTTTCTCACCTGTGACCGCCGCAGTTGGTCATCACCTTCTGCTGTCCTCGACCCCCAAGCGCCCACCATCGACCCAAAGCAACTCGGACCCTATCGGTGAGTTTGCCGTGGCCATTTTTGACGCATGGCACACGCAATACCCATCAAGCCCTTGGTGATGAGGTGCCTGGGGAGCCCCCAAAAGAGCTGGATCACGTAAGAGGCGCGCGTCGGCGTCCAAGGATCGCTCATCCTGGTCTGGCCGTTTGCGCATCCGTCACCGGTTACCCGTCACCCGTCATCCATTCACCCCCTCCATAGCCCTCCATCAGAATCTTCTGAGAAATCAACTTCCTCTTTCTCTTACACGAATAGCAATATGCGTCGCGGGCCATGTGCCCCCAATCCATTGCGCGCAATCTCCAAACTCTTGCCTTTATAGCGTTTAGCGAGCCTCCTTCCAGAACCCTCTTTTCCCTCACCATCTTGGTTTTTGCCATCCCTCCCCTATCCCCTATCCGCCTTCGTCCGATAGCGTCAACCACCTGGGTGGTACATTCCTGAAGACCTTGGCTGACTTGCACAGCACTGGAACCAGCATTTCCAGGGTCCGATTTGACGTCGCCGCCCTAGCCGATCCATCCGTTCTGCCGGTCTACAATTACAAGTTTCAGCTCTGCTCCAGCCTCACTCAAATTTGACGTCCATCGTCCACCCCAGAGCAGATCCCTCTCCGTGAAAAAAAATTCCCTACTTTTCCAAAAAAGCAATGGAAATCGACCGTCGGCACCTTTGTCTTTGATCCCTTTTTGTTCCGCTTGCAGTCCGCCATCGCCCAGTCACAATGCGTCCCAACTTGCTCAAACGGGCACACAGCCATAACAAACAGACGCTGAATAATCTGTTGCATTCGCGGGGCACTTCACCGCATCCTCAGCCCGAAACAATCTCCGGCCACAAGCAGATCGAGGAAGAAACCCTTCCCAAGTACAATCCAGACCACTGGTACCCAGTGCGACTGGGCGAAGTGTTGCATCATCGCTATGAAATCGTCGTCAAACTTGGCTTTGGCATGACAGCCACTGTCTGGCTCGCCAGGGATCTCCAGGCGTAAGTCTCCATTTGATGCCGGTAATTTTGTGACGCTCTTGTCTAAGTTGTGGTTTTTATGCGGAACAGTGATGGCAATGCCGGCAATCGTAAATATGTCACTGTCAAAATAAATGTCAACACCCTGGGTGAAGAGTTTCAAAAGGGCCGACGAGAGATTGCCCAGAAGCTCTTCTCGGCAAACCCCAAACACCCGGGCTATAGCCATGTCCGATTCATGCTCGACACCTTCAAGGTCAAGGGAAAACACGGCGACCATCTGTGCATTGTGTACGACGTTCTCCGCGAACCCATCGATTTGTGTATGGAGAAATTCCCCGGTCGGCGATTTAGTTGCCCAAAACTCCGCATTTTGCTACCGGCTCTGTTACAAGGTCTGGACTACATGCATTCCGAATGTCATGTTGTGCACACCGATCTAAAGGCCGACAACATCATGATGGGGCTCGGCGATCCCAACATCCTCGATCACTTTGTGCAGAACCAAATCGATCATCCGGCGCCCCGGAAAGCGCCTGATGGCCATGGACGGGTCATATATACATCTTGCAGTGACTTTGGAGAGCCGCCCAATGAAGCCGTCATTGCCTCCGCCAAAATCACCGACATAGGTCTGGCAGCATGGGGAGACGAGAAGAACACGAAGCCCATCCAGTCCAACGCTTTCATGGCGCCCGAAGTCATCTTGCAAGCGGGCTGGTCCTATCCTGCCGACATCTGGAACCTGGGAGTCATGTTGTGGGATCTGTTCGAACATTTCGGACTATTCGATCGGATCGATACGAAACCCGGCCATTACCATCCCGAGCAGCACTTGGGTCTAATGATTGCTTTGATGGGCCCGCCACCCAAGGATTTTCTGAAGCGTTGTGCCAAGGCATCGATCTATTTCGACTCCGATGGCCAATTTAAACATCCAGAATATATCGAGGACCACACGTTCGAATCGTCCATTGTAAGGTTAAAAGGGGAAGAGAAAGAAATGTTCATTGATTTCGCCAAGAAAATGATCGCGTGGGTGCCTGAAGAACGGTGGACCGCGAAGCAATTACTCGAGCATCCTTTCCTGACTAAAGAGAAAGAATTTTTTTCAGCCACGCCGAGCCTTAGCAGAGCTTCAACGGCTTCCATCAGCTCAATGATTCCATCGCGAGCAGTTACACCAGGCATTCCACCATCGAGTTCACCTAATTCGGGTCCGAATTCCTCGCCGAAATCAGTGCCGAACACAACACTCTTGCCTCCCAGACTTCTAGAGCTGGTGCCGTCTGTCTCATCGACAGAATGCGAATCATCGACAAACTGCGAAGAGACAAAGACCGAGAAGTTGGCGACAAATAACGAGAAATCCACGTCGAGAACCTCGCTATCTTTAAGGCCCAAAATGGAGAGTCTGGTGGAGTCGAACAATGAGCCAGATGTCGAGGTCCCCAATTCTAAACGTCTCTCGGTGAATAAAGCGAACAAGTGCTCGCAGGATATCATCGATGCTATCCTCAGCAAGGGCAAAAATCACAATCACCGAGTATCGCCAGAAGCGAAATAACCAAGTTGAATGGACCGGTTCGGGTATCGCTGGGTTGGGCATTTGAGTGTCCTTGATTCCGTCAGCAAACACGGTCCCTGTAACCTTATTAATCACAATTCTCCAGAGACATCGAATACCTGGAAACAGATCAATTGACAATGCTTCTCCGTTGGACTTTCTGACAACAAGCGGGTAGCTCTCGGCTGTGGGCTGGGGATGATGTTGAGAAAAAGCTTTGTGTGAAGGATGGTTTTGATCGATGCAATCGAACATCTCGGATTTTGTCTTGTGCAGCACGAGCACAAGTGGTCGAGACTGGCACATAGAACACGCCGAACAAGCGCTACGGATGGAGGCATAGAGATTCGGGTGCATTTTCGTTCGACGCAGGCGGTCGCTGGCTGGACGCCGCAATTGGACTGCATTATTGAGCTGAAGCTACGTAACTTAATTGATACCCCTCTAAAGTGCGATTCCATTAGCTCTGCGGTTCCTCTTGCTCAACTTAGATCCAGTGTTGCCTTAGTCAACATCTCGAAAACCTTACCAATCCAAGCAGCCATGTTACCTGCCTGATATGGGACGTCGACGTTGTCCGTTTCTGTCCGATATTCTGCGTAAAGAGGCACTGTGCTCCTCACTAGATTGAAGTTTCCACGGTGGAGCATACTAACTCGGATGCCACCTCAAATTTCCTCTCAGCAGGAGTCTCGAATTCTCATCATCAACTTCCATCATTCGATCTCCCGGAGAATTGCTCCATCAGCTCCAAGATCTCGTCTGCCCCGCAAACCTTTGTCTCCTCGCTGTTTGATCACATCTTGCAACATTATGATGCTGGCGATGTCTGGGTGCTCCGTAATTGGGCTTTCTCAGGACGCCTTCTCTGCTGAGCCATCGTAATGGGTCCTCCGACACCGTCTTGCCCGGAGAATATCGTTCCACGGCTCTTCAAGAGGGCCATAAGTCCTTTTTTCTAACAGTGCCACAATCCTGGAGCCTACATTGGACCCTCTCTGCTCTCTGGCTTTTCCGTTGGAGTGGAACTGGGTCACCTTCGCGATGTCGCCCGTTGGCGTACCCCAAAGCGTTCCGATCGCTGACGCTGCTCGTGACCTCGAGGCTTCAAATCTCACTGGAGCTACTCATTTTGCCCTGTGGTTGAAAGGGTGGCAGTGCAACCTCGATGAACCACCTCAACATGTGTCTGAAGGCAACCGAAAGGCAAACGACTCCTCTCGTACCCTTTCGACTTTCAACATCCGTACCTGATCTGTGTCGGCTAACCTCAAATAGGTAGGTAAGAATACCGCCAGCCAGCTTAAAACGTTGAACTTTGAGAAGATGTGAACTTACAGTAGGTAAATGGGTACTACTCTCCGAAAAATGCTTCTTTGGCGTGTATCTCTCGGTATACTAGTGTCAATCTTCTGGCCCGGCTTCTTTGGGAGAGGCTTGGACGGCCGTTGCGCTCAATTTCGCCCGGGTGGGCAAAATGCCGCCATCTTGCCTTGGGACATGGCCCTCCATCCCTTCACTGTGGAGCTGGTGGTCCTGCGTCGATAGTGATTTTATTCACATTGGCTTCGAAACCCGGTTTCTTGCGCCATGCTCAACTTGTTCGATGGTACTTTCTGGCCAGGCAGACTGGCACGGACGGCACTTTCTCCTGACTGGACGTCACGTTGAAAGTTGAAACAAAGTCTTCGGATTTGCTATATCGCTGCTGGCACAGCCACCTCGAAACTGGTAGGAGGGAGGCTGCATTGAAATGTCACAGCCATGGCGAAAAGAAATAAATTCCCTCGTATCTCTTCGAGGTTTGAGGTTTACTTTAACTTCATCAGAGCATTGATTACGACAATACAGAATATTGCAGCAAACCCGGTCTACTACAACCACCGAGCAACACTCAGACTATCCACCATGTGGTGAGCCAGACTTTCACGGATTCTGCGTTGTAAGCTTATTAACAGCTGAGTGGCAGTTACACGCACGGAGGTTCGACAAGCGCGTTGTCCCGCGAATTCCCATCTTCAGAGGACGTAGTTGATTACCATGTCCCCGCAGATCAGCATCAGGACGAAAAGCACTTGATGGCGAACGATACTTTCGGCCTGCCACCCCTGTCCTTGCCGTCTGGTAGCCCCAGACTCCACGGCCCGAAAAGCGAATACTGGTACTGTTGCGAGTGCGGCAATGGGCCCATGCTTTCCAAACACAACCTGCATTGTTCGAACTGTCAGCGTGCACGCTGTCCAAGGTGCAAAAAGGAATATCGCTAGTGTCTGTTCTCCCGGTCGTTCCGCAAGTTCAGAGTTTTGGTGATGTCGAGACTTCGGAACCACAGGACGAAGATGATGCTGCCAAGAAGGAGTTGCAACAGGAGGGTGCACTCGTTCGGAATCATGGCGTATGTGGAGGGATTTTGGTGCCTGTGCAAGGGTGTTGTTGGATGTCTATATCCTTCTCCAGCCTTATTCCCGGATTCGGATGTGCACCCTGCAGATCCAACCTTTGTTCTCAGAGCTTTCCCAGATTTTGTGAAATTCCCCCAGGCGTACGCCAATTGTGCCTTGATCAGATGTGCGTTGCCGGTCGCTTCTTTAGGCTTAGCAGCCATGCAGTTCACTACGTAGTGCATTCGTTCAGGAGATAAATGACATTCGCTTAGTACATTGGCGAATGGGACTTCTTTCGCTGGAAAAGGATTTCTCGAGAAACTTGCAATTTTGCAGCGATTATAACAATTTGCCATATGCATGAGCGAATTTTCGACGAATCGAGCATAGATCACACAGGCCTGGCCGTGAACCAGCATTTATTCAGTCCATGCTCAGCCACAACGTAGTACCATGGCAGGAGAATCAGTACAGTTACGGAATATGGAGTCGCTGCCATAGCCCTCTTCCCCGGTCCACGTGAGGAATCGGCATGGCGCCCCGTCGCAGCCTTGACCGCAAGGCTGACTGAGTGGCATGAAATGTTTCCCACCTGTGGAGCCTCGGGGCCTTTTGGTCAAGCCAAGAGGGGTTAGGGACTTGCCATGTGGCTCCCTGGTGCCTGGGTCGTCCGTCCCTCTAAGCGTACCTCGTATGTACTTTGTACTTATGTTTTAGTCTCGTAGGACGGAGTACTCGTGTCAATATGTCCAGATCCACTCCAGACGGGCAACGAGGCTGAAACTGAAACTCAAACTCGAAGCGCACTCAGCTCACAGGCTAACTAACCACCTAACTAGCTTGCTTAATTTACTCACAGTAATTAGATCTGACCTTCCAACTGCGCAACTGTGGGTCCTACGGAGGTAACCAGTCACTGCACGACGATGTAAATCAGTCATCTGAACGGACATGAGACTGGCAAGCAAACGCAGGCTGCGCCCATCCAGCCCGCACCCGCCCGAGCGCTCAGGCGTCCCCAAGAGGCGCGAGAAGAAAAGAAGAGACTGGAGGAGAGGGAAAAAGGCAAAAGAGAGAAGAAAATCCACAAGAAAATTCTGAACTGGACTGGATACCTAGCCTGTTAGCCAATGGGGAGGTTATAGCACGTAACGCGAACCCTACGGATGATCAGGGTGGCGCAGTACTCGGTATCCATGTTAAAAACCAAGAGAAAAAAAAATAAGCCGAGCAAAAGTACAGGAAAGGGAAAGAATCGACAAAAGCGAGACAAAAAAGAAAATAAAAGCAATATTCGGCGGGCAAAGCAACGCAAGCGAAGACTGCAACACACGGAACGAGAATGAAGCCTTGGAACCGTCATTCCCATCAAAACCTTCCGTGCGGAGTTCGGAGTACTCGTGGGGAGATTGGACACCATCTCAGCAGGGCAAACATAAACTGCATCTGGCTCCGAATTCCGGGCGAGATCCGGGGTTAGCACCTTGTAAAGGGAGGCCCCTAGTAGGTACCCACTCACACACTGCTAGGCATTTACGAGGAGCCTGCCTCCTGCAGAAAGTGCGTTCTTCTGCGCCCGGGGTCTGATGACCATGATCTATTCGATTGAGGCGTCTGTTGGGATACATCTGTGCCGCCACATCTACACACACCACAGAGAGACAGAGCGAGAGACAGAGGAAGGGAGACGGGAGGGAGGGAGGGAGGCAGAGAGAGGGACGCTGCAAGGCTGCAAGGCTCACACACCACCACACGCACTAGACCACCCCGCCCGCTCTGCTCTCCTCTCCACGAATTGTGCGCTGGTGCAGAACAAAAAGGCCATTCTGATGAATTAGCCACATGGCTGACTTAGTGTTTCACCGAGGGCTGGACTCTGAGCTTTCCAGGACCTGACTTGAATTCGACTGGTGGCCTGCGTCACTATACCCATCCTGCATCTGTTTCTGCCCCTCCTTTCTACTTCTTCTGCTGCCCTTGGTGCTTCTCCCAGAGCGTGTGCAACGTCGGGTTCCCCTTGGTGATGCCCAACCACGCGTCCGACTCCAGCTTCGGCTTCCCGTACCGGAGCACGTCCTCTGGGATCAAGTGGGCGCGCTCGGCGTCCAGGAGCCTCGCGATGAAGACGACCGTGTGGGCGTCCAGCGCGGTGGGGCCGACCTCGTCGCCGAAGATCCAGGTCTGTTCTTGGTGTTCTTGTCCGCCTCCGTGCTTGGAGCAGAGCAGCTGGCTGATCTTCTCCAGGTACCTTCTCGAGTCCGCTTCCACGCTGGCCACCGATTGGTTCTTGTCTTGAAAGGTTTGGAGCCTCTTCTGATGACTGTAGCCGGACGTTTGAGATCAAAAGAAATGCACCACTGCAAACAGAAGGGATGGACCAAAAGAAAGGTGGATAGGTTCAAACTCACCCGTCTAGCTTAACCTGCAGCATCTCGCGATATCGGGGAGAAGTATCAGGCTGAGCCATGATCTCACGAACAGCCTCCATGACGCCCTCGGTGCGGCGGTCCTCGGGTTTGAACGAGATGGTCACGTATGAGATCTCGTGTAACTCCTCGAGCAGGGATTCAATCGTCTGCTTGTGCGCCGCGGGGACGAGGCTAGGATACCGATCGCAGAGGTATTTGGTGATATCCGTGCTGTCGATTAGTTTGACACCGAGAGACGGAGCGAGGAGGGCCGGGACCTAGATCGTTCCGAGTACGAAGTCAAAAAAGATACATGGGGATGGGCAATAGCACAAATGGTTCCAAAGCCAAAAGACGGACACCATATTAACTGGCAGACTACTGCCACATACGTACATACCGTGCCCTTGGGATGTTTCTCCAGATACGACTCAGTCATCTGCTCGCCGGTGTAGATGTCAATGAAGCGTTCTTCGGGGTCGACCGCGTCTGCAGCCGATTTTGGCTCCCCCTTCACACGCAAGGTGTACAACACCATCAACGAACAGATGGAGAAGGGGTTGTAGTAGAGCTCATAGGGGGAGGCTTTTGAGTCATTGGTTTGCGCCATTGTATGCCGAATATAGAACTCTCTCTAAGCTCCTGGTGACGTTGAAACCGAAGATGCTTTTCTGTTGTAGGAGTTGGCACTGTGGTTGCTGCCGTGAAGCCCTGGATTGTTGGGCTGGAATCAAGATCGTGTAAGGTCTGTGTCACTGTCTATGAGAAGATAATTGGCCAGATTGACAGACATATATATATGTATGTGGATGTGTAAATGATATATAGTCTCTGTTGTCAGCACGTAATATAGGCCCAGCACCACGGATCCCCTACTTACGCGGTAGGTATCTACGTAGTATTCCGATGTCCACCCGACGTGGGTTGCGCCAGTCGTGTGAGATTATGATGCGAAAAGCCACATCCTCTATTTTCCCGTTGCGTTGTGATCTTGGTGCCGTTTGCCCCGTAACTCAGCCTCGGCTTACCGTCCCCTCTCAACACCGTCCTCGAGCTACTTCGTCAGACGCCTCCTCCTGTGCTGAAGCGTCCCAGATCGATCTACGTCCGAGACTGGTGGTAGGTGGGACCGTCAGTGTAGGGCTGCAAGCCCATTCAGGCCCTCCGCAGTCGTACGAGACTCGTGGCCCCGAGCGACGGCCAGGGGGCCCACAACTTAGGTCCCACGACCGTCTCTTCACGACCGTCTTTTCTGCTTTGGCCGAAGACACCTTAGCCGGATGACCCTTCTCCGGAGTCTATATTGATGCCTAGATTCACTTGATGATTGACTCCTCCCCTTGAGATGGCATCTTGTGAGGGGTCCAACCGACTTGTCCGAGCCATCTCACCCAGTCCATCACGTTCGCGTTCACGTATTCTCGCTACTGCCGAGCAGGAGAAGCGGGCTTCGGCTTCTGCCCATAAACAACATTTCTACAAGGACTGTAAGTTTCCAAGAGAGAGGTGTCGAACTGACGAGGACACCACTTACATCGGCCAATACGCATGGATCCTATTGTCTTGCAGATCTTTCCGTACTGCAGGGAGATATGCCAGTACCTGTTCCCGTGTCCAGCCATGCACTCGCGATAGCAGGGCCATGCTCAGGCCTTCTACGTTACTGCCGATATTTGCCAACGCCCACATTCCGACAATTTTGTGCTTCGGATCTTTTGGCCAACTATTCGTGGGCCACTTGAAGAGCTTCATGGTCACGTTTGTGAAGCCAGCTGCTATCATGCGGTCGCGGTGATGTATGGCTGCGCCCAAAGACCGGCCCAACTTGTTACTAGCCTCTAGCAGCAACGAGCTCCATTCATAAATGGTCTGGCCCTCGTGAAATGACCCGTCGTCAGTCCCGAGAGGGAAAATGCAATCTTGTAGCTCCAGCCAGCCACCAGGGGTTAAATTCCTGGGGGGCGTGCGAAACATAGCGACACTGTGTTAGTGCAATGGACTCAAAGCTTCCAGAGTGGAAGAAAGTGGAGGAGTAGGTACCAGCTCAATCAGACTCCAAGGGGAGGATCGTGGAGTAGGAGACGAACATACTCATAAGTTATGCCGATAAAACCGGGCCAGTCAGCAAAACTGCCTACCATCATTCTGCTGAAGATGTAATCGAAGGGGATCGACCACGTCCATTCGTGCTCGAGATCATCAATCTCAAACGAGCAATTGGGCGGAACACTAAATTGCCATCAGTCAGCCGTCGCTGAGATACTTCCGTCATCACCACTGGCTCACTATGTAGGCTGTATCGGGCTTAAATCGACGCCGATGATCTCCAAAGCAATGACAGTCAGTACATTGCAACATGAGCCAGCTAGACCCGCTAGGATCCTCCTACCTGCGCTGCGGGGTGTGCATCGGCTGCAATGCCCGTCAGTGAGTGCTCGACGCAGAGGGCTACACACGAGCAATACCGTACTGGATCGCCCAGATGCCCGTTCCCGTACCGACATCAAGGACTCGTTGAGCCGTCTCTGCTCCCGGTGCAAAATGGGCACGGCCTCCAAACGTTGCTAAGAAGTGTTGGTTTTGCAGGTCTATGGCCCAGTATCTTGATCAGACTGGAGCCATTTGCATTTTTATAAAAGACGGTTTAACCCTACCTAGTCTTTCCCTCTCTTGCTGGTGTGAGACAGGTCAGCGAAGGCACGCCGAAGTGAAGATGGAAACATCACCTCGTCATTAGGCAAGATATATTCTGGAAGCGGTAGTTGTTGGTCTCCTATGCTATTGACATGATGACCAGAACGCAGCACTGACTTCCCGCACGGAGCGCGTGGTAAGTATGGCCATTTTCAATCTGGAAATTGCGAATCGTGGATGTTATTGACGCAGTAGAGATTTGGTCGTCGCCCTACACAACATCCGAGGTGTTATTGTTTTGTTTCCTGATACAGAGCATTGCCCAGTCAAACCAGGTCAAGGGCCGAGTCCTCGTCATTGTCGGCCTGCTTGGATCTAACGTCAGCAATAATGGCAGGATAACAAATGGATTGACGTCAGTACTTACTAGAGCGTGATCGACATGGTGCTCGTCATCTGGTTCCTGCATTTTTATCTACAACAGCTCGTATCTGGCATAGAGCGCGTCTTCCTGGGAAGAAGACTGTGGGAACTTAAATAGACGGTATTCGGAACGTGGGTTGATCGTGATCTTGATTCCTCCTTCGCGGTGGATTTGTCCGATTTGCTAACTCTCGGCCCGCTCGCTTCGTGGTGAGGCTAGACACATCCGCGGAAGTTCTAAACCATGGCCTAATGCCGGTAGAATCGAAAGAACATCCCGGAGACGGCAGCTATGAGCTCTAACCGCTGATCGGGCCAGTGGGCGTTCGAGTGTTGGTCATTAGCGGGTTTACGATGTGCTTAAATTGGCGTTTTGCATACGGATGCAAGCACAGCACTTCAATGCTACGTTGTGGTTGAAGCCTGGTTGTAGCGAGGAGTTGGCATTCCAGGAGACAAACATCTCAGCAATGGCTCTAATATGTGTAGATGTGCTGCCGTCCTTAGATACTGTCCCACCTGGCTCAGCCTCTAGAAAAACTCGATAAAACTATCCCGAGACGACGTCGAATCATGCTGAGGTGTACCACTTAGGTTTGAAACCTCAGCTGTGCTCTGTCTACAGCTGTCTTCTCCTTCCACATTCCAATTGGGGTAGCTGCAGTTAAACATTCACACTGGAATCTTCCGCTTTGTGATCCTCAGCATGAGGTTAAATTGCGTCATGACGCAGTAGTCAAAGGTGTCCATAGGATGAGCTGGATTGACGACAGTAAAGTCGAATCGTCTTAGCAGCTGCAGCAATCAGTCACATAGACTCACTATGATGATCTGCACTTACCTCGACGAATACCTTATTCAGCTCCAACAAGGCAATGGGCTTGCCTAGACAACCCCATTTGCCTTGACCAAACTCGAGTTCGATAGTGTTCTCCATGGCTCGAAGTTGCTCGCCCTGAGTCCGTAGCCATTGCTCGGGTGAAAATAAGTCTGAATCGTCTCCAAACACGTTCCTGTCTCGCATGACTGAACGTGCGCTCCAGCCAACGTTTGTGTTGGCGGGAACCCGATGGCCACAGACCGCTGCCTCCGTGCCCGAGACCCGCGGGACAATACCTGTAATAGGTGGCCAGATCCGAAAGCATTCTTTGATGAATGCCTGCAGAAAGGGGAGTGTTCGTGCTTCCGTGTCCTTGATCGGCGCCGATGTCTGGCCAGCTTTGACGCCTCTATCAATTTCTTCTTGCAAGTTTTGATAAACCAGTGGCGACGTTGGGGCGTGAAAAATCCCTATTCTGATCACCGTGGCGGTTGTGTCAGAGCCCGCCACGATTTGAACGAGGGACTCAGACTCGGCGTCTTTTTTGGTAAGACCGTGAGCGACGAACGATCCTAACATATCTCGTTTGACCATCTTCGAATTGCCGTATCGCTCTGATACGATTTCTTTGGCAATTCCCATTACCTTGCTGAGTCCAACGGCGTCAGTGTGCGTTGGTCGGATCACTTTGAACAGGGGAGACTGAAGGACGCTCAAGAGCCCTGGTAGTAAGGCTATCATTTGCATAAGAGGAAGCGATTCTTCCGTTGTTTTGATGTAGTCGAAGAGGTCCTCATCTTTATCCATGAAGCCAAATGTTCGTCCTAAAGCGAAGGTGGAGATGAGGTCCAAGGTCAAGAACTGGATCTTACGAGCAAAGTCAATAGGGCGGAAATCCGTCTCAGTCGAGAGGTACTTCTCCTCAATAAAGCGAAGGAACTTCGCGACTTGCTGGTCGATCGACTCGTGTAGACCGTCAATGTCCTTTCCAGAGTACTATCTCACCTTAATCCTCGGATGGCACATCGATGAAGATACTTACGCCGGGTGAAAGTTTGGACCTGAGAAGACTGTGCAGCGTGCTGTCACGGATGGACAGGCTGCAATCATTCGGTGGGTCGAGTTGAAAGCCCTTGAACCATGGCGCTCGATCGAACTGAGAGCGCACTCCCCATATTCGGCGAACTTCAATTGGGTCACCACAAACCAGGTACTCTGGTGCAATGCGGACAAGGGGGCCTACAGGAGAGGATCAACCAGCGACTCAAACCGAGATCATTCGTTTTTTTTGGTGTGCGTTGATGGAGAGGGCGCACCATATTTATCGCATAAATTACCAAGATCCTTGTACAGCGTCCCTCTGAACGCTCTGCGAAGCACCCACAGATCGAACCAGCCGCACCCAAACGGGCCTGGGATGTGCCGCAGTCTTTTCCATGCCAGGAATTTACGAGTGATAAAGGCGACTGCGATTACGGCCAGGCCAATGAGCAAATATGCCATCTTAGACACTCGTTTTCTCGTAAGCTTCTACCTCTGAATATCTGGCCTTGGGTAATGGTGCGGGAACGGCTGATGAAGCAGTCTAGAAAGAAGCCGGATTTTGAGGTGGCGGATGTCTGTAGTAATGGTGGGGTATGGCTTTGGGCAACTATCTTGAGTGAGTGTACCGGGTATGGAGTTGCGAGTATTAGGGGGAGCATTGACCATGAAAAGGTGGACAGGAATACTGGGTACGAGGTATTACCTAGCCGCTAAACCCCCATAGAGGATTAGAACGTGCCCCACTTAATTCCGCTTTCTCCCTGCCGCCGCATAGACCACAAATGACTAGCCTATCAACCAGCGAGGCATTTAAGGCTTGGAGTACAAGGCCCACTCAGACAATACAGAGGAGTGCTTTGGAAAGTCCCTAAAGGTAATTGTCTAGCAATTAGGTTCTCCTACCTGCTGTATATTCCTCTTCCCACGTGTCTCAGCCTAAGCCCCTGCAAGTGTGGGCGGCAAGGCGGGCTCAGTCTCGTTCGTGACAGGACGTTAGCTACTTACCCATATGTTGTCGTAGCAGACTGCTAGTCGGTGCAAGCTGGGTTCTGACGGTTTCTCTTGGGGAGATCCCGGGGGAATGGAATCGATGTCTCTTCCTTTGTCTGCTTCTCTTTTGCCTTCTTGCTTTTCTTATTTGGTCAACAACATCTGCCGTAGACATTTGGGAAGCCATACATATGAATAAGAGAAGGACGGTTAGAGAAATAGTCTCATTGACCCAGGAGGACTCCGGGAACAAAGAAGAATGAGTATGGAGCAGTATCAGGCAGTCGAAAGCAGCGTCTCATTGAATCCCTCCTAAAAGTTCTAAAACAGTCTAGACATCTTCAACCTTTTCTCGCCCACGATGCGTAACCTGTAGCAATGCTTGCTTCTATCTAACCTCGGACTTCCGGCCCAACAGGCGGCCGACTCGCGGCCAAGTTGCATTGACGAAACAATCGAACCTCATCCTTGTCGAAGGCGCCCACAACACTGTGCAAAACGCCGTGATTGTTGAACAGCACAAGGTCTCCTTCCTGCCAGTCGTGCGCATAGACGAGCTCTGGCGCGATGCCAGGGCGCTGCAAGTCGTGCACGATCTCTCTTACCTTGGCCAAGTCGCCAATGACGCTGCCGTCGCGAAGGTGGATCTTGCGAACGACGGACGGGTGGATTTGCAAGGCGAACCTGCCGGTGACGGGGTTTTTCCAGGCCATGGGCTGGATTTGGACGTCGGTGGCATTTTCGATAGGCGGAAGTTCATCGACGGGCACTTCCTTGCCTTCAGACATCATGCCCAGCCCGTCCGGGCGTGATTTGGCCGTCGAGATCCAGACATATGGATGAGGTGCATATTCGACTTGGGTGGTGAGCACGAATTCCTTTTGCTCGGCACTCAGATTCTCAAACATTGTGTATCCGGATACAAAGGCGGTGGTGCCTAGAGGGACACGAAGGGTGTCATTGCTGCCGTCGTCGTAGAGAACGGTTTGGGTCCGTCCGGTGGGGACCTTGACAGCAAGCAGCGATGTCACCAGCGGCGGCTGAAGGCCCCCATACATTGCGGCATCGATGTGCCAGCGGTAGAAGCGGGTAAAATCCAGGTCTTGGTCATCAGGAATGACGGTCTTGTGGAATGTTCGATGATGCGGATGCTTTAAGGTGAAGTTCTTGAGGCCCTCGTACTCGGAGACAAAACCGTTTCCAATGATCTGGACCTCGGGCTGATGGGGCACGGTTTTGAGGTCGGGATGGAGGATAGAACGCTTGGCGTCAATGGTCTTGCCGTGGCCGTATGACATTGCCTCAGGATCGAAGCGTCGGGTCAGTTCTGCCTGGCCCTTGGGTGAGAGGTTCGACTGAGACTTGATGCAGATGACATTGTAGGTGTAGAGGGCGTTGCGGAGGGCCTCGAAGCCTGCATCTGAGAGATTGTCCAGGTCCACATGGTCGACGAATGCCCCGAATTCGGGTCGAGACGGATTGATCGGCGAAACCGTGATTCCTGGCATGGTGAATGGGTATTTTACTTTGTGGTGCGATTGTCGGTCTTGCTTGTATTTGAAATATGAAGGCTGTTGATGGACTGCGAGAATGAAAGGTATATATATACATCCTTAAGAGCAGAGACATCTCTTCAGATGGGTGATACTTACCATGTCACTTACTTCATGTAGCAGCCTCGTACAATACAGAAGGACGTGTTCTCGGCGGACACCTATCTGAAACTGCTTGGGACAATCCATTTCAAGCTTTTGATTCGACGCAGAAATCGGGACGACTAAGATAAGAGCGTCTGAGACGAGACGGTATATCACAAGGCTCGGCCATCACCGAAAGAGGGATTTTGGGGCGAAGGTGAAAAAGAGGAAAATTTGTGCGAGCTGATGCCAAGGCCCGGCGGTTGTACGAGATCGTACGAAGTTGATGCCGTCTTCCGCCAAAGCGCTTGTTTGGAAAAACTCACTTGATCTCACTCCTGGGTATCACCTTGATCATGTACTCCGTACATGTCTATAACCATTCATATCATATCCTCTTCAAATCTGCGTGGTCTTTGACTTCCTCAAGCCTAGTTTTGCCGAAAGCTTTCGTGTATTTCTTGAGAACATGCCTTGGCTCTTTGTCCTTTCCACTGACATCTCGGTCTCTGATGGCGCCGTTGTTTGGCGCGTTGCCGTCCGGCTTTGGTCGCTGAGGGTTTGCGACATCGTCGTCTTTTCTTCCAGACTGAGAAGATCATCTGTGGTCGTGGTGTTGCTGGTACCCGATGCCATTCCTGATGACACCGCCTCTTTCTCGGGGACTCTCGGTGGAATGTTCATTTCAGCCGGAAGCTCGATGGGCAGGCGTCCCCCACCGGGTAATTCTGCGGGACTTGTCGTGCCATCGAGCTCGGCAAGCCCCTGCGCACCAAGTTCGGGGACCACTGGTCTATTATCTTGTTTCGCGGCCTCGGACTTCTGGAACCGGTTCTTGTAAATAATGTCCTCGAGCCCCGTCCTGAGTTTGCTGAATTTCATTGCCGTCGATACCTTGGTCAGAGGGATTAATCGGTCGACCTCATCATGAACATGCTTCTGTAGTAGGACCTCCTTTCCAGCAAAAGTCTTCGTCATGGCCGTTGTGTAGTAGACCGCCGCATCCTCGATCTGCTTCACGGAGACGTACTTGCCTTGGTATCGGAAGGCTCGCTCAAGAATGAGAATCATGTCGCAAGCACATTTGAACAGCATTCTTGCTGTTGGAGGTGCGGCCAAGATGCATAGTGACAGCGCAAGTACTCCGCCAGCCCCCATTGTGCCGACAATTAAACCTGCAGTTATCACTCCGACCCCGACAAACTCCGCTAGTGTCACAGTCATAAATTTCTTTAGATGGCCGAGAACCACCCGTGTCATGATTTCTTCCACTTCGTCTGGTAACGCTTTAGGAAATCCAAAACATTGAAGAATATGCTGACACAGGATTCGAGCAACGGTTGGGGTGCCTATTGCGCCCGAGAACGGTAACGGGACCATGGCCGTACGGACCGCGTGGAGGCCCAAACGCATGCATTCTGTAATTGCGGAGTCAATCTTTTGCTCGACATCGACGACTTGTGCCGCAACTGCGAAGATTCGGACCTTTTCATCTTGAATCAGATCGAGGGTCTGTGTAAGAAGTCTCTTGACCCCTTGGTCATCATCTATCGATACGAGTTAGAATTCTGGTTCACCTTGTGGCTCTTGACAGAGTACTTACCCTTGGAGAGACAGCAGTATCCATCAGCCTTGTAATGTTTGATTTGAGAAAGCTCCTGGCGGAGGGCCATGAACTGTTCCTCAGCCAGTCTATCTGCTTCTTGATTTGCTAGTCGCTGTGATTCGGGGTAATTGCCTGTCTGTTCCATGTACTTCTCCAGCAGTTGCATCTTGCGGAAGGCAACCAGCTTGTCCTTTTTTGTCCCAATAACAAAGACCGGTACGTGGTTGGAAAATTGTGCGATGGTCTGAAAAGTTCGCTTGTCAGCCTCCTCGATACGGCTAACGTCCGAATCTACGCAGAACCTGTAGCTTTTGTGAGCAAATCGAGGGTTTTGACTTGACCTCTGAAAACATACCAAATTACATGCAGTGCCTCAGCTGGATCTTTCTGAAATGCCCGATGGCGGAGAAACTTGGCAATCAACTCAAGTTCCTTGTCGCTTCCGGCTTGCCATCCTCTGGAATCATGGATCATGAGGCCGGGATTATTGGGAGATTCAAAAGCTACGTTAATGTCGTGACTGCCTTGTTTGTAGCTGTCGGATTCTTCGGTCTAGACAGCGCCGTTAGTCCGCGACGCCGATTGAAAATGATCGTGGAGAAGGAACAACCATTTCAACACCGAAGATTTTGTTTATCAAAGTCGACTTGCCGACGCCCGTCTTACCACAGACCAGTATTCGGAAAGCTTTTACACCACTTGCCTGCAGTTGTAGACCTTCCAGCCAGGGAGGGATTGCTCCGTCGTCATCCTGCAAATAACGGTCTCGATAATCGGCAAGATCCTTTTTCAGGGACTTGAAGCGAGACTGTTCGTAGAATCGCGGATATCTATCAAGAAGGCAAAATACTGAAGGATGAATAATCGCCCCGTAGCTTCCTGTAGACTTGTTAGATTCATGTGTGTTTTGAGCCCATGGATCATGCTGTTTACCATCATCGCACCATCCAATAAATCCCTTTGAATTGAAGATTTTGCGCGAGGTGTTGTAAAGTGTACTTGGAGAATTGATTTGTAGATTGTGTGTTTGACTGTCATCGGTGTAAATTCCATGCAGAGTCTGGAGATCATAGAGGCTGACTTGGATGCCGTTCGAATGTGAAATTCGCCATTCAATCTTTTCACTGCCGTCGAGCTTTGGCACCTCACCCGCATATTGAGGAAATGCCAGCGACAGAGGATTTTCTATTTTCAGGGGGGGCGACTTCTCATCCTGGGACTGGAGAACAAGTCCAGCTCGCATGCTTTCGATGAGCAGCCACTGCAAAGGATACAGGGACAAGCCATCCTCGCGCGTGCCGCCTCCGAGATCTTGATTAGAGCCCATGAACCATGCCTGAACGAAACTCCTCCCCGCCATCTCCTGGGCGAATGGGATGTCGAAGATCTCTGCATTGAGTTGAGAACGTGTCTCGTTGAGGGCTAAGGCGTGTCGCAGGTGCCTTACAGATGGGACAAATGAGATGTCGTGCATGTGGCCTTCGGCGGTGTACTTTACGGTGTCCAGAGCTCCAACGAATTGTATTAGTGGTGGCCGAGTTGTATGTGTTCGAAGAAAGTCGACGATCTTGGGCCCATTTCTGTTGTCGTCCTCCTTTCGTGCTCTGTAGACATCCAGCGCACTCTGGTAAAGTGTATCGAAGTGTTTCAGTGACGTGCTCTTAGGTAAATACATAGTATCGAGCAGTCCAGCCACTGCACGGACGATGAAAGCGCCCCGTCCGAATCCGTACAGGAAGAGCTCGTCCTGTGGCTCTTCGATCGTCCCACATATTTCGCGAACGATGGATTTGATCTGTTCCTCGTAGTACGGTATTGTGACACCGGTTTTCAGCCTTTCTATCAGACTGGGACCATCAGAGGCGGCGCGTTGGTAGCGGACAATCTGTTCGACCGTGCGCCCTTGCGCGTCAACGCAGAGGCCATTGGAGATGATGCTTTGGATGCGGAAAATATTGCTAGGGTTTCCATTTCCTTGGGCGTTGTTAGTCTGACTCCATCACAGAGTATTGACAGCCTCTTGCACCTGAAGTTCCATTTTCTCCACTGTACTCTTCAGCATCGACGCAAACAATCAACCGCTTCACATGCGTCCTCAGGGACATTGTCGGAGGGAGGAACTAGGATGGGCAATAGGCGAGGGTCAGTTGCCGATCGGAGGTGGGAAGGGTCATGATTTGGAACGTGAATCGAGCATTATGAACAGTGTAAAAGGACCCAGAAGCCCTCAACGACAGCCCAGCCAGCTGGTGTCTGAGGAGACGAGAGTCCCAGTACTGGGTAGTCATTGACCCAAACCCATGGAGGGTCAATTGGTGGCCTGAAGTTGAGCCCACTAGCGATGTCGTAAGGATTCCCATCTCCAGTCTGGTGGGTCGTCGACTACCCAGTACCGTGCCTGCAGTGCCTGTCTGGTACCGTGATAAGCTAATCAAGGGTCTATGTAATAAGGGTCCTTCCAGGCACCAAGCTCCAGGGCGCAGCTGCTAGTGAGGCCTCTATTGGCTCCTGTTTGTAGCCTACGACGTTCTCAGGCACATCCTGCGACGGCTGGCGCTCCAGACGATGGACAAGCTTCAGAGCATGCGCCCAAATACGCTCTCGCGTCGTATTCAGCCTCTACCTACTTGTAGGTACTGGGTACAACAACCTGGTTCCACCTTGGCGCAGTCCACGAAAGCATGTCTAATGAGTGCCCCAGAGCAGGTAAGATGTGCTGAATGTGTCGATCCTGATTGTCGACCACATTACCGAGTACTCTTTCATCCTAGGGTTGCACGTTGAATGTCTGGCAGCTTTAGTTACCTGTGCCGCTCTGTCTGATTCATTGTTCACCAGCCTCGAACATGACAAGAGAACCCCAGCCACGATACGCTGTTCACCTCCTCCTACGGCCATTAAGCTGTAAGACACTCCTCAGGCTTTCTCGACCTCCTGGACGCCTACTCCCCCCTTCCCTGACGCTCCAACCTCAATAACCTCGACTTTGGCCTTGTCACCTTCCATGATCACGGCAACTTCTTCGAGCGACGGCCCACGCGTTTCCGGATAGACGAAGAAAATGACGGTCGTTTCCACCGCAAGCCACGCCACGTACACGATATAATATTTCCATGTGATATCCTGAAGCCCAATTGGGTTGACAAACTGGTTGAAAGAGCTGCCCCCGCGAGAGAAGAACTGCGTAATGGCCACACCCTTGCTCCGATGGATAAACGGGAACACCTCGCAGATGAAGATGTAGGTGAGTGGCATCATGAGGTTGTAAAAGCCGTAATAGATGAAGATCAATGCAACCACAGCGGTCGCAGCTGAATGGTTCGAGTGGTCTTGTGCGTACACCGCAGAAGCCGCAGTCCAGCAAGCAAAGAGCAGTGTCATGCCACAGTACGAAATCAAGTACTGCCGTCTCCGCGGAAGAATGTGAGCCAGCAGAGCCCCCGTGACCCCAGTCACCAAGTTCCAACAGGAGAGACCGAGATTGATCTCATTCTGTGTCCTTTTTTTGGTGATCCCAACAGTGGCTAGGACTTTACTCAGGTAGTAGCTGACGAGGCCGTTGCCTGACCACTGCGAGAACAAGCCGACGCACGCCGCAATAAACACTCGCCGACGATTGACGCCAGATGTCACGAGCTCTTTCCATGGTCTCTTGGTGTTCTCGATTTCCAAGCGGATAGTTTCCCGGATCTGATGGAATTCTGCTGCGACCAATGGACTTGAACGATCGCCTTCCGCATGGTACTTGATCAGAATTTCTAGAGCTTCTTCATGGCGGTCCTTTGAAATCAGGAAACGTGGGGACTCTGGGACAAACCTGGAAACGTCAACCTGTCTGTATAACCAAAAGGTATTGCTGCTCACCAGATAAAAATTAATTGCAACGTCGAAGGCAAGAGCTGCAGCAGCGACGGCAATCGCCAGCTCCAGTTACTCTCCCAGGAGAACGTTCCCAAGGTAATGCCCGCGGCCAAGATCGCTCCAGCATACCAGCTTTCGTTGAAAAGGCCAGTAATGACAGACCGTTCTTTGGGGTATGTCAACTCGGCAATGAGTTGGGATGCTCCGCTAATTGCGTATACAATTCCCATCCCAAGGATAATTCTGGCCACCAAGAACATCGCGACTGGTTGGCCGTGTCAGCGGATGAAGGAAAGAAGCGGTCGTTGAGTCACTTACTGTCAACCGCTGCAGCCTGCAGGATAGCACCAATTGTTATAACCACACTTCCAACCACGATGCAGGCCTTGCGGCCGAAACGGTCATTAACATAGGGAACGAGCGGCACCGCACACACGGCTCCAATGGAGAAGGCTGCAGTAATCACACCTAGGAGGGCGCCGCTCGGATTGTTGAAGTCTAGTGCAACGAATTAGATGCGGACTGCTTCGAATGTCGGTCGACTTACAATCTTCCCAGGGCTGGACAGCCTGAAGTCCATTGAGCACGCTCCCGTCGAAGCCACTAGTGGACTCAACTCCCAAACTTGTTTTTGCTAAGGTTAGCAACTTTTCAAACCAGGAGCGGAGATCTCGGGCACTGAAGATCGATGGTGAAACGAAAGGCAGCACTCTGTCATGGATTTAAGGAGGGACCACACTCACGCCGCGGGGACAAGACACAGATAAAGACGTCGAAGATTCTTCTTCTTGTACCATGGTGTCTTGTCTTCTTGGACTAACCGGGTGATTTCAGACACATGCGCAACATCCCTAGCGGAGATATCATGACCGGCGACTGCCTTCGACATGCTGACTTTGTTTGTTCGGGTTCGCAATAATGGAGCTCAAGGAAACGTCGTTACCCTGTGATGTGGAAACGGGGCTGGATTGTGCATGAACGCATGGGAGCCAGACGGATCTTATGTAGGGAGACAATGCTGGCATTTATGTCCCTGGTCCATCTGCCGAAGCAAAAAGCCCATCACACTTGTTGACCTCAGCCTTGTGTCCCCATTTCCCCACGGACTGTCCCCACAAGTCCCCCAATTGATTGGAGTCGACACCGGAACACCGATACCAAGAAATGAATTTAGGCAAGAAAAGATTGAGGCAGAAAGGCAAGTCGTCTAGGATCTCCGGAAAACGCCCGAATATCACGCTACCATCTTCGCTCATGCGGGAAGGGTCGAGTTGAATGTACATCGAAATGCAGCGGCAACTGCGTTTGCTCAATACAGGGTGCTCTCGCCTAATCTATTTTCAGGTAGTCTTCGACGCGACAGCGGCGTAGTCGGACATGATCTTGTTCAGGCCCTCCCTTTGGACACAATTCTCGAAGCTGAAGCTCCTCGCTAGCTCCTCCAGAGCACCTTCATCCTTGTCGCGAAACAGCTCGGCAAATTCCTGACAAAATGTCTCCGCAAGGAAGGTTTGCAGGACGGCACGCTCGATGTGCCTTGCAGTGTTCCACGTGGATGGGTAGACATTCTTCGCCGTTGGCGAGACAGAGTCTATCCAGCTGATGAGGGGCAACATCACATCGTCGACTTCTTTGGACGGATACTTCCCCCATGCGTCCAGCTGCAGGCGCTTCTTCTTTTCCAGTATAGGCTCTATCAGTTTATTCCAGGGCGAGTCGGGAGACGTGTAGACCATGCCTTGCAGGCCGACGTCCTTGAAGAGCCAGATAGACCACGGAATTTGGAATTTGTCATAGATCCGCATCTGCTCGCCCAGCATATTGTATCGTTTTTGGTTGATCTCTTCGGCGTTCTCATCCCATTTAGGGTTTGCGTACACGGGCCCGAATTCGCCATTCCAGATTGCGGTTTTATGACTCCTCTGGAACTCGGACTTGCGCAGGAACTGCGCCTCCAATCTCTCCTTTTGCTCAGAAGTCCCCTCGTACGGGCGTCCAGTGGGAAAGCCCATCATACTGTAATCATGCAGGGCATAGACACAATTTGGGAGGACTGTGTTAAAGCCCTTCCATTCAGCTGCGAATGTATTCCCGTCAAGCCACAGAATGTGATCTGGATCAACGGCTCTTATTGCTTTCTCCAGTCGAGCATAAAAAGCGGGCAAGCGGACATGTTTTGGATCACAAGGTTCATTAATAGGGTTGTATCCCGCTATCCAGGGGTTGCCTTTGTAGCGGTGTGCAAGCTGCTCCCACAGCCAAACCGTTCGGTCTTGATGGTCCTTATAATCCCAGAATGCGGCATAGCTCGTGGTGTTATCGGCATGCCAGCCAGGGCTTTGGCCACCGGGAACAGTATGCATGTCCAGGATGGTATAAATACCCTCCTTTGCACAGAGGTCAATCACCCGATCCAGGTGCTTGAAGCCGCTTTCTTTGAGCACACGGGGATTCATGTCGTCTTCGAAGTGTCGATAGTTGAACGGAATGCGGATGCAATTCAGACCTAGTGACTTGAAGAACTTTGCATCGGCTTCTGTGAAAAAGTAGTATAGCCATCGGTCGAAGAAGAAGTCGTACTTCTTCTGACCCATGACCTCCAACATCGCAGTGCGAATGCTTGATTCGTGACCGGGGTAGCCTACGATGAAGTTTTCCATACTACTCCATTCTTAGATGATGCAAGCCAAAATCGAAGGGAGCTTACTTGAGCCATCCTCCGATAGCACAGCCTCGCAAGATGACTGCATTTCCGCCATTGTCGACCACCTGGGTGTCTTTTACCTTGAGTATTCCAGTCGCCATCGTGGCCGTTGACATGAGTGAAGCTAGTCAATCAGTTGCTTCTGATTCAATGTGAACGATGCGCTCGACAGAGAAACTCTGTGCGCTCATTGCTAAATCCTATTATGGAGGGTTTGTATTTCTCCGATTCATGCAAGGCTTGGAGGCTGGCCAATTTAGGCTGAAATTGAATGCAGTGGCCCAGAACCGGAGGGAACGATAGATAGGCGTCCATCGGCGTCCATCTCCGATTCAGCCGGCATTCATCATGCTCAGAAACAAAGACCCACCTTTGACTTGGCTTACTTGACGGATCTTGCGACTTTCTTTGAGAAACGATTGAAGAGAATGAGGTAGAGCAAGGGGAGAGGCAAGAGGGCAAAAGAAGAGGACAATCTGGTGAATGGCTGTCGAGCCAGATGGCCCGCAGTAGCCAAGACTAGGGTGGACCAAAATGTACTTTCGCGTCTCAAATTGCTTGCAGCGGAAAGTACATACCTCGGCTATCACAACTCCGAAAATCCGTCGCCTTGATTGGTGCAACTGTTAACTACATATTGTCCCTACAAGCTCGCAAGTTCACTCCGCCAAGGTACCTAGGTAGGTAGGTAGTTGGGTAGACTTGTGGTGACACCCATTGTGCCGAGTTGCTCGTTCTGCCAATTTTCTTCGACATTTGCTGTGAATCCTGAGCGAAGCCCCCTATAATTCTAGCCGTCTTGCTACTCTCAGAACAACAACCAGTTAAACGCGCTTGCCCTTCAGTCGAGCCGGAAAAGTAACGAAGAGATGCAGTGTATCTTGGGAGAGCGTAAAGGATGGATTCAGCTGTGAACCAGCAATTACTTCAAGGTCGTGGTTAATCTGATGACCCCAAGGACATTCTGGGCTTCTAATTGTTATTTTCCTTCCCTCAGACCACAGGAACTGCCGAGATTATCGAGCTTATGTATTTGGGACAATGTCCCAGTCCCTGATGTCCAGCACAATCATGTGTCCCGGAGCATGGCCTATGACAGGTCCATCCAGGGCAGCTTGTCGTACTGCTTCTTGTGGCGTCACACCACATCCCCAGAAGACAGGGACAAATTCCTCGGACTCAGCACCAACGCCTCGAACGAGGGGGGAGCCATCAGGCAATATTGGGCTATCTCCAAAGTCTGGCTTACTGATGTCCCTGATCCCGAGGCGAGTTGCGGCATCCCATCCCCAGTCAATTGGTTCACCATGAGTCGCGACATATGTGCGTGTGACATCCCTCACCTTCTGGACGTCCTTTCTTTGGTACGGTCTCATTGACACCACATATGTGGATTGACTGAACACACCGGCGGGGCACAGAGGAAGGGTCGTTCGGTACATTGGTACGTTCCTACCATGTGCCATATGGGGAGGAGCCAGCCCTTCGGTGGCAAGTGCGGCTTCAAAACTGAAAGAACAGCCGATCAAAAAGCCAACGTGGTCTTCGGTCCACACCGCGCCAACGTCGCCACAATGAGACTTGACCAGCTCCCCGTCTTGATACAACATGTACTTGGGAAAGTCATAGCGAAGATCGAGATCTTCTGCGATGTGATTTCCGTTCAAGCCGGGTACCCAGGATTTGAGCTCATCCCACATCCCTGCCCTCAGCGATTCTGCCAGCAGGGGACATGGAACCGGGTTCCTTTGACATAACAGTCTAAAATCGGCCGCAAACCTCGATGGCAAGGCTATCAGATTTGCCTGAACATAGGTGGGCGCTGCGCCAGAAGTCGGCTTATCGTAAACGCCGGACCTCGCAGCGAGACGAATGCTTTTGCCCGTTTCTTGGGTGCTTGACTCTGCCTTGGCAGCTCTGTGCAGGTTCAGCTGGTCGACGGTGTGATCGAGTACAATCGGAGCCATTACAAACGATGCTGGCCGGCGACACTCGAGATCGAGACAAATAGTTGCCGGCAATGCTCTTAAAACAACGATCAACGACTCCGCATACCGTCTTCCAGGAGGAAATACAAATTGGTACTCTTGAGACGAAAGAAATGCCGTCTCGTTCACCCTTGACTTGTCAAACGAGGTCGCTCTTCTCCGGTCGAAGGCAACGTGGCATACGTCAATGGGACAGCGATCGGCAATCCCGGTAGGAATGAAATGACAATTTGATGAAGCGCTGTCCTTCTCCTGAACACTCGTGTGTTCCTCTAGTTAGGGACCGCTTTTCGGTGCTACTCTACCACTTGTTTTTCAGCGTCACCTCGGTAAAGTGTTCCCAACCGCCCTGCGATTCGTGGGGACTTGACCTCTCTCCTGGCCTTCTCGAGGCGCCTTCTGCATCTTGACTAAAGATCATTCTATGTCATGGCGATAGAATCCTTCACACCTGGTCAAAGGGCATACCAAATACGAGAGTCTTGAGGTACCGAATGTCATCACCGATTTCTCCGTCGTCGCTCGCTCGCTGTCGAACTGTGCTGTGAGCAATAAGATAAAGGATTCCAGCCCGTACTCGACTCAGAAAAGAACATATCTAAGCGAGGCCGGGCGCAATCAATAGGCGTTGCAGGCGAGGAAGAGCTGAGTCGAGGCAACCCACGCCTTCAGCAATGTAAAAGGAGAAACGGAAGGAACATTCACTGTGTACTTGAGATAGCTGTTCAAGGCGTCACTGGCCGTTCCTGCTGCTTAATGGCTCACTCTAGAATCGCGGATTTAAGTAGGTCTCTCTCTTAAGGGCTGAGAAATATGGTCTTGTATGGCATTCCTCTCCGAGGTGATCGTCTAGCGCCTCCTTAAGAAATCCCCACCAGCTCTCCTCCGAGAAAGACGGGCTGTTTGTTGCAGAAGTTTGCGATGTCTCCAAAGACGGGCTTTGCGTCCTCCGAAGACAATGCCGCACCCAGTTGCTCAGGCGTATCAAAGATCAATGTCGCTCCCACGCCGAACTTTGGCTGCGCGCCATCCGCACCGGGCTTGTATTCTAGCACTTCCCATCTCTTGAGACCATGCTTCCCGAAGCTTTCCATCACCAGAGGCATATGGGTTTTGAGGTAGTACGACATGTCGAACTTGGTGTCGGGTTCATTCGGGTAGAGGACCGTTGCGTGGAAAGGCATTTCGAGAGCTGGTGGAGTGAAATCTGGGAGAAGCAGTCGGTTGTTGAGGGTATTCTTGTCGGGAAGATAATGGATTAGGCCTGATGTCTTATTTTCGCCGGTGTCGCACTCAAGAAGTCCTGGCTCCCCATCGAGAACGAGCACCCAGCTGATGTTTATATCAATGCATCAGGATGTGCGGGGAACGGCAAGATTGAACGAGGGGCTGGCTGAGGCGCGGCATGGACTGTCGACTCGTTCGTCCGGACGATTGGATCGTCCGGCACCGAGGTAAAGTGTATTCCCTGACGCTCCCTTGCCGAATCGTTGGCTTCCAAGATTCTCAAAGAACTGCCCGTTTCGGTAGTGTATCAGAGCTGCTTCCCAATCGTAAACCGGGGAACGGATTCTTTCTGTGCTAGCTAGCAGCGAACAACACTTGTCGAAGACCTGGTGCCGAGTTTCGTGGCGTTTACTCGTGTCAGCTGGGATTGAGGAAGGTTTTCGTACACTGGTACCTCTGTGCTTCATCAGGCCGAACACCTTCCGTGTTGGGCGTCTTTCTGCTTAGTTTGGCAAGTGTTTCTGCCGAGAGGGTCGGTGCCCTTCTACCGCTGACGAGGATGGATGCGTCGCACACCTACCTATCTGAGCTCATTTGATGGACTGGTGTCTATTACTTTCCTTCGAGCTCGACGAGAGAAGAGAACAGCAGGAGATGGTACAAAGTGAGAAGAGGGAGGTGATGAAGCTCGGATTATGAAGTAGTGAGTGCAGCATCTGACCGCACTTGGTGCAGGTGGTGCAGATTGTGGGGCCTATTGTAGCCTAATAGCTACATACAGTACCCAGTAGTAGCCTAATGACATGCTGACCTGCGCCAGCCCTTATCGATAAGCGAGTTTCCACTCAATTTTTCGCCTTCTCTTAGATGTTCAAGGATGTTCTGGTCGTCCTTTAGCATGTTGTGTGTAACGTCGAATAAGATCAAGACACCAATTGTCTTTCATATGTGATGGTAGGCCGATTATAGGCCATTGAGATGTCGCAACTGACCAAGCTACCACCAGGCTCCTGTTCGCGAACCGCCAGCGCGGGGCGTGCGACCTTCGAAATCTATCCTGAAAAAGACCCCCAAGACTGGTGTATCAAATGCCGCACCCGAGGCCGAACCGCTCTTCGCCTCTTCGAAGAAGGACAAGCGTCGAATCAAACACGCTGAGCTTATGAACAAAGTCACGAAATCTGCCGCCAAAAAACCTAGACGAAGGCGACCGAATAACAAACTTGTCACAGCCCTAGATGCCCTGGCAGCCGCACTTCCGGATGACAACGAGCTAGAGAACAATGGCACACGGGCGACGGGCATGTCAACAGGCAACCAGCCTCCAGACCAAGTTAATATCATCAGGCGAAGGAGTATGAAGTCCCGGCCGGGCGCAATGAAGAGGAGGGAGAAAGTCGATAAAGGCGAACGAGATCGATTTGCGAAGAATATGGCGCAACTTGCAACACCCAGGTCCCTTAACGAAGCTGCGGCGCAGACTTCTAGGGACACTGCAAATGGGGCAGGCAAGACGGTCCCCATACCGTCGACAAGTGAGAGGTGGGCCGCTCTGAGGGGTTTCATCTCTCAGACGTTAGAGACAAATCCGGAGTTGAAGAAAGTCACATCTTGAGAGGACGCGAGGGTGTTTGCAACAGCCTCTTGAAGTTCGTGGTGAAGCCTGTCACCTTAACATTTCCGAGTCTATCGTTGAATGGCTCGGTGGGCTTGCGGCCGCAAGCACGTGTTGGCGAGGAACATTGATCTTGGGACAGGCAAGAGGAAATGCCGTGCCGTTCTTACCTTTGTTGTGCTCTGCGCCAGGAAATGCCCAATGCAAAGCAAGCTGGTCCTCATCAAGGGGACGTGAGCGAAGACATTAGTTGGACTCCGTTTGCCGGAAAGCGCATTGGAACCTGAAGGGCGATCAGACGTTGCTTGTGTTTCGAGCATTAACACAGTGGACATGATCTCTGTCGTGTTTTTCAGCCCAATCTGCTGCGGTCATCGAGGAGTTATTGCCCGCTTGAATCACCTTGACAAAGGCAAATCCTGCTTCCGACATCTTCAGCAGTCAACAATAGTTACAGGCTCCACACGGAAAAGCAGAACTAACATGATTATATGCGCTCACTTGATAGGATCGGGTGGAATTCTCATCAAGTCATACCAGGATTGTTGCACACCACGACAGCAGTGAAAGGCCAACAACTCGGACTTAACCATTTCGGAGATAAGAATCTCACCTTCGATATCATGACGAATGGCATTGAGACTGCGAGATGACTTCTGCTTTCGTTCTTGTAACAGCTAAAGGTCCAGTTCGAACTACGAAGCTCGTATCAAGACTCTAGCCAACATGGCACCAACAGGCTGGCTCGATGTCCATACCCATTTCTTCCCTCCCCTGACAGACGCACAAGCGGAGGAGATGGCTCAAGCACTTCGCAACGGGAACTTCATGGTATCTGCATCGTCGCTGCATTGGAACGTTGAGAACATCATTCAGTACAATGACGGTGCTAGTGTACAAATGTCGCTACTCAGCTACTTACCCTATCCGCACGAGAAGTTGAGAGCTGCCAATGACCTCGGACACAACATAGTGAAGAAATATCCTCAGCGATTCGGGCAGCTTGTTGGTCTTCCTACCGATGACACAGAAGCCTGCCTTTCAGAGATCAGAAGAGTGGAGCAATGGGACCTTCGGCCTGATGGCTTTGCAACAACCACGTTGTACAACCAAGTTCCTCTGAGTGATTCAAGACTCGAACGGGTTTGGCAAGTGCTGAACCGCCGACATGCGGTTGTCCACATACATCCAAACGCATATGTTGCAGGCACGTACGGAAAGCCTAGCCCACTGATCGATGTGGCGTTTGATACGGCGAGAGTCGCCACTGATATGCTATACAAGGGGGTGTTCCGACGATTTCCAAACATCAAGTTCATCTTTGCCCACTGCGGAGGAGCACTTCCAGCTCTTTCCGGACGGATCAGCCTCCTAGGAACAGAGTCCTGGGTCCCAAATCCAGAAAACTTGACACGAGAGGAGATCGAGGAGCAGCTATCAAGTCTCTATATCGACACAGCCGCAACAGCTAAAACTGGGCTAGCTCCTGCTGCAAACATGGTCGGCATTGGCCATTGCCTTTATGGATCAGACTGCGGAGTCCCTTGCTCAACCCCACGCACCATGAATGAGAATAAAGAAGACGTCGAAGCTTTTGAGAGACGGCAACGGTTACCAGCCGGCACTATCGCGAAGAACACATGGGGGCTCTTTCCCGCCGCAGCAAAAAGAGCCGAGCAAGGCGGTCCGCTAACCAAAGATGAACATTGATTATTGTTCTCGACAACCATTAAATCAACTTGGGCATCTTAAAGCTCCCGATTCGTAACCGGGGGTAGCAGGTTGGATGTTCAATCCTTGTACTTTTCAGCTTCTATCGTCTGGAGCAAATTTATCGTTCCAACGACCCCTGAAATGTTTCTCCGCACCAAATCTACTGATCAATGCTACTTCTTTCTCTAGTAGTGACACATCCAGAGCGAGCAGATGATCTTTCATACGAGCCTTGTCAGTTGAAGTTGTCGCCACCGCAATGCCTTGCTGTAACGCCCATCGTATCAAAGCAACAGCGGTGCTGATTCCATGTTTCTTTGCGATCGACTCCAAGTCACTATCAAGTGGACCTGGACTCGCTCTAACAATTGGCGATAAGGGTGAGAAGGCAAACGTTTGTATTCCTTGTTTCTTGTGGTATTGCTGCAGTTGGGTTCGTTGTAGATATGGATTCAATTCGATCTGATTGCACGCTGGCCTTATTCGTGCAGTTTCCAATATTGTCCTGATGTGGTCTTCAGTAAAGTTCGAGACGCCGATGGCGCCGACTTTGCCGGAATCATAGATGGTCTCGAGCTCGGTCCACGCTCCCTGAAGATCCGCGTTGGATTTGGCAAAGTAAGGGTGATGAAGCAGGTACAAGTCGACATAATCAACGCCTAGTCGTTGCAAAGTGCGATCAAATGCCCCTTGGACGTCCGACATCGTGAAGACTGGGGCCCCCTGTCAGATTTGCGGCCTACATCAAGTGGCTAAGATCCACGCACCTTTCCCAGTGATGTAGATCTCTGAGACCGGGACGCCCGATTGCTTTATCGCCTCTCCGACTTCCCTCTCCGTGTTATATACTGGAGTCAGGTAAACAATTGAGAATGAACGGGGCGGTTGTTGCAGTCCTCACGCTCGGCCGTGTCAAGGTGACGATACCCCAACTGAAGAGCCTCCTTCACAATCTCGATAAGTCCAGTGTTGAGGGCCTCGGAATCCTCCTTTCGCCACGTTGAGCCAGTTCCAAATGCCAGCTGCAAAAATGTCAGTCTGAGATCAAGGCATTTCTGGGGATCTTTTCCTGAGTTACCATGAAAGAGCCGTCCAAAGCCTTGGGCTTGTGAGCAGACATCTTTGTATACTGAATCGTTCAAGAATGTTTCCGCACTTCACTCTTTAGTGATTGATCGGTACCTCTGCGAATGATGGAAGTCGACACGAAATGGCCTACATATACAGCTCCGACCTCGGTCGTCCTCGTGACAGGCAGAGTGGTGAGTGTCCGTCGGCGCATAAGGCGTGATGGCATATCAATTCCTGATTACTCTTCACGATTCTGTCGCGCTTGAACAGCCTGCACTCCTGGTTGGGTGTTGGGGCTGCAGCCTAATGTTCGCCATTGCAACCGCTTAAACAATTAACGAAACACAGATTGTAGAAGCGAGACATTCAAAGTCACAGGGGAGCAGTTCTTCCCATGTTACCACGGACACTAGTGAGGTCGATTCGATGGTTGGGATCGAATATGCGAGTTCATCGGACGAAATTCGGCCATATCTTCCTTCGTGTCTTCTCTTCAGCATATATTACTATTCACCCCCGGAATGCTTGGTCATCTCCAGTACGTTCCCGTCTAGGCTCTCGGTAGGCACCTCATTCTTACTGGAGGATTCCAATGTTCCGCAAGTCGTTCTCTAATCACATCACATTTTGCCGTGCAAGGCGAAATATTCGGACCACTTGCCAAATCACTACCTGACGAGGAACAACGGTGCCAGGATACAAACTTGCGAGGCTTGCTCTAATCCAATGCTTTGTCATCTGTGCGATCGGGACCGCATCATTACGAATCGAGAGCCGTTGTGTGCTTGGGTCATTGCGTGCCCCCTCTTAGGCCAGTTGTGGACTCTATGTTGACCTCTCTACCTGGTAGGAGGATCCGTGCGCGACGAACACCGAGCCCTAAATTGGAGTCCCTGCTTGGTCATTGCAGGAATATCCCCTAGCGTTGTTGAGGTTTCGAATATGTGACTTGTTCTTTCTGTTTGCGATGGGCTAAGCCTCTCTCACGTTGCTTGGTCATCTTTGCTGGCTGCAGGACACTCCTTTCGTCTAGCTACAGTGAAGGAGGTCGGAGTCTCTCAAATTTATTTTGTATAAATCATAAGACGAGCTCTCCTCCGAATCTCTTCCAACTCCACAACAGACATATTCCTCGGTCGAAAGATTTGGCTATCTGAACATACTTCAGAGACACCATAATCATGTTCAAATCAATCCTCCTAATCGGCGCCATAGGTGTGGGTAGTTTTGGTGACTATGTTGCTCATGAGCTCATCAAGAACCCAACAAATTTCACTCGCATTGCCTTCTTCAACAACACTTCGAGGCCCGCCGACGAAGCCAAAAAGGCCCGAATTCAAGAACTGAAAGCACAGGGATTTGAAATCATTGAGGCAGCTGACTATGCTTCCCCAAAAGCATACGAAGGCTTCGACTGCGTGCTGAGCTTTCTCGGAAATCACGGTCTATATCTGCAGCCGACCATCATCGACGCGGCCATCGAGGCCGGAGTCCGCCACTTCTATCCGAGCGAGTACGGGGCAGATGTCACTGAAGGCCAGAATTGGACCCAGCGCTACTACAAGTATAAAGTCCAAACCAGAGAGCATCTTGAGGCAAGAGCTCGAGATGTCCCTGACTTGGGATGGACCTACTATCTCCTTGGACGATTGACGGAGTGGTCCGTAATCTCGCACTTTGGCTTTGACAATAAAAACGCCAAAGCAAAGATCTACGGCACAGCAGCAGGGAGACAAAGCTTGATCAGTGCTGGAGATAGCGCCAGATACCTCGTCGAGACATTGAAAGAACCACTTTCTCCCGAGGCGAAGGGGAATCGAAGAACCTATCGCATCTCGGGAAGCAACCCTACGTACGCCGAGATATTTGAGGTCCTCGAACGAGTGACGGGCAGAAAGTACGACGTCGCTTATTTGGATGTTGAGAAAGCAAAGCAAGAGGAGGCACAAGCACAGGCCGCAGGCGATGTCGATGCAGAACTGGCGGCGAGCCACAAATTGATTCAAGGAAGAGAAGGGACACTCCTACCGCAGCCGTGGGACAATGACCGCTTCCCACAGATCCATCCCAAGGGTGTTGACGAGACACTCCGCGCGGCCTTTGCGTCTGAGCACGCGAAGAAGGTGTATGGGCTGGAGTGATCCTTTGATTACAGCTTCACGCTTGAACGACATAGTGCAGATGGCCTACTGTGTGCTTTACACTTTCATAGTGGATGTCAGGTACCTCTCTACCTAGTTAACCATTATCGGTTGAAGTCCCTCAGACCTGCAGTTTCAGCTTCAGCAGATCCTTCTCGACTATCTCATCCCTTTTACCCCAAAGCTGTTGCATATCCCATGGTGCATTGACGTATCTCCCGGCGAGCCTGAAGTTCGAAGTTCGAAGTCAGTTCTCTGTGTCTACGTCCTCGCTGATCTAGGATGCTCAAAGAAATGAATCACTCACCAATTTCTCCGTTCCCGCGTCAACCAAACCAGGGTGTCTGCGGGTAATTCCGGCTCCGCCACCAGAAGGTGATGCATGTGCTCCGGCATTGCGGTTCCAACCTCTGTTTTCACGCCACCGGGATGGACTGCGTATGCCAGTAACCCCTAGGGAAACGGTCTTCGTGTCAGCGCGGTTCTATTTGAGCAGGCAAAAGCCAGTGCCAAGCAGAAGGAAGCATACCTGATCGCCATATTCTTTCATCAGGAAATCGTTGAATCGTATCTGCGCCGTCTTGGTGCCTTGGTATGCACTGCCCCCGGCCCTGCGGTTTTCTGTCAGTCCTGCTCTCCGCTTGACGAACTTCGGCATTTAGAAAGGACGCACGAGGTGGTCAGTCCTCCAGCGCTGGAAATCACTACCATCGTCTTCTCCTTCCCCTTCAACAGCAGCGGCAGCGCCGCACGGCTGACAAGAAACGTGCCCTTGACGTTCACCTCCCAGGTTGACCACCAGTCTCGCACATCCGTCTCGTGAATGGGTTTCCACGCCTCCATCCTCGAAGCGTTGTTGATGACCACATCTAGCGTGCCGAACTCCTGTTCCACGGTCTTCATTGCTCTGTCCACGGCAGCGACATCCGTCGTGTCGACTCGCAGCTTAAGCACCTTGGGCGTCTCTTTGCGGCCGGCTTGTTTCGCTGCTTCAATAACCTCTCGGGCGACGCTGTCGAGGTCTGAGCGCGCCAGTAATGCGATTGCTGAGGCGCCGGACTTTGCGAATGAGATGACTGTTGCGCGCCCAATGCCTTTACTAGCCCCTGTGACCAAGATTCTCAAGTTGGTAGCCTCTCCCTTGAGCGGATTGATGAATTCGTAGGTGTCATCGTGCCGCGTGGGCACGAAGCTGAAGCCTGCCGGGACATTTGTAATTTTGGACATGTTTCTGCGCGAGTGATGTTGTCACCGAGAGCAAGAGCGGATGGCCAGACAGATGAGCAATGTTACGTCTCCAGGGTGACCTCCTACCACTTTTTATATCCTCTCAATCAATATCAGTCGCTCTCCATCACGACACCCTGTCGGAAGCCGGTTTGTTCCCTCACCGACCATCCAGCCTTGCACTTTGCTGGATGCGGAGATAACAGCTTGGCATCTCCGCGTATCGCCCGAAGCGAGACAACTTCCAGAGATTCGCGCTGCTGTTCTCAGAGATCTGCCCCACGAAGGCGCCGGCGCCCATCGAATCAAAGCTTGGAGCCTTTGCGGTACGAGATCTTGCCATATTCGGCATAGTTGACCTGATCATTCGTTGCTGCCATAGGGTCAGTTCATTAGGGGAGTTAAGGAAAAGTCCAGCGTGGATGATACCATGACGCGGCGATGGTGGCGAGCTCTAAACCCCTTTGTGAACTTTTGGGGACGATGAGAGTCCATGGATGAATTGTGCAGAAGTTCAACAAGTAATGGGACATACTAGGACATATTACGCCTACCCGGTACTTATTATATTGTACTCGGTATTGCGGGGGTGCCTTAAATCGACGCTGGCTTGGCACCGGGCCTGATCCTCCCTCCACAGTTCAGCCGAGTAGCCGCTGAATCGGCCATGCCCCATACCATACATGATACCCCAGCTGCCATCGTGGTGCACTAGTTTGCTACCTAACTGGTATTGTAACGGAGGACTTCTGGGTTTGGTATGCACGTGCAACATCGCACAGGGGCCTGTCCGGCCGGTCGGAAATCGAGAATGCGTTTCTGGTCGGCGCTGGCAAGACAACACCACCACCAACAACCCCAACACCACTCACAGAGAGGCTCCGGCTAAGGTAACGAGCGCCTAGCACGGGGGCGGCGTTGAGGAGTGAAAAAGGATAGAAGGGATGCTCAGGAATAGTTAGGCGGAATCAAAAAACCATAGGATACTCTATGTAAACTGCAAAGAATGGCGCACGGCCAGCACTGTAAACTGTTAAGCACATCGACAGCGATGGCATGCTAGCACAGCCATTCTGTGACTGCTATAACTGTTGCCATGTCCCCTTGTTGATGCTTGAATGCTCAACAGCATCTTCCTGCCATGAAAGCCTCTCGTGCACAGCCAAAATCATACTGGTCCTTTTTGTCCTCACATGTGACCAGCCGAATCGCCTTCCTGCCACCCCCATGCTTGCACAACATGGCCACTCTGCCTGGTTACAGTACGTCTATTCCAGTTCAGAGTACCTCACCCCTTCTAACTTGGCTGACTTAGTTAAAAGGTCACCCATGCTTGCGGGCAGCAGGGGGCCTCTTTTGGTTTAGTAAGCATGCTTAGTAAATGCCAAGAAAAAGGCGCCCATTGACAGAAGGGAGACGGGAGCCAAGGAAGCTTGCCAATTCAGCCGCTGAGGAGGACAATTGCTAACTACCTCCTTCGCTACCTCGTAGCTAGTGTTTAACTCCTTCCTCTAAAACCCGGCAAGGCTCTCGATAGGGAGTACTCATGGGTGCTATGCCATCAGCCCAAGCAGCCTAATCGACTGCACACGGCTGACACGGCTCTTGCGTTCCATCTTCAAACTCGGATGAAACTTCTCAGGCAATGACCCTCTTTCGGCTGTGGCCTATAGGAAGCCTCGATATCGCTCCTGTTCATCCATTGCTTACATGGATGGTCAGCATCGGCTCAGGTAGCACTCTCAGGGGCACCCGTACCGCGATTGGATGACTTCTTGTGTCGTTTTATGCAAATCGGGTATCGGGGACCTCGACTGTTGCGTAAGACTGCGGAACCAGCAACCCACATATATTGCTTACACTTCCAGCACCTCTTTCAGGAAGTTCGAGAATGGCCTGAGCGTGATATCAGGCGCCACGGCATCGCGCCGTTCAAGACCCCAAGATGCGGTAACCCATGATCAAATTAGGGTAATATTTATCGGCAACTCGCCAGTATTCTTGCTCAGATAGACTCCCTGTTGTGCGGCTGAGACTGCAATATGCGGGCCAATAAAAAACTTAGGGCCGGCGGTTAGGTCACGGATTCAAACGCGATGACAACCCCTCACGGGTGTCACGGTCAATGCTTCGATGGGTCGGTTAGGTATATAAGATAGCAGGACTACTACGCATCATCACCTCGGATCCTGCAGCACCACAATCCCCAAGGCCATAACTGTGGAGTCTGAGCTCTTCGAGCACCCTTCAACATGCTCTGGTATCTTACTTTTGCTGTACTTGCAGTAGTACTCTATCTCGCACTTGGATTAAAGGGCCAATGGCCAGATGGGCCTCGAGGAGTACCCTTCATTGGAGTCTTGCCAGCCAAGAAGCAGACTCTCTACCACCAACTTACTAACCTGGTTCCGGGATATGGAGATTTCTTCTCGTTCAACATGGGCGGGTCCAAAGTGGTTGTCCTCAGTAGCCCAACGGCTGTAAATGACCTGATCATCAAGAAAGGCCAGAAGTATTCCTCTCGCCCTATTTCTTCGGCTCAGACAAAGATCATCGGTGAGGGAAGGTTGGTCCAGATGGAGTATGGCGACGAGTTCAGGGTATGTTCAGTCCTGCATCATCCATGACGATGTCCATCCTGCTGATACAGCAGCCATCTGCCTCTAGAAACATCGAAAAGTTATCCATGGCCTCCTTGGCATGCAGAACTCGAGGATCTTTCTGCCTTATCAAGAATACGAAAGCCGGCAGACTCTGAAAAATCTGTTGGAAAACCCCAACGCTTTCTACACAGAGGTAGCACGCTACTCAACCAGCGTCACTTTCAGCCTATTGTGAGTTGCTTCCCAGCCACTTGGGGCCGTACAGATCAACTTATCAAGAGATAGATTGGGTGCTCGTTTCGCACGCAGTGACACTCAGATTCCGGAAGCGATGCGAAACACCGCGCTTGACATGTTCAAGAGTGAGTTGATCCCACTGCAAGATTATTGATATCCAAAGTAACTTGATCCAAGAAATGCGCCCAGGCTACTGGCTGGTCGATTGGATCCCAGCGCTGAATTATCTTCCAGACGGCCTTGCGCCATGGAGAGCGAAAGCGCATAAGATTTTAGACAATGTCCTTGAATTCTGGGGAGTGTTCTATGACTCAATCGTGGCTCGAATGAAGAAGGGCGACGCGCCCGACTGTTTCCTGAAACGGTTCTTGGAAAGCCCCGAGATCGGCAATTTCTCAGAGGTCGACAAACGCGTTATTCTCGCCGAGCTACTGGCAGCGGGCTCCGAGACCACGGCAACAACCCTTCAATGGTTCTTCAAGGCTGCACTCGTCAGTCCGGAATTCATCAAATCCGCGCAGGAAGAGCTGGATCAGGTGGTCGGGCCTGACCGTCTGCCGCAGTTCGAGGATCGAGACAAACTACCATATATCGCAGCTATTGTTGAAGAAGTCCACCGATGGGCCTCTGTAGCGCCTCTTGCGTTCTACCATGCCACCAGCGACTCCGACAGCTACAGGGGCAAGACGATACCCGCAAGCACAACGGTGATCTACAATTCGTACGCCATCCATCACGACAGCCAATTCTATCGAGACCATGAAAAATTCATCCCTGAGCGATTCTTGCCGGAGAAAGATCCTCGATACCTACCTCAGTTCGCACACGCCCCCATGCACTATGGGTTCGGTGTAGGAAGGAGGGAATGCCCTGGAAAACATGTCGCTGATGCATCTCTCTTCATCGTCATCAGCCGGCTTTTGTGGGCGTTTAACATCGATCTGGGCTCCAACCCGCCTCCAGGAGACGGTATCGGTAAGTCATGGCCCTATCAAGTTCAACCTAGTTGCTGTCTTCCGTGCAACGGCACCGAAAACTGACCTGCAATGCTTTGTATAGTGGGAAGCATGCCGATCTGGAGGCCTGCCAAATTTACATGCAACATCACTCCAAGAAGCAAGAAGGTTGCGGACAAGATCCTCGCGGAGGCCGCAGTCCAGGATCCCGCGTTGCAAGTCGAAGATGCTGCACAGTACGAAGATGCAGTCAAGAGGGTTGTGGCGAAGCGTAGAGCTGGGGAATAATGTCCTGATTCCTGAGGATGGCCCAGCACTAACGGATGCCGAGGTTGATGGGGGTGGAGTCATCAGGGAACAGAGACAGAATCATGTTTGATTTCGCTTGGAAGGGGAAGGTTGCAAGGGATGGCCTGCCAGATTTGATGAACCGTTGAGGGTAATCTTCAAGGTGAAAACCAGCTAACGCCTCACAAAGAGCATAACGCTATGTATTCCTCACTCCACTATTCAGTCAGTTCCAGTCTTGCCAACTTTTGGGCGCTGAATCAAGAACAGGTCAAGTTCGCGCCTGAACTTGCTCTGGTGTGTTCCATCAGTAGCCGGACGAAGCAGGAGGACAAACGCCCTCAGGAAAGCTGCGAAACTCTTATCCACCAACACTGATTGCTCTGATCCACTATCGTCTCCGACCACATGTCGGCTTCCTGCTCGCACTCTGATGACCAGTCATATCGGAACTCGACGTACACAGCCACCTTTCCGATATATCGGTATTCCCCCTTGGAGAGAGCCACTCCAGCGCTGCTAACCATGTCTAGTCTGGCATGTTTCATCAAGCTTTGTCCAAGACGGCGAACAAGCCTCTCTTAGGCCTTGGCGGCGACGTGGCAACCAAGCCACACATAAGTGCTATAAGATTGCACACGGCCATTCAAGTCGCTCGCCAAGGTTTAGCCTGGGAACTTGCCATCTCGCCCTGTTCTACCATGGCGTTATGGTCTATTTCCAGTCTTGCGAGCCTCGTCACAACCTCGTATTTACGTGCAATTCACGCACCGGAACGCGTCCTCAACATATTAGTCTTTATTTTGACCCCAATTGCCAAGCGAAATGGTTTCTTGTAGCTGCCAGTTTAGGGCTTAGACTCAATGCTACCCCGTACTCGTATGTTCTGCGTATTCTAACAAGGCCCACTATGGACCCACTATGTACTTCAAGCAGTAAATATACCGGAGCTCGCCCGGAATATGTGCAATTGCGAACCAAAGCAGACATACTAGATTGTCACACAGCTTTAACGTCATTCTCTGGTAGGACGACTCCGTTGCGATATGAGTTTGTCGCTTTGTACATGACCACCATGTGGTTGGCAATATCCATCACGACCGCCGCATTCTGAGCTAACAGAACCTTGTGCGAAAATGAATCTCAAAAGGCACCATTCCGCTGGTTTGTGGAGGTGAAGCTTCACGAGCTTTCAGAGACGTTGAACTTTTGACCTGTACTCCCTCAACTTTACTTTGGGACGACTTCCTTCAATGCCAAGTGCGGCAGCCCGGAGACCTCCCGACGACATCCAGCACTTACGCAGCTTTCGGGCTTTGAGCACTTAATATAGCATCGAAGTGAGCCATGTAGCTATTTCCAAGGCAGCGACTGGCTGACTGGAATATGGACGTCAGAAATACTGGTTTTGGGGTTTTTGTGGGAAGTCCGACGTGCGAAACTTTGTCTCCTGTCCTCGCCGACCGGCGGAGATGGTAACAGTATATATTGATGTGTTATATCTGATGCAGTCCTTTCAACTCCCACAACTCACCTCTGAATACTCTAAAGATGAAGGCTTCGTATTTTTGGTCAACTGTTCTGATCGCGTTGTCCGTGAGCGGAACGAACGCTGTCGATGATGTTGGAGGTCAACCAGGAACTATCCCAGCCGAGTTTCCTCCGCTCCTTGGAGGCAACTCTCCATGGTTTCCAGGTAAATTCTTGCAATACAACAAACACAACAACTTGACAAGTCTCTGACTGAAATTTACTATTGCAGGTCCAAACGTAACTGAAATTCCGTACGAAATCCCTGAGGGATGCACCATCGACATGGCCTCGGTAACCAGCCGCCACGGTTCTCGTTATCCCGACCCAGCTGTTTACAAACAATGGCTGGGCCTTCGATCTAAAATCCAGAACTCTTCCGCCACAGGCCAGGGTGTGCTCTCTTTCATCTCTACCTGGAACCCCGCCCTACAAAATCCAAGCCAGGTCCTCACTCAGCTGTCCGTCGGCGGTTACAAGGAGCTATACGATATGGGCATCACATACCGCTGGAGATATCCTGGCCTATATACCGACAACGCGCCCTTTATTCTATGGGCAAATGCATTTTTCCCGACCTCGCCAAGAGTGATCGACTCCGCAAAGCTCTTTGCTCGTGGATTCATAGGCCCTAACGCAACTACACTTGGAACAGTGTACGTATTGAACAATACAGATCCCCGAGGTCTTGCAAACTCACTCGGCGTGTCCGATTTATGTCCCGCCTACAACGATACCATGGGCGGACCAGCAGCCGTCACGTGGGCGAACATCTACCTTCCGCCTATTGTGGCGCGGATCAACGCCCTCACGACACCCAAGGGAGCCGTCAACTTCAATACCACGGATGTAGCCATGATTCCCCTACTATGTGGCTTCGAGAGCGAAATGACCGGCAAAAGGAGTCCATGGTGCGACGTCTTCACTGAAGAAGAACTCCAAGCTTACGAATATTCTCAAGACCTTCGCTTCTACTACGGCCACGGACCCGGGTCTCTCAAAAACAGCACATTCATGCTTCCTTTCCTCTCAGCCCTAGTCTCGCGCTTCGTTGATGGACCAAACAAAACGTACACTTCCAGCGACGGCACTGCATTTACCCCTCCCCGTTTTATCGCAACCTTCACCAACGACGCTCAGATCAATCAACTTGTTAGCCAAATCGGCGTCTTCGACGGTCAAACACCCCTTCCACCGAACCGGATCCCCGATAACCAGAGATACATCTCATCCCGGTACGTAACCATGCGCGGCACCATTGGCTTTGAGCGACTCACCTGCACCGGAAATGGGAACCGCGGCCAGGCATCGGGCCAGTTTCTCCGCATTATCCTTAACGAGGTCGTATACCCTGTCGTGGGCTGCGACTCGGGACCTGGCCGCTCATGTCCATTGCCGGAGTACGCGCAGCTCGTGGCGCAGAAGCAAGCCCAGGCGGGTGGTTTCGTGGATGCTTGTTTTGGAGCTAACCAAACCGCTGCGAAGTTGGCGTTGGCAAAGGCGGGCATCACCGGCATCCCAAAGACGACTTTCTTGTCGGACTTGGCTGTGCCATTTGCATTTGTAGTCAAACCATGATAGAAAGATGGCATCGTCAGCAAACGCAATGCTTCCGAGGGCTAGCTTCCCCAGGCTGGGTGTTGCTGAGTGAATGGTTTGGCAATTCATAGTCGTAACGGTATTTGAAGTTTCTGGTACCGAGGCAGACCATATCTACTGTGCGACGCAAGCAGTCAACTGTAACGTATCTATGAAACGAATACGTATTCACTGACTTCGATTCTCTGTCGTCCTCGAGATCTGCACTGCATGGCACCGGATCTCGTATGGCGACTATCTATTTCCACTATATATTGATACTTCTTCCCCTTAAAACCACGTCCCCGCGCCTTTCTCTCATTGGACTAATTGAGGGTAATCTGTGTCTGGCGCAGTCACGACTAATCGTGATTGACCGAAATCTACAACTACTATCGATTGAGGATAAAATAATCCGTCTAGTCTGCTTCAAACATCAGCATTCAAGAGGGGTTTTAGGCAGTCATGGAATACTGTTTCGAATTTACTCCGTCCGTGTGAAATCTTCTAGAATGTCAAAGATGGCTGGAAAAGCATGCCCAACCTCCCAATTTCTAGGCTATATAGGTAGCCTACCTCGCCCGTTAGATGGGTAATCAACGACTTAAAACCTCTCGAGCACTGATACAGAACAAGAAGCTGATCGAGTGCAACACGCCTGCGCATTCGCCTAAGCGGCTTATATATTGGTCAGATGGAATAAACAGTGCCTGTGTGTGCTCTGTATCTTTAGGCATCCAGAGTAGAGCCTAATATCTGACTCTAAACTGCTTTGAAGAGACTAGCATAGATTCAGGAAAGGAGTGTGGGCGCCTGGCGGCTCCTCCGATGGGGCAGCGAATCTTTGACCCTAAGTTGATAGCATAATCACATGTCAGATATGCAAGGCTCCTGCTCTGTAATTCGTGATTGCTTAGGGCGTTATACGGGACGCCTCTTCAAACCCTCCTATAAGGTTTTGTGCAACTGAGATCCTGGATCCGTAATCAGAAGCTATGTCTTCTGATACAAATATTTAGACCCCTCAAGGCAGCTGTCGACGTAAAACATCGGCATAGCGCAAGGTCTTAAAGTATCTGTATTTATCTTGCATAGGTCCATGATAGCTTCATGTGATTGCCCTTGGTGTTTTTGGTTCTTGGAGCTACCGGTGTCTGCTGGAGGTAGCCCTACAGTAACCGCCTGAACTCCTCATTGTCAAACGAAGCATGGATTCTTCTCCAAGCATTAAAGAGCCAGTTTCACGTCTGCTTTGTACTGTTTTGTACGCAGGATACGTGCTTGGATTTTATGTGAGACACTCAGCCTGATACTGGAATCTATCGTGGTACACGATCAAGCAATGTTCCTTCTAACATCAAGTGACAAAGATACTTTCCCTGATCATCTATCGTGTGCGATTCCATCCGTTGGCGAAATATCCCGGGCCGTTCCTGGCTAAAGTCACGTCTTGGTATGATTTCTACTTCCTTGTCAAAGGCGACCGTCATATCGAAATTTGGCGACAGCACGAAATCTATGGTTCGTGGCACTCATTCCAATCTACCCACGTCCCTTAAATTCTGACGGCTACGGCAAGGCCAGTCGTACGCTACAGACCAAATTCGCTTTCGTTCAGCACACCGCGTGCCTTGCAGGATATATACGGGCCTCGCAAATCCAACCTGGTCAAATCTGACTGGTATAAAATTAGCCACGCCGCGACAAATGGTCAGTCCAACACCCACAGCATTGTAGATCGAGAAGGTCATGCTGTCAAACGCCGCATGCTATCGCACGCCTTCTCCGACAGTGCACTACGGTCAATGGAGGATAACATTCTGTATAATGTGCGGAGATGGTGTTCCTTGACAGCAGGACCGAAAGATAAGAACGATGCCGACGGGTGGACACAGCCCAGGAACATGGCCGCCTGGGCAAACTACTTGATCTTTGACATCATCACTCTGCTCGCTTTTGGCAGGTCCTTCGATTTGGTTCCACGAGAAGAGAATCGGTACGTGCTGCATCTGATGAATCAAATGATGGGATTTGTCTACACCGTAAGTATCTCGAACTTCTGGGCTGCGGCCAAACTTTTCGGCACCTAAGGGATTCCACTGACCCGCATTGCATGCTAGGCTGGTTATGCGCCCTTTTCAGTACTAGCTCGACGCATTATTGCGATCCAATGGCTGAGCAGGCTTATCGGGGGTCAAACGGCTCGTGATCAACAAAGGATGGTGGCTTTTGCACAAGAAGCAATCAATCAGCGACTCAGGGAACACAAGAATCAGCAGAGCCCACTCGAAAACGGTCCGGCTCAGAAAGATATCTTTTATTACCTTTTGCGTGCTAAAGACCTGCAAACGGGGGCATCCTTTTCCGAAACCGAACTGGGTTCTGAAAGTGTGCTTCTTCTTCTCGCTGGTGGCGATACCACGGCAAGTGTTCTCTCAGGCTGTATTTTCTATCTTCTGCACAACATACGCACTCTCCGCCGGCTCGTTGATGAGGTGCGCTCACAATTCGGCGATGTCGAAGAGATACGCCCCTCGAATCCGGCCCTCAGTTCCTTGGCATATCTTCGAGCGTGCATTGACGAGACAATGAGGATGTCGCCGCCGACGCTGGGGCCACTCACCCGCAAGATCTTGGATGGTGGCGCCATGATCGACGGCGAGATTTACCCTGCAGGGACGGAAGTGGCGGTGACTACCTACGTTCTTCAACACCGTGAAGAAAATTTCCCAGACCGCTTCTGCTTCCGCCCGGAGCGATGGATCGTGGACGAAAAGACGGGAGTTTCGGAAGACGACGTCAAGGCTGCGCAGGAGGCTTTTGCGCCGTTCAGCATCGGTAGCAGGAACTGTATTGGGAAGAACCTGGCCTACATGGAACTGAATACGGCGATTGCAAGGCTGCTGTGGCAATATGATGTAAAACTCGTTGAGAGTGAACCAACCGCAGAAGGGCGAGAAGATGGAGTTTGGGAGAGAAGAAGAAAGGGGGAATACCAAGTGTCTGATTTCTTCATTGCCGAAAGAGATGGTCCTGTGGTCGCCTTCAAGCCGCGTGAACTAGATTGACTCGTATTGGGCAGGCACATCGCGAGGGGCTATCTAGTTTTCACTATATTTCCTTCCAAAATCGCAAAATTAGATTAGTGGTCGCTTTTTTGTGGTCGATGTTTCTACGGTTGGTTGCTCTCTGGACGCCAAACAGCGGCCACAGTCGATCAGTTACCTAGTCATGGCCTCTGGCCATCTCCTCAACGCGCCTGAGGCTTGTCAAGCCAATTGCAAGGTTGCACTTCCACGACCGTGAATTACTTGATCATACCCTGGTGAAAAGGCGGCTGTCCAGCTTGCTAGGTCTAGGGTCTTTGAGGTCATTCCAAATGAGGCTAGTTTGCAATATCGTGAGAGAAGCTTGGCTGAAGCCCACCAGCCCCTCTAAACTTTAGTTGCCTTCACTAACTAGTTACAGTAGAATCTCCACATTATAACTTGCGACTTGGTGAGGGGGCAATTGGCGTATAACGTGCAACCTCCTTTGAGCTCCCCTGTATGTCACCTGGAATTCTCAGGTAAGCTTCCAAGTCACCGTTAAGCTCCCTCAGTCTCGAACTTTCTCAGATTTGGCCCTTGTCACCTGCGCGTCGCAAAAGCTATCCCCGAGAAGTTCCAAAACGTTTCTCTAAACCCATGAATCATCGCTCGATTTCTGCCACCCAGGTTGTCCCGGTAATGTTTTAGCCATTCGATGCTCTTGCCTTGGAGGTGGAAGTCCTGTATGATTCTGTCAACTGCTTTCCTCCGTTCAAGATCAGCAGCGATGGCTGTTTCACAAAAGCATCAAACCGAGCATCATCGCCGAGGTAAACCGCGCGTAGATAATTTTCAAGTATCCCTAACCAGAGGCTGACCCGTTTTTATATTTTTCGTTTCCTGAACTAAGGGCGTGGAACATCCAAAATCTTTCGTAAACAAGACAGCCGGGCAGAACCAAAAAGTTGGCTGACACATGCGCTTCGTATGGTATGATCTATTTGGAAAGTCTGGCCGAATCCCTCTCAGCGCTTCTTTATGGGCATTCGCTTTCGACCCAGGATCTTTCAAGCCGTGCCACCACGTACTTTCCATGTTCAGGTCGCACTCCCAGCCCTGGTGTGGCCTCGTTGAAACTAATTTGGATTTTCGCCTCGCGGGTTTTGAGCAACACGGACGACTTCCAATTGCCGTCGACTAGCCTGGTTCTATTTGCTCCCAACTTCACGAACAACATCCACTATTTCCTCTTGCTGTTCTCGCTCAAGCTTGCGAAACTTACGCACTACTTGCAGGGCTGCATAGTAGCTAAATGGCAGTGCGAAGAACCAGAGGCCGAAATTGATACTCGCCGTGGCAATCAGTGCGGTCGGGACTGCCTGCACTCCAAACCCTACAGCAACTCCTGCTGTTTCAATTCCTCGAAGGAGAGAGCTGTACCGAATTTGGTCCCCAGGAGAGTCAGAAAGATTGCTAATGCACCAGTAGATATAATTTTCGACCATTCCGAGACTGATGCGCTCGAACATGTACAGTCCAAAACCACGTCCAAAGGTATTTTGATTGCCCCAGTCCAACGTAGGGTTTGAATGACGGTATTCGTTCTGGATGATCACCGCCCAGATCCAAGTGGCACTATTGAGCATGGCTATGAGGATGTAAGTCACGATAGCTCGCGTCTTTCGGTCCTTTGACCATGGTAGGTCGACAAGAGAACCGCAGAGCCAGGTAGCAAGCGTGCCGACAACAGCCGACATGAAGCTCCCTAACGCACGCGACCTGACCGTAAAGTATGTTGCCAGATATGTGCCAGGATATGCTTGAATCCATCCAAAGTACCAGAACAAGGGCGTCAGCAAGAGGATCGACTTGCTCCTGACCAGACGCCACATCTGTGCGAGCTCGGTCTTCCAATCGATACCTCTCGCGGCTTGAATTTGGGTGCCATCGTCGCGCTGCACTTTCTCTGGATTCGAAAGCAGCAGGCCAAAGAAGAATCCAAGGCACTGAATGGCGATGAAGGCTTGATAGGTCTTGTAGCCAACTTTGCCACGATGATTGGTGGTGTGATTCATCGCGAGTGAAATGGCACCACCAATGATGTTCCCAAAATTCCGGAAGGTGAACCATGTCGCAATGTAACGGCCTCTTTTGTGTTGTTCTGGGTACCCGGTGGCAATGGCGCCTTCGACGCTCCAAAAGAAGCCAGCACTGATCCCGCAGGTCACAGCACCCAGATACACCATCCAAGTTGCGCCTGTGCGATTGTTGAGATATAGTCCCGCTGCGTACAGGGGATACCCCAACGAGCCAACAGCAAGTGTCCACCTGAAACCGATGGCGTTGGTTAACCATGGTCCAGCAAAACAAGTCACGGTCATCAAGGCGTAAAGAAGTGCATTGGCGGTGTTTACGAGGTTAGGGCTCTGAGAACCCCCAACCCCAAGACCGTTCATAGCGCTCCAGATTCCTGGGGCGCAAAAGGCGCATAGGCCGACAACTAGGATCTGGAACACGCTTCTGCGGAAGAAGGACGATCGAACGCGCGAAGAGACATCGCCATCTATTGGCCCTGAAGGTATAGATAGACTGTTCTGAAACTCTTTATCCGAGGAAAGGACGGACTTCTCATTGACCGGTTCTGTTGCCATATCGACCCCAAAGCGTGGATATGTATTGCAAAGTCAGTAGAAGAGAGAGTTCTTGATTCCAGAATCCCTGTTTTGAGATTGAATGTAAACTGCGTTGGGCTATAGGAGGTATTTTATCATGTCAATGGCCAGAAGACGGCACATGCCACGGCACATCCGCGAAGGTGAAATCTAAAGATACTAGAGCAAAGAACATCCTTCGCCATTCTTTGGGGCAATCACGCAAAGAGGGCGAGTGGAAACACTTTAGTGAACCAGTGCCTGTTTGTATTGCCGACGATTGTCAACACCAAATGCGAGTTTTGGCCGGGAGCCGAGAGCATTGATTTCGAAAATGTCTGGCTCCACTACTTCGCTAAATTTGTGAACACAACAATAGTACATTGGCTCTGAGACGCTGCTAATGGAAGTGGAAAGGGGAGCATAGTGTTTACCAGAGGACACGATACAGACGCCAGCCGCATTCGTGATCTTAGAACGGATGACGCCACGGCGACGATGAGTTAGTTACAATGCCCAACGGAGAAGTCCACTGATATCGAGTCATCTCCCTTTTGTATCGACCTATTTCCATCCAACAATCACACTGCTTCACGGACAAGACCTTCCCAACTCTCTGTATCTAACGACTTTGGAGTCAACAGGAGCAAGATGACGACCGCAGTGCAACCATCCGAAGCGCATCCGTTCAAAATCGGCGTGCCTTTGTCAGCGTCAACGCCGGTCGCGTTTGAGCCTTTTGATCTGCCATCGAGCAATCAGCGAGTTCTTGGGCCGCCTCATCCCAAGAACACAGTCACCCCATTAGCATTGAAGCCCGCAATTCGCGATAGTGCGGAGACTGACCTGGATAGCGTCGTCAACACCATCAAGTCTCTCCAAGCGCAAGGCGGGATTCTGACCAAGGCACTCGCCCGCCACGGGACATTGCTTTTCCGCGGCCTTCCCATCCACAATGCTCAAGATTTTAGCAAGTTCGCCCATGCTTTTGGATACCAGCCGCACGAGATCATTGGCATCGTCGTCAACAGGCCAGTTCTGGCCCCAAACGTGGCACCGGCGAACGAGGCGCCAAAGGAAGTTCTGATTTACAACCACAATGAGTCCCCACAAGTACCACATGCTCCTGAGTACATCTTCTTTTATGGTCATCGAGTGCCTGAAAAAGGGGGCGAAACTCCCATCTCGTCATCTCTTGAGCTGTTTTACAGAGCGCAGCAGGAAATTCCGGAGTTCGTTTCCGAACTTGCTGAGAAAGGAATCCTCAGCAAAGTGACTTACAAACTTGAAAAGCAGTATGAGGGTGGTTCAACGCTGAAGCAGGCGTTTGGGAAGAAAATCCTGGATGGTGACGACGAGGCCACAAGGCGGGCAAAGATCGAGGCTCAAATTGCCCGGTATGGTCGCGGCAAACATACAACATGGGAGTGGACTGAGGACGGCAGCATCGTGTTGACGCACCAACTGCCAGCTATCCGAACCCAGCCAGAGACCAACATCCCCACGCTCTTCACCGGTCTGGCGGCATATTACAAGAACAACCAGCACAACGCCAACAGTGGAAGGAAGAATTCGGCACAACAGCTTTTCGGCGACGAGACGCCTATTCCCGAGAAATACCTAGCACACTTGGCTAACATAACCGATGAGATCCGCGTGCTGCACAAGTGGGAACGTGGTGATGTTCTCGTATATGACAACATCATTGCTCAACATGGCCGACAACCGTGGGAGGGCCAGCAAGAGGATCGTGTGGTTATGGCCAGTCTTTTCGACGGACATAGTGTGCCTGGGGCGTACGGTGACGAAGACTGGGCTCAAGTGGTTCAAGCTCTTGACGGGTGATAGACCACATCAATATGTCAGCTCTCTAAGATTGGATCTCCTCCCGCAATGGTGCAAGCTACAACCTCCCCATTCGATTTAGGATAGGTAGGATGTTGAAGTCCTTTGACGTTCTTGAATCTTTTGGAAGATTTCCCCATGGACGGCTCTATCTATCTAAGCTGCATTCTTCACTCAGACGACCCAACCTCTCTTAGCAATGGTATTTATCGGATCCATGAGCACTTGCTTCCATCACGTTATAGTCCAGCAACCATTCCGTACGTTAGCACACCTTCACCGTTCGGCTGTGCCCAACCATCAGCATTGACAATTCCCTCGCCAATTCTCACTTGCTCGACCGTCCTAAATCCCAAATGGCTATAAACTTCCCTTGCATGCTGATTCGTCGCTTCTAGCCAGACAGGAATGTTCTGTTCTCGGGCCTTTTTGAGGAAGGGATCCACTAAATTCCGAATAGCGCCTGCACCGACATCAAAGGGAAAGAGTCAGCAATGCATTGTTTGATGAACCCACATTCCCAGCCGGCATAAGCATCCCATGTTGATCGAACCATACCTTTTTCCAGCCTGGTGGGAGCCCGTGCAATTAGATTGAGATACCAGTAAGTCCGATCGCCCAGATACTTCTTCTTGAGCGCGTCGAACTTCTGTCTGTACTCTGCAGCCCCTTCAGAAATGGGGCTGGCGTTGTTCACGGGCTTCTCGACCCCAGGAGGAAGCCTATGCGTCTTTCGTAAGCAGGAAAAAGGAACAAACTCTTCGTAAACGAATGGACTAGGCGGATTGTCTCTCCAGACTTCTCTCTTACCACAACGCCACTCCAGCCCAGTCATAGGTTTGAATCAGTATCCCTCCGCCCTCAAACCGAGTTTTTATATGAGGGAGCCAGTATTGAACACGGTGGTCGAAATGCTCGAGTTTGGGGTGGTCTGGCTGTGACTCACGGCCCAGGAACAGGTATCGGTTGAGAGCGTCGTTGGAGAAAGCCGCCGCAATCACATGTGCAAATTTGTGCAAGTCTTCTTCGCCACTGATTGTATTGGGAACGTGGTCTTGGGTCTCGGTTGCCATGGTATGATCTATCATGGAGACTGAATTTCTCGGAAAGTCTATGAGGGCCACAGAAGGAGAATTGAATTCCTTGAGGGATGATTCAATGCTCGCCCCTGTACAACAATCGGAGAACTCCGTGATGAATTTTTTTTGTCAAGCAGCCCAGCCTTACTCACGAACACTTCAACTTGGTAAATGAGAGAACCCACCATATTACTGCTTCTTACGAACATCCATGTATAAGCCGAGTCAAAGAAAATTCAATTTCTCTAAAGGGGCCCTCAGACCCTCTTTTCTTTTGAGGATTTATACGACCGAGGAGAAAGCGGCTTTCTGTTACGTTATAGCGTCCTTTCGTTGGTCGAAGGGCATGCATGATGTTAATATGGTCAAGATAATGCCATAGCTTGGCTCAAAGCTTAGAGTCGGCGAAGAGATGTCTTGCTTCAACTCTTCTATGGTCTTCATGCTCATCCGCAATGAGCGGCATTCACCTTAGGCGCAAGTTGGCAATGCGGGTATTGTAACAACAATGAACGGAGTCAACGATGTGCAAGGGTGTTCAGAGGCCGGAAAATAGGAATCTGGAGACGGTAATCGAAGAACTGAAACCAGATGTGAATTGCGCGAACTCGGGTCATTCTGGATGCGATCCACAATGAGCTTCGACGTGTTTACAACCTCCTACACCCGCATGTCTGCTAACTGAAGACACAGTTGGTCTGGAACTGGATCGAAAACCGTTATGAGACGTGGGAGTCCAAGTTCTCTAAGAATCCAGAAGGGCGCAAATTGCGTGATAGCACACAAAAGGAGCGAAAATGGCACGACTTCGCCTATCAGCAGTTTGACTTACACACGTGAGCCATGCAAGGCGTTGCAAAGCATCTGATATCTGCAAGGGCCGAAGTGAACACCCATTAACTCGGAACCGACGGCTGTGGAGAACACCAAACTTGGTACGATGGTGCAAGATTCCTCCAGAATCGCGATCACAACCTGGGCGTTGAACGAGATCTCTGCTAAGCTCGTTGAAGAAAAGAAGAACCGAAGCCCACGTGGAATATTGGAAGATGGATATGCGAGCATCAATACCCAGGTGCCCTCTTCCTATAAAGTTACTCTCTGGCGCAAAAAAAGGGTCATTACAGGATAGATTCCTCAGGATTCTCCAGGATGTCTTTCGAAGGGACATCTAGTCGCTCGAGCATCGACCATGGCACAGTTACATTGGTCATGGGACCTGAGAAGGCCGTTACGGCCTTGGAAGCGAACGACGACTTGCCAGACACACGTGCCGCCAGGAGAGATGTTTCTGGGGACGTCCTCGACGACGGACTACGACGAGGTCTTAAAGGAAGACATTTTGTGATTATCGCGCTCGGCAGCATCATCGGACCTGGGACATTCTACGGGCTGGGCTACGCCATCTACTTGTCCGGCCCCCTGGGGGCGCTGCTTGGTTTTATCATTGTCGGCATGTCAAGAGCTCCTCGATTCACGCACTGTCTGGCACAGCATGCTCATATTCTCCCAGGAATTTCGGTCTGGGTGCTGATGCAAAGTGTTGGCGAGATGACCACGTTGTTTCCCATCCATGGTGGATTTGTCGAAGTAAGCGTGTCCTCGGGATTCTCGAACCAAAAACTAATGTGGTTTCAGCACGCCGGCCGCTTTGTTGATCCTGCCCTGAGCTTTGCAATGTCATGGCTGTATTATCTCATGTGGAGCGTCTTCCTCGCTGCAGGTATACGTCTCGTGCCCCCGTAATCCTGATAGTCGTCGACTAACTCTAGCAAGACTGGAATTCCGCAATCTTAATTCTCCGCTACTGGGTGCCAGACTCAACAATTCCTTCCTACGCTTGGGCTCTCATCTTCTGGGCAGTGTTCTCCGTTGTCACGCTTCTCGGTGTGAATGTATACGGAGAGCTGGAGTACTTCTTCGGCATGTTCAAGTTTCTCTCCCTCATCATCCTTTTCATACTCTCCATCGTGGCCGATGTAGGTGGATTCGGCGGTGGGTATATCGGATTCAGATATTGGACAAAACCAACAGGTAGGTCTGTGTGGACTTTTGCTGCCTACTGAGCTGAAGATTTTTTAGGTCCTATTATACATGGGATCGATGGGTTTGGACAGGTCTTCGTTCTTGCAGCAGCTTACTACGTTGGCACGGAAATTATCTCTTTGGCTGGTGGCGAATCGAGAAATCCGAAGAAAGACATCCCAAAGGTACATTGCTTCAGGTCTACCGGCAGTCCAGTCTGACTCTTTGGTACAGGCCATCAACTCTGTCGTCTATCGCATCTTGGTCGTATATATAGGCATGCCTTTTTTCCAAGGCCTTATATGTCCGTCAGATTCGCCAGAACTTCTGAATGCAGACTCGGTGGTCGCATCGTCGCCTTTTACGATTGGCTTTACCAACGCGGGTTGGAAGACATCTGGCCACTTTGTCAATGCTTTGATAACGGTGGCTTTTGTCTCCGCGGCAAACGGTGTGGTGTATGTGCAGTCACGCACGGTCTACTCCTTAGCGTTGACCGGAAGAGCACCGAAGATCTTCGCAAAGACGACATCCCGTGGAGGTATAGAAGACCAAACTCGCATCCGCCAGGGACGAGAAACTGACTTTAATAGTACCGTGGTTTGCTATATTGACCTCCAACCTCTGGGGTTTCCTATGCCTAATGAACCGGAAACTCTCCGCAGGCCAAGTCTTTGCATACATGACAAGCGTGGGAGGCACTGCAGCCTATATTGCCTGGGCCGCTATCATATTCACTCATTTGCAAATCCGGGCGGCGGCGAAGAGACAGAACATTGACGTCAACACGTTTCCGTACAAAGCTTTTGGGAGCATCTGGATCTACCGCCTCAATTTTGGGTTTAATATCTTCCTCCTCTTCATTCAAGGGTACACGGTCTTCCAACACCCCTTCAACTGGAGGTCGTTTATTGCGTGCTATATCACCATTCCAACCTTTTTCATCCTGTTTTTTGGGTTCAAGTTCTACTACAAAACTCGTTGGTACGTATGACCTAGTCACACAATGGGAATATCACGCTAATCGCTTCAAGGGTTCGGCTTGACGAGGTCGATTTCTCAGACCGCAGAGAATGGATTGCTCCTGCGTCGAAGGCGTCGTATGATTCGAGATCTTGGAAGAGGAAAGTGTGGGACCTGTTCAAAGACTGATGTTGCCTTTGACCGAGGGTTCTCGCCCGGAGCTGGCTTGGAATTATCCTCTCCCACTGCATATGTCTATGGAAGGGGTTTTTGTCTTCGCCATCAAAGAGCAGGATAGAATCATTCCAAGCGCTATCAAAGGGACATCTCTTCGGAAGACCGCTGCATGCAAACATTGAAAACTCTCTCGATAGAACTAAAAGCAACCCCCAGCTGCCTCTTTCAAAAGAAAAAAAACAAAAAAAAAAAAACAAATTGGGCATCTCCGCCTGATCACAGATTCGATAACCTCTCGAGCTTGTTACCGACGAGATCCTCCCTGTTGTGGTGTCCATTGAATGAACGACCCACACCTTTTCCAACCCAGCGCCGTGCAATCTTCTACTTTCGGCCTAGAATGAAAGGGCACATTTGAGAGCGCCGTTGCACCTCGGAAATAACTTTGACTTGAAAGGGGTGTCTTGATTCTAAAACTTTTTTCTAGCAGCTAGGTAGCAGGCATGTGCTCCCCCAGACGCCCCCTGCCCCCCACAAAAGGAAAGGAAAGCCCCGACTCGACATAGTCGTTAGTGGAGGGTTAGCGCAGGCCTAAAGCAGGAGCCTAGTTAACAAGCTGCTTTCCCCTAACAGTGTACTTACCTGCAAACCCGGCGAGTGGCTTTTGCTGGCTGTATTATGTACGGATCGCGGAGCCCGAAATCGGCCAAGATCGGACATGGACTGATTGGGTGCTTCAGTCTCGCAGCCTTGTCATGGCCAGTGGGAACTTCGGAGATGCCACTCCGGTTCTGGGCTCTGCAGCTTTGTCATCGAACAGCCACTTCCTCTCCTATATGGAGTATCCTAATACCCCTCCGGGTTCTCGCAGTATTAAAGCAATGGCCTGTAAGCGAGGGTGAAGGCGAAAAGGGCGCAGTTACCTTCCATTTCCCACGGGCACGGCAGCTGGAACGGCGTTGTTGACCATGTATAAAGATTGATGGGCGCGCTAGTGATGTGCTTGAAGCAAAGCTGAGAGAAAACTTCTAAAATAACTGCTCAAGACCAAAATCAGTCACTTTGCTCTCCTCCTTGAACCAACACTGACAAAATGAATACCACGGGTGTAAACTACACCGCGGAGTTGGCCAGTTTCGCGGCCAATGCCACCTTTTCTGCGATCCCGTCGAGCTTTCTGGCATTACTTCCGATTTCCATCCTCGATACTTTCTCCACCATGCTCGCCGGCTCAGTTCAGCCCGTCTACCGCTCTGCCATCAAGGCGGTGGACATCACGTACGGAACCGGGAGCACGCATGCTGCGTACACCGCGCTCGACGGCACAGTCTCCTCACTCTCTGGTCAGATGTTCTTGTTGGGCCTGGCTGCAGCCGACTTCGAATTCGAGCATGTCATTCAAAACGCGCACCCGGCTTCTGCCATGTTTCCAGCCTTGCTGTGCGTTGCGGCCGCTCACCACAAGGCTGGCAAAGAGCTTCTCGCGGCAATGGCGGTCGGATACGAACTCGCAACCAGAATCGGCGCAGCCAGCACAGCACACGTGGAGTCTGTCAGAGGCTTTCATAACCCTGGGTTAAATGGAGATCTGGCCACCGCTGCTGCGGTGGGGCGCCTCATGGGATGGGACGCTGACACCATCGCATCGGCAATGGGCCTAGCTGCTTCTAGTTCGGGTGGTCTCCTGGCCTTCGTCAATACCGGCGCAATGACCAAGCGCCTGCATGCTGCTCGCGCAGGCCAACTTGGTGCTGAGGCCGCCTTTCTGGCTCATGCGAGGGTCGTCGGCCCTGCAAATGTCCTTGAGAACCCGCTAGGATTCTTCCATGCCTTCTCGCCGGGTCCACAACCTAGCCTCCTGACCGCCGGATTAGGCGCGAACTGGACCGGAGAACAGATGATCCTCAAATTGGCACCTGTCCACGCACGCGCGCAGGGCTTCGTATTTGCCATCAACGACTATCGAACTCGTACAAACCAGAGTTGGAGTGCCGGGGCCATCAAGAACGTCACCATCTATGCGGGTCCAGCGGTTCTGGCGTCGAGCAATTGGATCCCTCAGCCGAATTCACTTGTGTCGGCCCAGTACAGCGTTCCCTTCGGCATCGCCGCAGCTCTGACAGTCGACCTACGAGACCCACTCAACATGAACGACGCATTGGTGTCAAACACGACAGCGCAGTCAATTGCGGCGGGTATGAAACATGTCCAGATCACTGACAACGCCGAGGACCTGGCCGGATACATGACCTTGGAGATCCAGGGGCAAGAAATCAACATCACGGCCAACAAGTATCCTGGCATTCCCGGCGATCCGGGATACGCGCAAGCGGCCAAGAACAAATTCGCAAGCGTTACTCAAGGCCTATCCGTGAGTGCCCAGGGTGCTGCTGTAGAGAAGAAGATCGCCGATGTATCCAACCTCACGGACGCGTCGGTGTTGTTGGAGGAAATGGTCGAGGTTGGAACCGCAGCTGCCGCGAATTTTGGCTCCAGCACGGACACGATCTTGGGCACTTTGAAGGCGTATCACGCCGGTCAAGCGCGAAGCAGGGTCCTGCCTTGATGGAGTAACTTATGAACAACGAAGAAGGAGGGACAGACGGGCTGCAGACGGACACGATGTAATGGATGATGGATGTTTTGGACAGCATTGATCTTCTCGGATCTACGGCGGAGAACCCGTCGTGGGTGGATCAGTGAACTTCAGCGTGGACTGTGTTGAACCTCTCTAGGGTTCATGAATAGTCTGATTGATTGAAGAAAGAAAATCTATCTGGCGAGCTGGAGTTACAACGAGATTTTAGATAGGTGAGATGTTGCCCTAGTGCCAAGACCTTCGAGCCTGGCCCAGTCAGGCTAGTGCCAATCTGCCAACAGACGCTTGTCTAGCTAGACAAGGCTGATAGACATATCGGGCTTACCGAGCAGTCGCTGGGCATACGGAGACGAGGGCTCCAAGGCATACATAAAAGAATCGGGTCTAAATGTACTTCACGTGAGCATCAATCTCCCTAAACACTTGGTATCGCAGATGGGAAATGACTACATGCTAGCCTTTTCTGAGCGAAGAAGAGAATAGAAGGTCAATGGATGTCAGTACTCAGGGAAGCAGCACATCCGGAGCGAGGACGGCATGGTCGAAGTTTATTCTTTCCTCGTCCAGTCGATCTCGAAAATGACAACCACACACTGCTCACTTGTGTGGTGTTCCTCGATGCCCCTTGATCTGGTCATTATCTTCGATGCTAGATCCTCACCATCCGATGTGCTCATGTTAAAGGGTAGCCCAGTCCCTGGCGCACATAAGACACTCTTGCAGCCTTTCTTGGCTCATCAATGCGCGCTCTTTACAATATCAGAAACGAACAAAGCACCCCCGCCACCAAAAGATAGCGCCGCACGTCCACCGTGGCGGTGACGGCCGCATTCGTTGTCCCTGCCGTCCCGCAACAACTGGCCCGATTGTAGCTCACGCCGTTTGCATCCGCCGCGACCTGAAACACACTGCCATTGAAGTTTCCAATGTTATAATAATCCACCAGTAAGAAGTTCGGCGCCCGGTTCCACATCGTCGTACAGTTATCCACCGCCCACCCGGCGGAGCCGAACCCATTCACCGCATTCGTTTCATTGAGCAATGTAAAAAAGGGCACATCGATACTGATACCCGCGATGTCGACCTCCAGATTTAAGTTGTGATTTGTCATGTACATTCTATCCTGACGGGTATTTCGTCCTTGATTCGGAGGTCGTTGGGGTGTGCATGGGAAATTTCTGTCGGTTGGAGAGAATGGCGTTTCCCACATTTGCGAGAATTCATCGAGCAGCCATGGAATGGCAGTCTGATTGGCTTGGTAGTCGAGCATGACGACTGCTCGTTCATTTTTGAAGATCATTTCGGCTAAGGTGGGCCACGAGTCGAGGGGCATGGGCGACGTTGGAGGAGTGTAGACAAAATCGATTAAACCCGAATTGACCACTGGTGCAGTGAAATTCTGAGGCGCGACGACGTCGTAGTTCCCCATGAGGATGGCGATGACGTCGTAAGGGTGGTTGCGAAGCCATTTCGTTACCGTCGTGAGGTAGTCTTGTAGAGTGCCAGCGTTGAGAAGTTCACAAGACGTGTGGCAGAGATACATAGTCCCATTTTGGAGATGAGCTTGGAACTGGACTGCGATACACTGTTAGCTTCTGGATGGCCGTCCACAGGGACAGCCGACATACGCATTCGAATACCGTCGTTGAGTTGAGTCTCGACGTCCAGCATTTGGTTGGAGGCGAGATTCCCCGGACGTATGAATGGGCTGTTGTGCGCTGCAATGTGAGTGATGTTGCTGAACTTCCGGTTGCAAAATGAAGGATGGCCATTACAGGGAACGGTATTTGTGGGTTGCGCTGAAGACGAGGTGCTTGAAGCTGTTTGGTTGGTGGTTGTCGTCCCGTTCAGGGTAGTGGTTGTTTTGGAAGTCCCCACCAATACAGTTTCGGTGGCAGACGATGTCGTTGTGCCATTATTAGGGCCGGTACTCGAGGACGCTGAGGTGCTGTTTGAGGTTGCAAATAAACTCGACAGGTCTGCAACCGTAGCGTAGTCTGTGGTTGCGGTGATAGTCAACGTGGCGGATTCGTCAGCATATGTGGTTCCACTGGTGGCATAATCTGCGCCGGTTGATGTCGCCGGTTCAGTCGTCTCCGTTGTTCCGCTCGACGTGACAGCATCAGATTGAGAGTAGACTTGCAGGAGGAGGCCAGCGAGCACGAGAGAGGATATCAATCGCATGGTAAAAACAACCCAAGCCGAAACAGGAGAGACAAATCACTGTTGACACGGTGGTGGTTTAAAGGAGCATGAAGAGAGGAACATTGAACTGGGCAACGGGGGGGGGAGACAGGAGACGGTGAGGATGGCTCGACGGAGACGGGTTCACGTGATCTATTCCATGCAGCAAGCAGCGAGCAGCGAGCAGGTTCTATCGAATGGCGCCTTGATGACGCGCGTTGTTGTCTTGGATCGGATAAATGTCACCTGGGGCTTCAGCGTGAGACTGTGTCACGACGAGGCGGGTTCATTAGCATCAGCCCTACCCAGCACTATCCTTATCGTAGGTGCGTTCCTCGTCTCTCATTGAATGTTCTCTTGATTTGATGTCCTTCGTTCCAAAAGACGTGGTTCGTGTTCATTGGCGGTGCTTCTTTCATGCTCAAGTTTTTTGACATCAACTTGTGATGAGAAAACAAGCTTGTTGCCCTGCCGCCATTCGTTTCCACCTTCCCCACTGCGTCTTTCCGAAAATGGAAATGATACGTGTGTGGCTGAGCGATGCAAACATGTAAAAAATGCCAAGACTGACGTTATTGGATTCCAAACCCAGAGCCAGGTACCTACCTATCAAAAGTACGTTGCTGGGGCAGCTTCAATCCCTGATGGTGCTACTTATTGCAGTTATCAAACTTCACGGCAGCATGGAGACCTCAGCGGCTTGAACATCTTGGTGCATGCAGAGACGACAGTGGGTATTATTGATTGGGAGACTGCTGGCTGGTGGCCGCCATACTGGGATATCTTCTCGAGCTTCCAATGTTTACCATCAGAAGTGACTTTTTCTTTAGCATAGTATCGTAGACCTTCTCTCCTTGGCCTTTCAACTTTGAGACCGACCAGTAAAGCCTGGTGATGGCCGTGGTCGAGCCAGCACCGGTCCGAATGACAGCACACGTTAATCCATGTCAGCCAAAATGGTTCCAAGCGTATCATTTAGCACGGGGACAAGGCTGATACCAAATGTCATGATGTCATTGTGGAGCCCTGGATCCACCCTCTGGACCTCCAGCTCCGCTCTCTGCATCCAAGCCACACTCAATCACATTGCACCACGGGCCTGCTGCTGGTGTACGTACTACCCAAGTACGGAGGATTTATGGGTGCCAGGTCAAAAGATCCCTGGACCTGTTTTGCTGGCCCTCTTGGCACCCATGTTTTTCAAAGTCGTCTCTCACTTGTCCCCTTCTCTGCTTGCGACAGGAGACAGTGCAGCCAGAGATGACCTGAAGCAGCGGGTGAAGAGGCGTTCAAATCCACTATCCGATCCTCGAGCAACAACATGGCCATCTTCAGACGCTCCAAATCCGAAAAGCCCGTGCCCCGAGACCCTCCATCCGGCAAAGGTCCCTTGGGCTACAGAAAATCCAAACCAACAATCCTCCGCACATTCACGGTAACAGTCTATCTTCTTGCCACCATATTCCTCATCCTGGTGGAAATAGGTAACATCAACAACAAAGCCGTCATCCGGTCGACCTACTTCCTCAAGATCGAACTGGCAAACATCATCCCGGCATCGGTACCCAATGCAGTCTTCATCAACAGCATTGCCCAGTCCATCGGCCTGCATGACTTCTACCAAGTCGGCCTGTGGGATTTCTGCGAAGGATACAATGGCGAGGGAATCACGTATTGCTCCCCGACCAAGACCTTGTACTGGTTCAACCCCGTCCAAATCATCCTGAACGAACTTCTGGCCGGGGCATCAATCACCCTCCCCGCCGAGGTCGTCACTGTCCTCGACCTCGTCCGACTCGCGTCCGCGTGGATGTTCTCCTGCTTCCTCATCGGCACGTGCCTGACATTCCTCTGCATTTTCGTCGCTCCCATGGGATTCTCGCAGAAGCCGCGGTGGCAGCACAAGACGAGACGTATTTTCCTCCGTCAGTTCCCGATCTCCTTGCTGACCCTGGCTGCGCTGCTGTTTACCGCAGTGGCGTCCCTGATCGCGACCATCATGTTCGTCATTTTCCGCGACAAGTTTTCCGGAGCCGCGGACTTGAACATCCACGCACACTTGGGGAAGCCGATGTTCGCGTTCATGTGGATTGCTACGGGCCTGGATTTAATCGGGTTTCTCATGCAGCTGGGTACGTGTTGTGGGGTCTGTTGCTGTACGGGGAGGAAGAGGGCAGTCCGACGGAGTCAACTGTACGAGGCTGAGCGCACAAGTGCTGATAACACCGAGGAGAAGACGCCGCGGGAAGTCGACAACAGTCCCGGGGCAGAGGGTTCCTCCGGTGGCATACTTGGGCTTAGGAGAGGGGAGCGAAGCTGAACTGGACCATTCACTTCGCTGCTTCTTCTTATGTCACCCTGTGGTAGCTTACCATACACCCACAAGCAAGCGGAAACCGAGCTCCGCGTAGAAGTTCCTGCATAGAAGGATTCAAGCAGGGTTATACCGTGGGCGTCAGCTTTGACCTTTACTTCTCTCGGATCGAAAAAGTCGTCCTGACTGCGATCTTTTAATGCATTGTCCTTCCTGGTGATACACTTAGATTTTTGATCCATTTTTGTCCTCCGCTCAGACAGATGGCCTCCTTCCAGATTTCTCGTTTCCAGATGGCCTCAGGTCGCAGACCTCTGGTAGGCCCTGCCCACTTCCCCATGACCCAACACCTCGGCCGCGCCCTCTGCTGTTACCGCACATTCCAACTTTGTCTTTTTCAAAAGGCGACCCACTCCTGTATCCAGACCAGTCCGCCGCTCCCGCTCTCCTGCCATCTATTCTCGCCGGTCCACAACCCTGTTCCTCGCAACTTGCCCTCCCTTCCCTCCCTGTCGGCGTGGCAATACCTCAACAGGACCCTTCTCTCGTCCAAGAAGAACGTGATATCCACCCACTTGGGCTCCAACTCATCCGCAACAGCACCGCACTTGACCACCGCGTGTTCTTCGATACTCGATATCTTTTCCGCGATGGAATATACCCCCAAAGTGTCCCATACGCGGGATTGGATTTCCGACTTGTTAAGCAGGGAAGTCACCTGATGACGCACCTTTGTAGATCGACAATGGGTAGCCCCTACATAGAGTGGGGGTCCGATCCCGCTGTCCATGCTCATCGAATGTTCATCGTACGCGAAGAAGGACGAACGGTTCAAAATGCCCTCGCTAAGGACCAACAAGCGGGCAAAATGGGCGTTCAAGGCCTCTTTGCGCTCTGCGTAGTTGCGACAGGACTTGTGGCAGTCGCAAGTTTCGGGCGGGTCACACAGCGGCACGATCACTTCACCCGTGTCAGGGGAGTGGAAAGCCATTTGTGCAAGCAATAAGAGGTACGCGGCTTCACGATACGCCTTAAGAAGCTGAGCAGGGTGGCGATCCTCCGGGTTACTCTGACATTTTTCGCTCTTGCTGTATTCTGCGTAGGCCATACTCCACTGCAACAAACGGGATATGTGCGTCTGGTGACGCTGAAATCCTGTGCCTATCAGCAAGCCCTGCTCGAGAAGGGTCCACGTGTGCCAGATCCATTTTGCTTCCGTGAAGAGCTCGTCGCGGGCCTCTGAGAGTGAATCGAATGCGCGAGGGATGATGTGGGGATTTGGATCGGGGAAGGACTCGGTCTCCCGTTCGGTTGGGGAAAAGGGACTTAGATAGGGGGCCGGCATTGACTCTTCCGGGTCGCTCAGCATTTTGGCTGCCCCTCCAAATAGGCGGACAGATTCAAGCTCTAGTCTCAGGAATAGGCGCCGCAGACTGTCGTGGCCTATCTCCACGGCGCGATATTGCGTATCTTTGTAAGTTGTGCGCATCTTTCGACTCAGCAGGCCCTTCAGGGCGGCAGTCATATGCATTTGTGCAGTATCGTAATTGCCCTGAAAGGTCTCAAAAATGCTGAATAGTTTCATCACAATCATGTTGATCTCGGCCGCATTCGGGTGGGAGGCCATATCATCCGACAACTTTCGAAGCGCCTTGTGGTACAATTTGTCTGCAATATCACAATACTCAAATGCCTCGCGAGAAATCCCCAGCTCGAACCTTCGATGCACAGCACCCACAGCGGCAGCGGCAGCAAGTACCGTGGGATGTTGGTGGCATGCTCGCAGGATATATGTCCGCCAGATCGAGCTGTCAAAGTATGCGGCGAATTCGGGCCCAGTGCGAGAACGGAAGAAGTCGAAACAGAAAAAGTCGTTGTCCGACTCAAACATGACGTTCGATGGCGACCGGCAGAGTTTGTTGTTGGCAGGCTTGATTTTGGACCCGCTGATGGCAGGGATGGCAACTTTGTCTGCGCTCGTCTTCTGTCGTTTCGAGTCGGGTTCAATGCACTGAGGTGATGACCTTTCCGATGTTGAATGTTGATCAGGGGATTGACTGACATAGCCGTCGCATTTTCGACCAGTGCTTATACAACGTCGACAGAAGGGTTTCTCCTCGTCACACTTCTTTCGCCGGATTTTGCACGTTATGCATCCAGTTCTGACCTTATGATGCGTTTTGCGAGTCCTCTTGGGCTTCTCCATCACCGGGAGGTCTTCGATCAATGCTATGGTTGTCATTTCGCCAAAGTCCACAGGATTGAACAGTTAGCTTGAAACCCGGGACAAGAGACCATTGTATACCTTCAAAAGCGGGGCATGGCGATATATGTAGAGCCGCCAGAGGCAGGTTCTTACCGAATACGTGCCATGGCCTTTGCTAATGTACCATGCATGCAGAGAAGAACTTGCCTCTTGAAAGCAGCCCGAGTTCCTGACTAATGAACGATGCTGGTCGATGATTGGTGTGAGCGTACATTTTTCGACTCAATATGCTGGACAGACTCCAGTTGCTGACATGACGGTCCAGGCAGCAACGTCGTTGGGATCCATCAGATTGGCTCCTCAATGCCACGGGTATCCTGGCAAGCTTAGCCCGGTGGTAAGCGGGTGGAGGTGTGGCTTGCCCCGGCCCAGGCATTTTACTTCATCTGAAGCAGCTTTGAAATACTGGATTCGCCAATTCCAGAGCAACGGAGTTGGTCATTCTCCATTGCAAGTGGACGAATGCAAAAGCCTAGCGGCATAGCTGGGTGAAATTGGGAAGAAAGATATTGTCCTCGCTCACTGTCCACCTTCGCCTGAGAGGTGATCCTGCGCACCAGGTGAAGATGTGGCTGGACCAGTGGTCGTTGTCAGGTGAGCAGAACTGGAAAATGCGGAGGTGAAGCGTGGCCGAAGCATGATACTGTATGAGCGAGACCCTGGGGAAGATTGTGTTTCCGGACGCGGGTAAAGCTGATCGAACCGGGGTAGTTGGGGGGATGGGCAAGATGGGCAAGATAGATAGGTGCTCGCTTGAACAGGTGATGGATGGTGAGCAGCAGGTGACAACAATATCGGAGTCGGCGTCGGTGTCGGAAGCACGAAGCTGCGGAGGCCGTTTCGCCCCGCGAATTCTGGCACATAAACATTGACACTCACACCGCAGCATAATACCAACTACCAACTACCAACTACCACTCCTCCTCCCCACGTCCCAAGTACAGCCGTCTCAGACCCTCTCGGGCTTCTTATACCTGCCCTCGATCCTCACATACTGTATTCATTCGTCATGACTCCTTCCAACAACATCGCCTATACCGCCCCCATCAACCCTCCGTTAGCGTCCCCCAAACTCACTCTCCCGCAAATCTGGCAAGGTCTCGAGCTGAAGATCCGGGCTGGACAGGACTTTGTCGGCGGTGCTCTCCTCTCCACGGACGTCATCTCTGAGTCAACGGATGACCATGGCCGCCCCGTCACAGTGCGCGAGGTCGTCTTCAGAGACGGGAACAGGAGAGTGCGCGAGACCTGTGTGGCCTTCAAGGCGATGAAGGTCGAGTTCCACCAGCCCGATGGCTCCAAGGTGCAAAACATCATCTCCCAAGGGCAGGGCGCAGAAGGCGAGGATCTGTACATGACATACACGTTTGAGTGGCTGCATCCCGAGTGTGAAGGTGATGTCAAGGCACTGGAAGAGAAGAAGCAGAAGGAGACCAAGATAGCCAAGATGGCGGTCGAGGAAACCATAAGGGTCATGAGAGACATGGTCAAGGACGGCAGGATCAAATAGGCAGGACATCTGAGGGATGGAACGATCCTCACGGACGAAGATCATAAAGAAAGAAAGACGGCACGGTAAGGGTCATCCTCGGAGTGCAGGGCGCCACAACTGGTCTCAGTTGTTGATAGAGGATGCAGGCCATCGGCCTTTGCAGGTGTTTCAAAAGAGGCCTGTCTATGAACACTAGCCACAGACACCAATGCGGTCCCGCAAGAGCCCTTCAGATTGCTCACCTTTAGCAATACCAAAGTACAGCATGCTCACAAAAATTCCAAACTCCCGCAGGGACTTACATCAAAGTCTGCCCCCATATCCCTCCCCCCATTCTTTTCGTCTTCCAGTAATGCTCAGATTTGCAAAATCAACAAAGTCAGAGTGCTGTCTTGGAATTGCCCAGAGTGCGTCCCAAGCTTATCTCTTGGTGAAAGTTTGGATCGTTGCGTGAGTGCTGTCCTTGCAATAGTCGTTCCGCTGCAGCGACCCGTGCGGCCCTGAAGATATTCTTCTTCGCTACCCTTGAACAACAGGACCCAGCAGCCACTTGCACGGCATTTCAGTAAGGTACCAGCCCTTCATACAACATACACTAGATGAAGAAAAGGGGCATCATTCCGAGGCCCACACACAAAAACAATGTGCCCGCGGTCGCAGCTGCAATCCTTAGGCTGTCCGGGAGACCGATCTCGGCCGTGATGATGCTTATCCAGACATATCGAACCAGCAAGACGAAGAGCATCATGAATTGCACAAAACTCCAGCCTAGCACCTCATCATATTGCATCCGTCGCTCGTTGGACGCCTTGATTGCCATGCGGATCAACATCGCGGCATTTGAGGTGAAGTAGAGAAGGAAGAAGAACATTTTGGCAACCTCTTCTAGGGTGGCCTGAATTCTTTTCTGCAACCGAGTTCTTCGCGCTCGACGTTGGTCGTCTCTCTCGATCCGGAAGCGATCAGACTGGACGGTCCTCTCTAGGCCGCCGGCCCCATCAATTTGACTGACAGAACGCAAGTGGGAAGGACTGATCTACGGGTGGAGAAGTCAGCACTCTTGACGATTCTAGTAACCATCTGCTCTTCTTACCAAGTTCATCTGGGATACTGGGCGTGAGGAAAACTCGTCTTGTCCGGACTCAAAACCGGGACGCATGTTGTTCAGCGGAATGCCGTCCACCTCGCAACTCCCGTGCAGACTTTGACCACGAGAAGGTGGCGAGTACCTCGGGGGTGCGTCGTCCATCTTGAGAGCACGACGGTAAATACTGGCGTCGAGTGATGGCGCGACTGGTGAGACGAACAGTGTCCTAGTATGATCCAGGGGGGGAATGTGACGCCAGCGAGGTGGCGGCTGCGGTGCTAAAACGTAAAGTGGACGGTAGCAAGTTGCCAAACAGTTAAGAAGCTTCTACTATGCACAATATCGAATACTTGAATGTCACAAATCAATGCTTCTGACTGGAGTGGAAGAGGACGGACTTGGATCGGACAGTTGTAGTTTTGAAACGATGCAGCCTGCGGGCAGCACCAAGGTGACTGTTTCCCTCAGAAGGTTCGCTCCCATCGAAGGGCAGTAGCTGAGCACGATGCGAGCTCGGCTGGCAGAGAAGGAGCAACCGTTCTGGAAGGCGTGGTTCGAATCAAAGTTTCCACAAGGGAAACAGCGATTCTTGTAGACCGGCACAAAGAGCAACCCGATTCGACAACTCCTTGCTGCTGAAGTTATGTACAAAGATTTCCAATCCGGGAATACCGGTGTTGATACAGGACATGACATCGTGAGTTCATTGAGCACATAAGGCGTGTGTGTGAAGCATCTGCCGGGAATATCGGCGAGCCCTCTTCATCGATGGGGGTAGTCGATCACGCCCAGACTTCTTCGCATATCCGCCAGACGGTCCGAGACTGGCGAGGCCGGACGAGGTGGTTCTCCTCCATGACCTTCTTTCTCGAGATCGTGGTCTCGGACTTTCTTCCGGCCACCAGACGCAAAAGTAAAGTCCTTTAAGCTCGGAAGCTTGGAGATCTTCCTGCCTCCTTTTCCGACGGATTCCCTCCCGTTCGATTGTGAATGAGTGATAGAGTCCTGCCGCAAGCGCCCCATAGGGCTGCTCCTGGGACTGTCATCCAAATTTTGCATTGTCTGGAACTGGAGGGGATTCGTGTTCAAAGCGTCGGAGAATTCCATTTGATCATCCCCTTCCTTGTAGTCGTTGGGATCGCCGACAAGGGCAAAGCTATGCCTCCTTAATTCTTCCTTTCGCATTCGCCTGATGCCAAGACGCTTCAGTTCGGTCTTGAAATCGTCCAGCATGATTGTATCGGTGAGACACTTGAATACAAGGCTCAGTTTCCACCACGGATTGATCCTGTACATCCCTTGGTCAGTCCCGGACCATAAACGCGATTGGGAGAGCACATACCCGTCAGTGCTGCCAGTGAAATTGTGAATACTTGCCGCAATGTCGACCGCGGTGAAGATGAGGGAGAAGCAGATGGCGTAGAGCAGAATGCCAAACCGAGGAGATCGCTTGATCAATTCAAAGACCCCCGTTCCGTACACGGAGTTGATGACATAAAACAGGGTCAGGCACGTAAACACCCACCATGGATCCCTCATGAGCGGCTCGTAGGGCCGGACCTTGACGTAAAAGTTGTTGATGTTGTTGAAAAACCGGAAATTGTTCGAAATCTGCCAGCAGATGAAAGGCACCGTGAGTGCTAGAGTCCCCAGGTATATTCTCCGCACCCACTTGCCGGTTTCGGGCTTGAACATGCTTCTGGAATCCATGAAGAAAGGCTTGATTTTCATCCAGGCGACAATGTTGTGGACGATCCAAGAAATATACAAGAGCGTGGCGGTCGACGACAGGTACCAACCGTAGCCCGTAAATCCCATGAAGCAGAATGTTCCTGTGGGAGAGATTAACCCGTTTGTCACCGAATACTTGGCTCGAGGGGAGGGGAATTGGGTCATGCTTACCATGCGAGAGTGCTGCAAGTTGCTGGGGAGGAAGTTGATGTGTCAGCTTTGCATATCCCTGGTTGCTTTTCTTTTCTGCACACAAACATGGTCGACTTACCTCGACTAAAATCAGTTTGTGCAAAAGAACACCCCTCCTCATATTTGCAATGGTAATGCATGCCATAATGACGAGCGCGCCGACCATGAATCCTTCAGACCAGCCTTCCAAAATGAAGTCCTCATCTGAAGCGAACGCTCGCCAATCACCCTCTCCCGTACCAACTGAACCACTCTCATTGCGCCGGGATATGATCAATTTTGGAGCCATTGGAGCTATCGAGTCAAAGACGGGAGTCGCTCATATCTCGGCCATGAGACATTGAGGGTAATGCTAAGAGGCGCCAGAGAGATATGAGTGAGAATGTTGGATTTGAAAGAGCAATTTCTTTTGCAGCAGCGGTGAGGCCTTTCCGCCGCAAAATCAGGTCGCTGTACGACGCAGTCCTGGATTGATCGGTCTAGAAGGCAGTTCGTGGAACGTCGAGCGTGGTAAATGTCGCTCGGCCGAGTCGCAAGGTGTGAATATCGAAGGCAGCACAGTTCGCGATGACCAGTAGCGGCAATAGAGGCTGGCTGAGACGAGTCGGGGCCGGACAGGTTGAAAGACAGATGGGACAGGCGAATTGTAAGAGGAGAGTGCGAGTGATCAGTGAGAAGGTCGGCGACGCGATCGCAACGGTAACAGCGACAACATCAGCGCAAGCGACACCGACAACGAGAGTGAGCAGCTGAAGAAGACCACGTCGGGACTCAGCTGCGCCCCAGGGCCATATGAGCGACGGCCCAGTGGAATGGAATGGGCTAAAGCCGCATATCGGAAGGGTTTAGAGCTGATGTTGGACGATGGACCATGAGATCGTCGGGTCACAATGCATGGACTGGGTTGCAAGCGACCTCGAATCAGTGAGGGCGATGGAGTGGGCAGACTGGGGTAGTGGGCTGCCTTTGCGCAGTGGTGAGTGACGATTTCGTAGTTCGCTGGCGACGGCGAAGAGTCGGACAGCGGGCGAGCTGACGAGTGATGGATGACGGTGGGTTACCAGGGGGGGATCTCCAGTCGTGGCTAAAAGTCGCCATGCCCGCCTGACAAATGGTATGGGGGAATGTGCGGTCCCAGCAGGCGCCCATTAGCCTACCAGTGCAAGTAGTGCCTCGTAGGCTCCCAGAGGCTAATACTGGCACTCAGGTTAGTTAAAGCCCTGTTCAATCAAAGCCCCCAAGCCCCGCAAAGTCGCTGTCCCGGCCCCTGGAGAGCCGCCAGGTGGTTGCAGGTAGTGGAAGCCATGACGCACGAGTGACGCTGCCCCAGCTCACCAGCTCACCAGCTCACCATCCGCTCACCACTTCACCAGCTCAAAGGCACCAGGTGCTGACCTGTGCTCCGTACCAGGGCACCACCGATCAAGGTACGGGCATTAGAGAAACGGGATCCATGATGCAAATGAACCCGAGAATACCACCCACCCTGCATTTGCGAACAACCCTGTCAACCAATTGACTCCCCCATCAAAAATAGTCGTGCGGTGCTTGTTCGAGGTGAGGCAGACTCAATCCCTCCTCATTGTGCGTTCATCACTTTACTAGTAGGCTCGCTACTAGCTGCTCTGCCTTGCCGGTTCCGCGTGGCAATCTTAAACTCGCTAATAGCATTCTTGCGTTGACCCGAGTACGTCGAAGGCAGCTTTTAGGGCCACGAATCAAAAAGGAGACTCGCCAGTGAGGGAGGGGCAAAACGGTGCAATAGGATATGTGAATGAATTTAGAACCTTGGAGGTATACAAAGCTCGGTCAATGTGGAGAGAAGAAAACTGCCTTGCGCCGTGTTCCTGCCCATCATGTTCGATCAACAAAACCCCAATGCATGCAGCACGGAGAAGGAGAAAAGCCGATGGTCGGTAAAGTTACATTCTCAATGATGCATGGCCGTCCAAGTTATAACGTGCCTCTTTGTCTTCATGCGAAACCCTTACTTCTCAAAAAGGGCGACCTTGGTCCCCACACCGCTGGCCAGCGTCACCGTCAACCACTCGCGCCACTCCCGATCATCTCGGCTCTCGATCCTCGGGAAGGTCTGGATCAGTCTAATGGTGGCATACGATGCTTCCATCAAGGCATACTGCTGGCCCACACAGATGCGAGGCCCTCCGTTGAAGGGCAGGTATTCCCAGCCTGGTCTCAAGGACTCCCATCGCTCCGGCTTGAATTCTAGCGCATCAGGTCCATAGAAATCCTCACGTCGGTGCACTGGCTCAATTATCAGTATCTTTGCAGGCGCAGGGACTTTCTCGTGGAAGAGGACTTACTTGACCAAGGCGAATATGCCACCACTTGCCCCTTCCTGACCAACACAGGCGCCTTGCCGTCCATGCCTCCACCAAGGGGCAGGATGGTGTCGCGGATGGCTTCACGACTGTTGCCGGGCACGACCGGCATCAGCCGGAGTGACTCGTTCAGCGTCCATTTCAGGTATTTCATCTCCTTGATCGTCGTGTAGTCTGGCTTCTCGCCGCCGAGTCCATCCACCTCGGCCTTCAACTTGGCCCAAATGTCCGGTCGCTTCGACAGCACGTGCCAGGTGTTGGACAATAAGCCCGCCGTGGTGTCGCGGCCCGCGAGCAGGATGTTCAGCAATTCCGAACGAAGGGCGTACGGATCTTGGGTCTGGTTGAGCAAGGCGTGAAGGAAGACGTAGCGACTTTTGGGGTCCCGCTTCCCGGACCGCAATTCCTCCATGGCTTCCTGGATGATTCCGTCCGCAAAGTCGTGGATAATCTTGACGCTCTTGCGCCACTTCGCATCCGGGATATAGTCGATCAGACCTCCCGTCCGGAAATTCTTTCCACAAGCTGCCAAAGAATTCGTGCGTTAGTCGACTTTCACCAAGGATGGGCCAACACAAACGCACCTTCAGTGACATAGACAAAAGCCTTGACAAAGTCATTGGCTGACTTGGTCTCCAAGCCTGGGGCCAGGGTGTTGGTCGATCTGCCAAACAAGAACTCGGTCGCAGAATCCATGGTCAAGCCGAAAAACAAATCTTGCAAGTCGACGGTCGATCCATCACGAGGGACAGAGTCAATAAGATGTGAGACGTGCGCTTCAAACATCTCGAGGTCGGCCACCTGCTGACGGGTGAAGTTGGGTCGTACCATGGCACGAGATCTCTCCCAGGCCGCGCCATCGTTGGCGAAGATGCCATGGCCGAAGATGGGGAGGAAGACCTGTCTCCTTCTCTTGCCCAGGGAGTAGTCCTGGAACTTGGTGGAGAGGATGGTCTTGATGATCTCGGGTTCGATGGTGGAGATGACTATCCCCCCCCCCCAAATGAGCCCGCTGTCCTGCCCCGAAAAAAAGGAGAGAAGGCACTTACCGGTGTTTTTGGCCAGCTTGACTTTGACGGTGTTTCGCCCATTGCTGAAATTTCTCAGCCGGGTCGCCTCGTGCAGTCGACCCTCCCGGCCCGATTTGATCATCAGCTTAATCACATCCATGCCGTAGAGTTTGCCCATGATTCCTTGGTGAGGGTACCACACGACCTCCTCGCATCCATTGTCCCGGATCATTCGGCGCCTGCGGGCACCGGTGGTCAATTCATAGTAGATCCGATGGAAGGCATAGATGGCGACAAGAGCGACGAGCAAGACGGGGATGGGAATGTGAGGGATGGACATGACGGCCATGTTTGGGTGTTGGATAAGTGAGACACGGTCAAGAGTGGGAACAGAAATATCACAGTGGCTCCGACACCGTGGCTGTCGAGGACTATTTATTCAGCTGTGGTGGACAGCTAGAAGGATTTGAGGGAGTTTCCCAGTGGGTGGCCTCGGTGCAAAAGCCAGGATTGGGTTTGAGAAGTGTCGGGAGTGCCGCCAAATGGAACAGCTGCTCGATCCGAGCAATCGGTGTCAGCAGGGCACAGGCGCACAAACAAGCAGTAGCAAGCGAGGTGAGGGTGAGGGTGAGGGCGGGAGGGTTGTCTCAGCTCCCCTGTTGATTGTTGATTGTTGATTGTTGGTTGTTGGCTGTTGGCTGTTCAGTCCGTCGTGAGTGACGGGTGACGATGGAAGGAGGAGAAGGATGCTTGGTTATGTATCACCCTGATCACCCCAAAGGTTCACCAACCGACGCCATTAAAACATGTGTGCCGGCGGCCCAGTTGTAAAGAGCTGATCCTACTGATCAGACTTGCAAAAGCCAAAATGGGGGCTTTTAGCGAGGAGCGTCGTGGTCGCTCATTGAGTCAGGCCTCTAGGCTCCAGGATATTCTTGCTGGAACCGACTCGGAATGGCCCTCATCCCCGGACGACGAGCCTGGCTCTGTCCTTTTGGGATTTCTACACGAGCCTTAAGACGGAGGAAAGACCCGGAAAAGAGTAATTAGTAGCAAAATACGGGGAAGACGATGAATGGAGTTTGGCCCAAGAAGACAGAAGACGCTTGGCCCGTGGGAAATTGGCTTCCAAGAACTGGCTATACAAGTACAAGTACTGGCACAATGACGTTGCCGAGGCACAATCGCGGCACGTGGCAGTAATTTGACTTTTGCTGCAGTGGAATGAGGCGGGCGAACTGCAGTGAGAGTGAGAAACAACCACGATTAGGACTCCCTTGGACCCCCTGCTGCGGTGAGATCGAATTGTGAACAAACATAACAGAGCATTGTGTATGTATTTATGCCATGCTTCCTTCGCATCCTTCCGCTCCTCGACGTTGCCTTGTTTCCTCTCGGCCACAGTCAGCAAATCCTCCTCCACCACAAAATGCGACAATGCCGACTGCCAAATGCCCCGACGGCTCAATTGATTGTCCCATTCCACCGTCGGCCAGTGGACCGACTTCCACCATCGAGAGGTCCCCGTAATGGGGAGTTGCATAGTGCCCGTTTCCCATCTCGACGGCCAAAAACTTATACCAACCCTGAAAACAACATTCCCCCACGTAGCCTTGCGCCCCATGACACCTCTCATCTCTCTATTCCCACAACCAGACCTGTCCAGTCAAGTCAAACAAAGGAAAAATGTCCGACCGATCCGAGATATATTTCCCTCGCTCTCTTGGCCCTGCCCTCAACGCCCCCCCTCCCCCCAGGCTGCGAGGCCACCAGCCGCGACCATTATTATTCCCTTTCCTGCCGGCCTTGCTCGCGACCTCGATCACTCTTCCCTCGTCCACGATACCCTCCTCTCGCCCCGAAACTGCCACCACCTCCACCTTGCCCTCGTCCTCGGTCTCCTCCACCACTGGCTCTGGCTCGACTACTGCCTCCGTATCTGCCGCCCCTACCACCACCACCTCTACCTTTACCACCCACTTTGAAGTCAATCTTCTTGAGTGGACGCTCCACCATGTCGAGCCCATCAAGCCCTAACTTGCCCCTCCTCTCTTTGCTTACTTTCCATGGCTGGAATATTTCTTGTGCCTCCTCCAGCCCTCGGAGCTCTTCTACCCAGGCCTTGCAATACTCGCCTTGGGGATCGTAGTCACAGCCTTGCTTGATAGGGTTGAACACTCGGGCTTCGCCTCTGGGATCGTTGCCCACGCCAGCCACGTACTGCCAGTTGCCCCAGTTCGAGCTGACATCGTAGTCGGTCAACATGCATTCATACCACTCGGCTCCTAACTTCCAGTTCATGCCAAGCTGCCTGGCCAAGAAGCTTGCCACGTTTTGTCGCGCCCGGTTGCTCGTGTAACCCGTGTGGTACAGTTCCCGTTGGCTCGCATCGATAAAGGATGTTCCTGTTGTCCCGCGCAGGAATCGGTCTAGCATTTCGGCAACTTCCGGGCCGCTGCCTTTGCTGCCAGGCGTCTTCCACGCGTACGAGTGGTCGTTCCGAAACCCTTCGAGCCGGAACAACCGATGACCAAATTTTCGCGTAGAAAGTCTCATATAGTCTCGCCACAGAAGCTCGAAGCGCACAGCAGCGGTGCCTGCGTTCTCGCCCTGGCCGTATCCCTTGGTGCCTTGGTATCGCTCGTCCTGGCCTTCCTCGAAGTCGAGCAATCGGGAATGTATTTGGCGAGCGGTGATGCAACCGAGTGCCAGCCAAGCGGAGAGTTTGGTCGAGAAATCTGTTCCTAGCAAGCCATTGCGGGTATCTTTGTACCCGGTCATGACCCCCGACTCAATGAGATGCTGGATTCGTTGCAGTCCTTCGGCGGTACCGCCATGGAAAGGGTGAGCAGAACTGACTCCAGAGGACGGGAAAGGGGGTGGGTTGGAGAGAGGAGGTTTGGCCATCAACGGTTTCAATAACACCGATTCCAATTTTGCATATGTGTCGGGCACCGAGAATGGATGAGGCTGCAGCGGCATGAAAGATGGCAGCGGCGGCAGCGACGGCGGCACTGGCAAGGTCTTTCGAGGTGCATCTCTTAACGGTTCTACCGACTTCCGGTAATTTGTGAAGACGTCTGGAAGATCAGAAGGTTTGTCGAACGGCAAATCTCGACTGCGACAAGTTAGTCTAGCGAAATCTCTGACTTCTTGTCCGCGCATACTCATCGATAAAATATTTCTCATCCAGCCATAGTCTGAAAGGTGTCCCGAATTTCTCGGCAGCTTTCCGCACCTCCCGTTCCTCTCGCTTCTCCTCCACGCCTTCTTCCTCCGTCATCCAAACTGCCGAAACCGATACTTCGTCCTGCGCTCGCTGGAACTGGTTCAAAATGTCTTCGACAACCGTGCCTAGAAGGCCGACGTGGATAAGGAGACCATTGCCCAGCTCCTCGAGCTGAGATTTGACATCCCAAATCGACTCCGCGAGAAATTTGGCTCGGTGTGGACCACATCTCCAGAACTTTCCCACCTCCGAACGCGCTTCAGGGAAAGGTGACTTTGAACCAGATTCAGAGAGAAATCCAGAGACCTCGACTTGTTGGGCAGCAAAGACATACAGGGGGAGAACGTGGGTGAACGGTCTTTGTGCCTGTTGGGAAAGCTGGTGGATCTCGTGGAAGACGGGATTGTCGGGAAGTCGGAGATCTCGTCGCAACAAGTATACGAGCACACGCTGTGCAGTCATTGGGACTAGGTGCAATGCCGAGGATGTTTTTTGGTCATAAGATTGGCCTGTCTTTTAACCAGCACTGGATTGTGGTGTCAAACAAGCCAGAACGATGGGTCCCGTAACGTCGAGGTTTTCAACAGATATTCACTCGTGCGAACAGAGATCGTAGAAGCTTTGTCGTCGAAAGGGTGTTCCTGCGGGCTGAGCTGTTGATTTATGGAAGTGTCTGAGGGAGAAACAGGGCCGCCTGGGTACGGAAACTTTGGGGTCAGAGTCCGCGGAAAGGGCGAATCATGAAGAGCTCACGAACACAAAACAAAGAGACTGACAGAAGTGGCCCCCCAGTAACGAATCACCGATCCTAGCTAATCAGCTCACGACACACAGCAGTCAAGTCCTGATTCCAGGTGGTGGATATGATCGACCAGGGTAGAGTGCAGCCAGAGAGGTTCTAGATCGGTACATTCGACCTGGTTTGAGTGGCGATAGACCAATGGGGCAGGATCAATATGCCTTTTGAGACTAATTCTGCTCGAACGAAGATGAAGTCAAGGATAAGATAGCATGGAATCCACCGGGGGGCCTTGACAAAGCGGAGCTAGGATGAACGACATCTGAGAACCAGGTTTGAACCTTGGAGAAACTCGAGGATTAATGGAAGGATGGATAAGGCCCGCAGGGCGTTGGCATTGTGTCAAAACGTACGGGGAAGGATGGATTGGTGGAAGGGCCGATTTGTGGCTGAAGCAGGACAAAGGCAGCAGAGCAAGCATCATGGCGTGACGCGAGAGAGAAGATGGGTTGGAAACAAGGTTCGATCTGAGGTCGGGAGTTATCGATCTGCAAGATCGATAGTGGAGTTCGAGAGTGGTACGAAGTAGCGCCGATCGACCGGGGACTACACGGACTGTCGGTCTGCCTTTTCTATCATGCAACCGATTGCGGGCAAAACGTGGGCTTCGAGGGCGGGGTTTGTGTTGTCAAAGCATGGCTGCCGTAAGTTTTGACGTACAAGGCAGAGTATCGGTGGATGTGAGGAAGCGAAGGACAAGCTGATTCGAGCAAGCTCTTCGCTTGACTGGCTGCAAGGTAAACTTTGTCCGGCAGCAAATGACACAAGGACAAGCCTGCACCTAGCTGCAACTGGATGGCTAGGATGGGCGTGGTCGTTGGAATCCATGGCGAGTCCAAATAACTCGCGATTCGGTACCGTCACGCTGGCTAAGTAGCCTTAGCCACATCCCCTTGCGTACTGGCGGCATTAATAATCATGCCCATGTCAGAGGGAGGGCTGAGTATGTGTGTCTGAATTGATGTTTCTTTCGACTCGCCCAGCTCCTCGCGACCCATCTTTCTTCCTGAGGTGGACCATGTCGTCCGACTCGTCGTGTCTGTCGACCGTAGAGATCGTGGAACCTTTCATCAGTCACCAGCGCAACACGAGATGAGGAGCCGAGAATTGCACAAAGTGCTGCATTTGTCTGGTGGTCCCGCAGGTGCTAGTCGTATGTATGGTCGGGCGGTTCTTGGTTCCGGCCAGGGTTCCATTGCATTGATCTTGTGTCAAGGCCATGGAGGGAAATGCAGCGGAAGCCTTCAAATTAGACAAGGAGTGGTGGCTGCGAGGCCAATGTGAGAGTGACAGAGGAGTGACAGAGGGAGAATCCACTTTGGTAAGTGGCCGCGCCACATGGCTTGCTGGATTGCTGGCTCCCCAGCTTGCCAGGTATCGTTCTTGGCGGTGGGGCTCTGAGCGCCACGTGACTCGGTTTCCCCACAGTCTTGGAATGCGAGAAGGCTGAGAAAAGGGGCGGCGATGGTGGATGGTGAACTCGGAAGGCGCTGTGCTGTCGGCGCCTCTTCCGCAAGCGAGGCTCGCGCCATTTGCAAGCCGAAACCAAGCCACAGTCGCGTGGCCTGCAGGGATGTTCCCAGACACGAAATTTGACCTTGACTTCATCCTGAACACATGTCACTGGTAGACGCGTTAGACACCACTGGTTGGTTCATCAATGGCAAAAGGCTCCAAGCTGCAATGCTATGCCATGATACGGCCTCTGCCCGAAACGCTGCATTTTATATCGCACCACGACGCATGATTTGGACAACTACCAAAATATTTTCACTAAAGTCCTAAGTTTCCGTCACAAATTTTGGAGTATCCTCTGTCCTCGGCCTGCATCTGCCGCACAATCACACGCCCGACCCAAAGAAAGCTACCAATGTAGCCCTGTGCTGTCATGCCTGTCCGCTGGGTATAATGAACAAAATGGTATATCAGAAATGCCCATTCCTAGCAAGAGAATCCGTCAAATCCATCCGTCTCATTCCGCCTGTCGCTGGCGTTCTGCCGATCCATCAAGTCATAACCCGAAGATACATCGAATACAAAGAAATCCCCAAGACAAGGGCCTCCCACTAAGATATTGTACAGTCGCTCGATGAAAGGAATAACATGCGATCAATGGAGCCAAGAGTATGGCGTCATTAAGCCGCGGTCGCAGCTGCTGGGCTTTCGTTGATGCCGTCACTCCCAGATTCAGACTTGATGCCGTCGTCTCTGGTCGCCGTCTCGGGCGGCTTTCCATTGCCGCATCCTTTGACAAGGATATGTCGCTGCGATGCAAGTTAGTCTAGTCGCAATTCGAACCAGTCGTCCGTACTTACTTTGAGTGCGTCCTTGCGAGAGAAGCTCTTGTCACAATGACTGCAGGGAAAAGGCTTGACGGCAAGGTGGATCCTCTTGTGTCTTTTCAAATCATGGTTGCGGTTGAAACTTTGAGGGCACTGATCGCACTTGAACGGGCGATCATGTGCTGGTTGTTGTTGAGGAGTATTGCTCCGTTGGTGGCCATACATGGTTTGCGGGTTTGCCGCGTACCCGCTGTTAAAAGCCATAGGCAACATATTGGGTTGCATATTGCCTACCATGGCCATTTGCGCACTTGGACTATGGACGTTGGACATGATCGGACCAGGCATAGCGGGCAACGAATACGACGGTAGGGGAGGGCGCATAAAAGGAACGTGAGGTTGAGGTCCTTGATGGAGCGGTGGCGAGACTCGAGGAGCGGAAAGGGAATGCGGATGAGGGCTTTGTGATACTGGAGCCGCGGATGGGTAATGATAACCTGGATGTTGCTGGGCCGCAGTTGTCATGGCTGTATACAAGGCGGGATTCGAAGCAGCTCTGCTGACTCCATCGCCCGGAGTCACAGGTGACTGCTGGCTGGGAGGTCTCACACCGGTCGGCAATGGTGTTATGATGCTTTGCTGGGCTGTTGGGTGGGTAGCACTTGTAGGAGAAGAGAGCTGCAGAGAGGCCCCGTACGGTTGAACTGAGTGAAGATCATATGGCGGAGGTGGCAAAGCCGAAGCTTCCCCAGCTGTGGGCGAATTGGTGCTATTCCTCAATGAAGCACCCGGCATTGGCGAAAACATAGATCGGGCGGAGACGAGAGATCCATTCTGCCAGGAAGGGGGTGTAAAGCCCGTGTGGTAGCCAGTTGGCGTGTTCCCTGTTCCAAATAACGTGGGCGTGTAAGGCAGCACTGGAGCTGCGGCGCTGTTTGGAGTGGTTCCGGTGGGAATAGCAGAGGAGGCAGCGCTGTTGTCGGAGGCTGAATTGGACGGAGGAGTCAGAAGCTGGCCCACGTTGATGGGGGGTGGGCCGGCTTGAGATGTATTGATCCCCGAAAGGGAAGGGAATTTCTGACTTGATACCACCGGGTTGAACTGTAGAGTATTGGGAGGTGGGAGCTCGAGACTAAAGGCGGCTTGCCTGCGCTGGCTCAGGCTGGAAGGTGTGGTGAGGCCATCGAGGGATGTCCCCATTGGAAGGGGGACTGCGACAGACGCCAGAGTGACTGATGGGGGAGTGTTCAAAGCGAGATCCGCTGCTTCTGAAAATGAATGAGAATCAACAGACCAGAAGAGATCGATCTAGCGACAAATCGAAGGTGCCTCTTTGCTGTACGCTTCTCGGCAATGTTGACGACGGAGGGTAGAAAGAGGTACGAGCAGATCAGGACCGTTGTTCTTGACCAAGTGCTGCTTTTTGAATGAGTCAATAGTGGGATAGCATCGATTATTGCGACGATCGGATGAAGCTATATCTTGTACAACTTGCAGTTCTCGAAAACAAGCCAAAATGTATGTGATCTATCCCAACAGGGCCTATATGCGGTGCAGACCAGTCCTTTGCAGCAAGTGTTGTTGTTGTTGTTGTTGTTGTTGTTGTTGGTGGTGGTGGAGTAGTCGCGAAGATCAGCTTCTCGGGCTGGGAACGCGGCTGACTTGTGCGGGCTTTCTCAGTGGTCGTGGGGCTTTTTATGGTCAATGGGTCTCCTTTCACCAGATAATCGAGGGCAAAGATCTGCACGGATTCAACCAAGACCGATAGTGACAGTACTCCTGCTGGATTTTGCAAGCGGAGACAGTGAAAGAAATAGTGCGGCCTCAGTCGATACCTCTGAGCTGAGAAGAGGAAACGGCGGCGGCGGCGGCGGCGGCGGCGGCGTGGAGGTACGGCTGTTCACACGAAGACAAGAAGAGGATGAGAAGAGGATTTTTGAAATCAGGCTATGAAGAGGGCAGTTCGGGGACGATTTCAAAGATTGAAGAGTACTCGAGGTCGCGATCCTTTTGGTCGGGGCAACACATGGCGCTCTTAGCGGGCAGCTGGCGGCCGGCTGGCTGGACGGGCCTGTCGCCTTCGTCGCCTAAAAAGAAGAGAGCTGGTCGAAAATGGACGGCGGAGACAGGAGGTGCTAGGATATGATGGGTATGGTCGCGATGGGTGTTGCTTTGCGGGCTGTAGACTTTGGGACGGGGTGGGGGGGAGGGTGTTTTTTTTCCTGGCCATTTGGCGCTGAACAGGATAGACTGGGGAGGTGAGCAAGGACGGGCAGAGAGCTGATTGCTGATTGCCGGGATAGACTGGTGTGAACAAGGTGTGGAGCTGGCCATCTGGCTTGTCGGCTCGGTGGTCATGCAGGCAGAGGAGAAGAGAGTTTTTTCAGGGATGATGGTGGGCGGGACACGGAAGAGGCTAAGAGTCGAGACAGGGAGGCAGGGGGAGGAAAGCGAGGAAGGTTGGGTGAAGGGCCGTGTGAACGAAGGGAACGTGTTTTAGGAGTCGATGGCTTGATGGGAGGGATAGCTCTGACATGGGTCTCTGTTCGGCTGGGGTCTCAGTTCCCGATGGTGCTGGATGTTGACGAGGAGGAGGAGAGGAAGAAGGACACCGCAGTCTGGACCGAGCGCTGCAGGCAGAGAGAGTCTGATTCCCAAACGGGATCGCGAGAAATTGGATCCTGAGGCAGGGCTATGCTGGAAGCAGGTTAGCACCGCGAGTGTGATGAGTATGTGCTTGGGTGCATGGTGGAGTATGTCGTTAGCAGTTTGTAGGTAGAGGTTTTGGGAAGTTGGAGGGGTGGATTTGTGTGCGATGAATGCAGCGGGCAAGAAGCAAGCGCTTGGCGAGGAGGAAGAGAAGGGAGGGTGCCTCAGTCCCAGTGTCGAGTGTATGAGTGGTAGCAGTACTGGGTACGGGGAATTGAGAAGCTGACTGGTGACCACACCTACGGAGTAATACCAACTTTGAAGTAAGTACCGAGATATTCCAGTACATACGGGTTGATGGCCCCCCCCTTTCACCAACATTCTTAACTAAGGTTACTCAGAATTACACACCTGCCCTTAGCTACAAGTAGGTGCCTACCAAGTACATACCTCCTGTTTGCTCCTGTGTAGGTGGTATCGTGTCACCCAGAGAACACGACGGCAATACTCATCCCCGGTTCACAGGCACCTAGACACAGGTGTCGAGCTAGGTGCCCAAGTGCCCATATGTCCCAATTCCAACGTGTTGCACCTGCCTAATCAATTCTAAACACTCGCTATTAGGTACCTTGACCATCACTTGCGTCCCCCGTACTAACTGCCCGTGACTGTGCAGGTACCGACTCGTCGTCCTGTCTGACTGTGGTATCAGTGTAATTCCCTATCATGGTTATTTGGCCTTTCTCTTCTATCCATCCTTTGTTATCCTCCCCCGGCCCCCTTGAACATTCTCTGTAATATTGACTCGTGTTCGGCGTCCATCTCGAGGTGTCCACCCTGCATCAAAATTGGTTCTTCACTCACCCCCCTCATTATTTTTATCCTCAGTTCCAAGGAAAATCCTTTCCCGACATGTATCCTAGTCCTGGTCATTTGGCCCGCATGGTCTGTGTGTTTTTTGTCTTTATCTCGACCGTGCTAACTTCAACAGACCTGGACAGGCCCCATTCCAGGGAACCTTCTCACCCAGTACCCCGTACCTTCGGTTCTTTTGCCAGTGGTCACCATCAGTCCTCGACGTGCACTTGTGTCTAGTGTGCCCAGAACCCACGCTTGTTCTTTCACCAAGCTCACTAGCTAGGCGAGAGAACCCAAGCTATCCTCTCTACCGATCTCCTATCCTCCCCAGTCCATCATCGACCTAGCTCTGTCGGGGTTAGGGAATTACAAGACAGGAAAAAGGAATAAACCTCTGGCGCCGCGAGTTCGCCGCAAAGGACATCACCTGGCTAACCGTCACGGCCTCGCCGTTGACCAAAGGATGATTCAGGGGGTTTCCCTTGCGACCACGAGCCACAGACGCCCAGCCCCTCGACACATGCCCGTGCGAGTACCCAGTAGATTCCCCAGCACCGCGTCCGGATCTTTTCCGACGTGGGTTGGTTCAAATGGACGTCTGTCAAGAGTTTCTCTTGATCCGAGGTTTTGTCCTGCTTCGACTGATGGTCAACCCCGCCATTACAAGTCTTTTGCCGAAGCTGTCATCTCGAGACATCGCCTTTTTAGCCCCTCTCCCCTGGCAAATAGGTCACGCTGCACAATCACAATCTATATATGGCGGTGATATGCAGAACAGACCTGCCTAGGGCATGTCCAATGAATGGGTTACAATCAGACTCTGTCTCTACGCGGCCTGAGGCAAAGTCCGCAAGCAGTGGTCACTACCATCTGCCTACATATGCGCACAGACATTTGGGGTTAAAGCTGCCTTCAGCAGTGACAGACTAACCCCACCGCCACCTTTCTCCTTGGCCCACTAATGAGCAGCAATATAGCTTGGGGCTAATTCTCGCCACAATGTACTGGTGCCGTCTCCTATTCGGCGGCTCCCTTTCAAGCGACCTGAACTTTGGCAGCGGATCAAGCAATTTCCAGAGCCATGTGGCTGCCACCTCATTTTTCGATGCCCCTAAGCCGTCGTGGGTTGATCGGGCGCTGCGTCGAGCACGCTTGTTGGGCGTTTTCTTGTTCCGCACATGCATGCAGAATCCAATCCAGCCACGCTCCACCCACATTAAGACCATTCGACTCTTCCTGGAAGTTCAGCCAGCCATAATCGTGTTGCAGAAACAGCCACCACAAACTAGACGGCGCCAGCCAACTCTTTTCTCCCTTAACAGATCGATCTGTTCCGCGCCTTGAGGCTGCCACGCTTTTGTGACATTCATGCAAGGACGCAGAACGGGCCGTTCAAACCTTCCAATGGAGTTTGGATGCCGCTCTCTCCCAGCGCACGCCCGCCGATTTGCGTGGCCAAGCTGGGCCGCAAGACCTTGATGCCCATCTCAGTTCCTGTCTGGTACCGATTTTCCTGCTGTTCAGCCATGGCTATCGCCGACCATTCACTTCTTTCCTTCCGGTCTTCGCTGATCGAAAAAAAAAAAAAAAATTAATAGATAATACTCGACTTTCAATTTGGGCAGTGTTTGGTCAGTCGCGTGGTCGAGCGCTCCATGCGATTCGCTCTTGGCCATGAGCTCAGTAAGCGCTTTACGTCAAACCTGATCCCCAAAACATCAGGAGCAATTTCGGAGAGCTGGGCTTGTCACGAGGCAAACTAAGTGCCCGGGCTCGCTGAAGGGGGCCTTGTGGGCACTCGATCAGCAGCAACTCTAAGGGATAGCCAATGGTCATGCTCCCTACGCGAACCGCTATACCGGTTTCAAGACTCTCCCAGAGATGCCCCTGCAGATCGCGTCTTTTGACCTTCGTTGCTGACACCCGCTTGCCGGGGTTTCTGGGGCTGCTCCGCTCCGGCAGGCTCATTGGGCTGAGAGTGCGCTATTGGTTACCCTCATGGCGTTTTCCGAAGGAACTCCCTGATATACTCCATCCGTATCCAGCCTTACTGACGTTTCGCAGTCGAACACATCTCATGCCGTTTGGACATTGTAGATTTTCAGCCTCCTTCCGACTTGTGCCAAAAAGTCTAGACCTCGTATCAAGCAGCAGGTCGGAAATTGTGTCCACCGACTGACGGTCTTTTGCCGCCAGCGGATCGTTTGACCCGCGTTTACTACGTACAGACAATACCGGTTTCTTGAGTTACGGACTTGACAGTCCCGTAAGCCGCATTGCCCACTGTTTGCCATTTCTTTTCCTTTTCACGTGTTATTTGGACCTTGAAAATCAATAGATCTCTGGATTGCGAGTGGAGCCTAAGCATGCGTCTGCCCCCTTTTGCCTCGATAGGTCTGGGGCGTCCAGGGCTGAAGCGGAATATCCTTCCTCCTACCAGAGATGTGCAATCTCGGCTTTTTTCTGCCAGAACTCGAGGACTCATGTCCCTCAACAATATGTTTCGGGAATCTGCATGCGGCTCCACGAACAGCAACATTGTCACGGACAGGAGGAAAATGAATCCGTTTCACGGTAAAGGCTGCAAACGTTGCACATGGCGCAGGCAAAGTTCCCAACTCCTGGCTCTGACATATTGGGCTTTGGTTACTGCGATGCTTTTCCTGAGCTTGGGTTCAATCTCTCGTGATGCAATTCACGGGTTGCAGACTCTAAAATCATGGGTCGAGCTGATAGTCCCATTCCAATTGTACAAGTCTGACTAGATCCGTCTCCCCTGTCACCCGCTAAGGACGCGCAGTAACATCTGCTTGATTCTGCGCCGGGGACGGGATTTGTCCTCTCCTCTACAAGACATGAGGTTGAGAATCGACACATCGAACCTATGTAAACAAACTCGCGATCATCACGTCACGTCTCTGCCACAAACCTTATGCTCCCGGTGGCTTCTGAGGCTAACCTCAACTTTCAAGGGCCGATGGGTTGGTGGGCTTCGAACGAACGCCCCTTTTTTGGCTCGAGCCATTCTCCCGACCCCGGCTTACTGGCAAGAAAAGTGCCGACGAGGCGAGAAATCCTGGCATCCGAGCGCCACAGCCTCGACCAATTCGCTCCGGCCTTTCGCCGTATCTCAGCCTTATGGCGGTCTGGGCTCTCACCTGCGAGGACCCCAGACTACTGGGTATGGACTCGGTCATTTGTCAATCTCATTCTTCCACCTCGGCGATGCAGGTAAGACCATTACTAGTAGTGAGGCCTCTGAACAGAGTGGGATGCAGCCTCAACCGACGAGGTGGGAGATGATACTGGCAATCCCGGTCAAAGAAGGATTAACATGGGAAGGTAGTACGGCGTAGGGGGTGACGCGGCGCAAAGGGAAGAAAAGACAAGTCTTGGGGAGGGCAGGATATGATACCAACGATTATATATGTGGACATGTCGGTCTAACGATGTCCATGCTGGCCCCTCGACCTTTCTCCGAGAACAATTACAGAAGGACTCTATGAAAAGCGGCATTGGATTCTAGCGATTATCGACTCGTATTTCAGCTGGGCGACACTGTGCATGATGAATCTTTATCTTGCACAGCAATATTGTTCTTGAGAATGCCGTCATATCCAAGGTCTAACAGCTAGCGCCTCGTAAGGCCATCATTGCGTACCACGTGTCAACTACCAAGGCGTCCAAGTATGTCATCCCAGGTCCAAAGTCCATCGTGGATCGGCGAGGCCGTCACTGGTTGTCAATGGGGTTGCTCGCCCTGTGGGATGATGTGCAGGCACAAATCAAGCACCTTTCCTGATGGCGAATCCCCCGATCGGATTGGCACGTTTTCCTTTTTTTTTTTTTTTTTTTTTTCCCCGCCTACCATGCCGCAGACTCGGCTCTAGAAGAGATACAACAAGACACGACTCCAGAGGTCGGCCGGGCCTCCCAACTAGTCACCAGTTTCTTTCCAAATAAAGCAGCGGCGTTTTCCACGACCTGCGACGTGATCACCACTGCTTGATAAGCCCAGGTTGGTCTCGACGAAGCAAAGCTCAGTGGTTTGTCTGAGAACTTCTTCTAGAGCTCTAAATGCACCGGGCCCAAGGTCCAGAACAAAGTGGATTTCTTTCACGTGCCTCGGCATGCGCATCACGTAAATGTAGGGATTCAAGAATTCCTTCCAGTCATCATCTAGCAGGTTCCGGCGTAGGTCTCGCAAAGCTGTTTGATATTCGCGGTCTGGAAAGTCAAAGGAAAAGTGCCTGTCCCAGACGTTCAAATCGAGGACCAGTTTGGGTTTCGGCTGACCTCGAGGAATGGAGGCCATGAAATCCTTAAGATAGGGAATCGCCGCCAACAGGACGTGGGATGCAGCTTCAATGATGAGGAGATGGAGGCTTAGACAGCGCTGGTGCAATGTCCTCCAGAATGTGGTCGCATAGGAGCTGTTCAGCCAGGCGTTCTTGTAAACGCGCAGTGTCTTGATCGAGGCGAGAGCAATTGGACCGAGATTGCAAAAGGTTTGGATGTCCTTGTCGAAGCGGAAGGAGTTGGCGCTGTATGCAAACTCAAGCGTGTCGCGGGAGATGGCCTTGTTCACGCGAAAGAGCTCGGTGTAGAATGTCGGCTCGTGGGCCAATCCTTTCTCGTCCGACGGTGAACATATTGCCCACTTTGTGAAAAAGTCCTGGAAGCCCAGCGTGATGGGCGAGGGTTTGTGACAGAACAGGTGGGCGTAGATTTGATGTCGAACCTCTACTGGGAGGTCAAGCAGACCTAGTCTCTTGCGAAGCTGACTGCCACCGGCGGCAGCCATGACGAGGTGTGAGTTGGTAGATGTCGATGACTGTTCGGAGGAGGGGGGTTGTTTCTTTTTCCAACTGGCCGGGATCAGGCTGTCAGCATGAGAAGAGAGATATCCCTCTATCTAGGAGGACCACAGAGACACAATAGCACTTTGACTATCACTCGCTGCCACGCAGCGCGACGAGTCAAAAGAAAAGAAAAAGAAGGAACTCGTTTCCCCGCGTACGATGCTGGGTAGATCGTCTTGCAATGCAGGGTTCCCGGATCCCCTTCCCGGACCACGTGGTTGGAATTCACTGTACCTGGCGAGATGAGCAAGAGACTTTTTGCTCAGAGGTCCAAGGTTGCATTCGCATAAGAGGAACAGAGTGGTTAGCGCACGAAGCTGGGGGGGAAGGGGAACATCAGGCTGCCAAGCAGTTCAGTCCCATGCAATTGGCGATCACGGAAATCATTATATTCAACACGTTTGTCTTGTTCTACCTATACCGTCCAGACCGTCGTCTCGCCCTCAGCTTGCTCCTAATCACAAGACACAGCCGGATAGGTTATGCCTCTGATGGACAGCTCCAAGACTCCCAAGACCAGTTGGACAATTGCCGCAATTCCGAGTCCTGGTGGTCGAGAGCTCGTCTATCTGGGCTCTCTTACGTTCCTTGTTTTCCCATCCGGATTGTCCCTCGCCTTCTGCAGTCGCTCAAACACTAACAATGAAGCTTGAATCCAGCGGAGCGGGCACAGCTGTGGCACGCGCCACCCAGCACATTGCGTCGAGACCATGGATATGGTTTCCGAGGGATAGTTCTATTCCTATGGGGAGATATTCGGCTGTGGAGGCTGCTTAATTCACTTCCTGGGCTCCGGATTCAAGCGCGACCAAGCCGTGGGTCATTATGTCTTATGCTGCGCACCGGACTAACAGTACAAGTACCGGTACCGCATGGGCGAGCAGGAGAGCTGGGTTCTCGCCTCGGAACCACATAATCCGTGGTCTGACGATCTCTCTAGGACAGAAACAGAAATCCTGGTGGCCCCAAGCAGGAAATGGCAGGATAAAAGAAAACCAGAAAGGAAAGGACGAGCCGGGCGTGCAGAAAGCCTCAGGAGGATCGTTGCTTGATTGATGCTACTCCGTATTGTCCGTATTAATGTTGCTCCACACAGCTTGAGAGGAAGATAACCATCACGTGTTGCGCAGCTGCGGATGACGTAGCGGCCCGCTGCTTCGCGGCTTCTCCCATTGCTTTCCCAGGAACTACTTTGGGAGGAACTCTTCGACCCTTGAACAACACAACAAGCTCCCAACATTGATTGTCGAAGTTTCCTTGCATCCCATCGCGACCCGGAGACCTAAGCTGCGAAACCATCGAAACAAAGCTTCCGCTGTCCTCCTCTCCTTCCCCGTGATTCATCTCATATCGACCTCCCGTTGTCCTCCTCGCTCGTTCTTGAGCTCTACAGCAAGGTCACACACTCCCATCGTATGTGGCAGCCCAAGCCTATGAAGGTTTTTGTATCCAACATGTTTCGCATGGTATGCTTGAACCCTGGGGTTTGCCCCAGCTTTGGAACCTACGCCGATCTATCCGGGCTCCGCTCCTCCTGGTTTTCCCCCTCTCCGTTCCTTTCGATAAAGGCAGCGCCCGGATACCTTAGATTTCGAGAAAAGGAAAAGCACACCGAAAACTACCTCGATAACTAACCTGTGTGTCCGGGAAGCAGGCCAAGACCCTCGATGTCATAACACTGTTCCACAAACCGACCCTGCCCGCGAGCGTGCGGGCGGCGACGATTCTGAAACAGGCCTCCGCGCAAGCCGCCGAGACGGCGACCGAAGACCAGGCGTCGGACCACTCGCACCAGAACACAACGGTGACGCGCGACCCTTTCGAGCTCGAGATCACCGAGCAGCCCCCCACGCCAGACCAGCTGAAGAGCATTTTCGAGTACGTCGGCTCAGGCCGCGCCGGGGACCTTGTCAAGGGGGCCGCCAGCGAGAGTGACGCCTTGAGGAAGGTCAAGCAGGACGGTTCCCTCTTCACCCGCCCCGTCATCGTCGACTGGAGTGGCGGCAAAGCCGTCATTGGAGACAAAGACAGCGAGATCTTGAAGTTGTTGAAGGCGCAGCAGAAGTGAGAAAGGTGGGGAGAGGGGATGACGGTGGAGAACACTAGCACGGAGGGAAGAGGGAACAGACAACAGGTGTTGTTGGGAGAATGACCAAGGCCGAGTGATGGCGGTGGTGTAGGTACAAGAAACTGGATGGAAATGCCCTCAAGCCACCGAGGTGCCGAGGGACAGACGAATACGGTTTGCTTGCATTGAGTGCTAGCCGACGAAGATTACTGAAGAGAAGAAGAGGGCGGGTATGACGGACATTACTGTTGATGATTCCAAGGACGAAGCAGGGGCCTGTCTTCGCAAGCTTTTAAAAAGTTCCATGGTCGGGTTTCCTGGCGATATATGAATTTTGCATCAAGATTCCGACTTCATCTTCCGTGTCCAAGCCCTGAACTCTCAGCGTAATGGGTCTTGATCCCTACCCTGAAGCAGTGGCCTGTGATGAGAATCCAACTCCAGGAAATGATTCCATATTTCTCCACGTGTCTGTCCTGCGACCCAACCATCCCGGTCATTGGTTTTGCACGAGAGATGTCGGACGTCCTCAAGCGGCAGGCCCTCTCCTGTCTGTCCGTGTGCTCGGTTATCGCCCCTCACTGGTTGCAGTCGTCACTCTGGATGAGGGAGACGTTTCTTGCCTGGCTTGGAGAGTTGCCCGGAGCTGTTGAGCCTGTATTGACCGCTACCATGATTCAGGCCCATCTGTTTCAACTAGGTTGTCTCTCAAACCCGTATTTCGCCCTGCACCAGATGCGCATAACCTCTGCGGACGCCTCGACAGAGCCAAGGCCAGTCTCAGACACGGAAAGAGGCGGAGCTGATCTCCACTCGGACGCAATTACACTTTCGGGTCAAGGACTTACAGCTCTTCAAAGTTGAAGTATCTTGTCCCGCTGCGTTCCTCGGGCAGGATAAAATTGCAGACACACTTCTGGCGGTAAAGTTCCATATTAGAAGTGCCGTCATGTCCTTGCTGTCAATATCTGCGGCAAGTCGTTCCACAAAATCGGAACAGAATCACAACATCACGCGGCACCGAGCCTGGGCTGCAGCCAGGGGGGAACAGAGACAACCCAGCCAACATTCCAATATCAAATCAAGAGGTGGGAGGTGAGACCTTGGCACCAAGGAAGGCTGTGCAAAGAAAGGAGATCCACTGCCAACTTGGAGTTCAGCCTGGCACTCACACGCAGAGCGGAATGAAAATCTGGACTGGCTGAGAGTAGCTCTAGGCTCGGACGCACCTGACGTCTTTTATGTAAGGTACGGCAGTCCGGATTCCAACCGTTGCCAGTCGCGAGACGGAGAGCAGCGGGAACAGGGCTGGGGCTCGCATCCTCGGCGCTCCGCGGTCTCGGATTTCGTGAGCCTATGGCTGTTGTGACGCACCCCTACATTGAGACATCACCCAGGGTTCGTCAAGACAGGCGTCGGTGACTCTGATCAAGGGGTAAGCGCAAGGAGTCGGTATGGCTGTCTCGGCGAGGACGATGCGAGAGGATAGAGAGATACAGAAGGCACAAGAGGCGTGGGATTTTGGGAGAAGAGGAATTTTGAGGATCTCGATCGGAGCAGATCGAGGCCGAATGCGCTTTGATTGTGTTTTTGCGCGCACAGTTGGTGACGTGTACCAAGAGCTATGTAGCGGTAAGTGCCATCTGGCTTCCTGGGCACGAGGCTAGGCGGCTGGGCAGTAGAGGCCGATAACGATAGCGATGGGTGCGACGGAGCGGTGGATAGCTGGAAAAGGCATTGGATGCGGGCTTTCGGCTGCAAAAGAGCAACTTTTGAGGGAGTTATGCCCGGGTTGATAGAGGGACAAGATGAATAATGGAAGGGGCTGGGGTTGGTGTTTGTGCTGTTTGGGTAAAGACAGGTGGCGGGCAGGTGTTTAGCTGCATTCCAGAGCCCGGGACCTGTCAAGCCCAGGCGTCATAGATGCCCAGCTGCATACCAAGGGTATCCACCTAGCCGCCCAGACAGCCTCCGTGGGCGCCCAAGCTTCCGCCACATGCCGCCCGTGGCCGTGGCGTTGGGGGCTTGTGGGTGTTTTTGGGGTGTTGCGAGTCACGCAACGTGCATTCCCGACATGCAAGACAAGACAGGACAAGGAACAGCCGGACGCAGGACGCAGGAATCAAAGAAAACCCACACCACCTTGGTGACTTTTGTGCCTTTGCTGCACCTTTCACCTTCGCTGCCCTGCAAGTTCTTTCTCTAGTCGAACCAGCAACCTCATTCTGTATGATAGACTCTCTCTCCTGCTCTGTCGCTCGCGGTATCAACTTGTCACTCGCTGTTCTGCTCTGTCTGCTCCACCTCAAACGCCCTGCTCGCTCGTCATCTGCAGATCTGGGATCTGCGGCAAGGATCAAGATCGCCCCCACGTCAACCGAGCCAATCCAACGGACCGACATCATTCACTCTCGTATACCGAGTATCAAGAACAAATCATCTGCTTGGAGATTTTCAGGGAATAGAAGAAAGAGAGCTCCTTCTTAGCTGGCTCACTGCCGGCGCAGGTTCTCCCTCCCTCTCACAACCTCTGTTGCAATACAATGAAGCCCTTCCGGAGAAGACCTTACCTGCATTTGGCATTATCTGCCATACTAATGACGCAAAATGCCCTCGCGATCCAACTGGACCTTTCCAGCTCCGACTCGATAAAAGCCGCAGCCAAAACTGTGGCCGACGAGATGGTTTCATATTACACTGGTTACCGACCTGGAGATGTCCCGGGTAATCTTCCCGCTCCATATTACTGGTGGGAAGCTGGTGCAATGTTTGGCGCGCTCATTGACTACTGGTACTTCACGGGAGATGATTCATACAATGAGATCACCACCCAAGCCATGCTCCATCAAGTTGGACCCGACAACGATTTCATGCCACCCAACCAGACAAAGACCGAAGGAAACGACGATCAAGCTTTCTGGGGGATGGCCGCTCTCTCTGCTGCAGAGAATGTCTTCCCCAATCCTCCGGAAACCCAGCCACAATGGCTCGCTCTGGCTCAGGCTGTCTTCAACACGCAGGCGGCGCGTTGGGACACCACCTCTTGCGCAGGTGGGTTGAAGTGGCAGATTTTCGCCTTCAACAACGGGTACAATTACAAAAACACCATCTCGAACGGATGCTTTTTCAACATGGGTGCTCGCTTGGCCGTCTACACCGGAAACCAGACCTATGCCGACTGGGCGGAGCGGATGTGGGATTGGGTAACTGCCATCGGTCTGCGGGACGCGCAATACAACTTCTTTGACGGGAGCGATGACACAATCAACTGCACACAGCTCGACCATATCCAGTGGACGTACAACGCTGGCACATTTCTCGTCGGAGCTGCCAACATGTACAATTTCGTAAGTTTGATTTCGACCGACTTTTATAAGGGCGGAATTACTGACCTTTGGCACACAGACGGGAGGTAATCAAGTTTGGGAAGACAGAATCAATGGTATCATCGCTAGGCTCAGTGTCTTTCTGCAGAACAATATTCTGAAAGAGGTTGCCTGTGAAGGTGTCAACCCTGATGGTTCCGACACCTGCAATGTCGATCAACGCTCGTTCAAGGCTTATCTCGCTCGATGGATGGCAGCAACGATGGTCAGAGCACCCTTCACTTACCCACTCTTGAAACCCATCTTGGAAACGTCGGCGGCAGCGGCAGCTTCAGTCTGCACAGGAGGCGTCAATGGCACTTCATGTGGATTGAAATGGTGGGCGGGCCATTTTGATGGCAGTACTGGAGTCGGTGAACAAATGTCGGCTTTAGAGGTCATCCAATCCAACTTGGTCACCCAAGTCGCTGGTCCCGTTACTCAGGGCTCCGGAGGAACAAGCAAGGGAGATCCCAATGCTGGCACATCAAGCCCAATTGGTCCCCAGGACCTGAACAAAGAAAAAGTTACCACGGCAGATAAAGCTGGAGCGGCGATCTTGACTGTTTTGCTGGTCTTCTTCATTGTGGGAGGCGCATGGTGGATGGTTCTCTAGACCTGAGATTCCGTCTTCGACACGACGGGCATTGCATTCGGAAGCTAGACGGAGGAGGATGTCTGTTATGATTGGACGATTGGCATGAAATCCGGCGTCACGCCGCCTGAGATGGGCGGCGGAGGATCTGCTTGAGTGTTTATAGGGCTTTTCAGGCGCCTGGGACATATGGGAGCATTGCAACAAGCCGAGCTGATGAAGCGGTTGGACTGGGAAGCCGGCATTCCCTTGTGAGAGAACTTTTGCTCAAATAGGCCAAGAGTGGGCGCTTCTAAGCATCAGCATGGGGCGTTTGGTTTGAACGATATTGCTCCATCCAGCTTTGCGCAAATCTTATGCGAGCGCCGGCGACTGGAGACACTTGATTCAACGTATTGCTGTTTGCAGATTTCGTACAGATTGGCCGGACCCAGATCTCGTCGAGCAATGCAGTGGACAGAATGTTATTTCCCTTCGACCTGTACCCGTCTCATCTCCTCCCTAATACTGTCCCTTTCCATCCCTTGCTCCGCTGCCTTCCTCATGCTTTCGGCCTTCTCTCTCTTCTCGGCCTCGGCAGCAACAATCCAAATGGGTTTATCTGATTTTGAATACTCGATTAATTTAGAGACGAATTCCTCGTTGTCTTTGATGCGTTTTTCGCGTAGTTCGATGTTGCGTTTCTGAAGATCGGGATTGAAGCGTTTGAAGACTTCGCCTTCGGTGGGTGTCGTGCTGAGCCAGGTATGTCAGGTAGGTGCGTATTAATGCGGAGGCCTCCGCAGAAGGGCAAACGGGCGAAGAGAACACACGAAGAAAGGAAGGTAGTCAGTGGGCAGCGTCAGGTCTTACTAGTACATCAGTGCTGGACCTCCGACACAGCAGAGCACGAACCTGGAATAGGTCAAAGACATCAGCACAACGGCATCCAAAATGTGAGTTTTTCTTCCTTACGCCCCAGCCATTTTGGTATACATCCATCCCCGCGAACCCATGGTGGGCTTCGATTTTGATATTCTCGACCGTGCGAAACCGACTTTTCAAGGGACCGCTCTGGACGCTTCGGCCCTGGCTCAGTTCCAATCCGCTCGCGAGGTGTTCATTGGACCGTCACCGGCAGAGGACGTTAGTCAGACACGGAACCGAGGATGGCGCGTTTTGCAGCTTTGAGCAGATGGAGGGAATGCAAAAGGGTCGAGATGTGAGATGCGAGATGCGAGATGCACGTCGAGGTCAACGATGCACGACATTTCAACGGGCTCGGACTTGGCAGGCTCTGATTGGCGAATGGCCTGCAACCACTCGTTCTCAATTAGGAGGCGACGGGGATTTGGGACGCGTCCCGGCCAGATACCACAAGCTTCCATGTACCGAGTAAATGCGCAAACAGATATCAATCTAGGCTGCATTGAAAAGCCGGCCGTAACAAAGACATGTCATTGCGCCAACTGGGGTGATAATGATGGTGCCTTGCAAACGGAGGCGTCGGACGAAACCAGAGAGGGATGGAGTGAGTGCGCTATTAATGTACGCAGCCCGGCCAACCGAAGCAGTGAGCCGCTGCAAATGAATACCGGTTACGGAGTAGACAGTAACAAGGTCGCCTGGAGCACAGCCTCTTTGGACCAGGAGAGAAGCATGTGTCAGCCGAACCTGGATGCACCAGAGGGTGGCCACGGGCTCCAAACAGGACCAACAGGGCGAGGCATTGCGTCTTTAATCTGGCGTTTGTACCGAGTAGAGGATTAAATAACTGTTTGTTGTCTCTGTACTCGGTGTGCCCTCAATACTAAGACTCGTATGTGAACTGTCCACCCCCGGTAATCTTAGAGCAGTTGGGTGACCAGGTGACCCTCAAGTGCGTGCGAGTCGCCATCACGTGTTGTGAAACAAATCAGCGGCTGGTGGCGCTGCTGTTCGTCTCAGAAATCCAGAATCCCGCGTCGGGGCCCGGCCTCTGCCTCTTCCTGGTGCGTGCTGCGCTTCTTTGTCGCAGGTCCAAGCGCCAGATTTACCAGATTTACCCAGCCTTCGTCAGCTTTGTCCTTCCAACCTCTGTCCCAATCTATCTTTCATCCCCCATCAGCACCCGACAATCCTCAAACCCAATCCAACACTTGACCTCTTCGCATTCACGTTGAAAATCGACTGCCCTCGCCGTCTCGACGTCCCTATTACCCAACTAGCTCCCTTCGCACCTTCGCATCATCCGTCTCCAAGACCACCTCCATCAAAATGGCCTCAGAAGCACCGTATGATCCCTATATACCAGCTGGCGGACAAGGCGGCGCACAGCCAGCCAGCAATCAGAGAACAGCTGCCTTGCAAGCGGTACGTGAAAGTGAAAGATCGCTTCTATACAGAACACAATGCGAAGAAGATGTCGGAATTGGCGACGGGCAATCCTGCTGCCTGATGTGTCGCAGATTGGATTTTCCATTGCGAACTCCACCTGCGCACACCAAGTGCAATATGCAAAGTCGAACATCGCCAATTGCCGTAGATGCATCTTTGAAATGATTACATTCCACACCCTGTCAACCATCCCGTCATCATCTCTGTTCGAGCTGAAAGCTGACATGATTATTTCTTACAGCAAATCGACGATACTGTTGGTGTCATGCGTGAAAACATCAACAAGGTGTCACAGAGAGGCGAGCGACTGGACTCGCTGCAAGATAAAACCGACAACCTCGCTGTCTCTGCCCAGGGTTTCCGGAGAGGTGCCAACCGAGTCCGGAAACAGATGTGGTGGAAGGACATGAAGATGCGCATGTGTTTGATCGTCGGCATCATCGTTCTTCTCATTGTCATTATTGTCCCAGCCGGTATGATGCTCCCATTTCCCCCCTCAGACCATAACATCAGCGCTGACTTGTTTCAGTGGTCGCCACCCGATAAATGCAGAACCCCGTTTGGAACGAGACCTGAATACTTTTACTTGGAACAATTATGACAGCACAGTCTTCCCAGCGTTGGAGGAAACACTTGAAAGCGAGAACATCAGCAAATGCGAAAGCGTCATGCGAGCTCTTTTTCTGAACCGTGCTCGAGAGCGCTTACGGATGGACGATGGATGGGATGGGGCTACCCCTGTTACAATAATGCACATTGGGCTTTTTTTCTCGTTGTCACTTGGGCGTTCATTAAAATGGATTTTGCCATCAATCCTGCCATCGAATCCGTGCAACGTTTTGTTGTCCATGGCTTATCAGTGGTCATCAATGCTCACACATCAGGCAAAGCAATTCGTGAAGAAGGCGTCGAAGGAAAATGCTGTTATCTACACGACTCCTAGGGCAGCCCGAAAGTGTTTTCATCGCATTCCTCTTCGCTACATGTGACGTTTAACCAGGGAATCCCTCCCACGCCCATGCCCACAGGATGCTCGAGTAAAATTTCAACACTTGCGCTACTATCGAATAGCACAGTGGATAAAAAGACTGAAGGCTCGCGAGTAATGATCAGCCCCTTCAGGCTAGAAAACGTGTAGCCATGCGTTCATCATGCAGATTTCCTCCCGCAGGCAGGGCGGCGAAGAGAATTTTCAAGACCAAAAAATTTTCCCTCCAGAGTCAGCCGAAGGGCTGGTCAGAGGCAATAGAGTGGCACTGGGACTGACATTGGCACGCCACCGCGATCGGAGACGGAGATGGGGGACGAGAGAGGCTGGCTTCTGCTGGCTTCTCGGCTTCTGGCTGGTGGCCTTCGGAGTTGGGGTTGTGGTTGGTTCTGCTGCTGGCAATCTTCATGCACAACAATCATCACCCCGCAAAATATTTTGCTATCGAGCAGTTGGCACAGCAGAAAATTTTGACCCAAGGCCACGACTGCTGAAGTTTTTTCTTTCCCTGCTCTACTCTCGGGGCATATGGTTCTTTGGCGTTCCTCTCAATAGACCTGCAGTTGGCTTTTCTCTGTTGTTTTTCCCGGGTCGCAATCTCCCCTCTTCATCCCTCACATCTCGACCGACTCACTGCGTGAAGACCATCCACGTCACCCACTCTGGACGTCTATTCTAGACCTCTTATCAGCTGCCGCATGAACTGAGGATAACCATGTCGGCATTGGGAGCTGCTACTGCGCGAGCAGTCACCCGACGGGCGGCGTCTTCGTCTCTGCGTTCTCGAGCTCTCCGCCTTGCTCGGCCCTCATACAGACCCCTCGCTGTACAGCAGACGTCCTCCCCACGAACATATTCCTCTCCCTCGGGATCCTACCCCTCCACGAGATCTACAGTGGTACAGTTGCTCAGTAATATTGGCTCCAAGAGAGAGGTTCAACAGTACTTGTCACACTTCAGCTCCGTATCATCACAGCAGTTCGCAGTCATCAAGGTCGGCGGCGCCATCTTGACCGAGCATCTCCAGACCTTGTCCTCGGCCCTCGCGTTCCTCAATCATGTCGGTCTCTATCCAGTCGTGGTCCATGGCGCCGGGCCCCAACTGAACAAAATCCTGGAGGACTCTGGCGTGGAGCCACACTTCGAGGATGGAATCCGGGTCACAGACCCCAAGACGTTGGGAATCGCACGAGCGCTATTCCTCGAAGAAAACCTGCGGCTGGTGGAAGAACTGGAACGTCTCGGTGTCCGAGCCCGGCCAATCACTTCTGGAGTCTTTACCGCGGACTATCTTGACAAAGAGAAATACAACCTCGTGGGCAAGATCAGACGTGTCGACAAGAGACCAATTGAGGCTGCTATCCAGGCAGGATGCCTGCCCATCTTGACGTCCATGGCCGAGACAACAGACGGCCAGGTCTTGAACGTGAATGCAGATGTGGCGGCGGGTGAGCTAGCTCGCGCCCTCCAACCATTGAAGATTGTCTACCTCTCCGAGAAGGGTGGGTTGTTCAATGGCGACACCAAGGAGAAGATCTCCGCCATCAATTTAGATGAGGAGTATGATCACCTCATGCAACAGTGGTGGGTCCGACACGGCACCAGGCTGAAGATTAAGGAAATGAGGGAGCTCTTGATGGATCTGCCTCGCAGCTCGAGCGTCGCCATCATTCACCCGGCTGATCTGCAGAAGGAGTTGTTCACGGACTCTGGCGCCGGTACTCTGATCCGACGTGGCAACAAAGTCCATGTCAACACTTCTATCGACCAATTCACAGACCTCGAGAAGCTCAAGGAAGTCCTCATCCGCGACCGTGCCGGGCTTGATGCCAAAGCCATTGTGGATCGCTATATCAAGTTCCTCCAGACGCGGGACTTCAAAGCTTACTTCGATGAGCCGATGGAGGCCTTTGCTCTTGTCTTGCCACCAAGCGGAGAAACAGCGTTGGCCCAGCTGGCTACCTTGACCATTACCAGGAACGGCTGGCTTACGAACGTGGCAGACAATATCTTCGCTGCCATCAAGAAGGATTTTCCAAAGCTGATGTGGACTGTCAAGGAGGATGATGAGAATTTGACCTGGTTCTTCGATAAGGCTGACGGGAGTCTCTCCAAAGATGGCGAAGTCCTCTTCTGGTACGGTCTTGAGACGAGTGATGAGGTTAAGGACCTTATGGTCGAATTCACAAAGCATGGACGCCAGCTGTTCGGCGATATTAATCTCGAGGCCAAGCTGCACCGTGCCGCCAGAGCGGCGTCCAATCTGACCAATGCTGGTCCTCAAGGAGTGACCCAGAAACGAACCTTCTCGACTTCGGTGAATCCTTTGCGGTCAGCACGGCAAGCGAGGTATGTCACAAAACCGGCCCTGTCTATCCGCACATACTCCACGACAAACCCAAACCCACCGCTTGGTTCCAAGAACAGCTCAAACAGCAAACCTTCAAGGGTGGCCCTCATTGGCGCTCGAGGCTATACCGGTAAAGCTCTCATCGATCTCCTCAGCCGTCATCCGCACATGGACCTACGCCATGTCTCATCGCGAGAGCTTGCTGGCAGGAAGCTTGAAGGATATGACAAGCGCGAAATTATCTACGAAAATCTGACGGTCGAAGACGTCCGACAAATGGAAGAGAACGAAGATGTCGACTGTTGGGTTATGGCTTTACCAAACGGCGTGTGCAAGCCTTTTGTTGATGCTATCGATCAGGTCGGCAAAAACAGCGTCATCATTGATCTGAGCGCCGACTACAGATTCGATCCGAACTGGACATATGGTCTTCCAGAATTGGTTGACCGTTCCGCGATCGCAAAGGCCACAAGGATCTCGAACCCAGGATGCTATGCTACAGCCGCTCAGCTCGGCATTGCCCCTTTGGTACCGTATCTGGGTGGCCAACCCACAGTTTTCGGCGTCTCGGGGTATTCAGGTGCAGGCACCAAACCTTCTCCCAAGAACGACGTCAACAACCTCACGGACAACATCGTTCCTTACAGTCTAACAGATCACATCCACGAACGTGAGATCTCCACCCAACTAGGGACACCGGTGGCATTCATTCCCCACGTCGCCGTCTGGTTCCAGGGCATTCACCACACCATCAATATTCCATTGAACCAAGAAATGAAGTCTCGCGATATTCGGACACTGTATCAAGATCGCTATGCCGGTGAGAAACTGTTGAAGATCATTGGGGAGGCTCCACTCGTGAAGAATATCGCCAAAAAGCATGGCGCGGAGGTTGGTGGGTTTGCTGTGCATAGCAGCGGGAAGAGGGTGGTGGTTTGTGCGACGATTGACAATCTTTTGAAAGGGGCGGCAACGCAGTGTCTTCGTAAGTTCCAGATCCTATCATCTGTAGAGATTGTGCACATACTGACTTTTTGCTCGCACAGAAAACATGAATTTGGCTCTTGGCTATGGGGAATACGAGGGCATTCCGCTCGAATAGAAAAAGAGCTAGAATAGAAGTATATGGAGGCGCCGACGGCAAGACACAATACCCCAAAAAGCGTTCGAATAAAAGTTTCCGGCCTAATAATACGAGATCCATCAGTGAGCAATGGTCTTCCTTGGTCATAAGCATCATTTTTCTCTTCAGATTCGCGCCGTAACAACATGAAAAAGGAGGGAGACAGTCTAAAGAACGGAGCTCGAGTTTGTCCAAATCCCAAGCACACGCCTTCCTCGGAGTTTTAGTATGCCCTTTCAGTGTTGGATGGCGTCCGTAAGGTACTGTTCGGGTGTGAAAGGGTGCGGAAATGGAGATCCTTGCAAGACTGAGAAGATTGCAGAGTCGGTTGTGTGTGGTGATGTCGACTTCTGCTTTGGAAGCAGATATTGCAAATGTGTCAAGAGAAGAGGCATGGATATTTAAGAGGGAAGAGAAAAGGAGACTTCCATGGCCGGACCTGCCCGCCTTTCTCTGTGCATGTATATTGCCTTTTGTCTTTTGTTTCTGAATCGATGACGATGATGTTAAACGCAGAGGTCTTGCAGAATGGCTCGCGTGTACGCTGGGGGCAGCCTCTGCTGGTTTCACTCTCTTCATTCACTTGCCACTCGGCTTCACCCCAGAACTCGCTCCCAATCCGTTGACTTGCGCTTGCTAAATACCAATGACCGACTCCTCCTCATTCCTCATATCTGCTGCTTGCTGCGGCCGCTGATCGCGTCTTCAATTCAGGCCGTCGGCTTGGTATCGTCAAAGGTTGAGACAGAGGATCCCTGCAGAAGTCGGATGAGCTGAAGTCTCTCGATTGTCGAGGGGCCATGTTCTACAGCCACGAAAGTGAGTCCTCTTTCTGTCTAGGTACATTGGAAGGTACAACTCGGCTGACGCGACTTGTCCTGCAAAACAGTCCTGACGAATCGCCAATATGGCGTTGCGACCATCTGGTAAGATCCTCCTCCCTGTGAGACCCATCTCATTGCCTTCGCCTCTCCTCATCGGCATCCCCTCCCTTCTCTCCCTAACCCGCCGCGTTGGGAATTGCCTCTCTTTGCACCAGCGCCTCACTCCTCACCAGGCTTGTTGCAACACTCGGCTCAAAGTCCAACCTGAAAAAGATCTCTCGTCGAGCCATCCTTGATGTGGACCTCCAGAAGGCATGCAAGACCATCACAGAGCCCGAGGTGCCCTTGGCGTTGAGGTTGCAGGGCAGTTTGCTGTTTGGGGTCTCCCGCGTGTTCCAGCAGCAATGCGGATATGTCTTGATGGATATCACGAGCTTGAGAGACAGGATGAGAGAGACGGAGCATGTCTTCAAAGAGATGGAGTTTGATCCCCATGTGGGAAAGACACGGTCAGTCGAGGAACGTTTTAATCCTTCTGTGAACCTCTGCTCACCTATCTTGCAAAGGCCAGAACAACTTAGCCTCGCAGAAGACCCATATTTCATTCCGGATCTTGATATCTACTTCGACCTCTCTGCATTTGGCTTTTCCCCAGAAACCTCCACCTCCTCCGGAAGCGCCTCGTCTACTCTGACGTTGCCTTCAAGTCAGAGAAGTCACACTTCCCCTGATGAAGCAGAAGAACTAGGGCTTGAGATTCCATTGTTCGATACGCCTGTGGCAGGTTTTGGCGGCTTCGATGTCCCCTTTGGAGAGGGCACGAGCTCTGTCGCGCAGACCGCCAACAGAGCCGACCCTCCCTCAATCTTTGAGGAACCTGCCGTCATTGATGATCCCCTCTTTGACGTCGATGAAGATGGCTTCCTCCATCCCGCCATTTCTGATAGTCTTCTGGGTCTTCAGCTACCATCTGATGCAGGACTACCACTGCCAAGCGATGCAGGGGCTAGCGATCGGGGTGGTAGAGTGCATCCACCCATCGCAGGAGGGGATGAACTAATGCCCACCTTTGATGACGAGATGAACATCTTGGACAATGGGGAACTAGTCCTCCCGCCTCCAGCCCCTCAAATTCCGTTGACGCCAGAGCCTGCAGATGAGGCAGTTCGACAAGGGACCCGACCGACCTCATCCGTCGAACCATGCGAGGAAAGCTCAGAGACAGCAGACGCACCTCAGCGTCGTGCACGCATGGTGAAATCAATTCGGCCAGATCGCCAGACAGAGCTGAGCAACCGACACCTCAATGAGTGGAATCGGAATTATCTTGCCAACATGGCGGCGGCTTCACACATCAGACAGGGCCAACTTGCAAACTCCAAAGCTAAGAAGAACGCCGAATTCTGGATCCTACAACAAGGACTCGGGAATGTTGCATCTTGCTTTGGAGATGACAGAGTCCCACATCCACTTGCCGTATTCAGTGGGCAATCGCTGTGGGATATGTTGAGAGGAGGACCGGATCATGGAAAGAAGAGATCACGAAGCGGTTCCCTAACGAATGCAGAGCGAGAGGAGGACAGACGAGTAAGAGCCAGAACATCATCTCAAGAAGAAGTCGCTCGCGGAGTAGAGGGCGAGCGACTCCAGTATGCTGATGAGGACGGATTGTCATTTCAAGGTCATGACCTTGACGTGGAAGCAGAGGTTGGGCGCCACGGACCTCCATCTTTGCCTGACTACTCGTCCGGCATGCCATGGAATATCTCTGGATCTCGTCAGAGCTCTGCTCAACCTCTGGGAAGCGGCCTCATCCCGAGGCTGAGCTCAAGCGTCGGCGGTTTATATGGCGGAATGGAACTGGGACCGCCATCCACCCTAGGCAAACGAGGATCACGTCTCACCTCCGCCAGTCCACTGCTTGGGAGAGGCCTAGCTTCACTGTCCAGACAGAGTAGCCAAGGCCCTCTCGATGCTTCACGAGTCACGAACAATGGAGACGAATTTGCGGACCTAGACGCGCAGCTGGGGGCAGATATTGATCCAGATTTTGAACTGTACGGACCGTCCGCAACTGTGGATACGCAAACAGCCGCACAGTCTCAATGGGTCGCTGCAACACTGGAGAAAGAAGCATACAATTTCCTTTCGTTCGTCAATACAAAGATCCAAGAGAAAGGAGAACAATGGGAAGATGTGGTTGCGGAAGAAAGGGGTGCAAGACAAGCAAAGATCACCCTGGACGAGCTCCTTCCGCCAACTCAAAACTCACCGATTGTGGGCGCTCAAGCTCTCCTTCACGTGCTTGCTTTGACTACGAAGGGTTTGCTCAAGGTCTCCCAGGCAGACGGGTTTGCCGCCGCCATTGAAATCTCGGTCGTGAGTTATTGAAACTTTGAAAGTGGGTCGAGCGGGCTGCTACAGACCGAGCTGTCCGAGACTGTCTGTTGACATGTGGTGTTTGCATCCAGCTGTAGGAGTATGTGGAAAGAGTATCAGAGTTCCGATATCAGTGGATGAGTGACGGGAACTGTGACGAGGTCAAGACTTGTGAGATGATTTGAGCTGGGAAATTTCGCACGAGGATCTTCTGCAACCGGGAAGTTGTGAGCCGGGTCAAGGGATGGTGGTGCTTTCGCCAAACGAGGTTCAGCCTTGCTTCTTCTTAGACAGGAGCAAATCGAAGCCGTTAGGCTTGCAAGGATCCTCGCCCGAGAGGCACGAGCACAAACCGTCGCTGTTTGATCGCCGTCGAAATTTCAACAAGGGTACAGAGATGGTCGTGGCGCAGGCGGCGCATTCTCCAACATGTTGCTTTCAAGCCACAATCCTATCGTGGTTCTGTAACAAGTCTTGTTTCAAAGCACTCGGTCGATGACACAGATTGTGTGGTCATAGGTTGGCCTTGAGAGGCGAAAAGGCTCTCGACGTCGCACCGACGTCCAAACAGCTCTTGACATTTGATCTCTCATATTTTTGTGTGCACAGCCCAGTAGCCTACCGCCTTTGAGAGCAGCCTTTCCAGAATCTCTGTGGCCCAGCACTCTGGGCCGCTTCTCGTTACGCGGAGATCGGTGGCTTCGCAGCCCGCAGACCCCGATCGAGAGGCTGCATTTAGCGGGCGATCGCCGGGAGGTCAGACACCAGAGACTCAGAGAGGACTGAACTGGACTGGTTGCGGCGAATCATGGGCCTGTGCCTGACAGGAAGTGTCGGGTTCGTTCTTTGTCCGTGTCGACATTGTCAAGGTCAGGCGATGTCTGTGTCTTTCCAATAGCGTATTGTTGCCCGTACGCCGTACTTGTAGGTCTGTCGAGAATTCAACAACTGGCATGAGAGCAAATGGATAGTGCCTAAGGTTTATCTGTGGCAAGGAAGGCCCAAATATTACGTTGGATTGCTCTTCTTGTTAGTGTTCTGGGTGCAGTTACGAATACCCAGTACCTACGGGGTTGTTCTCATCCCTCATCCAGGACCCCTCCTAGGCGCCCACCAAGGTGCCTCTTTGTGCCTACCCCCTGAAGTTAAGCAAAAAGCCTTAGGCGAGCCGGGTCATCTCCCGCACCGATGCCCGGCGACCCCTTCTGGGGGTTTTAAGTAAGCCTAGCTTGTGCAGTTGGCGTCGTTAGCGGCAGTCTGGGACTCTGGGCCACACCGGTCTAGTGAGCCTAAACTAACCCGCAAGGAGGTCAATGCGGAACAAACATCACCTCGCTCACTCGACACCAATCTGCACCTCTCTGGTCCCTGCGACTGTTGCGATCGTTGCATCTTTCCCTTTACTCACCTTCATTCCGTGCGCCCGACTTGGCTGTCGATTCTTGTCGCCTGGCTGCGGCTGGAGCTTGTTATTCGGTGTTTCCCATGTTCCTCTCGCGGGGCCAGCTTTGGTGCATAACACTGCAATCCGAACCTCAATTCCAACTTGATCGCCGGTCACACCTGCTTTCACTATCCTCTTCGGTCACAGTCGAGCGCCCAGCGCCGGTGCGGGTTTGGGAACTACAGGCTGTCTGCAGCAGAATTAGGCCAAGCTCAGATCCTCTTTCTTCGCGATGATGGCTGGTAATCAATATCGCCAGCAATGGCAGCAAAACCCAGCGCCCTCGTACCAATACGACAGCGGAAATAACCAGAGACAATGGCAAGAGAGTGGGAGAGGCCAGGGCTCTTATACCCAGGAACATCAACGCTATAATGACTATCCACAGAGTCGTAATGGTTACGCCCAAGGTCCGGCGCCGGCGCCGACGGGTTACGATCGAAATGGGCAGTGGGAAGCCCAACATCAATATCCTCAGCAAAGTGGCCATGAAGCACAATATTATGAAAACGGCGGGGCCTATTCACAGCCCCCGCGGCCAGATCAGTACGATCAAGGTCCTCCTCCCGACCGCCAATATCAATATGACGAGCGATATCGCACCCACGGGCAAGGCAGACCTCCACCGCCAGATCACAGCTATTCTGATGGCCAGAGACCACCAAGAAATCAATGGTCGGAGCCTTCCACTCCACAAAAGAGACCCAGGCGTAAGGATTGAGGAATGATTTCCGACTGATACTGAACGCTGACGCTTCATAGCCCGCGACCGCATCTTGACTGAACCTACGTCCCCCAAAAATCTGGCCTGGGACAATCCATTTGGGGCTTTCCCTCCCAAGAAGAAGCCAGATGACAGGGTGAGGCACGAGAGACATGCCAGTCTGGACCACGCAATGGCGAATCTCAACATGAATGAACACCGTCCCAGTGGCGGACCTGAAACCCGACCTCATACTTCCAACAGTCAGAGAAAAGAAGCATCTCGCCCTAGTACTTCGCACGACCGGCATGGCCGTCACCCAGATATCGGGCAGCCGCCGCTTCCGATGCAGGGCTATCCAATGCCTCCCGGTCGAAGCTCGCCAGAGATGAATTATCAACAGCCACCAGTTCCCAGACCTCAAGGAGGGATAAACAGTTCGTGGGTGCGGCCGGCAGGACCTTCACGAGGTCCCCCGCCGCCTATGAATAGAAATGGACCTCGTCCTACCCCTCAGACTGGGATGGAGGACTTTAACTCCCGGGCCAACAACAACGCTCCAGGCAACTATCCACCCCCAGATCGTCGCGGCAACAATTACATCCATGACGAGGGTTATGCCTCGGACTACATTCCACAGTCAAGGGCGCATGTTTCACCAATTGAGCGTGTCCCGCAGGGAAGTCAGCCCAGACCTGCGCCTCAGCAAGGTTACCATGCCAACTCATATCGAGATTTTCCCCCTAACGGCACCACTGAAGTCAGTCAACCGAGAAATAATGAAATGCCAGACTTTGATGCTATTCCGACCCGGGCAAATGAGAAGAGTGAGAACCACATGATTGCAAATCAACAATCGGGTCTTGGCCAGCACATCTATCAGAAACCAACTTATCAAGTGCCGGGTGCATTTCCAGGTCAGATTGACACTATGCAGTCTATGCCTCCTCCAAACCAGACTACTTCTCCACTCGCGGAGTTTTCGTTCGATTTGCCCAGCACTTCTCAACCAGTGCCAGCTAGCAGAAATGACAACTCTGCACAAGCTCCATCCTATCGTGGAGTGTACGGTGGACAGGACAATTTTGGCTCAGGAGGGCCTCCAAGGGGGGCATACGGGGATATACAACCTCAGGAGTTGCCCGGCCCGCAGTATCCGCCGCCTCGTGCTGCCAGTCGGAACGGTATGAAAGCGTCCATGGAAAGTGATGCCTCAAGACCCCCGCTGCCAAACAATGGCCAACCCTATCGATCCTTCAGTCAAGATCAGTATCCTGTCAGGCCACACACAAGCAATGCACAACGGCCACCGCAACAAAGTTACGAAATGATGAATCCATATGATCAGGATCACGGGCCTGAGAACCGAGCTCCTTCAGCACCCACAGCGCCTGTGGGCCCCATATCGTATGATCAAGGTTATGGGTACCCGGAGCAGAGTCAAGAGTATCAACGTCCATATGGACAGGGCCCACCACCGCGCAAGGCGTCCCAAGACAATTACGCCGGCCCTGGCAGATCCAACGCTTCCGACTCCGCACATCCTGTGCCCGTTAGGCATTATCCGACCCCAAATGCAGAAAGCAACCCGGATGCACTACCAGCACATCCTACACCAGTGAGAGCAGGACTGAAAGACAGCAATGGGTATCCATCAGGTCAAACGCCCCCGGCTCAGCCTAACCCGGGGCGAGAGGTTCCAGGGCCTTCCCCGCCCGTCACCGCTCAAGAACTCAACAGTCTCCGCGAGATGTACAGTAGAAATCCAAGCGACCATGCTCTCGGTCTGAAGCTGGCAAAGAAGATGGTCGAAGCGGCCAAGGTTCTTTCAGACGAGAATGGGAGGGCGGACCAGAAGACAACACAAAAGAACCGAGAAAAATACATATTCGATGCACACAAACTGATCAAGAAATTGGTGGCAGCCAACTATCCTGACGCAATGTTCTACCTGGCCGATTGCTATGGACAAGGAATGTTGGGACTTGCTGTGGACCCGAAAGAGGCCTTTTCTCTCTACCAGTCGGCGGCGAAGCTCAATCACCCCCAAAGTGCATATCGAGTAGCAGTTTGCTGCGAATTGGGGACCGAAGAAGGCGGCGGAACGCGACGCGACCCTCTGAAGGCGATGCAATGGTACAAAAGAGCTGCAACCTTGGGAGACACCCCAGCTATGTACAAGATGGGGATGATATTGTTGAAGGGATTGCTTGGGCAACAAAAGAATCCACGTGAAGCAGTGTCGTGGTTGAAGAGGGCCGCTGAACGCGCCGACAAGGACAATCCTCATGCGTTGCATGAGTTGGGCTTACTTTATGAATCGGCCTCGTCCACGGACCATATCGTGCGCGACGAGAAATACGCCTTTCAACTGTTCCAACAAGCCGCAGAACTGGGATACAAATACTCACAGTTTCGACTTGGATCGGCATACGAGTACGGATTGCTCGGTTGCCCGATCGACGCTCGCCAAAGTATCGCATGGTACACTCGAGCAGCCGCCCAAGGGGAGCACCAGTCAGAATTGGCATTGAGCGGCTGGTACTTGACAGGATCGGAACCATTGCTTACGCAGAGTGATACCGAGGCGTTCTTGTGGGCGCGGAAGGCCGCCAGTTCGGGACTTGCGAAGGCAGAGTACGCGATGGGATACTTCTACGAGGTAGGTATCGGCACGACGGGGGATATTGACGAAGCAAAACGTTGGTATTACAGGGCATCTGGTGAGTACACATCATCTTTTCACGTCTCGACGCATTCAGGGTTAATTGATGGGCTTTAGCACAAAATTTTACCAAAGCACGAGAAAGGCTGGAGGAGCTAAAGAGAGGAGGACCCAAGCAGCAAAAGACACGAATGTCGCGGTCAAACGTTAACAGGCAGACCGAAGGGGATTGTGTGGTCATGTAAAAAAAAAAAAAAAAGAAAAGAAAAAAAAGACGATGGGGGGGATGTTACATTTGGAGGATTCTCTTTCTGTATTTTTGTCCCTTTGACGGCCGGCCACATTATTCCCTTGCAACGGCCTTCGAAATGAGTTTAGAGCCCAGAGAAGGATGGGGGAGTCTTTTTTATTTTTCCCTCATAGTGCCACCAGCAAGAAAGAGAAGACGAAATGAGAAACCCAGGGAATGTCGAGGAATGAACCGTGGGGATGTTGGCACCTCACTCACATATGTACGCCTCTACTACGCACGTATGGAAATACTTAATGCAATGCAAGTCCTGCGATTTGATCTAGTGCCTACCCGCCGAGTCTCTCCATATACGGAGCGTTACCTACACAATATACTCGGTACAGTATGCTCCCCTACTCCGTCCTCTCAATATGCGACCTACCCTTCTATATGCCATCATCATTGCCACCGACCCCGTTCTCTCTCCAGCCTGGTCCCTGGCCCAGGGAGATGGACATCCTCGTACCCAGGCAGTTACATGCGTATGCCTCGTGTCACACACAGCTACGTCAGGAACCTCGCAAAGTACGCGCTCAAATCGGGCCCGCCGTCCAGCGGCGCCGCAAAGCCTACAATGCCGTCCGGGCGGACCACGACCACGGCGCCCCCGCCCACGCTGGCCCCGTACCGTGCGTGCGCCGTCGAGTCGTGGTCGTAGTAAGCGTCGCCGAACCGGGCCGCGCCCAGCGCCTCGTCGGCCTGGGGCTTGTTCCCCGCGATGATGGTCAGGAGGCGAACTCTTTTGCATTCGGCTTCGCCTTGGCCTTTGCGGTCGTTCGCGGCGACGACGGCAGCGCCATCTCTGCGGCGGCGGTGGCGGCGCTTAGTGAGAAAGCGCCTCATGCTGTCGCCGTCGATATATCCTCTCAGAGCCTTCACTTTCTGACCGGTCAAAAGCGGCTCGCCGGCAAACACGAGCACCCAGAACAGACCCACGTTCTTCATCACCGTGTGCAGCCTCGTGGGGATCCTCGCGCCGGGCGCGTGGACCAGGACGTCGGGCGCGCGCCAGCCACAGGGCACCGAGGCCGACTTGGTGGCCACGTTCAGCGTGTTCTCGCCGTACCGGATACCCAGCCCGATGTTGAACTGGACGTTCTCTTCCAGCGCCTTGGCGAACAGCACGCTCGGGTCCGTCGACGAGAGTCCTCCCGCGACGGCCAGCTCCTCGGGCACGGTCCCGGAGATCAGGGCCGAAAAGGTCTTGTCCAGCTGGATCAGGTGCTGGGCGACGGGCCGCCGTTCGCTGTCGTACGTCTCCAAAATCGAGGCGCCGTACCACCCCTTCAGCACCCCGGCAAGTTTCCACGCCAGGTTGAAGGCGTCGTGGACGCCCGTGTTCATGCCCTGCGCGGTCCCCGACGAGTGGCTGTGGCAGGCGTCGCCGGCCAGGAGGATTCGGTTCTTCACGAAGGTGTCGGCCACGGAGTGTCGCACGCTGTTGAGTTTGGTGGTCTTCGGGTCAGCGTTGTGTAAATGCCAACCCAGTCCAATGCCCGTCCCAAGAAAAAGACCTCCACATTAGATCAAAGGGGGGAGGCATGGCGAAATGCAAAATGTGCTTTGTAGGAGGGAGGCCTTACTTGTATACGGTATACCAATCCACGCACTTGAACTCGAGAGCAAACGGCTTGAGAGCCAGTTTCGCTTCGTCGATAGCTTGTTCCTGCGTCATGGTCTCGCCATATCTCGCCATCATTTCCCTCGAAAGCGCGAATCCGACCCTCGAACGGCCATGGTCTAGAGCAGCCCACAGCACGTTGCCGTGCGTGGGAGATTCCAGAGTCGCAAAGCCCTCCCGGGAGTCTGGCATATCCGTCTCCACGACCCCGTCGATGCGTACCCAGCGGAGGGCTGTGCTGTCTGTTGTCGACGAGATGCCGGAGAGGTGGCGGACAATGGAGCGGGTGCCGTCGGCGCCGACGAGGTACTCGCTGGAGGATTGCATTTCGCAGTTAGCTCGTCCGCGGCGCCGTGCACAAATGCCGTACGTAATGGCGGAACCCGAGAAGCAGAGGGACTGCCTGCAACGACTCACCCAGCAAGTGTCCGCGTCTCTGAAGTGTTGGCACTCTTTACCTCAATCTTCACAGGACGGGCATGAGCCTTCTCAGTATCCCCTTGGTCCGTCGGTATGGTCAAATTCACCACCTCCCATCCCCCGGCCACGATTCCACCGATTCTCTCGTACTCCTCCTTCACAATGTCCTCGGTGTACTTCAATCGGATGTTCAGCATATAATCCACAAAGGTATGCCCTTGCATGGCGTCAAACACATGCCGCATACCCCGCCTGCTGTCTCTATTCCCGTCCTTATCATAATTGACGCCACTCCTGGACACGAAGCCCACTTGATTGAGACGCGTGAGAAGGTCGTACTGGTCGAGCATTTCCAATGTGCGGGGGAACATTGTACACGCGCGGCCGTACATGGGCAGCTTGTGCTTTTCGAGTCGTTCTTTTTCCGTCCGAGTGAAAAGGCCATAGTCAGCACCGGGCCAGAAATAAAGGGAGAAATAGAGAGAAATAGCTCTCTCCAACTCCTTAGGTTCCGCAGGCGAAAGGTCGTTCTTACCAATGACACAGGTTTCGATACCCATACGTTGCAGGCCGTAGGCCATCAATAAGCCCACCGGGCCTCCACCACAGATCACCACCTCATAGTGATCTTTGAAGTCAGTCATCGTGGCGTTATCGAAATGCTCAGGGCCGATTGAGAGAACAGGCTCTGAAGATACTGTAGAAAAGTTGGCCTCGAGAGGCAATCTCAGTAACCGCACTGGCAACGATCATGAACTCGTACAGCGTACGTTCTCCCTTTTGTGTCCTCGTCTTCGGCCTACCACCGGCGGAACCCCGTCTGCGAGACTAAGCTACCTTTTGACTTGCCCTATGTTACGAGACAGAGACTCAGAGAGCATGAGAGAGCTGCTGTGCTCAAATCGTAGATCAGTCTGACGCATCCGAGGCTGCCACGATGTGGGAGGCCTTGATAGACTCGGAGCTCACGAGTACACATGATGCATCACCGAGACGGGAATCGCCATCCAAATCAACAGCGTCGACTATGTAGCCAGCTGCAACGAGACGGATTCTGGAGGGGCGCCCGGAGCGACTGATGTGTTACAAGCCATCAAGGGAGCTGCGTCGTCGGCGAGAGCGCGTCGTCGATTGGGCGTGTGATCCAGAAAGGAAATGGCACCGACTTTGGAACGCGATGACTGATGCTTGAGTAATACTAACAGTCCGAGGGGGGAAGAAGGGGATGAATCAATGGCAACGGGCATTGCTCGAGTTTAGAAGGTCGCTGAGATTAAGAGCCCAATAATAATTGCTGCTCAGTGCCCCATACTACTTACTACTCTCAAAATATTCCGCCCTCAATTACCCCTTTTTTTCCGGCTTCCCCTTTTGCGCCTTGTTCTTGTGATCCCCAGTATCCTCGTAGTCGCCTCCAGCCGCCGTGCCAGTTCGCCGGCTTTCCAGGCGGACCATGATCCTTTGCCTCCACCTGACGTTAAGCCCACCAGACGTCAGCCATGTAGCAGGGTGGAAGGAAAGGTGGCGAAGGAAGGGGGCAACGATTTTCCGGATAGATGGGACCAGGATTCACCCGTGAAACTGGGGAGAAATGCAAACCTTTCTCCATATTCATGACTTCCTCCTTGATCTTCTCGCGCAGTTCAGGATCCGTTGGGTTTCCCTTGGAACTGGGCATTGTGCTAACCTCCTGCGGAAAATAAAGCGCAATGAAACTGGTCGCGCTGTGGGATGCAGTGTGTGAATGTGGACGAGATTTCGTACACGCTACCGAGCAACGAAGAAATTGAACTTTCCCGAGGTCGATGAAGACTGACTACTCCTGGAAGCCGACGTCCTCACACTGGTGCCAGAAGTAGACGTGGTTGATATCGAGCTCGTTCTTTCTTTGTTCTGCCTGCCTCCGTCCCCGGACGACTGGTCTGTCGAAGACGCTTCAGATGCTTTCCTGAGAATATTGCGCAAAGACTCCTGTGCTGTCGAGTGGCTTTCAGGATCACTGGTGAAGCGGAAGGTTGGGAAACGAATCATGGTTGGAAGGGGCAGTCTGGGGGCCCAACGAGGGATATGACTTTAAGTGTTCGGGGGCCTTTGCTTTGTGCTGAATGCAGGATCGATGTCGTGATGGATCTGGCTGTGAGCTGGGTTCAAGACTGGAACCGACCGCGGGACCAAATCAAGATATCCGGCATGCAGATGGTTGCGATATGCGACATGCGATATGCGATATGTGATATGTGAGATGCAGCCAGGTGGAGACTCGATCGAACAATGACGAACGTGGATTCGAAACCCGCACAAAGAATTCAGAGCGGAATGCAATCGAGCAAATATATACGTCACGGGAGCGTCGAGGGTGTGGGAGTCGATCTGCCGCGCGTGGTCTTGTCTGTGGCGTGGTCTCCGGGAGAGTTTCTAGGCGATAGAAATAGCCAAGTACTTGGTAGAGATGCACGGGGTTTGAAAAGGTCTGTGGGCTGGTGTGAGGGCCGAAGGAGAACAAACTAGAAGCACCAGAGTTGCTAGGCTGAGGCTGAGTACTTGTACTTGTGTTTACCGATCGGTGCTGGTGCTGGTGTTGGTGTCTCATCGTGGGTCTCTCTCCTCCTCCTCCTCCTCCTCCTCCTCCTCCTCCTCCTCCTCTTCCTCCCCGTCTCCTCTGAACTCGATCAAGCCCATCGGACGAGGGATCGTGATTGGAGAGGGCGATTCCGCTTGCCTGTGTTGCTTAATCGGGCAAAACCACGACGATCTTGCCTCAGTGCGAGTTTTGTTGGGAATGAAGATTCGGGGACTGTGGAACAGCCATCCGTGCCAATAACGGCCAGGCAAGAACCCAGACGAGATGACGGACCCGCAAAGTCACTTGACCGTTGTTCCTCTGAAAGCAGTGACAGCCCCGTGATCCGCTCCCAGATGGATGGTGTCCAGCTGGTGTCCAGCTGGTGTCCAACCGGTGTCAGCCAAACTCCATGGACCGATCTCTTTGACCCATGGCTGTGGTCAGAACGCCAGAGCACAAAGGATCAAAGGATGCATGATGATGACCTCATCCATTTGCAGCCTCACACACAACCAATGACGAGTGGCGAGGCTGCATGAAACCCCTTCGTGAGGCCTCTTCTGTACCGACGCAGCATAATATCAATATGGGCCAGAAGAAGCGGAAACAGAAGGTGGCAATTGCTGTTGCAGGCGAGAGAATACCAGTACATAAACAGTGGCTGTGCAACATGCACCGACTATGCTGCTAACGGTGGTGGCGCTGCTGCGAAAAGAAACATCAAGACATCCTGAGAAAGGGCTTGGAAATATGGGCGGGGGCGAGATTGGTCTCCACGTCGTCGGTAAGAAAGAACTTGTCGAGTCGCATATGTACTATAGCAATCTTGTGCTCTGCGCAGGGTGTATTCCAAATCGTATGCTTTTGATTTGCACAGGTGCCCATAGATCAAGTGTCTAAACTGCTCTTTCCAGCTACAGATCCAATAACCTAGAGCCAACATCTTGCCCTGAAATTGATGGTCTGAAGCTTGAGAAGGATATCTTGCCAACGCGGGAGAAATGAAAGCCCCAGACTTGCTAGTCCTGTAACAATAGCGACGTCGCCTTTCGAAGGAAGCCAAGAACCACTCGGCAACGGAAGGCTGCTAAGTAACCCCCCTGCCCAGCACAGCGACTTTCACCTCAGTCCCTCACGCTCTCATTTACAACTTGGCCTCGACCTTTTTCTCCACCTCCTTCGCCGAACTCTCCATCTCCTTCTCCATCTCCTTCAGGGCTGCGGTCGCGCTGCCATCATGCGATGCACGATACATGAAGATCCGGCTGCACTGGACGAGGCCTACAAGGAAGAGGCAGAAGTTGACTGCGGCGAGACTGGTGGTTTGGCATAAATGTTAGTGTTGCCCGGCTTTCAAATATGTCTGAATATCCCACGGATGCGTCGGCACAGTGGAACATAGGCGGGACTTACAGCATGTTCTTGGGTCGAATGACGAAACACCATCTCGTCCAGATGGAACCCGTGGCCATGAGAGCCAGGTTTTGTGTCAACGACAATTTTTCAGCGGGTCGAAGGAAGTCTGATGCGCCGGCAAGGACGACACCCCATTTCATGATAGGGGCCCTAACATCGTGGCCGGTGTCAGCATCAGTGGAAAGAAGACCAGATTGACCATGCTGCTAGGTACTGAGACCTATGCAAACCATATCCATGTGAAATTGCTAAAGCCATACCAGAAATGGACTGTTTTTATCCCAACCTCACTAGTCCACAACCTCTGAAACAAACTCTGCTGTGGCGCGCCTTCGACGGCTGGGTTGGCAGCTGTACCCTGCCATCGTCGAAAGACGGGGTTTCTCAACTGAAAGGGTGTTCGTGAGGCGAATGAGGTGGTGGACTGTCGGGCGGTTTGCTGCGCAAAGCGCAATCCGAAGCGGGCGGACATTATTATCAGTGCAATCTGCTGCGCGTGCTGCTACAGGACAGGATTCGGCCCTGGCGTCGCTACGCGACGACGTGGATGCGAAGTCTGGCGACGGAGGTGGCAGTAAGGAATGGAGATTGTCGCCGTGGAAGGAGTTGATGTTGAAAGGATGAAGAGAGGTGAGTCGAATGCTGGGGTTTCAACGAGGGAAGATGGGAGATGAGAGTCAGATCTCCGGCAAATCGTTTTCACAATCTCCGTACCCAGTATTCTCAGCGCCGAAGTCTCTGTGATCATACCTCGTACAAGCTGTGACCGTGTCTGACAGACCAAAACCAAGATTACCTGCCGTAACTCAAATATCATCCCGTCAGATGGTCACATTTCGGCAGTCAATACCGCCAAGCTCCAATTCGGAGGTCTGCACGAGTTGCACCTAACAAGTACACTTGCTCACCAGAAGTTGACTCCAAACGGATGCGCCAACAGCTTTCTCCAGAGCACCATTGATTCTCGGCAAGATCTGGAGCGCCGCGATGGCGACCAAATATGCCTTTACGCAAGGCTTGAGAGAGTTGAGATTTCATCTGAGCAATTCGGGTCAAGGAAGCGATGCCTGCAGGTACGTACCACTCTCGAAACAGCAGCAGAAGCAGCTGCACGTACAAGCTCCTCCACAGAAGACTGAACTGTGATTTAGATCCTTTCTCAAGCGAGCATATCCTACCATGAAGCATCACAATCCCACCATTCCTATCTTAATACGAGAAGCTACGGGCGTTGAACCCAAGGTGTGGGCAAGATATGGTATGAATTTTGGACGCAGCCGCGCTGGCACTCATAAAAGCTGATCGTGGGACGATGCAGGACTCGGAAAAGAGAAGTCAGAGTCGCTATCAGGTGAGATCTGTTACATAACCAAGAGTCGCACTCGGTTCTTACAAGACGTGGCAGGTCTGACAGACAAGGAGATTGAAGACAAAGTAACGACCTTGGTCAAGAGCGAATAAACCCGCTCAACGAGCTCGAGTCAGCCTAGCTCGGACAAACATGGAATGTATAACAACACCCAATCTCCTTGGCCATGGAGGGAAGTTAGCGATATGGTTTGACTACGCTAGACAGAAGAAAAGCCTGGCAAAGAATACTCGATTGTACAGACGACTGCATGCCAACAGCCAAAACAGAAGATCCAATTTTTGACTGGTCCTACACTTCAAGCTCCCACCTCTCCAAATCTGTATTGCGCCCAGCCCATGCTCGCTTCCTGCATTGTCCACAGTTGCTTCCCCTGGTCCGTTCCCGCCGCACCCGCGGCAATGTGGACAGGCAAGAGATGCTCAAAGGTCGGATGCGCCTGTCTCGCATCATCCCTTTCCAACAACTCAATCATGTTCTCGTCCCGCTGCTCCCCTGGTTTTGTTTCCGCTGCGACCTTCAAAGCTTCGTCGAACGTCACCGCATAGGGCATCGTCCTATCCGAACCCCTGCCCAACATCATCAGATGTCGCAGGTTGTGCACGCTCATGCCCGAGCATATGATGAGGATGTTCTCCTCTCGCAGTTTCTGGACTGCGCGCCCGAGCTTGATGTGCGCGGCTGCGTCGGTGTGGTCGTCAAAGAGACTGGCCTGCACGATGGGCACGTTCACGGGATTCGTTTCGGGATTGAACATGACCTTGAAGGGCACGAAGACGCCGTGGTCCAGCCCCCTCTCCGCCTTCTCCGTCTTGATCTCATGCTCCTCGAGTACGTCAATGACCCGTTGCGCAACCTTGGCTGAGCCCTTGTTGGGGAACTTCTCCATGTAGTAGCTGCGAGGAAACCCGTAGAAGTCGTAGATCAATGGCTCGTCCTCCGCGACGTTGACCTCGATCGTGTTGGGCCGATCGGCCTGCCAGTGCGCGGAGAAGACCACGATGGCCGACGGCTTCACCTGTTGCGTGATCTCGCGGCCGAGACGCTGCAGCTGTGCGTAGACGGGGTGCTTGGTGTCGAACATTGTGTCCGGGCCCTGGCCGGTTGAGGTTTCTATCAGTGAACAGGTTCATTATAGCGACACGAAGCGTATATCCAAGACCCACGAAAACGGGGGCCGCAAGAGAACTTACCCCGTGAGAAACGAAGTACACGGGCGTCCGTGTGGCCATTGTTGCTCCTCCAGCCGCTGAGAAGGATCTGGTCGAGCCCGCGAGAGATCGGAAAGGCCTGAAAATGCGCAGGGAAGCCACGGCGTCGCCGTCGAAGATGCGCGGATACGAAGGGGAGAATTTGAGGTGTGCAACTGCTGCTGCCAGGAGGATGCCCAGGACCGATACAAATGCAATTGTCGTGGTGGTTGGATTGCGGTTGTTATGTCGAAGCATTCATCCGACGTCCCCCTTCCTTTCGCTTTTCTTTGTACTTTTCGCACCCTACGGCTTCTCGAACTAATTATGTGCAAGACTGAGAAATCCGACTTCTTTGCTATTTCCCGGGTTTGCGCCCCTCTATCTATATCATTTGCAATGTGCCTGATCTGCGTGGAGACGAGTAAGCTAAGCACGCGAGGATCACCAAGGATCACCTTATCTAAGCTGTTTGCTGGGGGGAGCGGAACGGCTCCGTTTTCGCTTTGGTAATGAAACAAAACACTTTGATTTGAGACTATGGAGATCTTCGGCAGCCTGGAAACCGTGGCTAATGTTCAAACTCCATCTTTATCGGCCGATACATGGATATAGGTTGCCGAGATATTCCCTCATCCAGCCTTGTTCGATCCAAATATTAGACAGGGTGAGTTCGTGCCTTGCGCTCTCTTGCACATGACTCAGTTGTGACTCTGGACGACTTGTGCACCATCACTCCGGGCATTTTCTTGCAACCAGCTCGGCCAACCTCTCATGAATGGCACAAAGTTCAACCGGGCTGGCAGTATAAGCTGGTTGCCCTCACACTTAAGCACCTGCGAGACAACTGCTTCTGCCACCGTGCCGGGTTCTAGCAGAAATTGGTTGGATGCCATTTTCTTGACCAAGCCGTGGGAAAGGGGGGTCCGCACCCACACGGGATGTACGATCCTATGCATTGTCATCAGTTGCGAGACGATTGAACCAAGTGCCAACCTACGTTGTGCGGACTTTGTCAGCACGATATCTTGCTCTCAGCTCTTGCGCCAATGCCTCATGGAACGCAAGTGCTGCTGCTTTGGTCGCAGCGTAGCTGGTAATGCCAGCCCATGTGGCAAAGCTGGACATGCTCGCAATCGTGACCACATGGCCATGGTTTTTCCGAATCATATCCGGCAAGAACTCCTTGACCATTTTGAAATGGGCAAGAATATTGACATCAAAGGTGCGCTGGAGCTCCTCCTCGGCCCCAGTGATCAGAACGATCTCGCGATGCCAGTCCCATGACTTGTCTCTCACGAAGTTGTTGGGCACTTGCCGGCTGAGGTATGAGTTCAGTTTATCCAAGATGCCAAACGTGAGCAGTCCCACGAGCACTCGGTTGATGAATTTGGATTGAACGACACTTGTTCCAATGAACGAAAGAGCCCTCTGAAAGACCCTGGCGTATTTCAGGTGTAGCAGAAGTAGGGATGCAGGTACCAATGGCTGCAATAAAACATGGTGAACGGGTCTGAAGAGGTATTCCAGAGTGATACCCTCTCTCGGGGGACGCAAAACTGACATGGTGGAAGCTTGGAACACCCAAGATCGGGGACTTTCTTTGGAAGCTTTGTAGAGGACATGTTGTCGCGGCGAGAAGGAGCTGAGTGAAGTCGGCGACACTCCATGTTCAAGGTGGCAGAGTGTTCAGGCCTGACGGGCTGATCGAGCAAGCTGAGCAACAAGGGATGCTTTTGTATGGTCTGAGTAAATTTACAGAGTACTAGCGCAGTTTCTACTTGTTCTTAGGGGGAGGGGCGGGGTGTTAGAGGCCAGCGCAGGTCAGCGGCCCGTGGCTCGTGACTGAACCAACACCCTCTGACCAGGACTGACACCCTGACACCCTGACACCCTGACACCCTCAATCTCGCTGGTAAAGGCTCTCTCTTTCAGCAGACCACTTCACCTGCGCCCCGTACCGATCACGCTGCTTCAATCCAGTGCCACCTCCAGTCTCATTGATCTTGTCGCTCTTCGACCATGGGGCGTACCATTGACCAGGATGTACATGCGGCATTCGTCGAGTTCAAGGCCAAAGGTACGTCCGCAGGCAGTATTGTCACTTGTCACCCTCAGTATTGACTATACTGTATGTACTATACATCGTGTACGCGTATCATGATACAACATACCTGTACGGCTACCGTCAAGAGGAACAGCTGACTGACCTCGTGTCTCCACACAGAGGACGATAAATGCATGTCCGTTCAATGCATCTACTGCCAACAGATCCGTGCAAAGAACACGTCGCGCCAGAAGCAACATCTGCTCGAGTGCCCTGGCCTGCAGAACCATCCCGGTGCCCCTCGCCCACAGTCTTCTCCTGGCGATGCCATCGGCGCTGGAAATGGCTTCGGCACCCCGTCCATCTCGCACAGCTCGACGACCCCCATGAACAATGGCATCGCGGCCAGTAGCACTCCTATGCAAGGAATTTCAAACGGCACAGCCATCTCACAGCCAGCCGCCTCTACCACCCCGAGCCAACGCCACACCCCGAAACCCACAAAGACCCCCAAGCTCACGCCTGGCTCCAACCTCCCCGCGCCGCCTCTGGATGATGTCCATGCTGCCTTTGTCGAGTTCAGAGCCAAAGAGGAGGACAAGTGCCTGTCTGTACAATGCATCTACTGCAACCAGATCAGAGCGAAGAACACCTCGAGACAGCGCCAGCACCTCCTCGAGTGCGCCACCTATCAAAATGTCATGAAGGAATCAATACCGGCAAACAACCTTCTTCATAGATTCGATGAAGGTGATATTGCCCGTTCCCTTCAGTTGCCGACCCCTACCCTTGAGCTTGACTTCCGCATGAGCATCAAGGTCAATCCCAAGATTGGTGTCGGATCAGGTCTGTTGGGTCATCGCGACTGGGTCGGCGTTGTAGGGGGCCAGTGGGCTGGACGATGGGGCAAAGGTATTGTCATTGTAAGTCCCCATCATACTAATGCTCGAGTAAATGTTCATCTGCTGACCCTGCCTCCAGCCTGGCGGCCTAGACAATCAACTTGTAGTGAAGGACTATTCAACTCGCAGCGACGCCAACTATCTGCTCCAAACCAACGATGATCCTGTGGCGTATATTATAGCAAAAACCAGGGGCTGGCGTACAGGTCCCAAAGACGTTCTCGAACGGCTCAACGACCCCTTGGTTGCCGACACCATCCCAGCCAACCATTACAAGTTTCGCATCACTGTCGAACTTGAGACTGGCGACGAGAGGTACGCGTTTCTGAATACCTGCCTTTGGGTGGGAAGTGGAAGTCGGAGAGTTGGTGAAAGTGAGTTGCCCTTGATCGATGCATCAGCCACCCAAAGCCGAACATCGTACTAACTCCTGGACAGTCATTTACGATGCATACCGGGTCGGCTAGAGTCCGGAGCCTGATGAGCCTGAAGAGCCTGAAGATCTCATTCAACCAGAATCTTCAATGCCGACTGTGCAAGAGATGCTTGAGGCCTTCGATGAGAGCATGGGGCTTGACACCGTCGACTGAGCGTTGTGGAGCTACTCATGTTTATACAACATCTTTGTCTGCCGGGCAAGTGACGACCATCGAATCATGTTCTCATTATGTATTGCTAGGGCGCCCAACGGCGACAAAGCCACGGGCGCAGAATAGTTGCAGGTGGCACCTGGAAAATTTGCTCCAGCTTTATCCAGCGTTTTTTCATAAGTCTATGGGGGGAATAACAGTTGGTTAGCGAGCAGGGACGGTGTTTGTTGTTCGATTTAAGGCCTTGGTTTGCATGGCAGGCGGCTGAAGATGGCTGCCGCTACTAGTTTGAAGAGCACACAGGATTCAATGAATGATGGAACGTAGGAGTCGAAAGGATATTGTCGATCAACCTTTTAACCTGAAACACAGGACATGGCTGCCTGTTCCAATTTTCCTTTGCTACATACAGTTGAAAATTGCCAACGGTCGTTGTCGTTTTTGCTGTATTAAAGTAGATTACGTTACGTTACACTCTGTCTCTAGCCAGCGAGCCTGCTATAACACCAAGGGAGCGCTACCCTCTTCGGTGGAACTCTCTGGCCTCTTGTTTTCGCTCGAATGCTTTTCAGTCCCAGAAGCGAAGGTCAGATCCAGGTTCCGGCCGCCCAAATACCGCCACAGACGCCAGACTTCTTCAATGACCGCCTTTGCAGGGCCGGGCAGAGGGCGTATCAGGAGGAGGTAGTCTCCTTTTTCGTCCTCGCTACTGATTGACATCTCATTGGGAGGCTGGAAGACTGACTGTTGTCTTATCAGCCTATTGAGTTCTTCCATGTCGGAAGTTCCAGGTGCGGGTGCATTCGCGAACAGGAGACGGAGGGAGAAGACCGGGAACCGATATGTATCCAGGACAGTGATCATGGGAGGGATGAGGGGGTTGTCTAAAGGCAAAGGTGGGAGGGACGATGATGAAGAGCCTGAAGAGGCGGGAGATGTAATGCCATCATTGCCGATTCGTAGGAAGATGCTCCCCGGCAGCCACTCTGAATGGCCAAGGACGTGATACTCTGCTTCTTCGGCCGTAAAAGAAGGAGGGTATTGAGTTGTCATGGAAGGGTCCACATCCGCATTTGAAGTGGAAGAAGGCACACCGTTTGGAGACGGTTCTCTTTTTGGTTTGCCTGCAACGGCTCTGATCTTTAAGCCGGCAGGTGTGGTCGTAGATGACGTTGCCATCATCAATCGCCGCAGCTCTTCACCCTTGAACATCCCGTCCTGAGGGGTTGGCAGGGAAATGACGCCTGATTGCCTCGCGGGCAAGGCCTCAGACTTGACAGCAGACTCCGAATCTGCCAGGGCCTTCATTGCAGCGAAAATGCGTTTTCGCATAATACCTGCAACCCGAAGATGTACGTCAGGCTGCCATTGCAACCTGTTCAAGTTAAACCTTCCTTTCATTTGACCGGCTGAAGGTGAAGCAGGGCCCAAGGGATTGTTTCCAGCTGCATCTTCGCCACCGATCGCAGAGTCAAGTCGATATTTGTTTTGTAGATAATGTTGTGCTGTTGAAGTAGACTCACGAGCATCGAAGTGGATTAGTTTGCCCACCTCCCCGGACATTGTCTCGAATTTAGTCGGTGAAGGGGAGTTGGATGTTTTCTTGACCGGTCGCGTTACTTTACTGGTTAGCAGGCGGAGGAAAGTGAGGTTGGATAATAGACGGCTTTGTGTGGGGATGTATTTTCGAGATGTCGCTGAATAGTCTGTGGACTTCTGGGCAGCTCCAGGTGAGCTGCTCGGAAACCCATCTGGCTCATCATCATCATCATCTTCGGTCATGCCGTCCTCTGTGACGAATTCATTGTCTGTTTTCATTTCCCTTCCATCACCGAGTTGTGGTAATCGGTTCTCCACTATTGCCAGCTCTGCTGCCAGTTTTGCTTCCAAAGCATCCAGGTCTGCAAGATTTGCCGGCATAAGATATATCTTGCCGTCTTTTTGATTTTTGACGTATCCAAAGTCCATCAAAAGGTCCAGTGGCAGTCTCGCACCACTACCTTGACACGCTCGGAGTGGGCTTGCGAGCATCTCTGCCCACGGATTGTTCTTCAGTCCTTTTATGCGTCGATAGGATGGGTGCTCTTTTCTTTCTTCCCGCCGCCTTGCAGCGTTCTCGACCTGTGCGATGATGGGTGACTGGAGGGTTGGCGGGCTTTCTCCTTCAAGGAGGCGTGAATTGTCGCCTTTTCCATCGCGAGGTTGAATCCTCTTGCGTCCTTCCTGGAGCCCAGTGGGCAGATCTTTGATAGCTTGACGTCCCTCCGCATTGTACGCAACAGAAGACTCTTCTTGCGTTGAATGATACTTTCGCAATGGTACGTCCGTCGAAGGATGCTGGCGAGAGCAATTTTGTATATTTCCATCTCCATCTCCTGACGAGTCAAGAACCAATGATCTGTGTGATCCAAAGGGATAAGATTCTACGTCTTCATTGCCCAGCTGAATTTTTCTGCTTGCTTTCTTCAGGTCTGACAGTAACTCCTTGATGGCCTGACGGCCGGGCCCGCTGTATGGATTGAAAGACTCGCCTCGACCCGAATCTTTCTTTTCCGACTCTGTAGAAGACGGAATTGCTGGCGACGGCCCATGTTGAGCAGTTGGCTCACCGCCATTCTTGGTCGCGGATCTAGAATCACTGGCGTTCCGTATTTGAGGTTTCGTATGTTCTCGTCGGAGGGGCGCTGACGCTCTGAGATGAGCCTCGTCGAAGGACCAACACAGAGTTCGGATAACACCCAGGCGCCATGTAGCATACGAAACGTGCCGGTAAGGGCATGGCAGGCTCATCCCTTCCACATTGTTTGGAGAAAGAGGAAAAGGCCGATCGGGGTTGGAGGAGAGCGCAGCTGGAGCCTCGGCTTGGCGGCATACAAGGCTGTGCCAACTCCCAGCCTTGCTTAGTCAATCACTCCCCGGCGTGCCGGCTCGCCGGCCTCACCAGATTGTTTGCCCCTTTGGCAACCAACCGTAGCACCGATTTAACATTATATATTATCGCGAGGACGGACACATCGAGACAAAACTTTATATCAAATTTCCAGCTGGGACAACCTCGAAATTCCAATACTCTGTTTTACGCAACCGCGTCCTCGAATACAAATCTCACAACCTCGTTGAAAACTCCCTCGGGGTTATCCTCATGCATAAGATGTCCTGCCGCATCAATGTATGCGATCCTCTTCTTTTCCGCGCCGCCAACTCTGAACAATTCATGGGCAGTATATCTCTGATGAGCGGCGCTTTCCTTCCCGGCCATTACTAGCATCGGCACTTTGGTTTTCTGCGCGTCTTCTGCCAAGTATTTCGGCATGGTGTTGTATCGGAAGAAATTGCACAGCCATTTGGCGTTATCTTCGACTTGGCGCAGACGGTCCGCGTTTGCTTGAATGCGAGGCCAGAACTTTGGACCCATGACTCCGCTGCAAAATACAGATACGGCCTGAGCATACTCTCCCTTTTTGCAGTGCTGGATCGTTGTGGCTGTCGTTGTGGCACCGAGATACATCACAGGCCAAAACGTGATTGGGTGCCAAAGAAGGAAAGAGAGCACCGATGGCAAAGATGGAGGGAGAGTTGGGAGGAAGAGCCCAACAAGAGGGGGTTCTTCAACCATCAAATTTCGAAAAAGGTGAGGTTTTCTGCGCGCCAGGTAGAGAGTAATGACCGCTCCAGACGAATTCGCCAGAACATGTACTGGGCCGATGTTCAGAGTCTCGATAAAGGCGGCCAAATCGAGGGCGTCTTGCTCCCAGGGTGTGCCTTGACCGTCCTGGAGGGGCTCATTTGGCCAGGCAAAGCGTCGACTGTAGTTGAAGACATGAAATCGGGTGGCGAGTTTGTGTTCGAGATCAATCCAGGTTCGTTGATCAGAGATATGACCGTGGACCAAGATCAGGGGTTCGCCTTTTCCGCATTCACGATAGGAGAGCGAGGTGTCGTTAACCTCGACGACTTTGGCACTGGCCGTTGTTGATGCAGACATGGTTTGGGTTGGTTCCGAACTGACACGCTGGGGCCATCATTCTTTTGAAGTCCACGGCGGAGGAATACCGTTGCCGCGTCAGCGAATACGACGAGAGGAAGCCTATGAGCGATACGGTGGCTCATGAGACACGAGAAGATGGGGCTGACACGCAGAAAACATATATTGGCGGGAAAAGGCCAAGCCCGTCGGTCTGATTTACAAGATACCCGGTACAAGTGGCGGCGAGGCGACGAAGCTTCGACAACGTATGTAAGATGATTAATCGATGGCAAGCCATTACGGGATATTCTTAACTGCCCTACAGAGAGTACTTCAGACTACTCTTCGAAATGAGCCCTATCCACCACTACATGCAGGTATATTGTCTGGGGGAAATTCAGCTGATACAGGTTTGCGGCTGCCAGATACGCATAAAGCCCAATGTCCCACATGTGGCACCAAGAAAAGGAGAACTGTTCTTTGCCCCACAAGGATCACGCTAGCCGAGCGAGCCTCGTGGTATGTAAGTAGACCTGGTAGAGGTATTTGAGCTATGTAGTCAGCAACCTTTCCCTCGGGCCCCAATCAAGCTCGTTTCCAAGCAACCGGCCTATTTACACCCGGCCACGAACCCTGAGTAAGCGCATGGTGGTATTTTCATGCTTGGAAATAGGAGAAGGTCATGGCCAGAGGGAAGCTCGGGGGCGATGCCAACACGCCGAGAGAGCGCCATGCTACCTCTGATACGCCTCCTGCCCTTGGCGTAATGCGATTACAAGGCCCAAACAACATGTTCTCCGTACTCCGTAGGTACGCGGTACTCATACATAATAGATGGAACGCACAGCCTCGTGCTGCCCAGAATTTACGAGATGTGATTGAATAGAGGGTCTCCACTGGCGGACGGATTTGTGAGGCTGAGAGTGGGTTGTCAACTCGCTCCAGGAACCCGAAAACGATCCTCTTTCCTCTTTCGTCACACCTTGGCGTCGTCTCGGTGCCTCCCACATCTTTGTAATATCACGTCAGATCTCAAGCCTCCAAGCTTCCAGGTCCCATTTGGTAGGCTTCTCACGCAGACCATCTCGTACAAACAGCAGACCCGCTCTCAATTTCCAGCGGCGTTGCAGGCTTGATCTCGCTAGACCTTGAAGTCACATGATCCTTCATCCAATTCTATACTGCCCATAAGACGAAAGATGCGGATATCTACCGACTCTTGGAAAAGTTGCAAGGCTTTCTTGATCTGTTGCAGCTCCTGCAAGACTCCCTGAGAGACCCGTCAATTCCGTTCCGAGTCCCAGAGAGGATTGCACTTATTGATTACTAGCCGCGATGAGCCGGACATTCATGAGCATCTCGGGGAATTTTTCACTGACAGCACGCAGTCATTCATTCTCTAGATGGGCATATCTTTATTCAGTGGACTTAGGTAGACGGAATCGTTTCTCGCAAGCCAGCTACTCCAGATACCAGAATACGCCATGATTCCATGATTCCATGCTTTACGCTTGAACTCTACCGAGATCGTCGAGGCGCTTAGCCAGCAGAGTCGGGGATGTGGAGATGGTGCAAATCCTCCTCGCATCGGGTTCTCGTGTGAACAGCCTTGCTGAGTATTTCGATCATGGTTTTGTTGCTGCCGCAGGGGGATTGGGGGAAATAGAAATGGTCCAGCTGCTACTGCAAGCGGGAGCCAATGTCGATTCTAAGTGCTTCGGGGCCACAACTCTTAATAGTTGCGTGCCAGGCGGGCAAAGTGCTGGTGATGGTCAGACGCGTACGAAAGCGAAATGGACTGTGTATTCAAGAAATGATTATGTGCATTAATTATCCTTTACCCCTGAAAGACGTCGCTGTGCGGAAAACAATCCTCTTCCCTTTCCCCTTCCCCCTCTGTCCGGCGCCCCCTATTCCTCCTCAGCCTCGTCACACCCACTCCCGCTCCCGCTTTCACTCTCGCTGTCACTTCCACTCGCGCTCGCTCGGTCAACAACGTTCTTGTGCCTACACCTCGGCTCCCCACAGCGGCACGCCATGCGCAGGTTATCAAAGTAGCCCCTGCCATAGTCGACTGTGAGCTCCTCTGCGAAGGCGATCCTGCGCCTCGCGCGGACCACGACACGGGTGCGCTGGCCCAGGTTCACGACGACGTATTCCGTGTTGGGGGCGCACGAGTGGTTGATGTAGCGCGTCCAGCCGCCCCTGTGCGCCGCGTCGATCGTGTACTGCGGCCTGTATTGGCCCCGCGAGATTGTGGTCTTCGCACTCCCCTTATTGCGTCTGGTGCCGGTGGTGGTGGTGGTGGCGGCGGCGGCGTAGTCGTCCGCCCGCTCGATGTCCATGTTCATGTGGTACGTCATGAGCCCGTACCGGTGGTTTTGCATCGAGCCGGCGATCTCGTTGGCGTCCGGCTGCACCGCGTAGATCTCGCCCGTGTATTCGCCCAGGTAGGTGCCTTGCCGGATCGTTTGGAGCGCGCGGACGCCCCGGCCTTTTTCCTCGGTGGTATACAGCTCGACAAGGATGTCGTGGTGGCTGGCTTGCGGGGGTTTGTTGCGCCGCTTGCAGAGATCGGCGAATGTGCATTTGCATGCTCGGCCTGAAGACTGCTGCTGCTCATCCCTTGGAGCCGCGACATTGGCGCTATCGGAGTCGGTCTCGCTGTCAGTGTCAGTGTCGTGGTCAATCGAGATGACGGGCACTGGTTCTTCGGCTCCGCACGCTGTGCAAGGGTTTCCTGGGAACCCGCAGAAGGTGGGGTCTTCGTAGACGGCGCCATCTTCGTGGACCACCTTGTGTGTCTCCTCGGGCCAGGGATAGTTCGGAAGGACGACGCATTGCTCAACATTGACTTGCTGGAGCGTGACTTTCGAGTTCGGTGGGAGTATCGACGCCGGGTTGATTTCAAGGTTATCTCCCTCCTCTGGAATGCCTGCAATCGCGAGGTCGCCGTCGACAAATCCGGCCCTAGTGAGGTCTTGTGTGATGGTGCATCTGACCGATGGCCAAACAGCTGGTTCCCCATCCACGGGGGGAAGAACCCAGTGATGCTGGACCTTGTGCTTCTCTTCGGCGCCGATCTGATGAGTCCCTTTGAGGTCTTCTGGGCCGATCCCGAAATTGGTACCGTCCTTGCCACGGACATCTCGACAGTCCTTATATACAATTAAAAGAAAATCGTTAAAGTGGTCGTTGAAGGCGAAGAGGGCGTCTGTCCACTCCAATTTGTGCGTTCTGGCAAAGAGTTCCAGGCTTGGCGCACACTGTTTGATTCGGGGGTAGACGTCGCCCCATTCGGGTTCCCCTTGTGCTCTGCTCTCCGCGTCCCTGCGAGCAACTGCGTCGCGGAAGCTTTGGGAGTGTGCACAAATCGTCAGAAGGAGAAGGCTTGGCTCGTCGCAGAGATCTGACAGCCTCTGGGCATAGTCGACGTCGATATCATCTTTTGCGAGGTTAGCAATCCTCTTCTCCTTGGGGTCGGTGCTTTCAAACTTGTTCAACCTTTCCCTTAAACGTCGACGAGTGCTTTCAGCGAGGAGATCAAAGAAGCGCAGGGTTCGGGCTTGTCGAAGCAGATGCTGCGTCCAATAACTCTCCCATTGTCCAATCGTCCTGACTGTAGCGGCATGGTGGATTTCGGCGTACAGTTTGATCATGAGTCCCTCGACCAAAGAACCAGGTTTAGATACTCGACGCCGCTTGCTGGATCTCCTTTTGTTGCAGGACGTCCCATTAGGGGCTTTGCCATCAACACGCCTTCGGCATCGTTTTGACCTCCGAGGGCCCCCGTTGGCATCGCCTTGGCCAGGAGGAGCGCTATTGGTAGTGTTGTCTGCAGGAGTGTTGGTCACGGCGGCTGATTGAGTTTGAGCCTGAGCATTCTGAATGTTTCTGGTCGTAGCCTTGCTGGCAAGGAAATCTATATAGTTGCGGCCCTTTGCAGTTGGCTTCCGCGTCCTCTGGCCTCTCCTTGGGCCCTGTTGAGGGGAGCTCATTGTGTATCACGTTCAGCGACAGCTCTGTAAGGACGAGAACGGGGTAGAAGTCTTTGGAGGGAGAAGAGCAAGAGCAAGAGCAAGCGTGATAGGAAGCGTAGGCAAGCGTATATACAAGCGTAGGAGCAAGTGGAAGGAAGATTGATATGGAATAGAGGAACGGGTTGTAGCAAAGCACTTCGAGGGCGACAGGAATAGCAGCTAGCAGAGCACAAGAGAGGGCCATTGTTGAAGATGTTTCCAAAAATGGACACAATCGGGACAATAGACATGAAGAAAGACAATAACGGAGGGAAGTTGAATAGTCCACTGAGTGTTGAGAGGTCTGGCACAAAGAAGTCCATTCACACCAGCCATTGTTTTGTTGCGCTCTTCACCTCGATAGCCACCTGCTATGAGAAATAGAATGTATTGGTGAAGAAAATAGGAAAACACCAGTTCTTACCGTTGGCCTTTCACAGAATATTGGAAGCGAAGACGAAGGAAAACGGGTGCGGTACGTTGCAAAAGCAGGTGGCTGCTAGTTGGCCTACCTGTATAGCCCAGGACGCCTGTTTTCCAGATCCAGGCCGCAGTCAAATATGCATTGTCGCTAGTTCTTTGTCAAAGTCCCTCTGGCGCTCATTCATCTAGCGACTGTCGTTTGGTCAAACAGTTGCATCGGCGTTGGTCCATGGTCATCTTGATATTACCACGGTCTGTTCCATTGCGAACCAGATGGTATGCGGTAACTGTATATGCCGCCTCGGAGCTTCGTACTCTGAACGCATAATGAGAATTTCCTGCATCGCATAGAAAGCATTGCTCAAATCATCCAGTGGGTATCGTCTCATACGGTCTCAATATACCTTCTTACCTCCCAATCCGTAACGGCCTCATCCCATAATCGTAGCTCATGTTCTCTGGTACCACCATAATGCTCGACAAACTCGTCGCCAAACACTTCCCGGGCGACACTGCCCTGCGCCATGAATCGTGCCGTGCTATCTCTGAGGTTCTTGGGTAGTCGTTCTCCCTTGTCACTGAGACTCCCGACTTCTTCACCTTTACCCAGTGGAGGTAGTTTGATCTCTAGTTTCTTCTCTATGCCTCTCCAGCCGAGAGCGACAATAGTGGCCAGCACTAAAGATGGATTGGCATCCGCGCCGCAGACTCGTACTTCGAGCCTCGTGGATTTTGCGGATGCTGTCGGAGGAGCGATCAACCGAACAGACGCAGCTCGATGTTCAAGACCCCAAGAAACCGTGACTGGAGCCCAGAAGTTCTCAACCAGCCGCTTGTAGGAGTTGATTGTGGGTGCAATGATTGGCATGACATCAGCAAGACCATCCAGGAGTCCTGCCAGAAAATGTCGGCCCAGGTCCGACACATACTCGAGGTCCTTATAGGGGGGATTAGGGTCCTTGTCGCCGCGATAGAAGAGATTCTTTCCCGAGACCTTGTCCACGATGGAGCAATGCATGTGTCCACTGTTACCGGGCAGCCCTTCCTTTGGCTTGGCCATAAATGTGGGCGTAATACCGTACTTGCTTCCCATGGCTTTGACCACGTACTTGAACAAGCTCGCCCGGTCAGCCATCTCAGTGACTTCGCCAAACTCCAGGGCCGCTTCAAAGACTCCCGGCCCTGATTCTGTATGCCAGCCTTCCACATCACATCTGAATTGTTCACAGGTGTTGAAAATGCTGTAGAACCAATCTTGATTGTGTATGGGATCTGTTAGGGAGTAGCCGAACATCCCCTGAGTCAGGTGCGGTAGGGCGTGGACGGGATTATTCTGGAGGAAAGGAGCTGTCGTGGAAGAGGAATTATGGCTCGTCTGGATCGACTCGTCTCTGGGAGCCCGATATGTGAAGAACTCGTACTCTGCGCCAGCCATGGCTCCATAGCCAGCAATATGCAGCTTCGCAACAGCCGTCCGTAACAGACTTCGGGGGCAGGCACAGATGGGTTTGTTGGTGTCCGGGTCGTAGAAACTGACGAGGAAGAAAGGCACGTTGTTCTCCCAGGGTATGCGCCGGTAGCTGGACAGGTCTACCTTGGCCACCAAATCCTTGTATCCATTCTCTTTATTGCTGATCTCAAGTTCGCGGAAGTAGGTCATATCGTGCATATCCCAGCCGAAGACGACGCTGCAGAAGCCGAAGCCATCTTTGGCGACGGAAAGGAACTTCTTCTTGGAGACCAACTTGCCTCGGAGGATCCCTGTGGAGGTTAGCAGGCGTCAGGAGAAGAAGAAAATGAGGCGCGTGCCATCGATGTCAATGCCTGCAAGCTTAATCTTTGTATCGGAGGCCAGCGCAGTCTCCAACTCGTCCAGAGTCAGGATTTCACCGTCCTTCTTGCTGGCCATGGCGAGGGCTGAGGCGACAAAGACGAGTACAGGTGGAGACGCAGCTGCGCAGAGGAGATACAAAGGACGCAGGACAAAGCGTCCAGCACTGGACCTTGTAGGTTGCGTCTCACAGAAAGCGGGGGAGATGATTGGTGTTGTTGCAGGTGCTCGTTCCTTTATTGGGAAAGACTAGTGAAGCCAGGCTGCGAGGTGGAGGTGGCGCTGATAAGCTCCCTCTGAAGCTCCATTCAGTAAAACACACCTCAGCGCAGGCAGCTCGGTGTTGACATACCGAGCGTCCAGAGACAAAAACAAGGCACTATGCACGTTAGTGAATACTGACCTAGATACTACTTAGGTACTGTAGGTACCTATGGCCGATAAGGCTGCACACGCAGGGGAAATGTACCGAGTATCATCTTCCCCTCTCGAGATCTGGCTGCGGGTGTAGCTACTTATAAGAGCAATAGGCCATGTGCTCCGATCGACAGGTCTGCGCAGAAGCTCTCGGGTGAAGCTTTAAAAATCCCCCATTGGGCGCGAGATTGTACGTCTGGCGGGTTGCTTCGGAGAAGGACAGGGAGAGGAGCCCAGAGCCCAGAGCCCAGAGCCCAGAGCCCAGAGCCCAGAGCCCAGAGCCCAGAAGCCCAGGAACCCTAAGAGCCCACACCACATGCCACCATCACCACCACCACAATCATCACCATTACATACCAACAACATCCGCCAACAGCGGTGCACTTGATTTAGATAAGGAGATCCCACGACTGACATTCTATTTTGCTCCACTCTCCCTTCGCCTTTGGCACAAAAACATCTGCAAATTCAAAGTCCGACTTCTTCACTCTGCCTCTCAGCTGCGGCCCGCTCTCCGTTGACTGCTCTGTCACCCTCCAACCCTTGGGCAAGAAGAGGTGGGCAACAGCAAGCATGACTACTGAATCAAAGCCTGGCCGACTCGCTGGCAAAAATGCCATCATCACGGGAGCTGCTGGCGGCATAGGTCTGGAAACGACAATCCTCTTCGCCAAAGAAGGCGCCTCCGTCCTCATGGCCGACATTTCCGAACCCGCCCTAGCAAAGGCCCTCGCCAAAGTCAAGGAACTCGTCCCCAACCCCCCTCGCCTGGAGACCATCAGGTGCGACGTGTCCAAGGAATCCGATGTTCAGGCAGCGGTCGAATCTCAAGACCGACATGGCGGCATCGACATCATGTTCAACAACGCCGGCATCATGCATGCCCAGGACGACGACGCCATTAACACGCCCGAGCAAATCTGGGACCTGACTCACGCCATCAACGTCAAGGGCGTATGGTACGGAAGCAAGCACGCCGTGCTATCCATGCGAAGACACCAGAAGAAAAAGGGCTCCGTGATCAACGTCGCGAGCTTCGTCGCGTTGGTGGGCGCGGCCACACCCCAACTCGCCTACACAGCCTCCAAGGGCGCCGTATTAGCCATGACGCGCGAACTGGCAATTGTCCACGCCCGGGAAAACATCAGATTCAACTCCCTGTGCCCGGGACCCTTGAACACGCCCTTGTTGCAGGACTGGTTGGGTGACGATTTGCAAAAGAGACATAGGCGCGAGGTGCATTTTCCCATGGGTCGATTTGGTGAGGCGATCGAGCAGGCCCAGGCGGTGCTGTTCTTGGCCAGTGATGAGAGTAGCTTTGTCAATGCGACTGAGTTTGTGGTCGACGGCGGGTTGAGCAGGGCATATGTGACAGGGGAGGGGCCGCCAGCTGCGGCGCCAGTAAACAATGTGCGCTGGTAAGCCAACAGAAGGGAAGATGGTGGCACAATGCTGGAAGCGACCAGTGCAACCGAGAGACCAGTCTTATGAGCGATGAACGGAGCGGCGGATTTAGTGGCTTGTTGCATTGCTATAGAGCTTACGGATAGACCTTCCGACTTGATAGATATTCCGAGGGGCAACGACTTTCAGCTTGAAAGAAATTGCAAATCCGCCTGTTCACAGATTGTGTCACTGCCTCCCAATCTGACACCATTGAAGAGTCGCTGTAAACTGTAACTCACGATCTCAATGGGAGCAACAGCAATCTTGAAGACCATTATAAAGGTACGGAAACGCACAAGAATCCTCACGAGAAGCTGGTTACATTGCTGACAAGGAAGCACCTTGACTTGCTTCCGGTAAAATGAGATATAGTGAAGATTTCTCGGGTAATATACATACTTATGATGATACAGCTGCCTCTCGCAGGAACGGTTCGTCGCGAAAAGAAATTCTTCATTGGATCGAACCTCGGCGATATGAGCTGTACTTGTAAACCGACCGCTCGTGGACCGAACATTCTAGATTCCAATGACAATTGAAATCTGTTGGCCTGTATGAAATTCGTCGCTGATGAGCCCCCGTTTTTCTTCCCCCTATGATCTGTGCTGGAAGTGCTGATCCAGTGCATCCGCAACCCGCTTCGACCTTGCGGCGTCCTATTGATCTCCTATATTGTCCTTCTGACCGTCGCTTTGATGTCCAGAAAGGGGAACATGAAAATCCTCTTACGGGAGGGTCCTTCGGCAAGGGTGTCTAGGAAGTGCAGAGAAATGTCTTCCCAAGACGTGACATGGTAAATGATCAATAATTTATGGTGCCCATTTCAATAAGATCCTTTGCTCCGTTGGAGAAAAGACCCTGAGTGTCCAGCTTCATCTTGCCGCGGCTCCCCTCAAAGCTGACGAACATAAAGCCTTCAAGCGTGATTAATCTTCTCGTTGATGCAAATGGATAATAGATTGCTTTGCTGATGGCCCGCCCAATGCTTGAACCAAGTCCTCTCGACGATTTGCTTGCAGAAGAGGACGTTTCTGTATGTTCCATCATGAAGGCAGGCTCCTCCAGTTGCTGCACAAACTTCTGGTCCATTTGAAAGCGATAGGGTGCGATAAGGTGTTCCTTCGGCTTCAGAAAAGGTAGAGGCCGGCGTACCTGCACCGCTAATTTCACCACGCCATCTACCGACACGAGATCGATTGCTTTGATGAACCTTAATGATCGCATCATAATAAGCCAGCCGACCGCCGAGAAGACAAAGATCCCTAGCCGGTGTGCAACTGGTACGAACCAGGGTAGCTCCGAGTCGCCTTCCCAAGCCCAGATGTTGCCGTAGGCAAGAAGACCAGCAATCGCAAGAGCACTGCTTCCCATGACAAATGACGCGGCGTAGATTCCGAAATGAGAGGGGGGTCTGTATATGGCTGTTTGACCCGCCTCGTATAGTTTTTGCGCATACCATTGCTTTCTCGCTAGTTCAGGAGGCAGCTCTCTGATGAACTGCGACGCTGGTCCTCCAAGTACAGGTATGCTTGGTTGTTGACTTTTACCGGGCTGCGTCGACGGTCCTTTGGACGCGGGAACACTCGCTTTTGATGTAGGGCTTTGGAAAGAGACTTTTGGGATCCCTTTGGAGCTGCTGGTCGTGGCTGAGGAAGAGGAGGTCGCATAACGGCGGGGGACACATGATCGGGGGACTCGAAATCGAAGGACTGGCCGGGCTGCATAGTAGAGAGCAGCCATAACTGTTGCAGGCGTATTTCACCTTGACCGGGTGAGAGAAAAATGTTAGAACGACTGGAAGGAAGGATAAACGCCACTAAAAGACTCCCCAACCATCACTGTCAAGGACTTGTACTAAAGAAATCATGAAAGGATGGCTGTGTTGAATCGCATTGTATGCCGCAGTGAATTGGAGACGAAATTTATTCGAACGTGATGGCACATGCAAGGCTGCGCGCTCATCGACTAGGAAGGTCGAGCGAATTCCTCAAAATCGGAGTGGTCTCAAGAGGTCAATCTCCTACGATCATGGATGTCACATTACATCTTCAATACTCCATACATGCTTATGGAATAAGATGTTTGATGCTCATTTAATGCTTCTTCTATCGTACATACGCCTTCAGTAAAGGTGAGCTTCGCTGCTCATTCCTTACGATACATCCAACATACCAGCGCCAGTGCTCAGCCCCTTGTCTTGACTTTTGGCATAGTGCCCCCAACCGGGTTACCTAGACTGGACGATGTCATGTCGCAAATCCAGACATCAACGCCTGTACTTGCTCTCATATTTCATCGTTGTTGATAGGACGCCTGGATTGACAGTTTCCCGGCACGGTTTCATCTTTAAAGGTGGAGGCTGCCGGCGCCTTGCTGGATTGCCTCAAGTAGCTGGGGAGAGACATTCTGTCTGTTGCTCTCTTCAACCACGCCGAGTAACTTGACGAAGAAATCTTGCCGCAGGACCTCCATCAGGATATCTTTGTTATCAATCATGTGTGAAGCAGCGTATCGCAAGATGCCACCGTATGGCTCACTGCCAACATTCTCTCTCAAGAACTGAGTCTCGATATGACGCGATGAAGAAGTCGTTACTGCACTCCAGTCATAAGGAGCCACTCTGACGATGAAGTCGAATAAGCGTGCCTGGGAGATTGTCACAAGCTGCATGCCCTTCTTGGTTTTCACGTCTCGTTTCGATTTCGACATTGAGGTCCATTCAAAGAGGATTGTGTACACATCAGGATCGTGGAATACTCTGCGCCAAAGTAAGCCTTGCCCTTGTGCTTCAGCAAAGCTACGGCCGGCAGATAGTACCGTCGTGCTATTTTGGCTGTCAACGGCAAGTAGCGCTTCGATCACTTCCAGTGAGCGTTCTGCAACCTCCGTACTTTCCGACGACAACCAGATCGTGAATTGACATTGAACAAGGCTAGAACTCGTCGCAACGAATGAAGCCCCGCTGGGTGAGTCCGCAGCCTTCCGCAGATATGCAAGGCAAAGTAACTGTATCGAAATAACGGGCGAAGTTAGGCCTTCTTGGAGCTTCTCTGCAGATATCACGGATCTCAATTCGTCAAAGGGCAGTAGTGAGATGACTTGCTCTAATAGTCGAGTAAGTGGTCGAGGATCTTGTTGGAGAGTCTGCAACAGCTCTTCGCCGGTCCCTAACACCCGCCAAAGTAGATCCTTTGGCGAAGTAGGAGTAAGATTTCTTTCGGCACGTTTCAGAAGTTCTTCATCAAGTGGCAATTCGGGCTGTGCTTCGACCACAGCGAGATGCGCAAAGACTTCAGGAAACAGTTTGTCCGTGTCCTCCACTAAGACGTCCATGGTGATCAGCTTGCAACCGAGTCGTCAGCAAAAGAAGAAGTTGAAGGCATGGTAACAACTCGTTGTAATCTGTAAATAAATTGAAAGGCAAGTTACGAATCTTCTGGCAGCCTTGCCTCCCCTCGTTCGCCCAGACTTGCCCCGCCACCAACTGCGCTAACTGCTTCTAGTTGGTAAATCAAAATGTTGCCAAGGCTGCCCGCATCGCGTCTCCAGGCCGCCTTGGCCGCCCTCCATGTTCCATACCAACTGAACGAGGCTCCGCATCTCTCATCTTGAACAGTTTCACTTTGCTACTCAACACCCCATCCTCTGCGCTCCGGCCGTTGGTGCGGTTGGTAATATGGCGGAAGCCTCCAAGAATTCCCTCTTGTCCTCGAAACCTTCGGAGAGTGACCTCAACGTCTCTCTCCATCCTCTTGTTCTCCTCACCATATCCGATCAAGTCACAAGGCATTCGGTGCGAAGACAGCCGGGTCCAGTAGTGGGCGCGCTTCTTGGACAGCAAAGAGGCAGAGACGTTACAGTGGAATATGCTTTTCCTGCTGCAATAGTGAAAGGCCCAGAGGGGCAATGGCGGTTCAACTGTGAGTGGATGGAAACGAGGATACAGCAGTGTGAGTGACGATCAGGCCATTTCTGGGACAAATTGTCTAACACCGAGCAGACATGGCCGTTCATAAATTACCCGCACTTGGATTTGTTGGCTGGTTCACCCTATGCCCGCGTGAAGGCCCCTTGCCCGAATTCATGTATCTCCAGAAACAAGCCATCGATTTCTGCAATGACAACGCCATTCTCCTCGCTTTACACCCTGAAGCTATCCAATCAAGCGACACAGGTGGAGGGAAACTTCCCATCACGATTTACGAGAGCATCGACGACCGCGAACAGCCCAACGATGATGGCGACAGAGAAGAGGGGTCAATGCAAATTGACGGAGAAGAGACATCAATCACCAAGTTCCGCCAACTACCATACACAATTGAGACGGATGAGACAGAAATGATTGCAATAGATTATGTGGCTAAAGGGGCTGGTGGCGCAGCGGCAGTCGACGATGCACAGCCCCGGGAGCCCGCTTCAAAATCCGTCGAACCGCCTCCAACAGATAAGAAGGGCAAAAGGCGAGCAGATCCAAGTTCAGAGACATCCGACGTACAAGAAATAAACGGCGTGGAGGAGCCAATTAAGACGCTCACACCGGAAGAAGAAGACCAAATCGCTGGTATAACGACCCGTCTCAACGGCGTAAAGATGCTCCAGTCTCGCCTTGCCCTCTTGACAAAGTTTATCCAATCCCTCCAGCCCTCGTATATCTCTGCCTCAGGCACTGACAGCGTGCCTATTTCACTGACCCCAACAAGTCCGGACCCATCTCATCTCCCTCACCTACGCAACATCCATGCCCTCCTCACCCGCCTTTCTCTCCTCACTCCGCCCACGCAAGCTGCCCAACCACAGCAGCCTTTAGCGTCCGCTTCCCTCGCGCAATCTAACGACGTCTCTCTCGTCACCCTCCTCTCTCTTCTAGGTCAAGACATCCAGGCACTCTCAGAGCTCGGGCGCAAGTCAGTTACAGTGGAGGCGAATAAGGGTAGTTCGAGAGGCAAGCACCAACAGCAAGGAGGACCGAAAGGTGTAGGTGGAGGCGGACCAGGGATGGGACCCAGCGGACCGAGTGGCTTCGCGGGCATAGGTGAAGGCGATGTCCTATTTGCCGGCGCTGCGGGCGTGAACAGTGCAGGGGCGTCGGCGATGGTGTAACAAATCGTCGTTGAGGCATCAGTTCCCAAGGATAGTGGACACAGTTGGAGCCTTGTAGGGTGGATTGAACAAGTGTCGGGGGTCCGATCAGGCGGACGATGTCAGTCCAAGGGGACTGCGGTAATGGGCGACGAATAGCAAGAAAATATCTTCTAGCAATAGCATAGCGACGGCGTTGCAAAAACGTGGCATGGGGCAAGGTACAGCTCTACCGTGCCGTGCTGGGAGCGGAAAACGAGTAACACCTCTAGGATCAAGATAACTAAAGTGGCCGGATGAAATCCTGGATCGTGTATTCAAGTGATGGTGCCTTGATCAGTCTCACTGAGCCATGCAAATAAATACACAGATAAGTACTTGAAGCTCTCGGCTTTATCAGTAAGGTGATCACACATCAAGTATATCTCTCGTGTTACCTGTTCGAGGAGAAGATCGTTCTTTTCAGTGTTTATTGAGAACCGATCCCGTGGTTTTTTAGGCTTATAAATATCCTATGCACGCTTGTATTGCTCGTTGGCTATGTGCCAGTCCGCTTTATACCCATCTGACATCTTCCATCGTCGCTGTATAACAAGATGGCCGCCCATAGTAATGACATGAGAAATCTTTCTCGGGAAAGGAGTGACATAAAGGGTCCCCCAAGTTTTGTTGCACGTAAATGAAAGGTCGTCAAGTGTTGCTGCGAGAGCACGTCATATGTGTTGGGAAATAAATACGTTGTGAGTCTTCTTGTCTTCCTACTGACAGAGAGATCAGTTCGGAATCTCCTGGCGTCAATGTCCTGAACGCCTACGCTGCTGGGGTCATCAAAGAATGAATGTCGGGCGCGTGCTGTGCATCAATCCGAACCGAAACGAAATAACGGCGAACACAAGACCGACTCAGTGGACATAGTTAAGTAACGAGAACATCCGCCGGCCGTTGTCTCCTGTGAAAAAGGGGTATTCTGAATTTCTTCCTCGGAGGTTCCTGGGCCGCATTCTCGGCTGCTGGTGTTGTCGAAATGTGGGGATATGGCGTCCTCGGTACATCAGCTGAGGGCATTGGAGGCGTCGAGCCGGTAGAGAAACTCCTGCCTTCGGTCGTCATGCTTTTCTTCTTGCGAATAGTCTTCATCAGTCTGCTTATGTGAGGTTGCTTCTGTTCCTCGGGTGGAGGCGACTCAGGTGGAGGTGGAGGAAGACTTTTATTCAAGTCTAGAGCTGAAAATCTAATCGGGCGAGGCTGCTCGATGGATTTGGCGCTGCCACTTGGAGGTCGTGACGACCCGTCCGTCACGACTCGCAGCGTCTTCTTAATGGCTTCTGCTTCGGTCGAGAGTTTGCTTGCTTCTAGAGATCTGTGAACACCACCCGAAGAAGCGGTCCGGCTCTTGCTAGTCACCGTATTTGATTCATTTCGGAGGCTACTGCCAGGTTTCTTGGTGCTATTAACTGATTTCCGGGCTGCGTCGGAGAAACGTCGCGCGGTTTCGCCAGGAGTAATTCCGGCACTCGTCAAGGGCGTTGAATAGTCAGTGGCGGTTATGGTACCGCGGTGAGAAACTTCTGAAGGTGTGGCAGAGTCGTCTTGTATGTCAAGGAATTGGTGAGTTACACTGGTTGCGGCTTCGACGTTCTGAACCCGGTCGGGTTTCCGCTCACGTTTGGCACTGGGCTGCGCCGCTGCTTTGCCTTCTTGAATCTGGGCAGCAATATATTTGAGAGGGTCATCCGACATATCGTCCGAGTGTGGCACATTGGCCAATACCAGGGCGCACACACGCTTCAATTCTCCCTCTTCTTGCGCGGTAAGTGCCTGGCGATCGATGAGAGGTGAGTCCGGAATGAAATGTGGATCATCGTCGTCGCCCCGATACTTTTTCGGTATCAAAGCCTGTTGAGAGGTCAGTAAATATCGCCTGAGTCCGGTACTGGTGGGACCCTACCGAAGCACTCGTCTGGAGCCCAAGTTTCTTGTTCATTGCACCTGTGAAGTTGGAGTTACGACTGGAATCGGAAGAATGGAAGGCAGAGGAGGAAATGCGTTGGAGCAGCCCCCGGGTCGAATCGTCCGTCTGGTCACTTTTGATGGCCAAGGCTGAAGGTGGTTCTCGACTCTTTTCACAGCATATCGCCTCGGAAAGCGGATTTCGAATTTGTCCTCGCCTACGGAAGGGTGCGTCCAAACGTAATAAAAGCGAGATAGTACTCGGAGCTTGTGAAACCTGAGGGAGGTGGCTTGATGTACAGGACGGGCAAATAACAATGACAGGAACAGAACGAAGGTCAGCCAGACGTGACCGGGAAAGATAAGGATGTCTGGAGAGCAGTGATATTATTATTATTACTCCTCGTATGCAGGCCACGAGTATCGCGGCCTGTGAACGATGGATGGCAGTCAGCGTGAGGTTTCAGCTTCAAGCTGACTTGATGAAGGCGAATTCTGTGAGTGGGCCACGTTCGCATAGGACCATGGAGCCTTCGGTGCCATGGAGGGGGGTGGGAGCACTCAGCGCATTCAGCAAAGGGGTCTGAGGCCAGCCATCCTGTCATCCACGCGAATGGCGGTTTGACCAGTGGGATGTGAGGTTAGCAGCTGGCCTATCTGACCCCAAACCGGCACTTAGGAGCCTGAAAGACATTTTAGCGAAGATGGGACTTCGGGTGATCAAAAGAAGCGTGAAAGTCGAAAGCGTCAATGGAGAAAGTGATTGGCGGCGCAAATTGAAGAGAGATTGAAACGAGGAGAAAGAAAGAACCAGACGAGCCCAACCGAGTTGCCGAGCCCAAGACGCAGCCGGGGCGGGCAAGGGCAAGCAGGGGCCACCGAGCCACCTAAATAGAGTCCTCGGCGCCATGCTCACTAGGGAGCCATTAGGCCTAGTGCTAGCGAGCCCAGTGCGGCTTTGGGCCAGGAACAAAAGAGTGTGGCTGCCAAATCAAAGGAGCAGCTGCAGGTTGTGGCTGGTTCCCAGCTACAGGCGCAGGTGGGTGTCTACTTGTTACTTGGTAGGTGGCCGGGCCAGGCCCATCCCGGTTATGGCTTAGTGACGGGTGACCAGAATTACCAAAGCATTCACCCACTAACCACCGCTAACTGGATATGGCAGGTACCTACTTGTACCGAGTACTTAAGTAGTATCTTAACGGATGGCCGCGGGACAGTAATACCTAAGTAACACCTGCCTCCTGGGTAGTAAAGTACTTAGTGCGGAGGACTGCACAGACAGAATATTACATCGACTTTCGCGTACTCGGTACGAGGTGCCCAGTACCCAGTACCCAGTACCCAGTACCCAGTACTGCACACCAAGCTGACCACCTTCAGTAGGCCTTTTTCCTCCCCTTTTCTTTCCCACTCCCCTCATCAGTGGCCATTGCTTAGCTTCTCCTAGTTTTCTGTATGCAGTAACGCCCTATCCCATCAACTTTCGACCTTTGGCTGTGATATAATACCATGCCGATCAAGGACACGATCCATTGCTTCATATCTTGATTGCTTCGCCAGGTTGGCCCCTGCCAGCTGTGGCAAGACTCGACCCCGCCCACAAAGCATGTAACTGAAAATCTCCGAAGCCTGTCAAATCTACCGAACACCCCAGATCACACTCCAAACTCAACGAGAACTGCTTAATCCTGCAAATTGCCCTCCATTTCAAATGTCGAGAAGCACGTTCGCCCTGGACCATGTGGAAGCACCTGTATGGATAACTCGTACGAGGAACTTTGGTAAATCGTCAGCGGTCGTCTTTGTCAGATTCGGTAACTCCAGGATCCAGCTACGGTCATGATGAGCGTAAGATTTGCCTCAACTAGGTCCTTTGAACCACTAAAGACTTTTTGTGGCATCCATGGTGCTACCGGCACATGTCTCAAATTCTCGCATTGGATCATGTCGATCGACAAAGGACGTCATGTTCCTCAAAAGAGCTCTGGTGTCGGGGTTGTGAACGTATGGGACCGTTGGTGGGTGACAATTAATTGAGCAGTGAACCGCCGCACAAGTTTTGCACAACGCACTACTTATTGCTACCATTACGAGGCTACTCGTATTTCATTGGGTGTATAAGGCCTGGGTAGACAGCAATCGTCCTTGTCGCCTGATGAGTCGTTTCCGATCACACAACGATAAGCCCACATCCTAATGCAAGAGACAATAGCTTATCTTGAAATGCATGGAAAGAGTGTGCCAGCCTCTAATGTCCAAAACACATGTTCCCTGCTTTTTCTATTGACGATCTTGACAGTCTGGATGCTCCGAAAGCCGAATCAAACAAACATGGTTCTTTGTTTGCCCACCGTGCTCTGTTTCGGAGGCAAGATATTGCACGCGATGAATCCGCATGAAACAGCAGGTATGCCAGTCTTGACAGCTTCAAAACAACATCTTCATCTCAAACCTCCTCGATCTGGAGACACTCATAATCCAGCCGATCGTCACTTCTCTCAGCAGACCCAAAGCTAAGTATATCTTTGGAGCAACAAGTGTGATTGTGTAACATGATGAACATTGTTTGGCGCACTCACTTTTTAGTCTGACTGATCTGCCCATTTGAAGATAGCACGACCTGACAGTTTGCAGTTGAAGAGTTGGTCTCTGAGGCTAAAGCTTGATGAGATCAAAGATAAACTGGAGACCGAGTTGGTAGTCTTTACTGCATGCCAATGGGCACTGAATCGAACCCATCGAGGATGATGATGATGACAGCGTAACATCTCACTCAAGCAAGTGTGCTATCTCATCCGCGTTCCCTTTTCAACGATTGTAACTGGCATCACCGCCTCTCATGACGATGAGCCGGTGTTTCGAGAGTGGCTATCGATAGTAGGGTCCGAGTTAGATGCCAGAACCTTCAAGAGCCTCTGAGGCATTCGACCCAGTATGCCGAGCAGAATCCTTCGCTATCAAAGGGGCGAACTCAATGCGGTCAAGCCGAGAAGGTTGACTTCTGTAGGGAAATGAATATTCATAAGCTTGATGCTGGAGATCCATTGAGCATCTATGCTTTATGACGGTCCGAGTGAGAGGTACTGCTTCAACTTGGCATGGTGAAGCTCTTGTGTCATCCAATCACGTTTGATTCAGCGCTATTTCGCATATGCTGCCTTGCGTCGGAGAGGAGTGCCAGTGGGGTCAGCGAAATTGTAGGAGACGAGGAGAGGGCGAGCATTGTACTTCACAATAACTTAGCATCTTCTTCCGTCACACAGCCTTGTACAACTGCGGGACGAGGCTGCGCTTTGACTCCCCCACACGAATCATCTCCGAATCCACTTTATCGTAAATTTCATTCGAGTCTCAGCCCTTGAGCTAGCATTCCCGTTCTTTGTCTCCTCGAATAATCAAGATTCACGTCCAATTCATGGACAATGGGGGACAGCGCGGAACAGGGTTCTCTAGAAACCCGGGATGCCTGGCTTGCCGCTCTCAGAAGCAGTTCGACAAATCTCCGCATTGAGGCATTGCGCAAATTGCAGCACAGTATCCAAATCACAGGTAAGGCTACATACAAGTCCCGTTTCAGGGGGCCAGTCTCATTGGCAGCATAGATGAGACGGTCTCGAAAGAATTATTGACCGTGTTGCCCGCTCTCCTCGCGACGTATCCTCGATACCTAGATCGAAAGTCTCGCCGAGCGGTGCAGTCATGCCTTCGAGCATATCTCACAACGCCTTCCTCCGCCGATGTTGCCTACCCTGCCGTCACAAAGTTCCTGTTACAAGAGAGCCAAAAGGCGGTCATAGCCCCTGGAAATGCATTTGTACTGCTTGAATGGTGTTGCCTGGTTCAACAAGAAATACGGCTCAATGAGAAGTCATTCGAACAATGCTTTGGGAAAATATGCCTGGCTGCTGCCCGGCTGCTGGATAAATGTGAAGACAAAGCGGTTCGGGGCGGAGTTCAAGGTTCGGCCTTGACAATCGCCCGGAGAGGCCTGCGCGACGCATTCAAAACACCACAAGTCGGAAACAAGGCGTTGCAACTCGCCTTGCAAGATGTTGCTAGTTCCTCTGACGCAAATGCCAGTCAAGCCCTCTATGTTGGTGTGATTGCTGGAGTCAGTGCCCGCATAACAGAGAGAAGAGAACAGCTTCAAGACTCAAAAAAGCAAGTCCTTGATTTCTATGTCAAGTCCATCATAAGCTCGAAAACTCCCGTGCCGTTCAATCAGTCTATGGGCCTCAAAGATTTCTTCCTCGACTTCGTCGCTCTTCAGGACATTGGCGAAGTCCTGGTCCCCGCAATTGAGAAGGCCATCTTAAGATCGCCTGAGGCCATCCTCCAAGGCCCTATCGAGGTGCTGGCCTTGTGCCTGCCAACAGCACTCGATATTTCAGGGTTTGTTCATGGAAAACTGGTGAAACCTCTCTTATCAGCCATGAACTCTACCAATGCCACCATTCGCGATGGTGCAGGTAAGGCTCTGTCAGCCCTTGTTGGGAGAGGCGGGTCGCCAGATGCCTTGCAGAAGATTGCTGGAGAAATCGGGTCCGCGATGAAAGCTTCAAAGGCCGGTAGCTTTGAATTGCGTGGTCTATTGGCCGATGCTCTATCAATAATCGCCCCCGAATTAACCACATCTTCTGTCATCGCTCAATCTATCGTCCCTGCGGCATCCAAGGAGGCTAACGAGGGCGCGCTGAGGAAAGAGGTTGCTGCGTTAGCACCGCATCTACAGCTTATTGTCACAGCTTCCTCCATCGAAAAAACGCTCTCGGATCTAATACTAAAGGGCACCCTTGACAAAAGGCTTCCTTTTCGCAAACTGTGGGTTCTGTGTCTCGCAAATGTCCTCAAACATCTTGCGAACGCGCCCTCTGAACGGGTGTCACGTGAATTCGTCAAGTCAGCCTTGAACATTTTGAAAGATGCGTACGACGAGGTTGCCCTCAATCCCATCCCAGCAACCCAGAATGGTTTTGTGGCTGCAGGTTTCGGTCTTCCTGCGATATTTGATGCGCCAATACTGAAGACAGATGAGTACAAATCAAGTACCTATGATGAACTCAGAAATCAATGTCTTACCATTCGACCAAAACTGTCTTTCCTCCTGAACCCAAAAGTCTATACGCGACTCTCATCTGCAGACGATTGCCAGTGGGCACTATATGCGCTGACCAATTTGACGCAAAATCTCGAACAAGCTTCAGAAGAAGCAAAGACTGCATGGGCAAGAGCCATCTTGCATCACCTACTGACGCCTGAAGTTGACTCGAGTGTGCGGAAGCAGACAGGAATTGTATTGTCACAGGCCTACTCGGAACGACCAGCTTCAGTAGGCCAAAGCATAGTACTTGGGATTTGGGACGTGCTTCGATCCCGTGCACTGGAGTTGACCAAGATGGCTGAACATTCCCTGAATGACAATCGCTTGCTTCAGGCGGTGAAGTGCATAAGCTTACCCAGGGACAGGCTGGAAAATATGACCCAGGAAGCGGCAGTTGAGGTGCTGAAGCAACAGGCTATATCTACAGTCGTGTTATTACGCCCTGAGCTGATTATCAACTCAAATTGGATTGCGACCTGCCTCGCCACTGGCATCGATCCAGGTGAACTTGCAAAGGAACGACAGGAACAACTTTTCAAAGAGATACTTTCACATTTTGAGGCCAGCAAGATGGCACCATTAAACATTTTCGAGATCGCTGCCTGCAACTCTGCAGCTACATTAGCCTTCGTGGCGCCGGATATTTTTACGCCAGCATTGATTCGTCAATTTCGGAAAGATCTAGACCCGGTGCAGTTGGAAGCTGTAGGCCCAACCGAAGCACTCATTGCTCGAGCCCCTGAAGGCACGATTGTCGTTGATGTCCTTGGCCAGCAGACAAATGGAATCCTTGAAAACAAGAACCAGAAAGACTATGATGTTCTCAAATGGGAAGAAGAGATACGCGCACAGTTAGCTAAAAAGAAAGGGGCACCCCAGAAAAAGTTGACTGCAGACCAACAGGCCAAGGTCGACGCTCAACTTAAGCAAGAGAGTGCTACGCGGGCTCGGGTGAGGTCAATTTCAAGCAACATCAGAAGAGGTGCAAAATTCATTGAGAGTCTTGCTCGTGGTCCGCCAACAGATGCAGGGCTTTGGATGTCTCCGGCCATCACTGCGCTGCTGGGGTCTCTTGAAGCGGGAGCGTCGCTCATCGTCGAAGACGAGATCGTCTCAGCTTATCTTGCCTGCTCCGACAAGATCTCGGAACGCCTCGGGAACATGCGCCTTTTTGTCGGCGTTGCAACTCTCAGGTCTCTGCGGAATGCAAACGTTCCAGAGCATCTCTGTGTGGAGCCGCTTGCAGAGCTCGGAACAAGGGTGTTGTACAGACTGAGATTCGCTGCTGAGCACCGCCCTTTTGATACTGCCAGCACTGCTTATGCCCTCCCTCTCATCTTTTCTGTCCTCGAGAATGGAAAGATAGGAGATGTGACGGGCGACGATGCTGACGCACAAGCCCTCCTTGCTCTCGAATTTCTATCTTTCCAGATGGGATCCGGTGCCGATGAACACCTTCCAAGAGCAGATATTTTACGCCACTTGATCAGCGCAATGCAAACGTATAACCAGCACTATCGAATAATAAGAGATTGTTTGTTTGACTTCTCTCGGTCGATGTCCGACAATGTCACTTCCGAGGAGAGGGACATTCTCCTGTCTGCCGTTACCCTTCCCGAGTCCGCTGTCCGATCTGCGGTTCTTCAGGCCATTCATTCAGAGATTGACTTGTCCGAGATTGACTATTCGGTCCATATATGGATTGCTTGTCAAGATGAAGAAGACGAAAATGCGGAGACTGCGCTGGCGATTTGGGAAGAGTTCGAGTTCACCGTAACCGAAGAACTGGTCGATAGCATACCTCCCTTTTTATTCTCAGAGGCACAGTCGACGAGAACGGCTGCAGCAAAAGCTCTCGCGCAAGCGCTTATCCAAATCCCTTCGAAGACAGAGTCAGTATTGGAATCCCTCGAAGAGTATTATCGAACGGAAGCTCAACCCTTGGTCCCAAAGCGGAATAAGTTCGGTATTGTGCAAAAAGGAGAACTAGTTGATCAATGGGAGAAGCGAAGCGGCCTTGCACTGGCATTCAAAGAGCTTTCTTCCGTCCTGAGTGGGAATGCTTTGGTGCCTTTTATGAACTTCCTAGTTTCAGACGGCGCCCTCTCAGATCGCAATGCTACTGTTCGCTCGGAGATGGTAGAGACAGGTACAACCTTCGTGGCAGCTCGAGGAAAAGAATGCCTAGAGCCTCTCATGGATCTGTTCGAGAAAGTGTTGCAGGGCCCTGATAGAGGAACTCAAGAGTCGGATTGGGTCAATGAAGCCGTGATCATTCTCTATGGGTCTTTGGCAAGACATCTACCCGATGGCGACAAGCGAACAGGGAATGTCATACAAAAGCTCCTTGATACTCTCAGCACACCATCTGAGTCCGTTCAATATGCTGTCGCCAATTGCCTGCCTCCACTTGTTCGTCCTCCCACTATCGATGCTGCACCATACATCACCTCTCTTCTGGATCAGCTTTTCCAGTCCAAGAAATACGCTGCACGTCGAGGAGCAGCTTACGGTCTTGCAGGAGTTGTCAAGGGCAAAGGTGTGGCAGCGTTGCGGCAACACAGGGTGATGGTCGCGTTGCGAAGTGCGACTGAAAGCAAAAAGAGCCCCGAGCAGCGACAAGGCGCAATGATGGCATACGAGTTACTGTCATTGCTGCTCGGTCGGACCTTTGAACCATATATGATCGAGGTGCTTCCCCAATTGTTGACATGCTTTGGCGACCCAGTCGCATCAGTACGTGAAGCTTGCTTGGACACTGCAAAGACATGTTTTGCCAGCCTGAGCTCCTTTGGCGTGCGTCGTGTCCTTCCTGAACTACTCGAAGGATTAAATGAGACACAGTGGCGTAGCAAGAAAGGAGCGTGTGACCTCCTCGGTGCCATGGCTTACCTTGATCCGCAACAGCTAGCCACAAGCTTGCCAGAAATCATACCTCCTTTGACATCGGTGCTGACAGACAGTCATAAAGAGGTTCGAGCCGCTGCCAATAGCAGTCTCAAGAGATTCGGGGAAGTCATCACAAATCCAGAAGTCAAGAGCCTCGTCGACATTTTACTCAAAGCACTGAGTGACCCAACAAAATACACAGAGGAAGCTTTGGACGGGCTGATCAAGGTTCATTTCGTCCACTATCTCGACGCACCCTCACTGGCCCTTGTTGTGAGGATCTTAGAGCGAGGGCTCAATGATCGCTCATCTACCAAACGCAAAGCTGCTCAAATCATTGGGAGTCTGGCACATCTCACCGAGAAGCGTGATATCGTTACCCATCTACCGATTCTTGTCACAGGCCTCCGTCTTGCGTCTGTCGATCCCGTACCTGCAACTCGAGCAACCGCCTCCAAAGCTCTGGGCAGTCTTGTTGAGAAGTTGGGCGAAGATGCCTTCCCAGATCTGATACCAAGCTTGATGTCCTCGCTTCGTACAGATACAGGTGCAAGCGATCGCCTCGGGTCAGCTCAGGCACTCAGCGAAGTCCTCGCTGGTCTAGGCACTGGCCGTCTTGAAGAAACGCTGCCATCTATCCTACAGAACGTCGCCAGCTCAAGACCAACCGTTAGAGAAGGATTCATGACTTTGTTCATCTTCTTGCCGGCATGTTTCGGCAACAGCTTTGCTAACTATCTTGCTCAAATTATTCCGTCCATTCTCAGGGGCCTGGCCGACGATATCGAAGCAATTCGCGAAACTGCTCTCAGAGCAGGCAGGTTACTCGTGAAGAACTTTGCGACCAAATCCATTGATCTCTTGTTGCCAGAATTGCAACGTGGGCTGGCTGACGACAGCTACCGTATTCGTCTCAGTTCAGTTGAGCTTGTCGGGGACCTCCTCTTCAATCTCACCGGGGTCAGTGCTCAAACAGAAGCCGAGGAGGAAGGCGAAACTGCAACACAAGCTGGACAATCCTTGCTTCAAGTTTTGGGAGAAGAAAGACGCAATCGGGTCCTGTCTTCTCTCTACATTTGTCGCTGCGATACTTCTGCGCAAGTTCGAGTAGCTGCCATTGCCGTGTGGAAAGCACTCGTTGCAACACCGAGAACACTGCGTGAACTAGTACCGACGCTATCTCAGATGATTATTGCTCGCCTTTCCTCGTCCAACATGGAGCACAAAGAGATTGCTGCCAATGCTCTGGGCGAAGTGATCCGTAAGGCTGGAGAAGGTATTTTTGCCTCATTGCTACCGTCCCTTGAGGAAGGCCTTCAATCTTCCACCGATCCAGATAAACGACAAGGCATATGTATTGCTCTCCGGGAGATTGTCGACGCTGCTTCACCAGAGTCTCTGGAAGAGCACGAAAAGAAATTAATTGCCATTGTCCGACTGGCGCTGACAGACTCCGATCCCGAAGTGCGCGATGCTGCAGCAGAATCCTTTGACTCTCTTCAACAGATGTTTGGCAAACGAGCTGTGGATCAGGTGTTGCCACATCTGCTGAATTTATTGCGGAGCGAAACGGAGGCTGAACATGCACTGTCCGCGCTGCTTACTTTGCTCACTGAAGCTACCAGGGCCAACGTTATTCTGCCTAACCTGATACCGACGCTACTCACCAACCCCATCACTGGCTTCAATGCCCGGGCGCTGGCTTCATTGGCTAAAGTTGGAGGTGCAAGCATGACTCGTAGACTGCCTACAATACTGAACAGTCTCGCGGACAACATAGTCACATGCAAGGACGAGGAACTTCTAGGAGAATTGAACGAGGCCTTCGACGCGACATTGTCTTCCATTGACGAATTCGATGGTCTCAACACTGCCATGAGTGTGATGTTGGCCATGATCAAGCATGACGACCACAGAAGACGTGCGCTCGCTGCAAATCATTTAGCGACGTTCTTCGCAAATCCCGTTCTCGACTATTCCCGCTATAACCAAGATCTCATCCGCGCCCTTCTCATCTCATTCGGCGATCGAGACCAAGATGTTGTCAAAGCCGCCTGGTCCGCACTTAACCAGCTGCAGTCTCATTTGCGCAAAGAAGAAATGGAGACACTAGTCACCTCCACCCGACAAGTCCTCCAGCAAGCTGGAACAGCAGGATCAGTCCTACCTGGATTCGCGCTTCCTAAGGGTATCCTGCCTGTACTTCAAATCTTCCTGCAAGGCTTGATGAACGGTACAACCGAGCAACGAGTCCAGTCTGCTATGGGTATATCAGACATCATTGAGCGGTCTAGTCCTGACGGATTGAAACCGTTTGTCACCCAAATCACCGGTCCGCTCATCCGTGTTGTTGGGGAGAGATCAATGGATGTCAAATGTGCTATCCTGTCCACTCTCAACCTGCTCCTCGAGAAGATCCCTACTTTCTTGCGTCCCTTCTTGCCTCAGTTGCAAAGGACATTCACAAAATCGATCGCCGATCCGACAAGTGAAATTCTCCGTACACGGGCAACGAAAGCATTAAGCACGCTCATCACGTTAACACCGCGCGTCGACCCCTTAATTGCCGAACTCGTTACTGGCGCGAAGACCCCCGAGGCCAGTGTCCGCAATGCCATGTTAAAAGCCCTTCAGGAAGTTGTCAGCAAGGTTGGTTCGAACATGTCCGACAGCTCCCGCGAATCCATCTTGGGGCTTATGGACAGCCAACATGACGTTCAGGATGATAATATGATGGTGACCAATGCTCGGCTTCTGGGGGCTATGATCAAAGTTCTTCCCGCAGAGAAAGCTGCGACTTTGATCAAGACTCGTGTACTCGCCCAGCCGTCGACCAACGCGTCAATTCTTGCTTTAAACGCCGTGCTTTTGGAAAGCGCTCCGACTTTGATAGAAAATCCGGCATACGCAGAAGATACACGGAACGTCCTCGTCAACGGGCTAACTGGGAAGAGCGGTACTTTCGTCCAACAGAATGCTGTACTTGCATTAGGAAAATACCTCCTCTCTCTGCATGAAATATCTTCTGGCGTCCAAATTGAAGAAACATGCGAACCCCTCTTCGAAGCACTCGCGTCCACAATCCCACCAGGAGGAGACATCGACTCTCGCCGCCTTGCACTGGTGGTCATCCGCACGATCTTCCGCCACCACGGCAACAGTCTGCGCGAGGACAACAAACTCGTGGCCATCCTGGCACCGCCGGTTTTTGCATCGGTAAGGGACGTCGTCATCCCTGTCAAGTTAGCAGCGGAGGCAGCCTTTCTCGAACTCTTCAATGTGGTCGATGAGGAATCTGCCCTCTTCGACAGGTACATGGGCTCAGAAGACGGTGGCAAGACGCTTGGGGTGGGGCCGGCAAGGGCGATGGGAGATTACTTCAAACGCGTGGCACTCAAGTTGGGAACATCTGCGAGGGAGAGGAGGGCGGCGGAAGGTGGTGTCAGAGGCGGGCTGGGGCTGAGTTCGGATGAAGAGGAAGATGAGAGGGAGGTATGGAGTGTGGGACGTGTGGATCTGGGTGAAGCAGGATTCGGCGAAGAATAGTAACGAGAGACCAGAAGAAAAGAAACAAGGGGTCCAAGTACGCGCGGGAGTTTGTTGGCACGAAGCCCCGAGAATTGATACCCATGTGGGTAAAAAGAATGGATATTGGCGACTCCTATTGCAAAGACCGATCAATGTCGATCAACTCCATCTCACCCGAATGAAGGGTTGCCCTGCACGCCACATGCGCGCACGCATCTATCTCCACACGAGGTTTTCTTCGGATAAGATCACAGCCCACATAAAGAACGGACACGAAGAGTGATTGGAGAAAGAGGAGTATGGGTGATTTTGGGGGGTATCCCTCTACACAGCTCTGTAGCTGGATATGGATGGAGGGGGAACCAGCAAAAAGCCACCAAGTCTTGCTTGCTTGCCTATATTTACATACGTATACTGAACCGCGCCTTCCCTCTAACTCGTATTCAGCAGAAGCGGTGGAGTACAGCCATCTGATCTGACGGAGACCACTCAGCCTTTTTCATGGCCGAACACACTGTGACAAGGGGGTTGTTTAGGGGGGGGAACTGCGTGGCAATTGCCGTGCTTGTCCCCCTTGCCGATTGTCTGGCAATGGATATGAGAAACAAGCACCACTTGGGATTCCGAACACTCCCCACCCCTCGTCGGAATGCCACACTGGTTGCGGCTTGACAGAATCAACAAAAGAGAAGATTGGCATTGTCGGAGGAGAGCTTCCTATGATCTGAAAAGGGATTTGAATGCAGGTGCTGGTTGTTCCGGGATATCCCCTGAAGGACCTGTTTGCTCAGTGGGCGGTGGTGGCCTAACCGATATGCGAATCAGATTAGCACCGTGGACTTCTTGAAATCGAGTGGATGGGAAAACGGGCGACGGTAATCGAAGGGCATAACTTACGGTGCGCTCTTTTGTCCCTGATCACCGCTAAAGTACTTTGAAAAGTCTCCCGGGTCCTCAAATGGTCTCGGCCCCAGTATCCTCACCAAGTCATCTCTGACAAGCATTTCTTTCTTTAAAAGCTCCTCCGCCACCGCCTGCATTTGATCCTTTTTCTCCAATAGGAGATCTTTGCACTGTTTATGCGCTTCATCCACAATGCGTCGGACTTCCTCGTCGATGTGTCGCGCTGTTTCTTCCGAGAAAGGTTTGTGTAGTCTCTGCTCATCGTCGCGGTAGTGCAAGTATCCGATCTTGGGCGACATGCCCCATTCAGTGACCATAGCCGTAGCCATCCGTGTGACCTTGTTGAAATCATCAGATGCCCCACTCGTCACAGTGTCGAACCAGATTTCCTCGCTGACGCGTCCGCCCAATGTCATGGCCAGGCGGTCCATCAGTTGCTTGACATTAAGCAGGTACACATCACCACCTCCAGCGGGGAGGTATTGGGCGTAGCCCAAGGCACCTTGACCTCGAGGGATGATAGACACTTTGAGAAGGGGGTCGGCGTACTTGAAGAACCAACCGCAGATAGCATGACCAGCCTCGTGGTACGCGACGGTTTTCTTCTCCTCTGGCGTCAAGACCAATGACTTCTTCTCCAGGCCGCCAACGACACGCTCGATTGCTTGTTCAAAGTGAAGCATTTCAACCGACGCTGCGTTCGAGCGAGCGGCGATGAGGGCAGCCTCATTTACACAGTTGGCAATATCTGCACCTGAAAATCCCGGCGTCAAAGCTGCCAGACGGCCGGTGAGGTATTCCATGTCGACGTGAGTGACGATCTTGCGGAGATGGACTTTGAATATTTGCCTGCGGCCCTCCATGGTTGGTCTATCAATAACAATGTGTCTATCAAATCGACCCGGTCGCATCAAAGCTTTGTCGAGAACATCGGGTCTGTTTGTACCGGCAAGGACGACAACTTGTTCGGAGGTATTGAAACCATCCATCTCGGTCAAGATCTGGTTGAGGGTCGATTCGCGCTCATCATTGCCACCACCAAAGTTTTGCTTCGCCCTAGATTTGCCGATGGCATCGATTTCGTCAATGAAGATGATGCACGGAGCGTTCTTTCGGGCATTTGCGAACAGGTCCCGCACTCGAGATGGGCCGACACCAACGAACATTTCCACGAATTCGGAACCGGAGACGGAGAAGAATGGAACACCGGATTCACCGGCAGTCGCCTTAGCCAACAACGTCTTACCAGTACCCGGAGGACCGGACAAAATGGCTCCTCGAGGGATCTTTGCGCCCAGTCTCTGATATTTCGAAGGATCTTTCAGGAAAGAGACGAACTCCATGATCTCCAGCTTTGCTTCGTCCATACCAGCAACATCGGCGAATTTGATTTTGATGTCAGTCTCGTGGTTGAATCTTTTAGCTCTTGACTTGCCGATGCCGAAGATCCCACTCTGACCACCTGCACCCGACGCGGCTCTCCTCGACAACCAGAACAGAGCACCCACAAATAGAAGCGTCGGGCCAAAAGAGAAGATGGCGGCGCTCAGCGGGACTTCGTCAGAGTAAGCCACAGGGATTCTTTCATTCGCGGGGATGCCCAATTCTTGTTGTGCCTCGTCCAAATGTCTCTCAAAAGCTTCCACCGAGCCGATTGAAAAGTAGTAATAGAAGTTGGGTTGAGCCGCAGGCGACTCTGGATATCTCTGTGCGACAGCGGAACGGTGTAGTTCGACTTTGACTCGGTTTCGATTGATGACAGTGAGTCTGCTGACGAGGCCTTTGTCGAAGAAGGTAGTCCTGAATTCCTGCCACGTAATTTCCCGACTTGTCTCCCCAGGGTACAGGCTCCGGTACAAGTAGTAGGTAATGAAGGCGGTCATGATCATTGTGCTGGCGTCGAGCTTGAACTCGTAGACTTTGGGTCCACCCTGCTGCTGCTGTTGCTGCTGTTGCTGCTGTTGCTTCTGCTTTTCTTTGCGTTGTTTATTATGTTCCTCGCTCTTGTTTGACTGATCGAACAGTGGGGTTTCATCCGATGTGGCGCCCTTGCCGTATTTTTGTCGAACCTCCTCTGGGGTCATGCGCGACATCTTGGTGAAGAGTCCAACAAGACGCACCGTGGTGCCAAGGTCGATTCGCTTGCTTGGATCCTTCCGCCGCGCTTCAAGAACTTCTCGGAGTTCTTTGGGGATTCCACCTTTTTTCATAAGCTCGGCAGCTTCATCGACGGCGTCGGCTTGCGCCTTGGGAAGACCCGCCTTGATCATTTGGGCGACATCGTCGATCTGTTTAATCTCCTCCGGTGTGAGGGGAGAAAACTCTTGGGTGCCGGCCTTCTTTGACTCTGGTTCTGCATTGTGGTCCTGTTTCCCAGCTCCGTCTGCAGATTTCTCGGCCTTCTCGGCCTTCTCAGGCTTCCTCTTCTGCTTTTCAGGATCTTCCGAGGGCGGCTTCGGATCACCAGGGGTCACGGTTGCATACAATCTCGATAGAGGCGGACGTAATGACCGAGTGTATCGTAGTCTGGCGAAATGGGTGGAGCGGCGATGGGCACAAAATGCGCACTCAAAAGCAGCTTTTGACGAGCGCATCAATTGCGGCCGCAGGTAGCTTGCCGCCATTGCTGGCGTGAAGTCTGGAGGGAGAGAGTGCCAGCAAAAGGGCACGGGGTTATGAGGGAGGAGGCGTTGAAAGGATGATGAGCCCAGACGGCAAGACAGCAAGTCTGGTGATCGGAGGATGCGCAATGGAGTTGACGCGAGCACATTTGCCTGACTTTTCTTAGATCCGATGTACGCATGACAGATGCGCTTGTCATAGATTTGGCCCAGTGTGATTGCGCCACCGGCCCATCTCGCCATCCGAATAATGCAGCCTTCTCCTGTCGTGCAGACAGCATAAAACGGCGTGGTTGTTTTCTGGTTTCATTTATCGGATTCCTTCTGACACTACAGCTCTACTCTATGGAATCCGAGTACATGTATCAGACTTCAATCTGCTGCTCCCATCGCCTCCATATCCCATATTTGTGATCAACTTGACCACTTCGCCAACAACCTTGCAAGCCGTATCCTTCTCCTACCCAGTGTTTACATCCGTCTTCTCCCGTACATGTCATGTCGAAGTTTCCATTCCTCCTCTGACTTGGCCTTAACAGCTTCTTTTCCCGCGGGTCGAAACCTAGGATCACGCGCAATCCGGCTTGGGGCGCTATAGAAACCACCAGTTTTTTCCTCGAAAAAGCTCGTGCCGCCAATGTTGCCCATCAGAAGCTGACCTCTCTCAATTGCATAGTCCGGTGCGGGTTTGTACTTGCATACTAGGGTGTCCGTGTCCACTCTCAGCTCCGATGACTCTGTAGACTCGGCCAAGTTGGCTATGATGTCTCCAACTGCGCGAATTGCAGCACTCTCGATCCCCACATCGGACGTTGGGTCGCTCAAGGCACTATCACCACCGATCCCAATCGCCAGATGGCTAGCAAGGCATTCTTTAGCGACCTGCGCGAACACTTTTCGTGTCCCTGTAGCCGCTCTGTTGTCTCTGCTGGCAATTCGCATCCAATTTTGAAGACTCTCCTTCCTCGCAATATGTGAATTTTGTAAAAAGCCCTGTGGTGCATCTGGACTCTGTGCTCTGGCACACATCCTCATGACTCGATTCATTTTCATGCGCTGACTCTTACTGACAGGTCTGAGCTCGAACCAATCATCATTCCCAACCTCAAAGATCTCTCGCATGGTGGAGGCGTCAAAGGGAGCCGAGGCCTTGTTAGTGATTTGTGCTAATGGTTGAAGAGAGCTCAATTGCGAGTCAAACCCCGGAGGAGGGTTTCGAATAATGATGGATCTAGGGCTATAGGTCTGGGCACGACAGGTAAGTTCCGGTGTTGCTGTTGTACTGTTAGAGCGAGCTGGCGAAGCTGGTCCACTCGACTTTACTCGATGCAAATCGGGATTATGCAGAACAGTTTTCCCTGTCTTTGCCAATGCCTGTTGAGCTGCGACAAAACTCTGCATCTTATTCTTGCGGTCGTAAGGTTCGTCATCTGGTAGGACAAGAATTGGGCGGACGGTCTGCTGTCCTGGCGCCGGTTGCTCCGTTATTAATCGCTGCTTGGGCGGCTCCCCAACAGCATTGGGGTATGAGAAACTTCTGATGACGTTCGGTACCAAAAGAGAAGAAGCGTCAGAAATGTTTTCGTCCATATTGATAACGCTGTCGGAGTTCACATGTGGCATCGCCGGGCGCTCAACTAGATCCGACGCGAGGGTCCAGGTTTGCGAATGGTTTCTGGAACCGAGTTCGTTCTCATAGTGAACGAATGTCGCTGGGGTCACTACCGAGTTCCCGATCATACCTGAGCCGGGAGTGAAGTGATGATGTGGAGTGACGAAACCGGCAGATGCGTCCGTGTATTCATGAGACAACGATGCGAGTTTGTTCTCCTGCTTGGAAGGGCTGATATCGTCTGGGGCCATTAAATTGCCGTAATATTGGCCTGGGTGGAAGGTGGGCATCGCGGCCGGACCTAGCACGGGCATACCATGTGAGTCAAACCACCACGTCAAACCAGGGTGCTGGAACCCACTGATTCCAGAGAAATTGCTCGGGGAGCTATTCACACTGGGATTGATGCCTTGTTGTACCTGCTTGATGATCGCATGTGGCTGGACGCGTTGGGGTGTTGGATTGACAAGCGGCGACGGCGTCTGTGAAGTCAACCTCAGCATTGCCTTTGGCGCTGTGGGGATTGCCGAGCTGGTGTTGTTGGCCTCGAGCCATGTCGGCTGCGGATTACCCGGCACGAGAGGAAGGTCAGACTCCTGGTTGAGGGAGTTACTGCAGTCGGCTCGTTTCTGACGGGTCGGTGTAGAGACGGTGTCTTCGTTCTCCGCGAAACTGTCATTGTCATCTTCAGGGGTATCTTCCAAGATCAGTGGCTTCCAGGCCTTGGGACCCTTGTTGCGGTTGAGCTGAGGATTCTTGGTGAAGGCGCTCAAAGAAACCGGTGCAGGCTTAGGAGGTAACTTGTGCTCCTCTGCTTCACGACTTGCTTGTCTTGCAGAAGCGGCTTTGAAAGCATGATACTCGGCAGCTCTGGCTCGCGCACCCAACATGTCGGGGTTCTCTGTAGGCAAAAGGCGAGGTCTAGATATTGTGAGTATGCCAGCTTTGGGGGAAGGACATGATGATGTTTGACCTGGATCCAAAAGGTTGCTTTAAATCTTAAACATTTCCTTGCGGAATCATCAGCTTACAACTTCTGCAACTGCGGATGTGAGAGTCCACCCAAGGAAGATGATGTAGTTTGCGGCGAGGAAGGAGACGGCGACTGCGACAGACTGGACCTGGCCAAAACCTGGCACCTGGACAGACTCAGAAGGGAAGAGGCTGCAATCGGGGACGCCGATCTATGCAGCAACCACCAGAGCAGGTGCAAGCGGAAGAAGATTGAAGGGAAACGGGAATTGGAGAGAGTGGTGCCGCAGGGGAATGAGGATGAGGGCAAAGTGAGGGTCTAGGAGGAGAGGGCGCGGCCGAAGATACTGAACGAGCACTGAATACAAAAGAAGAACAAACACGTTTTCTTAAGTGGCTCGAAATCAGGAAGACCGAATACCATCTGTTGTGATGAGGCTTGGTGTTCGAAATCACTAAATTGATTTTGTTGCCATCAGGAAGGAGAGACTGAAGAAAGAGATCCGGGAAGGCATAGAGGAGGCCAGCCACTTGTCACTCATCCGCATTTCACCCTCCTTTCAGGTTTCCACCAATCCATCTTTGTCTATCATCATTTCGTCGAACACACCATCACAGCTGATAGGAAACAAAACACCCTCGAGACTCCCGATGTCCACAACGAGACACTCATCAGGAGAGGGATGCTCTAATCGCAGGAAGACTGGGTACGCAGCCGCCGCCGCTCAGGCACATACCAGATTGACTCGCTATTCCAGCGTCACAGGCAGAACGGCTGCCACCACCCCCCCTTCTCTTTGTGGCATCCTATCCCGCGTGCCCTGTCATCGACGATACAATCAAACATCCAAGAAGAGATCAATGAAGAGGAGGCTGATTGATAGACGGCGAGACAGGCCACTAGATGATGGGCACGGGAAATCATCGGCACGGTTGGGTGACCCACCAGCCTTGTTTGCCTTGTCCTACCTTGCCCAACTTGCCACAACCTAAATACGACAACTTCGCAGTATGTTTCGCCGCAACTCCCTGCGACTTCTTCGAGAAAGACTCCAACTGATCCGTCAACTAGCTGCTCCCAAGTCTAAGAGTCTTCACCCTCAGAATCTCTGAGACGAGACCAGCATCATGAAGATAGGTGATCCGACATATCGAGGTGCACAAGTCCATCTCCCGCTTGAAGTCGCCACGCTCATAATGGCATATGTGGCTTCGGGCCATGATCCTGACACTCAAACATCATTATGGGCATGCTGTTTGGTGTCCAAGACCTGGTATGCCGCCTCTGTCCCCCATCTCTACAACCGGCCCTTTCTTTCCAGCTGGAACTTCGACCTTTTCACTCGGACGATATGCCCCGCGGCACAGCCCCGGAGATCGCGTGTCGGTCTTGAAAATATGATTAAACATCTTGACATGAGTCGTCTCGCGTACGAGAGCACCAATAGTCTCACGGCCCGTCTTATCAACCGGATCAAGTCGTCGCTGGAGAGTTTTGCTACGCCAGCAGTCACTTTCTCGTAAGCCACTTCCAGTCTTTGCAGGAATTTCGGACGACTCTGACGCTGTCGGTAGGGTTTCATCATTGGCTTCATTGTCTAAATGTGTGAATTTGCGTCATCTAGACATGTCAGCAGATTCTTACTCGATACAGCTGCGCGACCTTTTCGATGCCATAGCTAAGCTTAAACGTTTGACATCTCTGAGTCTGCCAAGAGGAATCAAATTTAGAGCAGAGTATCTTCCGTGGGAAAACCTGAAATGGCCAGAGAAGTTGACGCGTCTACATGCCACCGATCTGATGTGTTCTCGATCCATGGACTGGGACATGCTGTTTGAAAGCTGGCCCAGGACTCTGAAAACACTGACTTTTCCGATGTCGGACGTCTTATTACACTGTCAAAAAAGAGTGGACCATGTTCAACGCCTAGAGTTGACTGATTCTAGAGGATCAGGTGATGACAGCTATAACCTGTTCGATATCCTCCAAGTCTTTCCAAGTCTCCAAGAACTGATCGTTCCCGCCGATGTGGCACGGAGAACCCTCAACGAACTTCCGGTAGAGGCAGAAGGAACGGCGGCCACAACCGCCCCTCTGGAAATATTGAGGATCACCCCGACACCTTATCCAAAATGGTACCTTCACAGCCAAGGCCGTGTACATGTCGAACCGGACTTTGAGGCCTTTCGCAGGTTGGCCGTGCTCCCTCGACTTCGGAGGCTGGAAATGCCGAAGTCCCTCACGACCTGCAACCGAGACGGAGACGAAACCTGGTTCGAGGAGCTCTCACGCAGGATCGAGAAACGCGCAGACCAAGACCAGCGAAGCTCTTCGGGCATTTTCCTGGTGGATGATTTGGAGGCTACGGAAATATGATAGGCATGATTAGTTCGCAACCTTGGGTAAGCGCGAGCCGAGTGTTGTATCTCGGCCTGTACTGGCAGGCTATCTTTGGTGTTTATTTCGCAACGGTGTTGAATTCTGTTCTGGACACTGGACTGAGAAGCTAGTCTACCTGTCCAGGTAGAGAAACACTCAGCACCTGGCAAATCTTCCGTTCACCCAGTAGTAATGGCCGACCAGCGCCTCCAATCTTGCTCAAAGCTGCATTATCATTCCCCTGCTCCCACATTACAACCATGGTGAGTACACGTCCATCACGAGCAGTCTCAAAGCCAACGCCTGCACCAACATTGCCATAGCCTTGTATCTCATTCCAATCCAGCAAAAAGGGGGAAAAAGACTCTTTTCGCTCCGACCGTGCCCTTTGTTCCGCCATCCAGTGCCCAGCGCTGTGTTCTCATTCATACAAAATCCTCGCATGTCAACATTTCTCCAATGTGCCATACCGTACCGTAAGCAGATCGACGATGGGAATAGGAAGAGAGGGAGATCAAACATGACGGCGTGGTGCGTATAGCCGCTGATGCCATGTTTATGATTCTCTCCGGGACTTCCGCTTGCCTTCTCAGAAGATCGTTCCAAATGTGCCCTCAGTCTCGATTCTCTTCCTCGGGCTTCCTTCGGTATCTGGCTTGCGATGTCTGCAAAATCACAACATAGGTTAGCATAACGCCGCCACCACAACAGCTGAATCGCAAGAGGATACTGAGAACGGGAGGAGGAGAAGACCACATACCTAAACGTGAATCCCACAAAAAGACCCTTGCCCATCTTTTCGTCCCGCTCTGCCATCTCCTCCAGTGCTCTCTGTTTATCATGCACCTCCTTGTACTTCGCCATATCCGCCTCATTGGAGAAATCATCAAAGTAACCAGCATCTGTCTCTGAATCCAACTCCGGCACAAACGGGGCCTTCTGCTCTCTTAGCTTCGAGAAGTCAACTTCGGCGAAGTACTCGTGCTTGTGGATTTCAGAGATAGATTTGAACCGATGATCTTTAGCGGCGACGAGGCGAGTGATCAAATCCCAGGTACGCTTGGAGAGGAAGTAGGTGGGGTCGTCATAGATGGGTTTACGGAGCACACGCTGCCAGCGTTTCAGGTTTTGCCAGGTTTCGTCGACGGTGGCGCCTGCGAACGGTGGGTACCCTGCCAAGGCTTCAAAGAGCATGCAGCCCAAAGACCAGTAGTCGACAGTGAAATCATATGTTTCACCCTTGAGAACTTCTGGGGCCATGTAGTCAGGGGACCCAACGATAGACTTGGCGTAGTTGATGTCCTTCTTGCGTAGGGAACGATAACCCTCGCGGCGTTGGTCGGCAGAGCGATCTTCCACGGCGGGCATGCCGAAGGGAACTGGCGCATTTCCTACTTCCTCGAGCTTGATGCGCATGCTTTCGATCTTGATGGGGCTAAGCATGCCCGCGGCGAGTCCAAAGTCGGTAAGTTTGACGTGTCCTGTGGCATCAATCAAGAAATTCTCTGGTTTCAAGTCGCGGTGAATGTAGCCCAATGTATGCAAGGCGTCCACACAGGAGAACATTTCGGCAATGTAAAATCTTGCGTGACGGTTGTGAAGAACGCCGGTGTTATTGAGCAGGGTTCGAAAGTCGCCTCCAGGCACGTACTCCATAGCCAAGTAGATCTGTTCTTCATCTTGAAAAGAGTAGAGCAACTTGACAAGCCATTCGGATTTGGCGGCGGTGAGGATGTCTCTCTCAGTCAAGATGTGCCGTACTTCATCCAGTTTGAAGAGGAGTTTCTTTCTCATGACCTTGAGTGCGCAGACCTCTCGAGTGTCTTTCTTTTGGGCGAGATAGACCTGACCGTATCCGCCTTGACCAACTTGGGTAAGGATTTGAAAGTCACCATGACGAAGGCGAGTACGGCGTTTGCGCAGATTGGCCCGCTCGCGCCCAAGGTATTTGTGGAGCGCGTTGTCGTACTCTTCTCTTGGGGTCTCGGGTGGATTAGGGAACGAGGCTTTGAAAGCAGCCTCTCTGGATTGACGATTGTGGACGTATGAGAGGAGGTCGAAATAGTAGTCAAGGAAGTCTATGAGACATTAGTGCCTGATCTGTACTGCAGAGCGTTGGGAGACATACACAATTGAGTCACGTTTGCCAGTCGTTTAACTTTCGGAAGTTGCAACTTTTGCAACTCCTCAGCGGTGAGACCTTTGGTCGTGGTCATGGTCTTCTTGGAGTCTGCAGTCCGATATTGTTCTTGCCGCGAGATGGCAGCATGATTCTGCTGAACACCTTTGCCGTATCCCAGGTTACCAGCAGGTGCGTTTTCTTTGTTGGACTGACGTGTGGGACTCTCTGAGCGGCCATGATACTGGGTAGGAGGATCTGCGAAGGGATCTTCACTCATATTCTCGTCACCAGGAGAGAAGCCTTGTTTGGCAGGGGACTTTGGCTGAGTCTTGGTGGGCGAGGTGGGAGCCAGTTTCATGGCACTGTCAAATACATTGGGCAGATCGTTGGCTCCGGGAGGGAGTTGTCTCTTGCTTGGACTGCCTTGAGGGGTTTGCACGGGACTCGTGAAGCCATGCACAACGCCGCCACCTGGGGTCGTGGGGGTGTGAGGACGGTCGTACATCTCGTTGCCAGAACGAGTGTGCAACAGAGGAGGAGGCATAGGCATGACCATGTTGAGATCTTGCTGTGATTTAGGGGAGAGAGGTGTGCTGCCGACAGCCATTTTTGGTCGGATGAATGTGTGTTTTGCGGATGACGGCGACGGAAGGTGAACCGGGCGGTGAAGACTGCGGCTTTTCTTCTCACAATCAAATCAAGAGCACAACAGTCAGGCGATCAGTCCCTTCAGCTGAACTTTCAAGCTATTAAATGCTTTAGAGGTGAGACGGCAAGGACGATGGCTGGATCAATTGCGCACCGCAGGCAAACGAGACCGAGTCCGCGCTGCGACGTGGGTTGGTTAATACAAGGGATCATTCAAGACGGATTTGGAGAGAATCAACAACAGCGACTTGTTTCGATGGGCAACGAAGGCCTGTGCCGCAGTCACGTGGGTCCTGATTGGGATGCACCGACTCGCTGCTTTAAGCATACATGCTCGTGTCCTAGGTTTGCTGCTATTCAAATGTTTTGCACAGTTCTATAGATATTTGAACCTTGACTGTTGTGTGTAATTGAGAGGCAGCAGTGCCGATTTGCACCGTCTTCCATAATCCTTGCGGCATACGAATATGCTGGAGTCGATGCCGCAGTCACACCCATCCCTGCCACAATGGCACGCCATCAAACATGACCAAGCTCTTCTCCCGGTCAGTAAACGTCGTGAAACCATATTTCCACGAGAGATTAACAATATCTCGACTGAGTACTACTCCTGATTCTCATAATCCCAAAGAGTCTGAAGAATCGCCAAGCCTTCCTCTACATCGTCGTCGTTCCATGGCTTGAGTTGGTACGACTGCATGAAGTGCCAAAAGGATTTATAGCTAAGTTGTTTGGCAATTTTGTCCCGATATTTGTAGATATCGGTTTCTTCTGGCTGCTAAGGGGTTGTGAAGCCGTGGGTTGGGTGGTGTTAGGCATCTTAGTTTGTTAGGTGGAAGAGAAGGCGGCTGATGGGTAAGAATAGTCTGCGGGTTTGAACGTTGTATTGTAGGGTCGGCAAATTGGAGAGGTGAGATGTTTGGTGAGATACATCAAGGCAGGTGGGAAGGAGAACCCTATTATACCTAGGTAGCAAACAGCGGTCAGGCTTTTGATATGAAACTATATAGAGACACGCTTGACAAGCGCGGGCCGGAAATGTGCCGAGACAATTCTCTATGAAGAATACTCGGTTCTTGGGTACTGTTTGTACACAATATACTTTCGCAATTGCGAAGTCCTGAATCCATGTGCAACGACTGACACCAGAGGGTAGGATCGATTGAACCTTCAGACGCCAATGACTGGACCATCACGCCGCCGTTCCACTGCATAGGTGAGCGTCTGTTTCAACATTCAGTATACCGGACCAAGCAATCTCTGATTCTCAGATTGATGGACAGCAATATTCCATGACATCCACGCCTTTTGTTAATGTCCATATCTCACAGCGAATAAGGCCAGCAATCTACCACTCCATCTTCTCCTTGACATAAAGATCCACGTATGTGTCAACGTCCATCGAGTCTAGCTTCGAGGCATCGGTGCCCAGTTCCAAAAGCTCCTTGATCTTGGCTTCCGGGAAGTGGTGGCTCAAATGTCTCTTGTATTTGGCCAAAATCTCGGGCTTGGCCTCATCTCTTCGCAGACGGTGACCAAGCGGTGCCTCCACCACAACTTCATCCAACACAGTTCCGTCGTTGAGTGTCACGGTCAAAGCATTCGAAATCGTCCTCAAGGCAGGGTCGTGGTAGTCCTTGGTGAACTGAGGATCCTCGACACATTTAATCCTCTTCCGGAGGTCCTCTACCAGAGGAGACGTCGCGGCCTCGCTACCGTCAACGTAGTCGGTGGCCTCCAGACGGTTGAAGCACAACATAGTTGCAACCATATATTGAACGCAGTGGTCGCGATCGGCAAAATTGTCCATGGGCTTAAATTGCTTGTCAATGATTCGGATGCACGCTTCGTGGGTTCGGTTGGTGATCTCTTTGATGTCCTTCGCCGACTTGCCCATATCCGCAAGGATCTTGTAGATCTTTTGTGCAGCTTCAACAGCAGTCTGCGAGTGGAACTCGGCCGGATACGACACCTTGAACAAAACATTCTCCATGACGTAAGAGCCGTAAGGACGCTGGAACTCAAACTTCTTGCCCTTAAAGAGGACATCGTAGAAACCCCAGACAGGGGCCGAAAGCACTGTGGGAATGCCGGCTTGGCCTTGCAGGACCTTGAATGCGAGGTTTACCGCTCTTTGACAGGCATCTCCAGCAGCCCACGACTTGCGGGACATGGTGTTGGGTGAGTGTCGGTAGGTTCGCAAGCTCTGCCCGTCGACAAATGCCTGAGAGACAACAGCCGCAGTCTGCGCTTCGTCAAGACCCAGCATCTTACTGACCACTGCAGCCGACGCCACCTTCACGAGGACGACATGGTCCAAACCAACTCGGTTGAAAGAGTTCTCTAGAGCCAAACATCCTTGAATTTCATGGGCCTTGATCATGCCTTCCAAAACATCCCTGATGGTTGGGATCTTGCCGTTGCCCACCTTACCACCAGCTCTGTTTGTTCGGGCCATCCAGTCAGCGACCGCTAGAATAGCACCAAGGTTGTCTGAAGGATGACCCCATTCCGCAGCCAGCCAGCAGTCATTGTAATCCAGCCACCTGATCATAGCGCCAATATTGAAGGCACCGTTCACGGGGTCCAGTTCAAAAGGCGTTCCGGGGACTCGAGTTCCATTAGGAATGCTGGAACCTGGGACTATAGGGCCTAGGATAGCAGAGCACTGAGGAAAGCGCAGGGCTTCCAGACCACAACCGATAGTGTCCAGGAGGATGTAGCGAGAAGTATCGAGGGCAAGTTCCGAGTCAATCTTGTAATTGTGCACGTAGGAGGCGATGTCGGTGATTTCGGGATCGTAAGCCTGAGTAGGGGCTTTGGAGGGCTGCGAGGAAGCCATCTTCGCGGAAGTTGAGAAGGAGGAGACAAGGGTAGACCTAGAACGAGGGAGTCTCAAGCTGGGCGCTGAGCGAATTGCTGGGGAGGGTGCTTGTGCTCGGACAGCTAAAGCACCCGCAGCCAACCTTCGCACTGGAGCTCTTTGGAAGGCGGAGGACACCAGCATGGCTCGGTAGAGGTCGATCGAGCACAGTCAGGTCAAGGCGGAGGGAATCGCGAGGTCGGTCAAAGGGCTCAGTGCGACAATGGTCGAGTGAGCGGGGTGTGAGTGGTAGAGTCGGTGTTGAGATGACAAGCCAGCGAACACTCAATGCTCTCCACGGGCAGGTGACAGGGTGACAGCAACAGACTCCTGTGTTCCCCGGGCCACAACAATGCTGTTCCCAGTGAGGCTGTGGTTGATTTGCTCACCGACTTGAGGGGGAGCCAAAGAAAATGAACAGAGTGGAAAAGGGCAGGGACGATGGGACGTTTGGGGGGGGGAGCGCAGGAATAAAATAAAATCAGAGCTCGAGCAACTCTCAACCACTTTTTCTTGGACAAACCTCACTCACTCACTCACTAGTACGGCAGCTGTCTACTTCAGCCATCTATTTTACATCATCCTCTCCTCACTCTCCATCTCACACAGACTTGCTACCGACCTATTGCGCTTGCCATTCCTAGCATCGCCTCTGTGCCGCGTCCCCGATCGAGCTCCGACTGCCTCGGCCATTGCCGGCCCATCGCAAGCGGTGCGTGTCGAGGTCGCCCACCAGTCGCCCCGCTGGAATACCCAATGCCCCCTGATTGTTGCTAGCTGTTGGTTCCGCCTCTATCCTGTCCCCGATTGATTGGCCCATTGCCTCTTTCTAACCCTTCTGGCAGTCTGAAAGAATGCGAAAAATGTCCTCTAGACAAGCCCACTATCAGCCTCTTGAAAATGCCACTGAAGTAGAACTCGATGGAGGCGATCGGTCCGACGACGACCCCAAAGAACCCCAGACCTACACTCTCCGCTCTGGTCCACCTGCGGGCGACGCCGCTTCGGCAAGCGAGGTCGCTCTGCTAGGCTTCTCCGCCCATGACAGGTCCCCCAGAAGACGAAAATACTCCGATTCCGTTGCCAGCCGCTTCTGCGCCGGCCGCAGACTCACCAAGCAATACATCACCCTCTCAGTCCTCCTCTTAGCAGTCATTGTCTCCGTCATTAGTGGCGGGGGCTATTGGTTCTATACTCAGGGTCAAATCAATGGGCAGTCTCCGCCATGGTATCCGACACCGCAAGGCGGGACATTGCCATCATGGCAAGACAGCTACGACAAGGCTCGAAAATTGGTTGACCGCATGAGCCTCGTGGAGAAGGTCAACATCACCACGGGCACAGGATGGGCAATGGGCTTCTGCGTGGGCAATACTGCCCCAGCACTGAGCGTTGGTTTTCCGAGTCTTTGTCTTCAGGACGGGCCTTTGGGGATACGATTCGCAGATCATGCTACTTCGTTCCCTGCTGGTATCACGGTGGGCGCCACCTGGAACCGAGATCTGATGCGTCGCCGCGGTGCTGCTCATGCACGTCAGGCTAGGCTCAAGGGCGTCAACGTCATTCTTGGGCCAGCAATGGGACCGCTGGGTCGAAACCCGGCTGGTGGTAGAGATTGGGAAGGCTTTGGCAGCGACCCAGTCCTGCAAGGCGTAGCAGCATACGAGACCATTCAAGGCATCCAATCGCAGGGTGTCATGGCAACTGCAAAACACTATATCGGCAACGAGCAAGAGCATTTCCGTCGAGGCCTGGAATGGGGTCTCCCAGAGGCCCTTTCTTCCAACATGGATGATCGCACTCTGCACGAAGTCTACGCTTGGCCATTTGCTGAGAGCGTAAGAGCCGGAGTGGCCAGTATTATGTGTTCTTACCAGATGGTCAACAATTCTTATGCTTGTGCGAACAGCAAGTTAATGAATGGCATTTTGAAGGATGAACTCGGTTTCCAAGGCTTTGTCCAGTCAGACTGGTTGGCGCAACGCAGTGGTGTCGCCAGCGCTCTTGCAGGCCTCGATATGTCCATGCCAGGTGATGGACTGTATTGGCAGGATGGAAGATCCCTTTTTGGTAAGCAGCTCACCGTCGCAGTGCTCAATGGCTCGCTTCCCATGACTAGGCTCAACGATATGGTCACACGGATAGTTGCTGCATGGTATCAGCTGGGACAAGACTCCTGGTCCTCTGAGGGGCCCAATTTTTCCTCATGGACCACCGACGAATATGGCTATCCACACCCTGGTAGCAGCAGCAAACAAGACAAAATCCTCGTCAACAAGTATGTCGAGACTGAGAACGACCAAAGCCGACAGTTGGCTCGAGAAGTGGCCAGCGAGGGCATCGTCCTGCTGAAGAACGAAGATTCAATCTTGCCGTTGAGCTCTGCACTTTCCGAGTTGGGGCCTGGCACTCCCAAGCGAGTCGCCGTTCTTGGGGAGGACGCCGGCCCTGGGAAAGGTCCCAATTACTGCGAAGATCGAGCTTGCAACCAAGGTACGCTCGCTGTGGGCTGGGGTTCAGGTGCGACCGATTTTACTTATCTTGTCGACCCGCTTTCGGCCCTGAAGTCGAGCTTTGACAAGTCTGTGGTCGAAATAACTAGCTCTCTTACCAACAAGGTGTCTTCTAGCTTGAGTAAGGCCCTCCGTGAACAACACCTGTGCCTGGTCTTTGGTAATGCAGACGCCGGCGAAGGTCATCGCATCTGGCATAGTCAGCGTGCAGACAGAAATGACCTGGAGATTCAAAAGGGCGCTGGTCAATTGATCCGCACAGTGGCCGACGCATGTGGCGGTCCTGTTGTGGTCATTATCCATTCTGTTGGTCCTGTCATCCTCGAAGATTTCGCCGGTTTGGAGTCCGTCAAGGCCATTATCTTTGCGAACTTGCCTGGTCAGGAAAGCGGAAATGCCCTGGCTGACGTCCTGTTCGGCCGGACCGATGCTTCCGGACGGCTACCATACACGGTCGGCAGGTCTCTTGTAGACTATGGCCCAGGTGCTCCAGTGCTTTATTATCCCAACGCCATTATCCCTCAGGTGGATTTCAAGGAAGGTCTGTTCATCGATTATCGTCATTTTGACAAGGCCGACATTGAGCCACGATATCCATTCGGTCACGGGCTGTCGTTCACCACATTCAATTTCTCCGACCTGGTTATCACGAGCCTGAAATCAAAATCGCGTCTTCCTTCTTCCCGGCCTTTGACGCTCACCCCGCCAAGGTTTGATGAGACCATACCCCCCGTCGAAAGTGCGCTCATCCCAAGTACATTCACAAAACTTCGGAAGTTTGTTTATCCGTACGTATCTAAAGCGGACAAAATAAAGAAGGGAAGGTATCCCTATCCTGATGGATACGAAATTGTTCAAGAGCCCAGTGCTGCTGGAGGCGGTGAAGGTGGCAATCCCGCGCTGTTTGAAGAGTATGTCAGGGTTCAAGTGCGCGTTACAAACACAGGACATCGCAAAGGAAAGTCTGTCGTTCAACTGTATGTGTCGTTCCCCGGAGCGATAATGGAACCATCCACCAATGAGATCATCGAGACACCGGTAAGAGTGTTGCGCAACTTCACGAAGATCGAGCTCGAGGCAGGTTCAGAACAAGTTGTCAACCTCACACTGACACGAAAGGATCTCAGTTACTGGTCTACGGTCCAACAGAATTGGGTGATGCCTGACGGTCCGTTCACCTTAGCCATGGGTCGCAGTTCCCGAGATCTGCCTCTGCAGGGGACATACTGATCACCTGGAGACGAGGCATATCGAGTCAGATGTTGCGGAGTCAGTATGGATGAACACGATAACGTGAGGGTTTTGATGATCCTATGCATCATCTCCTCTATCAGAACTGGGAGAGCGAAAGCGATCTTGGGACTGGATCATCTGATATGCGAGTCGACAGAGCCAACGCGACAGACCACTGCTCCATTACAACCTCTTGAACCTCGGACCAAATGTCGCTTCCATGTGGCCATAGTTCGACCGAGGACTTCTGCCACCACCATGTCCCCGCATTCCCCCACATGGGCCTTGACAAACCAGAGCCTTTACTGCCTTCAAGCCAAGGACCCTAGTGCTCTCTTGGGCTTTTCAGAGGTTCACTTTGATGGGTTTGCCTCCTCATTTGGTAGTGACGATTGGGCCCTCGAGTATGTTTCGAGCGACGTGGGCCTGATGTCCACATTGTTACGCAGCTACGCTAAGTCCATGACCGCGGTCCGATGGCATAAAAGGGGAGGCGGACGTAAGGCACTTTGAAGCATCTTACATAGACTTCCGCAGAACTCATACCACCCGCCGCTCTTTCACCATCGTGGGTTGGAGTCGTCTTTGATTATAAGTTGCCAACACGCCCGCACCTTGCGTGAGAAGCCGCTTTGAAACAACAGCTATTCGGCCGTTTGCTGAACCAAGAGCGATTTATATATAACATTGTCTCCGGCCCAACACCTGCCCTCCCTTTCGTCACTGCTTCCCTTTGCTGAACGACCTTGGAAGGCTGTTGTTCAAATGGCTCCTGATATCAATACCATGGCCCACTGGGCCACCGAAGGTTATGCCAATAATGGAGTGCCTCGAGAGGAGTACGAAATCCCTGGTAAGTTGACCTTTCTCCTCTTTCGTGCATCAATCCACATCGTCCTTGACTTGCCGCAAACGGGAAGATGAGAAATTGTCGTCCTTGCTCGGACGATGCATCAGGAGGGTACCTCCCAGACCGACAGCACTCTCCAGGGGTACTAGTCTTCTTGTCTGCACGGATCAGTTAAATCTGGATCGTTTTTCACCCCCTTCTACGAAGGCCCAGCCATGGACAAGAAGCGGCCGTCCATCCTTTTTTGGTTATTTTGGAAGGAGCAACCCGCCCTTGGGTCAAATCCACCTTTTTCAACATTGCCACCGATCTCAAATTTGTCTGAATCACCATCCATCGGAGATACGACTTGGATCTCAAGACGACTACCTGCCTGGAGCTTTACCGCTTGTTTGCTTACATTTGAGACGCATTCCTGAGGATCAACAATGCACCGGAGCATTCTGCCAGCCAATGCCTCCTTCTGCATCGCTGACACTTCCCGCCTGAAAGTTAGGCCATCCGCAATACTCCTTCGTGCCCTTATGCCAGCCAAACATCCCAGACACTTTACGACTTCGAAGAACATTCTGCTAACTAAGGTATTGCAGATATCGTATTGCATGGGCCCTATACTAGGAAGATCCGTGTCTTGTCGATCGGTGCTGGTGTCACCGGAATTATGAATGCTTATCACATACAAAAATTTCTGCAGAACGTAGAACATGTGATTTATGAGAAGAACCCTGATATCGGAGGCACTTGGCTGGAAAACCGGTACCCAGGTATGTTTAATATGTGCCGTGAATGGTCGCGTGTCCCTCATGGCTGCTATTGCTAGGCCGAGTGGTGTTTCTCCGAGTGGAAGACATCGTATCGGTTCGGGCCATACCACTGTCGCATCAGGCTTGCATTGCTTGTTTCAATTACTGATCTGGCAAAAACAGGCTGCGCATGTGATATTCCGAGTCATGCATACACCTATCCTTTTGCTCTCAATGTGAGTTGTGAAACCCCCTAGACCTAGTTGACCTTTACGACTGAGTCTTACCTTTAAATTCACAGCCCGACTGGCCTCGTTTCTTTTCCTACTCCCTCGATATCTGGAAATATCTTGATAAGGTCTGCGAGGTATGGGGTCTAAGAAAATACATGACCTTCAACACCGAGGTCATCGGATGCTATTGGCAACAGGAGACGGGCGAATGGCTTGTGAAACTCAAGCAGACGAATCCTGACGGAAGCACACGTCTCTTCGAAGATAGGTGCCACATGCTTCTTCATGGCACTGGCATTCTGAACAACTTCAAATGGCCCAACATTGAGGGCATGGAGAAGTTCAAGGGGAAGATCATGCATACGGCTCGATGGCCCAAGGATTACCAGGCCGAAGAATGGAAGAAGGATCGTGTCGCTGTCATCGGGTCCGGAGTAAGATTCCACTGTCTCCTGTTTCAGTGGGACATTCTGACCTCAATCATTCGAACAGGCCTCCAGTATTCAGACGGTACCAACGATGCAGCCTCATGCCAAACATCTCGATGTTTTCGTCCGCACAGGTACGTTTTACACGATGCTATAGTGAATACGCTCTCCTGCCACCCTGTGACTTCGTTGTCGATCCTGTATTTGGAAATGAAGCTCTAACTCTTCATGTTTAGGTGTCTGGTTCGTGCAGATTGCGAATAACTTTGGTGCAAATCATGAATATACGGACGAGCAGAAACAAGAGTTCCGTGATCCATACAAAATCACTGAGCATGCTAAATCCATTGAGGACCAAGTTAATGGACTGTGGGGTTCCTTCTACAAGAACTCGAAAGCCCAAGAAGAGGGACAGGCCGCTTTGAAGGCCCGTATGGCTGAGATGATTAAGGATGAGAGATTACTTAAAGGCTTCACCCCGACTTTCGGCATTGGCTGTCGCAGAATTACTCCTGGTGATCCCTATATGGAGTAAGTTTCAAGCCTACCATTTTGACATTCTCTCAATCTTACAACCTCTCCAGGGCCATTCAAAAACCCAATGTCGACGTCCACTTCACGCCCGTCGAAAAGATTGTAAGTCCCCGGGAGAGCCCTGCGTGGCGTTATTGCTGCAATCCTCACTCAACCCGTCATTCTTGATGCGACGATCAGGTGCTAACCGTAAAAAGGACGAAACAGGAGTTATCGGTGGTGACGGCATCCATCGCGAAGTCGACACAATCGTTTGTGCCACCGGTTTTGACGTGTCATACCGTCCTCGCTTTCCAATCGTCGGCCAGAATGGAGTCGAGCTGGCCGACAAATGGAAGCTCTGCCCCGAGGGCTACCTTGGCCTCGCGATTCCCGAATTTCCCAACTTTTTGACTTTCATTGGACCTAACTGGCCCGTGGAGAATGGCAGCGTCATGGGCCCGCTGATGTACGTCTCGTACTACGCCCTGCAGATGATCAAGAAGCTCCAGTCCGAGTACATTTGCAGCATCGCACCGAAGCAGGATGTCACGGACGCGTTCAATGAACATTGCCAAGAATGGGTCAAACATACTGTTTGGGTCGAAGAATGCCGATCATGGTTCGTAGACCTCTTTGTTGCTCTCCACTGCATGCAGACTGAGCTGAGACGGATGCTGACTGCCTTGCCATTAGGTACAAGAATAACGAGACAGGTCGCGTGAATGCTGTTTGGCCTGGCTCCTCTTTGCATTACATAGAAACCATCAAAACACCCCGCTATGAGGACTTCGAAATCGAATACCTTGGACCAGCCAAGAAGAACATGTGGGCGTTCTTGGGTATGGGCACTGTTCAGGCCTTGGTCAACAAAGAGGATGTTTCGCCATATTTAAATGCTGAGGCCATTGATCCGGATTGGATGAAGGCTGTGGGCATAGATGCGAGCAAACTGCACGAGACGAGGATGAAGGATCTGCAAGCCAAGCATGAAGAGCAACTGGAGAAGAGCAAACAGAACGTGCAGAAGGTGGTTGTTTCGTAAGAGAAATCGGCGGAGACCGAGAACCGCAAGATAAAGAGTGAAGCAGCCTTGTCACGTGAGCACGTAGCTCCATTACAAGATTGGTTCTAGGAATCCCTCGATACAATTTATAGCTGAAGAAGTATCCCACGATAATAATCTTTGGGTTTATTTTCCTGGAAAGGATCGATAATGCGTACCTTTACACTTGTGTGACCTCCCAAGACCTCCGTGAGGTGACCCCACTGTATGTGTCACGTGCCAGGGCGTCGGCGTCTCAGATCCAGAGAATCTGCGGAGACAAGGGTAAACAATAAATTATTAGCTCTTGCTTCTCCCCATGGGCGGATGCCAACCGCTGTCACCAGTTTTTGTTGTCAACGTCCATAAGAGCGGTTTGTATACTGCTAATTCTGCTTCATTTTCATATTTGCACGTTCTCCCATGTTTATCGCTACCTGAGCACGACCAAGCAGCGCATTTGCTCAATAGTACCAAACATCTGGGCGGTAACTGAACAATGGAGATCCATTCGGTACTGCCTGAAGAGCGAGCAAGAGATCCAAAAGGCGAGACACTGCCCTGGGGATATCGTTACGCAGAGTGAGTAGTAATGGCGGACCCGTATCCCCCCGTCTACTGGGTCTTCCTGCCGAAGAAAATCATTTTAACGTGCTTCGAACAGCTCCGCTAGAAATGCCAGACAACTGCCCGAAGAGAGCGGACCTTTCGGTCGCAATCGAAGCATAAGATCCACAGCGTCGCGGACGCCGCGTGCAAGAACAGGCACGACACCTGTTCGGCAAAGGGAAAATACTGCGGTCGCTGAATTTGGGAGGTTATTTGCGAAGGAACAGGCGAAAGAGGAAGAGAAGAAGACTGCGCTGCCATCTCCTCCTCCGGCTTCAGGCGAAGCAGCGGCGACAGAACGACCTATCCAACCAGAAGCCGTACCCACGGAATGTTTACTTTACGGTTACGCCGGCAAGCAATCGGAATGGAAGGTCTTGTCCAAATTTGAAAAGATCGTTTCCCCCGGTATTATTTGCGAAGATTACCCACGAGAAGATCCCAATCTCTACCTATCCTCTAACTCGCCGCTTGGCCTCTCGAGGGGTTCTGTGGTGGTCCATCAGAATCTGAGTCGCGAGGCAATTAGAAAGAGCAGGATATATTGTGGTGGAAATCACTGGATCAAGGTCACATTCGACTCCTATCAGGCTGCAGAGAGAGCATGTTTCTATAGTCCCATCGACATCGATGGATACATGGTTCATTGCGAGATGTGGCACGGAAAAGGGCCTGCAGCAGATGTTCCCTTACTCAAAGGTCCTGCCTTCGGACCAGACAAGTCAGACCTTCAACCGCCACAGCCGCAGCGACAGCCGGATGACGGTCGAAGAGCGCGGACGTTAGTCTCATCACAATCTTCCCGTATGCTATCAGGCAAACAGTCGGCTATTGCAGGCTTCGAGCGGGCACTACAGACTCTGCCTCGATCTCATACAATGCCTGACATGCAATACGGTCAGCCTTTGAGCCGTGAAGATGAACTACTTTCTATCGAGTCCGCAACCGCTTCGTCAGCAACGGCCACCGCCACAGACTTGGCCCCTCTTCAGCCGTTATCGTCTAATGGTCTTCGCTCCCGCTCCGTCCCTCAACTACCAAGCGAGACAGGCCACCCCTTGGAATCAGATTACATGACGCACATTAAGAACGTGAAGAAAGTTGTTCTACGACCGATGTCGGAAGCTCTTCCTCCGCAACCGACGTTTGTGGAGAGAGTTCTTAGGAGTATTCCTATTGTGTCGTATTTCATGGGTAGCACGAAGCAAGGAGCGACGGGAAGACGCGATGTCATAGGAGAGGGTCCACTGCTCAAGGATGATGGAAGCTGGGATCCAGCTAATGGCTGGTACTGGAGCTTCTGGCACGGCGTGGATAGATGGTTTGGGACGGATTTCTGTGGGTTGAAGGACGATTGAGGACAGGATTGTACGCCGATAATCAGTTTCAATGCAGACACGACTTGGGGACAACTTGTACAAAACATCAGGGAGAAGGGAGAAAGGAACACGGGGGCTCCAAGATCGCCTCTGTTAACAGCCGGCTTCTATTGGGCACGGTTTTTTTGCTGGGTCGGTTCTTGCTGCATTCGTGATGTTTGCACCATGTAACAATGTTCCTTCCCACTCAGATCTCTCCCATGTTCTTTTTGGGTGGCGGAAGCGAAGTTTAAGCAAGGGGCAAAAGAAGAGATTGAACTGGTCAACCTCCGTCTCATATGCATTTCCGCGAGGAGATGATCCTTCCTTTCCACCCCACTCTCCTGGTTGTGCAAAGGCGCGATTGATGATGCATATTCACTTTTTTTTTTCCTTTCCCCCATCCCCTAATGGCCATTTTACACGGGGTCACACCACCTCACTCGCATACACAACTTGAACTGGATTTCCTCCACTACTCGACTTTGCCCTCGAAGTTCTCGCCTTCGACCAGATCGGGGATCTCGTCGTCGTCATCGTCGTCATCGTCGTCCTCGCCTTCCTTTTTCCCTTCGCCCTTTTCGCCGCCTTCTTTCTTCTGTAAACTCTGGTATGACTCGGCCAGGCGACGTAAGGAGGCGAGACTGTCGGGGCCGAGTTGGTTGAGGATTCCCGGGACGAGTTCGGTGAGTTCCTTGTCTTCGCCGTTGCCGTAGATGGCGAATGTGTTGGAGGGGACCGAGGCGTGGACTGTGGCACAAAAGGGAAATGACGGGTCAGCTTATGAGTTCACCTTGGACATAAACCTCAATGCGCTCCTCTTGCTTGTCTTTTATGTCCGTCACTCGGCTCCCTCTCCCACTGTAAGGCATCTTTTGCCTGAAAGAAACGTACCCTTGGGCGCGGCAAAATGTATCACATTGCCGTCTTCCTTAAACATGTTGACCTCCTCGATCGCCTGGATAGGCTGCACATTCATCTTTTTAAGCGTCGTCTGGAGTTTCTTGTCATCGGTCCCGGAAGTCTTGTGCACTTTCTTGGTTTTACGGCGTGGTGTGCCTTTGCCTCTGTGTTAAGGAATCAGGGAGTTAGATGCCAGGATTTGGGTGTTTGGATACAATCTTTTGGGAGTCTGGCTTTGGAGACTATGAGAGGGGAAATTCAAGGCACATACCCTGTTTCATTATCAGTGAGTGACACACAAAGGATGATTTCGTTGTAGATATTGGGACAAACTTACCGATTCGCACCTGCGCCTGCATGCGCTTGAGCTTCTCCTGATCCATGGTTGCAGGTGAATGAATGCCGCTGAGCTTCCCTCAGCTCAGATCGGTCAGGGCTAGAGAGCGCAAGCACAACAAATTCAATTGCCCGGCTGAGAGATCTTTTCGCCGAACGCTTAAAATTTACGACCCAGGAACGTGACCACGGCGACAAAGGGAGGGTGGAAGTGGAAAAGGCTCAGGAAATCTCAAGACAGGGCTTGGATTTCCGTCCTAGCTGTACAAGGATGGATGGAGATGGGAGACAGAGAAGAGAATTGAGCTTTGATTTGCGGGATGATTGAAGGTCGTTCTACCATCTGGGGATTTGTGCCCTTTGTGACAGTCTTGGCGATTTTGCAGCCGCTTGGGACCCAGGGACCTCGGGGCTATAAAGGATCACGTGTACCGCAGACAAAATACCGGGCATTTGCATATCAGGGGATGTTTTTCAGCGGCCTCCGGCACAACCTCGGCTGCGGAGCCTGATTCCAATGCTGTGAATGTCCGCCCGCAGACTTGTTTGCTACCAGCGAGCTACCTGTCTCCCTTCTCTCTACTTCTCTTTTGTCCCTTTTCTTCACTCTCTGTAGATACTGACTAGTCTGCGCAAAGATGGCGGGGAAACAAGCGTTGATCGTTCCTTCTCTCAAAAAACATACCGCGACGGTGATCATGGCGCATGGACTGGGGGACAGGTCAGTGTGCAGCCTAGGTTTGTGCAGCGAAGTCATTGATTTTTTGGCTAATTCTGGGGGAAATATAGTGGTGCAGGGTGGTGAGTGCATCATGATCCTCAACCGGTGCCTCGAAGTGATCAGAATACTCATTGCAGCCAGGGTCTCACTGGCAGAAACATGGCGAAGGCGGGGAAAGTTTGAGGACGTCAAGTTCGTCTTTCCCAATGCACCGAGCATTCCCATTACCGTGGTATGTGCCCAAGGCATACCGCGCAAAGGCGATGCGGGATCGATGTTGCTAACAGCTGCAGTAGAACTTGGGCATGCGCATGCCTGGATGGTATGATATCGTAAGGCGCCGCGATGAAGTTTGCACCCCTACCCCTTCGCTTCTCCTGGATTCTGCAACCCCATCTCCGCGCTACGGAAAGCTGATCAGGACATGTTACACAACGACAGACCGACTTCTCCGAACTCAGGCAAGCCCACGATGAAGCGGGCATCCTGCGCTCCCGTGCAACCTTCACCAAACTCATCACCGAAGAGATGGACGCCGGTCTACCCTCCCACCGCATCATCCTAGGCGGTTTTTCCCAAGGCGGAGCAATGTCGATTTTCACAGGCGCCACAACACCGCACAAACTGGGCGGGGTTTTTGGATTGAGCTGCTACTTGGTACTCGGGGATAAGATCAAGGAATTTGCGAAAGAGGCGAACGGCGCAAACAAAGACACGCCGTTTTTCCTGGGTCATGGCGACGCGGACGAACTTGTCAAGTGCCAGTGGGGACAGCAGTCGGCCGAGTTCTTGAGGAAGGAACTGGGGCATAAAGTCGAGTTCAAGACGTATCCGTAAGTCCTTTCTCCATCCTGCGAGGGCCCGCGTGGGAAATCAATGCACTGACGACGGCGCAGGGGGCTGCCTCATTCAGCGGACATGAAAGAAATTGACGACTTGGAAGAGTTCATCAAGCAGTGTTTACCGCCTAATGAGGCGTTGTGACTAGATCATGTCCCCACAAGCCGAGGGCTTCACCACTGGGCAACCACTGGCATCATTACCTTGCTGCTATTATTGGGGTGCGTGCTTTTCTCGAGGTCATGGAGTCGGCATCACAGAGTCAACAAGCAAAGAGAGCATAGATGAACTGTACTTTTGACAGCAGCATGGGTCTGCGAGGCATTCCTCAATCATGAAAAATATTTAAATTCCCAAGGTCCCAGATTGACGTGCTTTTGATTAAAGTCGGCTTTCCTCCGGGGTTTATTTACGCAGCACCCTCCTTGCGCTGGCCAGTGTAGAAGGCCAAACCATAGGTGTTGGTCTTGAAAGTGATGACACTGCCCTTGGGGAAGTAGAAAACATCGCCAGCAACGGCCTAAAAGTCAAATGTCAGTCTTGATCGCTCAAGTCTCAAGGTTATCCGGGTGGATGCTCACGTGAACAGATTGGCCAGTTTCGTCGCTGATATCAAATTCGCCCTCCAAAATGATCTTCATCTCGTGGTAGGTATAAGTGTAGACGAGGGGAGTGCCTTTCTCGAGTCTGTAGATGCCACAGCTGATGGGCTTCTCTGGATCGTTGCTCTCACTGCTGGCGACGTCTCCGAGGAATGCGTTCTCATTGGCAATTAAGGGAGGCTTGAATTCGGACTGGACTTTGGAAAAGTGCTTGAAAGCTGGTGTGGAACCCATCTTTTCTGGTGCTGCTTGTTTTGAGGTTTTGGATTTAGAGATGAGTTTGCTGAGTGAGACGCCCATGTTAGATTTTTGGAGATTCTTCAAAAGAGCGAGACCGAAGGGCGGGTGACCCGGCTCTTGCCAGAGGACTCTTCAGACTTACCTTTATTGCTGGCTTGAAAGGCCCTTCTGCAGCGGTCGCAAAAGACAGCGGCGATAAGCTATTGGGACGTGATTGCACGAGATCTAGGGAAATGCAAACGAGTTTGGGGAAAGAAAGATGAAGAAGCTGCAGACTGGAGGAGAGTAGTGCAGGAACCAGGATGCAGAGCTCTACAAGATATACCTCTCCAGGCTGCTCAGCTACCCACTACTCACCTTGTCCATTTTGCCGAGTCGAGCGTTGCCCTGGTCTTGAGCTAGGACTTACCATGCAAACAACGCGTTGGAGGGACGATGTCATGGCCACCGAGGACCCGCGTCAGCGTGTATAGTGCCGTGCTAGGCGTCAGACACAATGGATTCGAGCCAGTCGTGGCGTCCCAATGGAAGAGAAAGACCAGAATGATAGAGGAGAGGGGGGAAGAAAATGCCTGAGATGGTAAAGCTGCTGAAGATGATTACAGCGTCGAATGGGAAGCTGACCACGAGCGGACAGAGATAAGGAATGGAATGAGGGGAGCTAATCCTGGGCATGTTTGTGGGGTTTGCACCGACAGTGCTGGCCACCACAAGAGTCCTCATGAGCGCCTTGTACCACAACATGGGAATATATTAGCGGCTTCAGAGCATATAACCAAGTATTGAAGCTAGAGAGCTGCCTGACACTGACACTTAGGTACTACAAACTCCGTAAAACCAATGTGTCTGGGGCACCGAGCAGGCCTGGGCTCGGTTAAACCCGACCAGGCCCCGTGCTACCACGTGACATCTTGGCAAGTTTGCACCTTGTACACAGACAGTTCGCGAGCTAAATTGACAATTCGTGCTTGGCCCTAACTACCCAGTACTCGGTATGTACTGGGTAGTAGTACTAGCTTCTTGAGCCTCCTTGTTGCTTACTTTGCTTCGGCCGCAGAAATCAAGAGGGGCATAAAGATGGACAACCACACATTCCCGGATGGGGCACAAGGAATTTCTGACTAAATGGGAACGAGCCAGTGCAAACCCTCCGTCCATCTTCCAGCGCTCTCTCTGTCAGCTATCTCCGAAGTTCATCTAACTTATCGGTTCTGATTACATGCTATGTACCGAGTAGGTACCTACATAGATATCTACTCCCCTTCGTTCGTCGATCCGATCCCTGTGGTTGGTGGGTTCAGCCTTGTGTGCTTGATCTTGCGCGAAGCTCAATCCAGCAATCATTTCCCTCTTCATCCACTCGAGGCATATCTTTGGGTACAGTGATCCACTACTATTACATAAACTTCCCACACCTTGCCTCTTTCAGGCACTCAAACGATCAGCACTGGACAGATGCTTCGAGACTCTGAAAGTTGCTTTTCACGGGCTCGGCATTGTTGAACAGGCCCAATCAAGACCGATGAAGCCGATCACTGCCGAGTGCGAGGCATGCCCTCGATGGACAGGAAGAAACCCCGCATTGGCCTGCAGTTGAGATATGAATATATCTCTTAGGCACACATCGACCAAAGATCTTTGAGCGTGACGGGCATATCCACCATTACAGCGGGTAGCAAGATATAGCCCAGCCAGGCTCACACTCCCTGGTAAACCCGCCCCTTCAAAAGGAGCAATTGGGTTTTGACTTTTTCTCCAACGTCCTGCTCATCGGGGCAAAAAGCAGGGAGGGACAAAGCTGCATTTAAATGCAAAGAAATCCCTTCCCTCTGCTGCCATGGGAAGACGGAGGACTCCACAATCTGCAACCCGGATCCAGCATTTCTACATTCTGCAAAACTTGCACGGCCGCGCCTCCGACTCCAACCATCCATTCTCCACACGCACAATGCCGCCCATTGGCATCTGCTGAGGAAAACCTCCCCCCAGGCTCTCAAACTCGAACCCAGCGGATCCGTGTGGTCATTCCACTACTGTCTCTCGCACGCAATTTTTCCTGGGCGGACCAGCTCACAAACGGGAAGTCGTTTCGTTCATGATATTGACGAATGATATCGGTCGAGTCCGTAGTCTTTTCCCCGTTTGTATCTTTCCAGCTTGCAGATGGCGGAGTCCTGGAGATCAACGACTCTCATGCCTCATGCGGCACCGCCTGAGCAAAGGCACGACAATGGACACTACTGTCGTATGATGCCATTCTGCGTTTCTGCCTCTTTGCGTGAGCTCCTTGCTCTTGAGTCCTGCTGAGCGAGGCATGGCTTTTCGTGCTCGGGTCGCAGATGGACTCCTGTCACCAGTTTGATTGTTCCACCTCGGGGGTCCCCGTCCTTCTCATACCACCACCGCCGCCACCGACACATATTACTTTTTGCTACACCGGCTTTCAAAGAAAAGCATTGTCGCAATGACAGCCTGACTCCTCCTTCTCATTATTTTACCCTTTCGAACGAAATTTGCGAGCCTACGCTTACGATGACACGATCGGAGAATTTTCTTCTGGCTTTTTGCTCCGTGCCTCACTAGATTCAAGTTATTACTTTTCTGCCTGGCATTTTTCCTCGTGTCGGGCGATTCCTCCCAGAGCAGGCACAACTTCTGATTGCAACTTCCTTTTACCATTTATCACCAGAAAAACAGAAAACCGATATGAACAGCCACAGCAGCTTCGACATATTCGGCTAGGGAGAAGGAGGAAAACAGAAAAGCAAATCTCACTTTCTTTTCTCCTCCCCCGCCAACTTCTATTTCACCCGCCTCCGCTCATCCATGACCCTTTTTATTTTATTCGCCGTCCTTCTCCATAGCATAGAATCTTATTGATTTACTCTACATTTTACCATATTTATACCTCTATATCCTCATCTCACCTCCCGTTCAAGTCTCTTGGTAGCCTCCCCAGCAGGGGGACTTGGCCAACGCCAGAAAAGGAAACAAAAGAGGAAAAGAGGGGACAGGGACAACGAGCACGCGAGAGAGAAACAGAGAGACGGAGTGGGCTAAAAAGCGAGGACCCGCGTGCCCGCATTTTTCTCATCCACCGACCCCCCAAAAGGACCCGGAAGGAAAACCACATAAAAAGGAACGTTTGCCCAGGACCACGTTCACCTTCACGTACTGTACTGTACCGCACTGTACTGCGCTGCATTGCACTCACTCTCCCTTCCCAATGTAAAAGGACGAAGAAGGGGGGCCAACCAAAAAAAAAAAGAGGAAGAAAATTTCTCTTCTCAGATCTCCCAAACAGAGCGCAGCGCAGCGCAAAACAGCTCAGCTCATTGCTCCAAAACCCAACTCTCTCCCCCTCAGTGACGCCATCTCCGCCTCCCTCAACGCCAAGAAACGCGAACGAAAAAAAAGGAGCAAGAGAGAGAGAGCGAGAGAGGGACAGAAAGAAGACCGAAACAAAAACCGGCGTTATCTTTTTTTTTTTTATATATATTAATATCAAAGAGCTCTACTTCTTCGAGAGGGCAGAGAGTGGGCAGAGAGAGAAACCGAAAATATCAGAGCGCCGCCCCGCCCAAAGATAAAACGAAAAAGGGCAACGCAACGCAACGCAAAACTCGCGGTGTCCTTGCGGTGCTAGCGCGCATTTCGACGCAACCAACGACAACAGACAACCCAGCAAACGACAGAGAGAAAGGGAGGCACCTGTGTTTCTCGCTCAACAGGTTCGCGCCACGGGAACTCAACTCAACTCAACTCCGCTCCGTATGGAACCCGAACCTGCGAGGAGGGACGTGACGACGATACGCCTGCGCGCCTTTCCGCGACTCCACTGCCAGTGAGAGTGAGGGTGAGAGAGACAACGCGCCCCTTGAACATCGTCTGTTGCGGGTATTTGGGGTTTGCCAGCATCGACAGCGTCGACAACGTTCAACATAGACGATCCCAAATGACGGTCCTGACGGCACATCACTTTCCCAGTCTCATATCTACTACCATCCCAACTACTTGTACCGCCCCTGATCATAAGCCTTCATTATCAAGGGCATGAGCACGCGCCTGGTGTCGCCGTGAACGCTATTGACCTGTACGGAGTGCCCACGCCAGCTCTCTGCAATCCATAACCCCCGCGGTAAACTCCTCTCCACAAATAAAAAAAGATTCAACTCCACGTTTCCGAAGACGCCTCGCTTCGTATAAACATACCCAACACCGCAATCGAAGCCCGGTCTCGGAGGCACCAGAGCACCGAGAAACGCCCAGGCCAGGTCGACTCGGCTGGGACACACGCCCATGCCAGCATCGCCCCAGACTCAATCCTAAGTCCCTCACAAAAGCGAGGACAAAATAACCGGGTCCACAAGAACTCCATTTTCAATCGCAAGCGCTTTCGTCCGTCATAACCGCAGAGCCATCAAATTCATTGCAATCGTCCGCCCACACAGCACAAGCCCGGGCAACCATCTCTAGGCCCCGATCTGGATATTTTCAACAAGCCAAAAAAGGCCACAAAATCCATAAAGAGGCCTAGACGAATATAACCAAAATGACAGCTTCAACAGCTCCTCATCCTGCGAGCAAACGCAGCAAAAGTCAGACAATTGTTCAGGGCCCTAGTCCGCATCCAACATCCAGTGCACCTCTCGAAGCAATTCCCATGTCGAAATTGACACACAGTGCCGAACTCGACGAATATACCGCTAGCATGCGGAGTTACTTGGCAAGTGTCGAGCATGGTGGGCAGGGCAACCGCAACAGCGGGAGCGACGGCGACGGTAGGAGGAACAGTGTTCGGAGTGAGAGCGTGGGCGGGAGCGAAAGAGATAAATCGCCCGAATTCAGGTGGATGGATCTTGCCAGTGTGAGGAGGGAACATGGGAACGTGAACCTCAGTTTTCCTGGCGTCGGAGCAGGAACCGACAATCGGATTTCCAAGAGTGCTGTGAAGTCCGCCAGCCACCATCATCACCAGGTCGGAAAAGATCCGCGGCAACATCAGAGGGACCATCGGCCGTCCAGCCCAGGCGGAAAGGCGTTGCTCAGCAAGAGGCATCCAACGCAGACGGAGGCAAAATCAACCGAGAAAAACTAAGACCAATATGTTAGCTGTTTGTTCGATTCACGAGAAACGTGAGAAACTGGGCCGCCACAGTCCCTTTATGGCAATAATACTCGGGTCGGAAAATCTTCTTCTCCCAGCAAACATGCCATGCGCGACAATCTTAGAAAGCGAAGAATGCAACCAGCATGAGTAACCCGATACCGGACAAGGAAATCCCAAAGCAACACACCCGAGGAAATTGGAACATACCTTCCCACTGCCAATCCGTCATAACGCCCAGCCAGTGCAATTGTCCTCGCACGGTGTACTCTGGCTCCAATTGGTCTGGTGACATGATGTCGCTCGTATGTCGCCGAGGGAGGATTGGAGGTGGCATTGTCACTGGCAGGGTTGACATTCCACCCCCACCGCCGACCGAATCCAACGTCAAGCGACGTTTGAGCGGCCGACCTGCGACACCGATTTCTTCTGGTCCGCCGGCCTGCAGGCCCTGAGCTTGGATTTGACTGTGGCTGAAAGCCCCATTCTCTCCCATGCCTAGAGAATCGATTGTGTGAGCCTTTCTCTTCAACGCCGATGGCATATCTAGGACCGGCGGAACGAAATTGCCCCCCGGCACTCCACGACTCGCATACTGCCTGAGCAATCTGTTCGACTTCTCGTCCTCATACGCATCTCTTCGGGTCCAGACTTCTTGTATGACGTTCCAGCACGAGTTCACGTTTCCAATCTTTAGACGCCTGATCATCGCTGCCCAGCGTTGCATCACCCAGTTCCTATCATCCGGGTCGGTGACTTCGCAACTTGCCGCGAAGAGAGGGAATATCTGGACGATCGTCGCTCGCGACGATAAAGGGACAGACGCCAGCGTCACCAGGACTTTCTTTGCCAGAGAAGCCGCCGGGTCGCTGGGGATTTCTGGCACTGCCTGGTGCAGATAGAGCAACGTGGCGTATCGGTAGGCTTCCGCTGTTTGAATCGAGTGCTGGACTTCTGAATTCGGATCCTCCGGGCGCTCGAAGACGACAGCGCTGGGCACTTGCCACTGCTGTAGTTGCTCTTTCAACTCCATGGCGGTGGAGATGATGGTTAGAGAATTTGACTCGGTCTTACGCACTCGTTGAATGAGATGAGCGACGCGGCCCATGAGGGGAAACAAAGTCGTGGCACAGCCCATAAGCGGGTCGACTTCGACCTGATCCCCGAAGGGAGCGTTGACAGTAGTGAGGATCTCCTCGAAATTGAGTTCATGTGCTTCTTCCAGTGATGTCAATCGAGCAATCACGTCCATGTAGACGAAGGTGTTGCAGAGGAACTTCAGTCTGTTGGCATCTTGGGTCGTCATCTGCCCCAGCTGCATATCCCGTCGGTGCCTAATGACCGCGTTGTTGACCATGACCTTTGCGCCACGGAGATGTTGGACACCTGTGCTCACGTGTCGATCCCAGCCTTCACTAAACGCAAGTGCCAATGACGTCGCCAGAGCCGAGTCGAGTCGCATGTTCTCAATCTCAAAGGCAAGGCGCTTGATGGCCTTTGTCATGTGCGCCATTCCTGGAACGTGCAGGTTCGGAATCTCATGGGCACCATGGAAGGCAGTCATGGAGGAAATAGCGTGGTACAGAGCAGGAGATTCTCGAGCCAAAGGCCAGATTAATGTACGCCAAGGGTTCTCGGTGGGACCGTCCTTCACGGATAGGATGCCGCAAGTTTGCTTGTCGAAACGAAGCATAAGCATCTCTGGCGACGAGGCGTCCAGGGAGGGCTGCGCCAGAATCGTCATGTCGCTGGATTTGGAAGATGCAGTAGAAGTCTCGCTAGGGGTGGGAGAAGACGCCCGGAAGGCTTGGAAAGCTGTATTGGAAAAGCTGGGGTCGAGCATGGACGAAGGCGTGGGAAGTTGCAGCGCGGACATCGCAGCGGACGTGGCGATGGCATCCGACCTGATAATTTCTTCGTCGAAGTCATCTTCCATGGGTATGTTGACATCAAGAGACATTGATGGATGGAGCTCGCAAGGATCCGACAGCTGATTCATTTCGGGTCCATTGGGGAGGAGAATGTCTACATGCTGCGGGGAGCCGGAAGAGAACGACCTAGCACTATTGCTGTCGTTGAGAGAGGAGCTTGTCGTTGTTGTGGTGACGCTGTAGGGGTCAACCGCGTCGCCAAATGTCAGACCGGGAGATATGCCTTCCGCCTCGAATACAGGCATGAAGATCGAGTCCGGTGTGAGGTTCAGAGGCGGCGACTGGTCCGCGTCCAACTGCATCTCGGTTTTCAGCTTCGGACTAGACATCGACCCCTGAATGTGAGCGTGACCATCGACATTATCCCGAAAGGCATGGGCGGCTGTCTCGAATGCAGAATGTAGGCCTGGGGACCATGTCTGAGGAGGTTGGAGGCCTTTGACATCGGCATGTTGGGGATCCGGTCTCCCACCACAGGCGATATCAACGGGTTGGGCGGCATTGCGATTCGAAGAGAGGGAGTTGGATCGAAATGCTTTCCTCTTCGCAGCAGGCCGGGAGGCAAAGGTGGTCTCCTCAAAGGTCCTCCACTTATAGTCCTTTTTGTATCCCTCGCATACCACACTTCGCTTCTGACACTGCACACAAGAGGGTTTTGTCTCGTCGCATTTTAACCGTTTCTTCTTGCATGTCATACAACCTAGCAGAGGAGAAGTAGAAGTTAGTCCATGGCGATAGAACGCTCGCCCGCAATCGAAGGGCGCCCGCACACTCTGTCGGCACCACCACGCAGCTAATGTACTTGGATTTCAAAAACGTACCATTTCGACTCTTGCTCTGCTTCGGCTTTGTCACCGCCCCATCTTGAACAGTTTTGTTGAGAGATTTAGGGGGAGGATTTGGTTTAGGCTTCGTGATGGCCGCTTTCTTTGGCTGGACCCCGGGCGCGGGAGGAATGACAGGAGAATTTCTTAGGAAAACAGAGGGAGAAGGGATCTGGACCTCCATGCGACGCAGGCAAGCACAGGCGACATGGACCCAAAGCGACCTGACCTTGACAGAAGGACTGTGTGGAAGATGTCGGAGGTGCAGTGCTTCCAGGTATGGAGGGGTTCAGTGGGTACGTGGGTATATCGACCAAAGGACTAATCGACACTTAGGTCAACAGAAGGGTTTGCGTGCTGAGGGCGTCACTCGTAGCAAATCGCTTGCTCGGAACAACTAGATAGATTAAGACAGATCCGGAGGAAGGAGAACTAAACGAGCTGTCCAGAATGGAAGGGAAAAAAAAAAGTGTGAAGGAGGGGGGAGGATTAGGGCAATGGGAGAATTGAAGATGGTGGGTTTGGGATGGGTATCGGTGCGTGTGCGTTACAGCAGCGCGTCCACCCGTGCCTGAGAGCAGATTGAGCAGCGTGTCAGGGTCAGAGGGCAATGACGAGCGTGCAGCGGCAGAGGCATTTGGGCCAGAGATCTGGTCAGCGGGTGGATATCTGGAGCATCAAGGACGCAGACGTAGAAAATGGGGCAGAAATCGAGAAATGGAAGAAACGACGGAAAAGTGTGCTCAGAAACTCCCAGTTGAGTTGAGCAGTTGGTGGTTGAGCGGTCATGTCCAGACTCGCCAACCTGTGCTGGCTGCCGTGACTGGCTGCTGCAAGTGGCTATGACCAGGAAGAGACAGGGGAGCCATTGACTCGCTCGCAATTCCGTTATCTCTTCTATCTGCTCTATCGAAGGTAGAGATACGCGAAACCCCCGGACAGTGGACACGGCCCCATCTGTCATCTATCTCTAACAAGTACTGGGTAGGTATCTATGTACCCGTCCGGCTATCTATCCTGAAGCCATCCTCACGTGAGATAAGGATGGAAAGGATCGATTATGGATTGATATTCAGTCTGCATGGCAACCGACCATCATCCGCACTTCCGCTGCCATGCCACAGCTCAGCGTCGTGTTGGTGATATTAGCGAGGTAAGTATATCATTCAGCGTCCCTCTCCGCCTTTGGCTGCGTCTAACCACGGCAAACAAATCCCCACCCCGAGGAGGACAGGGTCCCTAGGTACTCCAAGGTCCTCATACCCCTGGGGCTACTGGGCCTGGACTTGGGGTAAGTTGGTACAGCGCTGCAACTGACTGGGATGAGAATGAGGGGGCGGTTGCAACGGTCAGCCTCCCTAGCCTCACCCAGTCACCACCATCACTAGCCGGAGCAAGCATGAGGCGAGGCTTAAGCAGAACCCGAAGGTCATCTCCGCCCATCGTCAGCCCGCCGTTTGATCCACCAAGCCCATAAGCCCTGGCCCTAGCCTGCCCCAGCCCACTCGCCATCACCCCAAGCAAGCCCAAGTCAAGTTTCCCCTCCTTTTGAGACAGTTGGCGTCCAAACCCCGCTCCCCGACAACCTACTCGTTCTGCACCAGCAGAGAAAAACGGGCAGCCACTAACTAACCACCACCGAACTCAGGAACTAACCTCAAATGTCCTCTCCACGACATCCTTCCCTCCTTTGACTCGACGTGTGACCAACATCACAATCCAGACTGCCCGAATGCAAGTTATCTTTGGTTTTCCTCTTGGATACCTCGTATATCCAGCCTCGTGTCGCAGCTAGGCGCAAGGCAGACAGACCAGGCCTGTCTGACTTCTCAAAGCCCGCGCGGAGGAGGAAGCGGAACCGAGTGAAGTCGTCCACGACGCAGACGCATGCAAGCGGGAGACGGGCAGGGCCGGGCACGGGTCATGGTCAGGTGAGTAGCTGAGTAGCTGAACTGACGTGTGGATGTGGAGTATCGGGGCGTGGGTGTCTGGTTCCTGGTAGGTGCTATGCAGCTGTTGTTCTTGTTGTTGTTGTTGTTGTTGTTGCACAAAAAAGGGAACGAACAGAACACGGGAAAGCCCAAGACAAAGACCACGTATGTAGTCATGGAAATTCCAAATCAGCAGGGATCCATGTTACACAGCGCCTTCTTCTTGTCCGGCCTGGGCCTGGCATGGCCTGCCCAGGAGCGTAAAAAAATTTATTCCCAAGCAACCATGTCGAGAGAGGGGGAGAAACCGGGAGATCTGACACGAAGACGGTGCAAAAGAGAAGGGGGGCACACACACACACACACACAGAGAGAGAGAGAGACAGAGTCGCGGAAGAGGTGTCGTGACTGGCCGCTCTGTTCATGGTCTTCTTGGCTGGTTGGAACGGACACGATCCGATCGCCTTTACCATCTGAGAAATCGGAAATCTTCGTTCTCCAGGTATTCCATTTTCAGCCTCACCACGCCCCGTCGATGCAAACCTCCTCACCCGCGCGGTCTCAGAGACAGCACGCACCTGCTCGAAATGTGCCAGTAATGCGCCCGTGTTTGAGGCCTATATACAGAACTCACTCCATCGGGCTACACGTTACCGACACCAGGTCAAAGTCAGCTGGATGATGGATGGATGGATGACTTGGCGGCCCGTGACCTCGGGGACATGCACAGGCCCATGGTCACATTCGTCACATTCGTCGTGTTCTTTGGAAAAGGACTGAACCTTTTGAGGCCTCTGTTGAACTTGTTGCTGCGTTGTGTCTGCACAAGCTCCTCCGAGACAGAAGCTCCATACGTGTAGTCCTTGGTGATTCGCCCGCTGCCTAAAGCTATCTATACCCGCTAAGCAATACACTTATCCCGGAAAACAACATCAGAAACTCCCTTTGTGGTGTCAGTCCAAACCTGGGCCCCCGCCCCTGACTTAGTTCTTGTGCTTGAAATTCTGCGCCAGGCCAGGCCATTGCTTCTCAAACGCTTCGACTGTGTCCAAAACGCTTCGATCGTACGTGATGAACTTCGGGACCCCGAGCGCCTTATACGCCTTCGTCGACACACTGCTTGCCTCGCCCTGCGGGAACCAGTAGTCCTTGGTGTACCCCTGCCCGGGCTCGCCGACGATGATGTCCCGTTCCGGGAACTGCTCGCGGAGGAGGTCCGCGGCGGCCTGGGGCGGAGCCTTGCCGTTGGACATGAGATATCGCTCGCCGTTGCTCTGGTCCGGGTGTTCCATGGCCCAGACGTGCATGCGCGCCACATCCCGCACGTCAATGTACCCTGCGCTGCCGATCTGTGGGGGCATGACATTGTTGCCGCTGTAGATGTTCCAGATGGGGAGGAGAGTGGTGTTGAGTTTGTCGGGCGTTGTGGGCCACGAGACGGGCGGGCCCGTGACGACGGCGGGATTGACGGCCGCGACGGCGAAGAAAGGCTGGTTTGCCTCAACCCATTTCCAGACCGCTCGCTCCGCTGCAGCCTTGGACGCCCCGTATGCTACGGGAGCCGTGAACTCTCGGCGGGCAACGGACTCGCCCATCTCGTTCCAGTCGGCCTCGCTATAGGCGTGGTCGGGGGCTTGTCGCCAGCGGTCCATAATCGCAGCAATGGAAGACGTGACCACGAATGCTCTCAACTGAGGTCCGGCGGTGGCCTTTGCAGATTCGAGGATTGAGAGATTCCCGCCAATAGCGGGGCCGAAGAACGCATCCACCGTTTTCAGGGTGAAGTCGACGGGAGAGGCAGTGTGCAGAATTGCATGGACGCCCTTCACCGCTTCATCGAATGCGCCGGAAGCAACAATGTCCTCGACCTCGACATGCTCATATTGAGACTCGTAGCCCTTGAACGCGCCCGCTAGAAGATGGCCCTTGGCCGATGTAGACCGAGAGGTGCCTCTCACTTTGTATCCCTTCTGGAGCAGTTGCAGGCCGATATGGGTGGCGATGTACCCATTGATCCCGGTGATGAGGACGACCTTGTCCGCGTTGTCGGAGGGCATGGGAGATACGGATCTGGAACGACTTCGACTCCGACTCAGAGATCGGAGGTAGATGTGACTTAGCCTTTTGGAGGTCTCCAGGTTGCCCCGTGAAAATTGTTGGTCGCTACAGCGGCTGAAGGTGGAGAGTCTTATAGACTGGTATTTATATGCGCTGGTGGGACCTAGCAAAGGTTGTCGGTGAGATGCCGAGTCTTATTGGGTTCTCGGGATCACTTATGCGCTTCACGAGAGTCTCGCTTGAATCTTCTCACCAAATAAAGCAGGTCAAAATGGCCGAAGGGACCAATGGGGGGTATGGGAGAGTTCGAGAGTGGAGCTGGATCGTCGTTCACAGTCTGCTTTGATTTCTAAACAGTCTTTCTGGACTCAGGTGCAAATATACGTAGAACCTGTAGTTTTGGCGGCCGTAGAGAATATTTGTTTAGTCGTGCGTCTGGGAGAAGAAAAAAAAGGGCTGATTCCATAAGCTGAGAATGCCGCATATGTGGCGTTGCTGAGTTGGTAATTACATATTATAGAGCACTACAGGGCGGCATGTCGCCAATCAAGTTGGAAGAGACTCAGGCCGAGCCTTGCCCGCGGAAGCAGCCACTGTTAACACTCAACACTCCTGATCTCGGTTGGGCAAGCCCTGCGGAGTATCTTGAATGGGATTCTGCTCCGCGGACAGTATTAAACTGCTCAATGGTCCTAGTGGGAGGGGAGAACAGCTTGGGGTGTGCTATAGTCGTTTAATTGTACCGTATTAGCATTCCTGTATCTCGGCGGTAACTTTGCAGGTCTAGGTATATTGAGGGCGAGTCAGCGGAGACTGAGGCTCGACAAGACCCCCGTCAGCACGCTGAGCTCGTATCATCCTTTGTGGTCCAGCGCGATCGAAAACAAACCTGTTATCATTCGCAATTTAACATCAGAAAACGCCCCTTTCTCACACAAGACATCGAAATTATTGATTGATCACAACTCTCGCACCAAACCATGCGCCGCAAAGCATGCCCCTGTCAACATGAAATCAAAATCCAGCAGTCTTCAACTCTTTCTCTGTCCACTCCCACAGTTTCTGTCCCGCGTCCGCGTCTTTTGACCATTTGTTCGGCCGATGCTTTCCGACAGGAGTGTAATAGCCTCCATTGACAAGCTCTTCTTTCTTTGCCCCTGCGGCCGCCCAGAGCTGGTTCAAGGCTCCGGCTTCGACTGTCTGGAACATTAGCGGACCAAATATCATGGCGCCGTATTTCATGATAGGATTGGTCTTGGTGTTCGGGACGTACAGATCGGTTTTGATGATGCCGGGGTGCAGCGACACGCTAGTCAGCGCAGGGTAACGCCGGGCCAGTTCGGCAGCAAACGTGATGTTGGCCGCTTTGGAAGCTGCATATCGAGTCCAAGGGCCCGTGGCCGTAAGTTTCTCTGTTGACAAAGTGGTATCGAGGCTCGGCGCCATGTTCCAAGCTTCGGAGGAGACAGAGATAACGCGCACGTCAGAGTTGCGCTCCTTCGCCGTCTTTTCCATGGTTGGAAGGAGGAGTTTGGTCAACAAAAAGTGGCCCACGTGGTTGGTGCCCATTTGAACATCTTGCCCTGCAGCGGTCTTGCCTGCTGGGACAGCCATGATGCCGGCGTTCAGAACGAGAATGTCCAGTCGGTCGCTGTGACTGATGACTTGGTCGGCGGCCTGTTTGATAGAGGGCAATGAGGTGAGGTCAAGGGGAAGGTACTCGACATCGACATCTTGTGAGGACTGTGCCTTGATTGATGCCACAGCGTCACGTCCTTTGGATTCGGTCCTTGATGCAAGGAAGATCTTCTGAGGGCTGTGCTTGGCGAGCTGCAGGACTGTTTCCTTGCCAATACCATTATTACCGCCAGTCACGAGGATGACTTTGCCCGCAAGGCTTTGGATGCTTGTCGCAGGGACGAATGGTGAGCCCATGCTGAATGGCCACATGCTGGCGAATCCGGGATGTAAGACTTCAATTGCAAGCAAGGGATGCAGGGCGTATGGCCGAAGGAGACCTGTGGCGAGCGTGAGAAGTTCTCGGAGATGTGACAGGTTTGGGCGTGCTAGCTCAATGTTGTCGTCTTTAGACGGGTTCGGTGGTGAGGGAGAATGGTTCTGTGCTGCAGCATTGGCTCTCCCATGCTTTTGTAGCTCTTCAGTCTCTGTGTTGTTGGAAGCCCCTGATGTCGGTGGCGACATTAGCGCGACAAAGTTACGCCGACTGCCTCGATAATGTTGACATTCTGAAAGCAGCTCTTTTGGATCTACTTGTTAGACGAAGGCAGTCACGTATAGCATGACTGGATGGGGAGTGTTGGCTGTTGTGCGATGTGGTTCGTCGGTAGCACCGCTGAGCAACCAGAGCTTGGAGAAAAGTCGCATACGGGCGTAAAGGTGCGACCTTCAGCCAATCATGAGCCATGGAATCCGAAATTTCGGAGCAACTCATCCAGCTTCCGACTCTTTAGACTCTGCTAGAGAGGAGGAATATACTAATCCTCACCAATGACTACTATTGAGACTTTTTCATGAAGGAGTAAATGGAGCGTCGACTGTCGAACAAGTTCCGAGCCCTACGAGTACAAAGGTAAGTGCCCGAGTGCCCTCTTGTGGCAGGCCAGGGCGTGTGGGCTCTACCCTGTGCCTGTGCTTGCAGGACCCGGAGACTATGATTAGTATGAGGTAGGAAACCACCCACGATTGTTGTCCCGATATACCGCGACAAATAGACCATCAGTGGGAAAGAAGCAGTCCGCGAAGATGGTGGATTGAGGGCAAAGGAGGAGGATACATCTTGCTGCACAATTACACGTCACGGTGAGACAGGTGAGGCAGCATCTCTCGCGCGAGGACTCCGTTGCCGCCATTAGGGCAAGATGAGGTTGACAAGTACTGCAACAGCAGCGGTGTCAGTGAGCAACAAGCCGACACATTCTCTGCACGATGCAAAAGGCTTTGCAGGCCCTCAGACGTCCTTAGGTACCCACGGCATCGCGCAAACCTACCACAGCCAGGACGACACAGAGGAGGATCGGTCGAGGACAATCAGAATGTGCTCTCCGCTGTCCGCGAGTATGGTAGCCACAATCCATTGACACGGCTTAGCGAGTGCATCGACCACAGCCACCTCAATATACGTAGAAAGGGACATTTGGAGACCGCCACGGCGTCCGGCCGGTCAAGAGGCACCAGAGGGGATGAGCAAGTTTAAGTATGTACAGGGTACTCGGTACAGCAGACGAAACAGCGGTGGGTGCCGAACAAAGCGAGAAAGGAACCAAAAAAAGGGCACAAAGGGCCGGAGATGGTCAAAGATGGTCAAAGATGGGTGGAGCTCGTCAGATCATGGACCATCAGTGGCATCAGCGAATCACAACGGACGCCCACGTCGAAAACTTGCTCACTTGGCGAACACATTGAATGTTCTTCTATCTGGTGCAGGCCCAACCTTCTCGACATGCTCTACTATCCTCTCCATCCTAAACCTCCTTCAGCACCTACATCACTTTCCCATTGCCTTTTGCGACAGCGTCTCTGCGAAAGCGAAATTAGATCGACGCTCCATCCGACTTTGCACCGACGAGTCTTTGGTGACTAGAACACTGATATCGCTCTGTCCTGTGCCCTCGGCTGGGGAAAGAGAGTGTGGTTCGACCCGACCTCTCTTCACCGTGGACATGGTCTCATCATCCGACTCGATGTCGTCAATGGCCTCCTCCATGCCCATGCCCATGGTATTCACCACTTCCCACCACACCCCTCTTTATGGAAATGGATGGACGCCCGCCACGGGGGGCGGCTATGCCGGCACCTGCATATTCCTAGTCTTTCTAGCCATCGCCCTCCGCCTGGTCTTCGCGGTCAAGGCTGTGTGCGAACAGAGATGGGCAATCGCCGCACGGAGACGGCGATTCGTGCTGGTCCAAGGGAGGACCACCGAGGCTGGGCGGATCGATCAGGATCCCGATGCAAAGACCGGCGCTCTCATCACGGTCAACGGCGTCGAGGAGAACGTCAAGGTCGTCCAAGCCAGAGACGCCTTCGCTCCCTTCCGGCTGTCGATCGACGTCCCCCGAGCCATAATGACCACCATCATTGCAGCCATTGCATACCTGCTGTAAGTCACAAACTGATGAGCAAACTCTATTGAGGGTGCTTCCATGCTCACGATCGATCAGGATGTTGGCTATCATGACGATGAACGTGGGCTACTTCCTCTCCGTGCTTCTGGGGGTATTCCTGGGCGAGTTGGCCGTGGGCAGATATGCCCGGAACGACGAAAACTTTCACTGAGACTTGCTTCTGCTTCTCCTTGTCTTTCTCCTCATTACCTTCTTTTTTTTTTGGCGAGTACAGGAGCCGGAGCCTAGAGCAATGTCCATGATCGAAGAGCATGGTCCCAAGCGAGAATGTTATATGTATAACGCATTTATACAGGGCGATTTTTCTAGGTGCCGTCAAAATGAAATGCAGTGATGACATGTAGGTGTGGCTTTCGTCCTGAAGCACTGAGATGTGCCTTTCCCCCTTGGCACCTTTCTCATGTCCATCTCGACGTCCTGGACTGACCCGTAACCTCTTCCTGCATTCATCCCTCATCGGCCAGGACCTGGCTTGAAATGATGTCACTCGGAGTGCAGACCATTCGAGAGAGTGGCCCGGGCACATTCACGGCACGTTGTTATTGTCGCTGTGGTAGTGAAGGCGCAGATATCGCCTGTTGCCGGGATCTCTCACTTCTGGAGCGATGTCTGCTCAACGGTCTATCTCCAGGGAGTAAAGCGTAGAATGTCAAACTCTCCGAGCTAACAACGGTGTAAACCTTAGCAAAACTTTGAGGCTTCCCCTGGTCGGCGTCCTCTCTGCTATAGGTGGGATGCAGGGAGTAAGGACGTGGTTTCTATCTCTGCCCTGTCGATGCGAATGCGAACCTCACGGCCACGTCTCGACTTTGTTCCACTCCCCTATCGAGTCACTTGGCTGGGGCCCGCCAGGGCCACCTGCCTCCTGGGCCAGAGTCCAGATCTGCCTCCTGCACTTCGTGGGATCCGTCAAGTCGACCGCCTCGACCTGCTCCGGCGTGATGATGGCGACGCGGAAGTTCTTCCTCGCCAGAGTCTCCTCCGACAGATGTCCTGCTTTCTGGCCCAGGCCCTCTCCCGCCTGCTCATCCCTCCCTTCTGACAGCGGATGGCCGGGCGGGGGGTTCTTGAACGAGCCCCTCATGACGGGCGACAGGTTTTCAAAGTAATTCTCCACCTCCGTTCTCCAGGACCAGGACCGGTCGTGATGGTTCTTTCCCGCGTGGTCTGGTGATCCCTCCCTCACGCGCATGTATCGTCCGACCTCTGCTTTGACCGATACGGTGCCGGAATTCTGTGCCTCTGGGGTGCCTTCTTCCACATCGTCAGCCGCAACGAGCCAGCATTTGCCCCGTATTCGCCATTGCGTCCTTGTATCTTTGATCCAGTAGACCGCTTCGACGGGCCCGCCCCCGCCAGATCCCGAGCGCGACTGCGCCAGATCCCCTTTCCCTCTCCCCGTGGCAAAGAGCTCGTAGGTCTTGCGCATCCGCGCATCGGTGGTGAACGTGGGACAGTCACTCTCAAATATCGGCGGGTTTTTGGGCAGTTGATTGTACCCGTTCTCCGGCAGCGTGGCCCAGAAGCCGCGGAAGATGCACGTCCGCGCTCTGGGAAACCCCGAGTCCGTGACGGTGGCGAGAGTAAATTCGAAGCCAGCGCCACCGGCTTGTTCGAGGTGTTCTGCAAAGGTTCGCTTCCAGGGCGCGACGGTCGCAGGCGTGGGGTGCGACATTGCGGAAGCAATGCGGGCGAGGCGCTGGACGGGTTGAGGGGCCAGTTTCAATTGAAGCGGCAGATCGGATGATGCGGTGCGAGGTTCAGGTAGAGAGGATTCCAGACGAGAGGCTTGCTGCTTCTTTGCTATTTCCACGTTATCACTGCGGTCCATGACGCGCTCATTGAAGGATTGAAATCATCACCGATGTCAATGACGTCGACATGCTGGGATGCAGCTATTGGGCTGCTAGCCCATAGGCGGCGGGCCTAGCCGCTGGGCTCACCAGGCGACCCCCTAGGCGCTGACTGGGCTCGCGGAGTAGCTAAAGGATCGCTTCAAAGGCGGCCGGTGGCCTGTGCAAGCCTCACCAATGTTGCCGACAATACTCAAACAATCGCTGCTCGGTGCAGTACAGTAGGCTTGAGAAGTGCTTCATCCTCAGAGAACTCCACCTTGTCCCAGGATCCTCCTTCCCCCGTCTGGCTGCTACCTATAACTATATCCGCCATTTGCAATAGATAGACTGCCTATAGCTACCTACCTATTTACTCAATGACGATGCTCTTGTCGTAACAAGTCGTCATCACGGCCCAGGGGAAGGACTCAATCCCGAGTCTAAGCCTCGCTGCTCCTGCTCTCGCAGAGCGTCTCTGTCACGAGTCTCGCTCTTTTTCCACTTTCGGAATGATCCACCAACTCACACATACCAGGACAAACAAGCCTACCAGAATCGGTTGCAGGACTTTAACGCCAGCATGAGCTGCGACGAGACCAGTGAGGGCCGGGAAGAGACTGCCGCCGGCTTGAGCGAGGACGAATATGAAACCTGCAATACCTCTAGGTCAGAGGACAACGTACAGTTTGACGGCGATAAGAATCATTGGAGCCGCCCGCACCTAAGGCCGTATTCTGGATAGACTTTGGACAGAGCTTTGTAGCAACGGATATCCCCTGCAGACGTAGATGGTTAGGTTCCCGCCTCACTGGGAGTAGGCTCAATACGCGGAGACAGCATACAGTTGGAAAGAATGGACCGGCGAAAAATCCAAGTGCTGAGAACAGCACAGCGTCGCCCACAACATTGGGTATTCTCCAGAACATGATCTGTAGGGCAAGGCAAGCAAGCGCATAGAGGAATACCATGCGCCGCTCGCCGTAACGATGAGTTGGTTCCGTGAGCAGCAGACGGCCGAGGAAGCCCCCTCCGTTGTAGCCTGCAGATACATAGCCCATGGTTTTCATGTTACCGCCTCGCACTCGAACCAAATATTCGACGACCCAACCTAATGGTGGGTCGATCCAGTTAGCAAGAAGGCTCGTACAGAAAAGAGGACAACCTAGCAAACTAAGCACTTACCTCCTGCCGTGATCATTGCACCCAAGAAAAAGAAAAAGAAGAGACTGATCAACCAAATTGACCGGAGTTTCAGTGTTTGCAGAATTTCGTTGAAAGCCTGCTTATTCCTGGACTGAGGACTGCCAGGGGGGACGTCCGCAGCGATGACACCGTCTGTCGACGTCGGCCGCTGCTGCTGTGTTTCTGCATCCCTGGCGTTCACTGTCCTCGTCCTCTCCTCTCTCTCCTTTCTCTCCTCATACATATCTCGGCCGAAAGCACCAAAAACGAATCCAAGGTTGAGGACACCTAGGCCGGCCTCGACAGCATAGATATAGTACCACTTACTGTTGCTAGCTATTGGAGTGGCGACAAACGGGCCGGTCAGGCAACCTAACATATACATAGCATGGATGAAACCGAGCCAGCGATGTGCTCCTGGAACAGTTGCAACGAATGTGTTGGAATAAGCATCCTGATACGCTTGCCCAAGAGATGTAAAGAAGAAGGTCACAGAAAATAGACCGAAAGGCGGGTTCCAGAACCGGAGTAGCTGAGATAGGAGCTGCAACCCTGCTCCCAACAGCAGAGTTACACCCAGCGAGAGGCGTAGCGTGGTTGTCAGATGGGTGTTGGTCAAGGCCGAGGTGAACCAGCCTGCAAAATTGGCTACATAGCTATGTAAGCAGTCAGTCGAGCTTCTCCATGACCGGATGGGCGAACGGATGGGACATTACGGTGATCAGGCCAGTGCTGATATTGTATCTCTGCAGCATATACGGTAATAACGGCCCAGTTGTCCCATCATTGGTTCCGGCATAGAAGAATGAGAAACCGGCACATATCAGCTTCAAGTACGAACGTGTCGTAGCTTGCTCTCCGGACAGCTCGCCTTGCCTGTCTGATGGTGGAGGATTGCTGCAGTCGATATCTACTGTCGGAGATACGCCGTGGTGCCTCGACTGGAGCTCCATACTAGAGCGCGATGGTACAACTCGAGTCAAAGATCAGAAGTGACTTCGAGACTCGAGAGGCCCCTCTCGGGATTCTTTTCAACCAGGAATATATCGTATCAAAGGCCTGGGGGTGCGGCGGGGCGGAAATTCGTCGGCAAAGCCTACCTCAGGGGTGATCCATGTTGTTCATGATCATCAAAGGGCGACACCAGATACTGTTCTGACTCAAGCTCGTTGAGGGCGCAAGAACGACTGTCAATCATATGGACAGGAGCTGCAGAACGCGGAATGCCGGCTCCACGTCTGAGAAATCCCAACAGCATCCACAACATCTGCCGAAGTTTAAGCGCTCAATGTGTTTGAGCATCTCGAGCATTAGTTGAAAGGGAGGTCTTCATGCTTGGCGGTGGCATTTATAAAGAATGGTGCGTGAAGATCATGTTCCGCTGTGGTCGTGCAATATCTTTGCCTAGAGATATTGTGACTGTGCCTGCACAGATAGGCGCTATCATCTCAAGACGAAGCTCTCAGACCTAGCATCCGAGTCGTCGGCAATCAATTCTCCGTTCATAACTCCATATACATAGCCCTCTCCCACAAACCGACACGAGAACGCGTTTTTCTCATCGACAGTTCTCTGCCTTGTATCCTCACCGTCTACACCGGTTTTCTCCTCCTTCTCTCTGGTTGTCTCGTCGTCATCCTCGCACCGTACAGAATCACAACGACATCGCCCTCCCTGATTCCCTGCGGCACGAGCGCCATATACCCATCGGGTGTGACTGCGAAGCGCCGGCGTGCACATTGCAGGCCCAGTGACATTCTAAAATCCGCCATCTTTCGCACGTAGCCCTCCGGGTCGCGCTGCATCTCCGGGTACGGGTGCTAGTCGAGTGATTTGGTCCACGTAGATTCCGCACGCAGCAATCGCGTTCGAGTCCGCTCGAAGTTGAACCATCGCCTTAGTCGAGCCGGACGCCGCATACGCTACCGACGAAGCAGCGGGCACACTGGATAGTCGGTACGTGTAATGTGCAGCGCTCCAGTGAGGGACCTTCTGAGCTCTCTCCTTGATTCACATGGACAGAGATGATACTGATAGGTGTGTTCAAGTCCAGTAAGCCCGATCGAATTGTACCATTCTACCGTTTCTGCAGCACAAGGTGTACATAGAACAGCGGCCTCTCGATATATCTGTGTGCTTTTGCCCAGCCTTTGTAGAGCATCGAAGGCGAGATGAACAGGGCCCAGGCGACTGTGAGAACAAGTTTGATAACCGCATCTGTAGTGTCGCTATAATCCACAAGCTTCCGAATGGCAGCGTGAGCCCCGTAGAATGCGGTGGTTGCAAAGGCATATCTAGAAATCAAAGAATCAATTTGTCTCTCTTGTTGGGTGTCATGGGGCCTGTCCCAGTTCATAGTTGAGAGGGTTGCGCTTGTGGAGAGCTGGTATTTGCAATTCAGACCGGATCAAACCTTTTTGCAATTGTTGGACACCAGGGAAAGCGCCATGTCTCATACGCATCGCTCGATCAAGCATCATCGAGGGTCGAAGGTGTGGTAGCCCAGGGGTAGCCTCGCGAGGCAGCCGCAGGAGGTGGCGGTGCAAGATGCCAAGAACGACTCCTCTCTTTTGGGACTGAACGACTCAAAGTTGCCGCCTATAGATCGAGGAATGGGTGCCCAAGGGCAGGTGAGTGCAAATGCAAAGGGGCCACGTACTTCTTACATGACCCATAACAATGTCATCCTTTTTGATTATCTTGACCATTGACAGATCGTGAGCGAAAAGGGGTGACAATCCCATTCCTGATTGCAAGGGATTATTACAGTACTCTTTTCAGCCAAGCTATTGAAAATCCTTCAACTCCCCCTTGGGCAGCACTTTCTCGTGCGCACCTCTACCGCCGAAGCTTCTCTTCCAACACCACGCCTCATCCCTCTCGGGCCCGTTCGACTTACCGTCCAGCACGTTGACGACATACTTGCCAATATTCGGCAGGAATTTCCAGCTGTGAAACGATCCAGCCGTCGCGAAGTAGAGGTTCGACAGCCGCGGGTCAGGATGTTGAGCGATCAGCTGGTTTTGGTCCGGTGATATGGCGTCCCAGCAGAGGCGCCAGTCATCGGGCACTCTGCCACCGTCGAGGATCTGCGGGACGCGCTGGCGGATGATTTCTACGGACTGATGTTGGAGCGACTCGGGAACGGAGTGTTGGTCGGGTGCCGGGACCGAGATGTTTTGGCCTGTCTCTGGATGTGATTGGGTGTTGAGGAAGGTGTGGGCATTTGTGAATTTGATGAGACGCTCTTCAGTGGGCGGCATCGCCTCCCCTTTTGCTCCGTATATCAACACCGGCATCTGCGAGTAATGCCGGGCTTCTTCTTCAGAGACGTGGAATGCTGCGACGCATACTCCCGCGGCTTGGATCTGTCTCTGGATGCTGTGTTCTTGGGAAAGGGCCATTGTTTCCTCAAGCGGTGCCATCAGCCATGGTGTCCACGCCCCCGTAGCTAGAACAATCTTTTCTCCAGTGAATGTCCGCCCGTCAGCCGTGCGGACACCAGTCAGCTTGTCACCATCACTGAGCAGCTCCTTCACTTCTCCTACCTTGTACTTTACACCAGCTTTGACAGCTTCATTCATCATAGCAGCCACAGCGGCAGAGGCATCAGCCCATCCGGCACTTGAATTCGTGTAGGCCTTGCTGTACCCAGTAGTGTCTATTCCGCAGAGGACACCGCCCCAGTTAGACCTGACTTGGTCCAAGGATATATCGGCAGAGGTATCGGGTCGACCACTTTCTCGGAAGTTTCTCCGAATACGATCCGCGAGATCGCTGTCCCTCTCGTCCAACATGACCCAACCGGTCTGGTGGAAGTACGGCTTCATGATTGGATTGTCTGTCCAATACTCCATGGCCTCGTAGGCCAAGTCCATGTAAAAGGCTTTGCTGTAATCGGCGCGCACGATCTTGTTGATATCCGAGGACGCGGCCTGCGGTGAGGGCGCGGGTGCGCGGTCCAATACTGTAATACGTGATGGGTCTGCATGGCTGGGACAGAGGTGGTATGCAGTGCTGGTGCCGAAGATGCCTGCCCCGATGATCAGGACGTCGCAGTCTGGAGCGTCAACGGAGCCCATTGTGCTTCTTTCTGTAGAGGGGTGTAAGCTGGTCTCGCCGGATGCGGCGTTCAATGACGGGATGGATACTCGATAGTCAGAAGGAGGCTGATATCAGATGTAAAGGCTGATTGTCCGACGTCATTGGATGTTCCATCTTGTAACACCTCCTGCACCTCTCAGACGCAAGGTCCCTGGGTGTCGCTGTTATCTCCCCCCTAGGCCTGGTGGGCATGCGGAGTTAATTCCACTCGTCCACCCGGATGCAGCACCCAGTTCTCAAGCCCGGCGCCGAGAGAAAAGTGTGCAGCCTAGGTAACCTCGTAGTGCCTCCCAGCCACCAACTCCGCGCTGAACTGCCGGTGTTTGGGGGGGCAAGTTGGGGTCAAATTGGGTCAAACACAGGCTTCCAGCTAGCGGCGCCATTCAAGCTTTTCGTCCAGATCCTCTTCAGATCCAATCGCATTGCCAGGACCATTGAGACATCCACAACGTACCTCGGTACATATCTCAACGAGCGAGGAGGTGGTTAAACTTATCGGAGGGTCGCAACGTCGAAGAGATGGATGACAGGTCGGGTGCCGTCCGTGGTTTGTTGAAGAATGGGCATCTTGGTTTATCTCTGCCCGCCAGTGGCTCTCTCTGTTGCATCTGTTCAAGACTGATTTTATAGATACCTTGCCATCTTCTTTCCTTTCTGTCGTCCTTGGGTTTCTACATAGGGTAGACGGGAATCGGCACATTTCTTACCGCTAGACCTCATGGCTCTTGGTACGACGACGCTGCAATGCTTCTTTGTCTTCGCATGCTGACCGCGTTCCTTCACAGCAACTGCTGCAGCCGCCGCTGCAGGTGGCTGGGCCGCAGCGACCTACCTGGATGCCAAATTCAATATTCGACATGACCTCGACTCCATCAGGAGACTGAGAAGGGGAGCAAAGGAGTACGACCGGATCGTCAAAGAGGACAAAGTCTGCTTCTTCTATGCCCTCGAAGAGACATGCAAAAAGAGATGGAACAACCGCGCTATCTGGTCGAGAGAGGGCGGCATATACACCTTTGGCCAGCTTTACGAGGAGACCCTGCGGTACGCCCAATGGATGATTGAGCAGGGCGTCAAGCCCGGGGAACTTGTGGCCATGTATATGATCAATTCGCCGCACTTCTTTATCGCCTGGTTTGCCTGCGCGGCTGTCGGCGCCGCGCCCGCATTCATCAACTACAACCTCGAAGGGAAAGCGTTGATGCACTGCCTGGACGTGTGCCAGACGAAATTGTTGATTGTCGATGAAGATGCCGGCTGTCAAAAGAGGATCAACGAGAGCCGGGCAGACATTGAAGCCAGGGGCACAAAAATTGCGGTTCTCGATGGCACGCTGAAGCTGGAGATTGCCACGAAGCCCGTCGAGAGACCGGCTGATGAGCGTCGTAAAGGCACAAAAGGCAGCTTCCCTTACTGCTTAATATATACCAGGTAAGCTATCTCGCCATCTCGCTTTATTTCCTAAACAGGAGAACTAACACATCATCCATCGCAGTGGAACTACCGGTCTTCCCAAAGGCTGTGCTTTCACCCTACAGCGGGTCTACCTCATGTGCGGTCACTTGATGCCTCTGTGTGGAGGTGTCCCCGGCAAGGATCAATGGTTCAATTCCATGCCGCTCTATCACGGCACAGGCGCCATCACAACCTCCTGTGCCCTTCTACAGGGCATCGCTGTTGCCATTGCACCCAGATTCTCCGTCTCGCGGTTCTGGAACGACATCCACGACTCCGAGTCTACGTTCTTCGTCTACGTCGGCGAGACGGCACGCTATCTGCTCAATGCGCCGCCTCACCCACTTGAGCGGGCACACAAGCTGCGCTGTGCTTATGGGAACGGCTTGAGGCCGGATGTGTGGGAGAAATTTCAAACGCGCTTCAACATCCCCGAGATCGGCGAATTCTTCAATTCCACGGAAGGCATGTTCAGTCTGTTCAACTGGGACAAGGGACCGTACCTGAGAGCGTGTGTTGGCCACCACGGGTTAATTCTCCGCACGATGCTACGGAACGTCTACATTCCGGTCAAGATCGACCACGAGACCGGAGACATCTGGCGAGATCCCAAGACAGGCTTTGCCCAGCGAACTCCGTACGAAGAAGGCGGTGAGATGATTGTTGCTGTGCCGAACAAAGAAGCATTCCAGGGCTATTGGCGGTCCCAAGCCGCCACGGACAAGAAATTCTGCACGGACGTGTTCAAGAAGGGAGACATCTATTATCGCTCCGGAGACGCCCTGAGGCGAGAACCGGATGGGAGATGGCACTTCCTCGACCGTCTAGGCGACACATTCCGCTGGAAATCCGAGAACGTCTCGACGGCAGAAGTGGCCCTGACGATAGGCCAGTATCCTGGCATTGCCGAGGCAAACGTCTATGGCGTGTTGGTGCCGAACCACGAAGGCCGAGCGGGCTGCGCCGCGATACACCTCGATCCAAACTACACGGGACCGGCGGTCGACTACAACGACCTGTTGAAGTTCATGCGCGCCCGGCTGCCCCGGTACGCCGTGCCGGTGTTCTTGAGGATCGTCAAGGCGAGCACGCACATCCACAATCACAAGCAGAACAAAGTGCCCCTGCGCAAGGAAGGCGTCGACCCGAGCGCGATCGGCAAGGAAGTGCCCGAGGGCAAAGACGACCTGTTGCTCTGGGTACCGCCCAAGGCGGACGAATACATGCCGTTCACGCCCGAAGATTGGCAAAAGCTGGTCACCGGGCAGGCCAAGTTATAAATACATATACAGCAGCAGCAGCAGCATTTTTCTGTGGAGAAAGCCAGCCATACAAACCCGGAGTCCGGAAAGAATTTAGCGTGCATATATATCCCTTCCATCCACCCACCCATACATCGATACATATATGTATGTATATCCCCTAGACCTGCATATGGCATCATATATCAGCATCTCGAATACGAGTGCGGCACTTGGCACAAAAAACGCCCTTTTTGTATCGAATGTGCCGCAAAGTCCTCTCCTCCAGAGTACACGGATATGACCGGGAGACGGGGAAGGATGTATGAAAGAAGGTGAAGAGGCCGTGAAGGGAGGCTATGTTGAGAGAAGGAAGGAGAGAGGGAAGTCTAAAAGGAGGAAGATGGTTGGGGGAGCCGTTTATAAAGGCCATCGCAGAGTATTGAGTATCTGGCACATCATTCCGCTATACCTAGTGGTCCTCAGTCGTATTTGGCTCTTGAATCCCGTAGCATCTCTTCTATCTCCTCAGGACCATGGTTTATTGCTTCCCGTAGTGAATTCTCAAAGTCTCTTTCCCCTTTGGCATTAACATCGGCTCCCGCATCGAGTAGTATTCGAACAATTTCCTCATGACCCCTTCGTGATGCTGCCACCAATGCATTGCCGTAAATTCCTGATGTTTTGAGTTTAGGAGCTCGAAGTCTAGGCAGCCCTGGGGAAACTGGGTGGGACAATGGAGGAAGGCTCGAGGCGGGCCGCGGGGCAAGAAGTCGCCTTAGTGCAAACCTGCATCTCCACCTGGACAGAGCCGCATTGTTGCTTGTCCAGTGGCTGCTGCTACTAATACAGTGAGTGACTTGCTTCTGCTTCGTCTCGCCATCGTCGCTTTCAGCCTGATTTTGTAAGCACATCTCTCCCCAGCTCCAAAACAATGGCAGGAGTGGAAGCAGCCGGGCTCGTCCTGGGCGCCCTCCCTCTCATCACATCCGCCCTCGAACACTACGAGGATCTTGCCGCCCCCACAATTGCTTTTGTACGTTGGAGACGTTATTTGCGAAGGTTGGTCCAGGAGCTCTACACAATACGTGCCTCCGACGACCAAGCCATTCGCCTTCTTCTGGCTTCTTTTGGGCACCTCGCAATCCAAACCACGATGATGGAGGATCCGCGAAGCAAAGTGTGGAGGGAGGGAGATATTCCCGACAGTCTGCAAGATCAACTAGGAGCGGTATACAAACCATTCATTCTTACCATAGATGAAGTGGCAGAGATCCTGGTCGAGGTAGCATCACCTCTCCATATCCCTGGATCGTAGCAAGTTTGAACACGTCCGTTGGCGTAACCGAGTCAGGACTGACTTTTGTAGGTAGTCACAAGCCAAACCCCATTGCCACTTGTCTCTTCCAATCCACCAGCCGGCGAACACTCCTTTTCATCGTGACAATTTCGACTTTGGGCAGAGGATCAAGTTCGCCATGAAGAGGAACCGTGTGAAGACCTCATTAGAGCGCCTGGAGGCTTGTACGAGGAGAATCGATAACTGGGCCGCAAGAGCCGACAAGCTGCAGGAGGAAACTCCGCAAAGTCGTCTGAAGCTGAAGTTTTCTGCATCGCTAGAAACCATCCAGGAGAACGCGAGCAAAAACATATCGAGCAATTTCACGAAACTGGTGCACCGACCAGTTTGTTCATGTTGCTCGCCTGCTGCTCGAGCAACGACTAGTGAGGTCCAACAAGCGAAAGGGGCCTTCGCAACCAGCGGATGCGAGCTCGGTGGCCCAGGCGACTCGCTTCGGGTTGAGCCTCTACGGGGACTGTGGCGCATCTTTTGGCTGGTTGAATTCTGAAATAAGGATTGACGAGCTTCCGCCGAAGTACAGTGTTTCGAGAATTCTTTCGCGGCTTAGTTCTGAACTCGGGTGCTGACATGATCTCGATGTAGCACGAAGACGGTTCGCGTGACGATCTCAGCCCCGGGGAATGACGACGACGATGACGCTGCAGGTCTAAACGCCTTCACAAACTTTTGCAAGATTATCAGGGAACCTGCCTACCCATTTGTGGGTTTCTCTCTTGACGATACAGGATGTTTAAAAATTCACTAGTATTGGATCCAAATTGCCCTTCATCTACAGCACAGTATGGCGTTTGCCTTTAGAAATAACGGTTCTCTGTCATCTGTTCCATGTCATTTATCTTTTGGATATACTCCGCAGTGGTTCCTTTATTATCTATCCTCTATCCTATGCTATTTGCATTTGGAAATATTAGTTTACTAGATACAGCCTTGGGAGAGACCGATCGTGGACTGCGGAGGCACTCATTAGACAGATAGAAGATTCCATAGGAGACTGTGATATACTCTGTTGGCTCTATCGGTCTTGTTGGCCCTATAAGCAGAGCGCACAGAACAAACAGAGCGCACAGAGCAAACAGAGCGCACAGAACAAACAGAGCGCACAGAGCAAACAGAGCGCACAGAGCAAACAGAGCGCACAGAGCATAAGCATTATATATACACCTTCATTACCCTAGATAGTTACGCTCCCTTCGTAGCCAATCATATTATTTAATGAACCATACTATTCTTAGTAACATAGTGTGGACGGCAGAGCGCCACTGTCAGATTCTTTACGTGGGAACATTGAGCGAAACCTTTGGTGCCAGCAGACAAACCTTGACATCAACAGTTTTGGTCTTTGACGGGGTGAAGCAGCGATTGGGTATATCCAACCATCGGGACGATGCGGCAACCTCTGACAATGTTTCGGTACTAGTCAGAGTCCTCCGCCCGGATTTCAAGCTCAAATATCGAATGATATCGCTCCAACCCGTCATCGAGAGTTATGCAACTCCAGCTCAAATTTACCCTTGCAAAGATGGTCCGAAGTTGGTCCGCCGTCTCCTCCGCCACATTTCAGTCACAGAAGCATTGACACCTTGGTGGAGGCGGAGAACAAAAGTCTAAGCCATCAAGCTTGGACTGCTACTTGTTGAGCTGTCACGGTTGATCTCCAAGACGACAGACCGGGCGTAGTTCCGACTTCCCCGGACAAACCGTCCATATCTCACTGCGCCGCCTTCATCCCTTTCATATATCCCTTCTCATCTTCTTTAGTCGGTGTGAGGTTAGAATATGCTCCACCACAGATTTTCCATTTTTTTCATATAATGGGGTCAATTGAGCAGCCAAAGATCAACCTTGTCCGAATTGCCCACGTTTACTATACGCACAAGGACATCAACAAGGCGCGAGAGTTCCTAGTGGACTTTGGACTCACAGAATGCAAGAGAACGGAGAAAAACATATACTTCAGAGGCTACAGCAAGGAACCCTTTGTATACTGTGCAAAGGAGGGTCCAGAGAACGAGTTTGGGGGTGTAGCATTTGTTGTTGAAAGCGAGCGAGATTTGGACCTTGCACAACAGACTCTTCCTGGCGCGACGAAAATATACGAGCTGGAGGATGCACCTGGTGGTGGAAAATGTGTGACCTTCTACGATCCAGTTGACGGATTCCTTTTCCATTTGATTTACGGTCAAACGCTGTTAAACGAAGAGCAACTTCTACCAGAGATTCAGTTCAACTTTGTAAGCTTATCACAGCCAACGTCGTGGTATTTGTCACAATACCTAACGTTCACCTCAGCCAGCGACCAAAAACCGCGCCAGTGGGCACTACCAACGCTTTGAAAAGCGTACGTTTCCTTCTACCCTTGGGACCTTCTTGCATGCTTACTTTCAAGTATCCAGGCCCTGCTCCGGTCCATAAGTTGGGCCACTTCGGCATGTGCGTGACCAACTTCGACAAAGCGTTTGAATTTTACACGAAACGCTTCAACTTTTATCCAAGTGATGTAAGCAGCAATCCTATAACACAATTTGATTGATGGATCTGATTTTGCAATGTCTCACAGCTTGGACATACTCCCGATGGCAAGAATGTCATTGTATTCAACCGTCTCTCGCGAGGAAAAGAGTTGGTCGACCATCACTGCTTCTTCTTCTTCGAAGGGCCAAAAGCCCACGTCCACCATTCGTCCTTTGAGACACACGACTTTGACACCCAAGTACTGGGCCATGATTGGCTTCGTCATAAAGGATACGAGAATTGCTGGGGAGTAGGACGTCACGTCATGGGAAGCCAGATTTTTGACTACTGGTGAGTGAGCCACACTCTGACCCGGAGCCCATTAAAAGATTTTTTTTTTTTCAGGTTCGATCCTTCCCATTTTATCCTGGAGCACTATACAGACGGAGATTTGTGTGATGAAACGCAAGAAACGGTCGTGTCCCCGGCCTCGCACGACAATCTTCATGTTTGGGGTGAGTGAAACTGCAAATCCTAAAGGAATAAGGGCTTACAAAACTTGTTTCAGGCCCTGACCTTCCATCCACATTTCTACAATGATGCGCACAAAACTCTGCCTTGGTCCTCCTGGATTAATAGCTAGGCCGTACACGGGGGCTAGGGTATGTGCGTCACCAGAAAGGATCGGCGAGAGCAGTCCAATTGTGCTGAACTAGATGTTCTCCAAACCCCCTGGCTTCAGTGGAGGAAATATCTAGGTTTGAGACTGCTGCAGAGATAAATACATAAGCCTTCATGCCAATTAATCGCAAAGCTCGGCCCTGAAGTCCGATTTTACAGGTGTAACACTTGAATGAGCAACTGCCCTCCGAGGCCGAAGATGCTCCGACAGGATGTGTAGAGGAGAAAGCCCCCTTAAGGGACTACATTCTCTTCGCTTCTAGACTGTCATAGCGCGTGAGTCCCAAGAAAAGGTTGCCCTCATCACCTCACATACCTTGATTGAATCTTTGGCCGGAGGTAAAGTGCCTGAGCCATCGTTGTGATTTCTTCCACTCGCTCGTCGACCATGGCATCCACCCAGAGTGCCGTCCGTGGCCTGATGATGGTGCCAATGTCATTGAAGCCGACAATTTCTGTGCAAGAATGCGATGACTGGTATTGCAACGAACATGTCCCCATACGAATGAGACTCCCCTACTTTGAGCATGGGTATCGCTACCGCTCAATCGAAAATGGCTTCGGTGATCCGGATGCCAGTGAGTTGCCCGAATGGCTCGCTCTCTACGACATTGCCAACATGTGGAAACTTACGCAGAACGAGTATGTGCGTCTGCTCCAGCCTACTTTCCAATCACTTCGAGAGAGCAAAATCATTCAGAATATTTCGGCGTCGCGTAGATACTACGATCTCGTATCGACTTACGAAGCGCCCGGCTTTGTCTCGCCAGAAGACTCTCTACGCATGGGCGATGTTGGCGAAGCATACGGGGCGACCCTTATTGTTGTAGGCGTCAGTCTCTCGAGCGATACGCCGGAATCCGAGTCGGAATGGAACAGATGGTACGAGGAAGACTATCTCCCGGCATTGTGGAGTGTCCCCGGCTGGCGGCGGACGCGACGATATCGGACCTCGTTCATCGAAGATGCGCCGACGGAGTCTATGAAGTTCGCCTCGAGGATTGAATATCTGACGTTGAACGAGTTTGCAAACCCAGCCGTGATAGGGGGTCCAGAGCATCAGATTGCAATTCAGACAGAAAGCCGGACAAATGTTGTTGCCAGCAAATGGAGGCACGCGTACAAGTTGCATTACATTCAAGGCCCAGCTTCTCGTCACCTGGCGGCTCTGGGGCGCGTCGATATTGAGGATTTTGTGAGCCCTGACGGACTGACCAAAACGCTATCTGGCCCAACACCACGCATTGAAAGCTACATAATCGCCAGGGACGACATGATCATCACATACATGCTGGAAGGCACCGCAGTGGAACCTGCTACCACGCTCGTTCTCTCCACTTCTGCGGGTCTTTCATGGAAATCCTGGAATGGCTTTGTGGAGAGGCTACTTTCACAGGATGCCGCATGGACATGTCAAATCTTGCGACTGCAGCTCCCAATCCGTCGGAACAATGCTGACAATACCCTAAATGATGCTGTCAGCCTCGTCTCGGTCGCCAATGATCTAGAGGACTGCTTCAATGCATTGAGGATGGGGAAAGCAGCTTTCCACTTGAATCTAAGGCTAGGTGGTAGGACAGCCGACGGATCACGGTTGACAGTTGTCAACGAGATAGGAAATAATTGTGTTGCAAAGTCCGAGCCTTTGGCACAACTATGTGGCAGAAACGCTATCATCACTTGCGATTCGTCGCAGAGGCTTACCAATGCTATGGACATTCTAGAGAGGGCAGCATCAGTCGCTCGAGAACTCGATGACCTTTGGGACAAGATGATCAACCCCCTCCAGTAAGCAATGGATCGCAACATTGACCATATGACTTAGAGTATATTGTGTTCTGGGTAATCTTCCGGATAATAGACCGGACATGCAGGGTGAGAGACTATCGAGGAGTGATCAAGGAATCAAAATCTGTAGAGCAGATCTCAAACACATTGCCCCATGGGTCCTGAACGTATCTCGCCTGTTCTCCATTTGGTAAAATGACGGCCTGGCCAAATTCTTTCCCACCGGCCTGGACGACTTTCATCGCTAGAGCTTCGGGATCTGGTGCGGTCACGGCTATGTGAAAGAATCCACCTTGCGTCCAGGCTTGTGGATTGAACGGAGTTGGTGATGTAGTTGTGCCTCCTCGGTAGTTCGGATCGATGAACTCGAATATTTCAATGCCTATCTGGTTTCCCGTCCCTAAATAGGCGACCTTGACATGGTGGAGGTCGTCGCCATAGACTTGAGCAAGACGTCGTTAGCTCAGCCACGGATAGCAGCAAACAGGGACGGGGAGTGCTTGTATTTACCACGAAACACGATGCCGTCTGGGTCTTGGGTCCTGTGCATGGTGGCATTGGGGATGATTCGGCGAAATCCGAGTGTCTCCATGTACCATTTGGCAGCTGCATCGCAATTATCCACGGAGAGGGCAACGTGGTTGAACTTGCAATTGACACCCGCTGACATGATGTGAGGAAGGGGTGAAGGTTGCCTACACGGGGCACAAACGAATACAAGGATTGTGTGTCCTTCAAACACCCAGATATTCAAGGTCTTAAATACATCTCCTCTCCACTCCCCAGTCTTTAGGTGGGCTCCTCCGCGTCGAGGTCCACGCCAATCGCATTCTCCTCGAATTCTTTGGTGTTGAAAAACTGATTGGCTTCTTCGGGAGTATCAAAATTGTCTACCTGCGTCTCCGGTTCGTTGCCATCTGGTTCGTGATCATAGTGACCGGTCGTCGAACCATGATTCGCGCACCAGAAGGAGAGATGTCGAGAGCTTTCCTCTGACGATGCGATACTGCTACGTCCTGTAGTGAGTGAAAAGTAAAGGCGATGTCAGCTAGGCCAGCCGGCTTTCTCACCTGTTGGATGGTGTCGGGAAACTTGCCAATGACGATCCGGTGATGCTCCTCGTCCTTTCTAATTCCGTAGTCCTTACCACATGTAGGCACCTGGGCTCAGAGGATGTAGCCGACCTTGCGAGCAGGAGAGGTCAGCGGAGCAAACCCGGGTAAGAAAGGGACCTCGTTGTGGGTATGCGGAAAACGGCAGGATTTCGCGCAGACTTTGTCAATCAATGTCTGGTCGAGTCGTCAATGATGTTTCGCGTAACACTGGGGCTATTAGGGTCCAGACCTACAAGAGCGAGTGTAAAGCAGGTACCTTTGCGATCTCTCCGGGTCGTGGATCCACAACCATACCAGCCCATAGAATAAGTGGACCTTTTCCCAGATCGGTCTATACGAGATGGGACGTGGAGACACTTCTGATGGGCACAACCATGGCGTGACTGGTCTTCAACACGTGGGTTTCAATCGAACTTGTTCACTATTCGGATTATTCGAAAATAGTCACCAGGATTTGGCAGCATTTGACTGTTCGACCGAAATAGCCACATCGCAGGTGGATCTTGGAGTGTTTGTATGCTTACCTTCTACCTAAGGTCTAATTGGTGGAGCATATTCGGGTAGATTTTGCGACTACTCTTGAACAACTCTCCCCGTCCGCGTTTGTCGTTCCCACAGATCTATCCCGAGACAGTGCAAAACAGGGGAAAAAAAATTACTGACTGATGCGCCACACGTGGGCATTCATACATAGGGCACAAACCCCGATGGCTCCCACGAATCATGTTCGTTGCGCGGATCCTCGCCAAAGATATATGAAAATGGATGAGATCCAACCTTGCGCGCTTAATCTGGTCTTTTTTCACTCCACTCTCTGAGCCATCTGGGCTGTATAATCGGATTTAAATACTCAGACAAACGAGACAACAACCACACCGCCAGCGCCAAGGAGAAACATGCCTGGAAAGACCATGAGAGCATTCCGCCTGGTGGAATACGGCAAGCCGGGCCAATACTGTGAGGTTCCCATTCCCTCACCCAAGGAAGGCGAGGTCCTCATCCGAATGAAGGCAGCTGGTCTCTGCCGGTCGGACCTCGACATGATAGACTCATTGCCTGGCTCGGATCCGTACGCATCTGCTGTCGACGCGCCTTACACCCTCGGCCACGAGAATGCCGGAGTCATTGAGGTGCTGGGCGAGGGAGTAACGGACCTCAAGGTCGGCGAGGGTGTCGCCGTCCGCCACATGCCCCATTGCTCGCACTGTGAATATTGTATCCGGGGCGTTGAGCAACATTGTGAGACGTACAAACGAGGAGCCATTGAAATCAATCGCGGCACTGGATGGGACGGCGGTCTCGCCGAATTTATGATTTGCCCAAGAGATCAACTGGTCAGCATTGGGAACGAGGATCCTATCAAATACGCTCCTTTGACTGACGCCGGCGTCACCGCCTACCATGCTGTGGGGACCGTGAAGCACTGTCTCAGGCCGGGTTCTTCAGCGATTGTGATCGGCTGTGGTGGTTTGGGATCGTATGCCATTCAGTTCCTGAACCTCTTGATGGGCGTCAAAGTCTACGGTGTGGATGTCAGCGACAATCGGTTGAGAATCGCACAGCAACTCGGAGTGAAGCGTGCTTTCAAGGCGGGGCCGAATGTGGCCGCGGAGATTTTGGAGGAGACCAGCGGGAAAGGAATCGATGGAATCATTGATTTTGTCGGCAGTGACGCCAGTCTGGAGCTGGCCATGAAGATCACGAGGCCGCAAGGCCGGGTGGTTCTTGTGGGCATGGAGATGGGCACAGTGCAAGTCGGCTGGAATAAGATTGCAACAAGTTGCGAATTTGCCATCAGCTTGGGGTCATCCCGCAGAGACCTCGAAGAGGTGTGCTACCTGGCCTCTGCTGGGAAGCTCAAAATCGACGTCGATCCATTTCCGTTTGATAAGGTGCCAGAGGCGTATCAGGCGCTCCGTGACGGGAAACTCAATGGGCGTGCAGTCATTACATTCAATTAAGAACTATCCGATACTAGAAGTGGAAAACCACCATGCCACACAGGCTTGAATCTACCACGAAAGCCTTCATCCGCTTATTCCATTATCAGGCCATAGGCCTGCCAGAGAGGATCTCTCCAAAGTAAGTTGAAAGATGGTTATTCGAGCCTATCAGGTCACTGGCAAAGGGGATCCCGGCTAAGAAGTCGGGTGACAAGTCAGGTTGCATATCAATGCTGTTGTAAAATGAAAGTGAGCTCCCCTGTCGAACGAGGTCGCTGGTAGGCATGTTGTCCGAGAGCATCGGCATTGGTTGCACTGCGGCCGACGTGGAATCGGGTAAAGGTCTAACCTGGTTAGGAACTCCGTCCTGCGGTGCTTGTTGCATGGATTCCTGTTGCAAGACGGAGCTGTTGCCAAAGGAGCATGCGTCGACGGGGCCAAAGCCGGCTAAGTCGCTATGAGGTTGAGTACTGCCCTCATTGATCGCCGACAAAGCAGCCTTCTGCGTGTTCATCGTGCTCGTCTGGGTCCTTGTATGGTTCCCTGAGTACGCACTCATTCCGCCTATCGTGCACGTTAGCGACTCTGTGGATATCTTTATATGAGCTCTGTCAGTCTGCTGCTTACCATGGTTGCGGCCATCCCCACGATTTGGCCCGTTACAGCTTTGGGCAGTCGGAGAATTTGAGTAGGTCCGTCTTTTCGCTATAGGTAGTCTCTGATCGGTCTCATGTGCCCTTGAGCCTTCAGCAATATCGTTCTTTCCTGCCGCATTCCGGAGGTTGTCGATTTCGCTCTCAATAACCTCCAAGTTCTTTTGTAGCGTCGACGACATGTTCCAATACCCCACGAATCTGTTGTAGGTCATGCTCAGCACTTCCAACTTGGAATTGGCCAAGTCTCTGTCAGATCGGTCAAGCGGTGCAAGCTCTCGGTATAAGAGTTGTACGGCACCAGCCAACCAGATAGTGTTCGCAAGGAACGGGTTAACATATTTGTAGTGCTCCTCATAGCTCCGACCAACCAGCGCAACAATTTCGTCAGCAGCTTCCGAGCAATGCTCGAGAGCCTGACTCTGCATCGCCTGGTGCGAGGAGTGTATAGAGCGCTGACCATTGCTGTTCCTTGAACTCTCTCCCGGAGTGCTATGGAAATGGTGATACTTGTAAATCATAAGCTTAGTTAGTTGGACCATTGCGTGAATGCTATAGATTGAGCAATGTTGGAGTCGTTGTTTTATTATCACTTGGCGATCCAGCTCGCGGGTCCCAAAGCTGAGATACTGATATCGGTAACTGTGAGGTTTGGGAAGCGTCATGACCGTACACTGGAGAGCATTTTGAATCATGCAGAGCAGATTTAGTGACTGCTTGTCAGGCGTTGCTTTCCGACGGCCACCGCGACCGGCGTCGCTGACTTCGACCGAATTCTGATTTGCTCTGGGTTGACCATTGGAGACCGGTGCTTTATCAACCCCGATGGGGCTTGTGATGTTTTGCGCGTCTTTCATCAGGGAGTTGATCACAATAAACCAAGCCTTGGGAGACTGGTTGCCAGTAGCTTCGAGAACCTTGTATCTCTCAATAATGTCCAGCCTCAGGGTACAGCTTTTTTGAGGCTCCCCTTTGAGCCAGTTCTCGTCCTCGGAGGGCAGGAATGTCTCGTTCTGGGACCAGTCGATAGCTGTCGGGCAGCGACGGATGACACTGGCGAAAACATCCATCTCCCAGATGGCCCACCAAGCTCGACGACGCTCTTCCTCTTCACACCACTGTGCCGAATCTACCTGGTCGTCGTAGCAGTTGTTTGCATCTATCAGGTGCATATTCAATTCGTATGCACTGCTGACAGCAACTCTCAGGTATCTCCAGGCCCGGCCTCGCACTCCTTGTGTCAACAGCCAGTGTGTGATCAGAATTAAAGCTTGCAGCAGCGGAAGGGAGATCGGCATGTCTTCGCATTCGTAGATGGCCTGGTCAACGTATTTCAACGCTTGGTTGATAAAGCCTGAACTTGGGGCTTTTTCGTCCGTCTCTGACCGTATGTTGCCGTCACCACATTGCTCATGATCCTTTGTCGCGAAGATCAAGATTGCTGCAAGAAGAGCCTTGCACTGATTAGGGGTTTCGATTTGCTGAAGCATGTGGCGAAACTCGGGCTCCCGAAACAGCTGAAAAGATGCGAAATTCTCGAAGAACTGGTCGATTCTGCAAAACACTCAGTCAAAATATCTGTCGCAAAGTGTGATGACATACAAGCCCTCCAAGTCTTCGGGATGGAAGCCCAATGAATAGCAACTTGCGGCCACATGGCTTTCCTGTTGACTCTGCCCATTGCATCTGGGGCTGTCGTCTTTGCTGCGCTTTTCGGGCGAACAGGATTCGTGCGAGGGATGAATGATAAAGCTGAGACTCTCAATGTTGGTCGCTTGTCTCCCAGAAGATGTTGAGCCTACGTCTGAGGAAGCATCGTTCGAAGCCGTGGTCCAATTTCCGGACGTTTGAAACCCGTCTCGCTCTGTCGTCGATGGCGGTCTCCTCGTCGATCTCGGTTGTCCATCTTTGTCTGGCTCGCCTGACAATAGGGTGATTGTAAGCTTGGATCCTAACACCAACCATTGTGGAAGCACTTACTTCGACTCTTCCGCTTACGAGGGTTTTGCGTCGAACCAATTTTGGGCCCTGGCCTGAGTTGTTTCTCTGGGTACGCGCAAGGCTGCATGGACTGCTGGCAAAGATGACAGTAAGGGAGCTCTCTTCCACACTTGATCTTGCGTCTGCGACAGACGTGACAAGCGATGGTTGACCGCATTTGGGTCGATTCTTCTTCGCTGAAGTTGTTCTCAGACATGATGAGAGGGCACGGAAGACTCGAGTTATACAGGCTCCCCAATCGAAGTATGAGTGTTTAAGGCGCTGTAGAGCCCCCTGCGCAGAGCTGCTACCGGAGCAGAAAACATGAACGAAATGCAGTTGGAAGGAAGACATAGCTCTAGGCGACGTGCAGGCTTGTAGAGAAACGGATAGACCATCAGTGGATTGCGGGGGGGTTCCACGCCAATAACGATGAACTATTCGTCGATCTGGGGTATTGCCGAACCACGAAATCGTGTTTCGGCGATTCATATCGAAGCCCAGACCGAGCAGTGTCAGGCACTGGCCCTTCCTTTTGTCGCAGGGTTGCTAACGCTGCTTCAAACAGGGATAGAAGGGGCTCGTCCTACGTTATTTTTTTGGACATCGATGGTTGGCACTGTTCGACATGGCGGAAACCTTATAGGTTAGCTCTTCTAAATGATTCTTGCTTCGAAGTTTTACTTGAGGAGGAGGCGAGCTTTTCGAAAACTAAATTCGACCATTGGGTGTTTCAGCCATGTGGAGATTTGTCTGACTCGTCACCTCGTGTTGGAGCGACCCCCAGAGGTTGGAACCAGCGGGGGCGGGAACCTCTGGCAGGCCCTCGCTGCGTAATAGCTGTGCTGAATGTGGACCCTCAGAGGGAAGTTGCCTCCCTCAAAGCATTTTTATCCACAGAACGGGACCGGCTGTCTGAAAGGTGCGAAGGGAGCGACTGTAAAGGGACGTGTGTGATTTGCGGCCGATGGGTCTTCCGGAGCGACTGTCGGCACGACTTCGACTGGCCACCAAGCTGGTCAAAAGCTAGAACGTACCTGGCTATGCTTTGACAGTCCGGCCAACTCACAGAATCAATCATGGCGACCGTCTAGAAACCGAACGCTGGGAATATGACTTACTAGGAGGAACAACTGACAGACTCGGAGAACGTGGTGGTCTAATACTAAAGCGATTTTCCAGATGCAAAATCTGGAACAAGACTTCCGTCTGCGAATTGAACTTGTCGAAGACACCTGCATTCTGCCCCGGGGTAAGGAATCGAAGACAATCTCCCAGTTATCATGGCGTATCCAAAGCAGACTTTTCAGCTGGTTATGGTACCTCATCGTCCTGTGCACACTGACGAAGAGATCAACCAGGATCTGGCACCGGCGTTCGGAATTTTGCAGAGGTAGGTCCGAATAGAGGTGATGGAAAGATTCAATGGTTGCTAAGCGAACGCATAGAGCTACAGGGCTGCAAGCTTTGTGGAGAGGCAAGAAGCATGAAGACCGCTATACTCAAGTTGCACTCTTGCTCTGGGAGAGCCTGGCAGCGAGCCACGCATTCTTCACCAGTGCTGATTACACCGAATTTCACAGACTGATTCAGGCTGCAATGAACGGGAGACGGATAGAATGGCAGAGTCATACCTTGATCGATACCACGGGTATCGATGACAAGTCCCACTTGTTGAGGACCCTCGAGTCGCCAGCAATAGAGGTTGCTCTCACAAAGGTCGTCGAGGGCGGCGTTGCAGGATATTACTCGCAGTTCCGCAAGATCGTGGTCCCTATTTTAAATGATGACCCTGGATGTGATGGACACTTTGTAAGCCCCCTGGTCGAGAATCCTCAAGACCAACTACTTCTGATCAATTGGAGATCGGTTGATGTAAGTGTTCAATTGGCGATGTGAATCTAGGGACTATACACTGATGCAGGTTGACAGGCCCATCACCAGGACTTTGAGAAAAAACCCACCTTCAAGGCATGCATTGATGGCCTCAAAGACTACTACGCAGTTTTTGTCATCCCTTGGCACATTGTCGAGCTCAAGTTGATCCAGAGCAGCCTGTGACAGAAAGAGGTCAGACAGAGAGATTCACACACACACACACACACACACACACATATTAAAACATTGCGTGGCTGTTCAAGCTATACTTCCCCACATCATCGTGGGTCGACCAGATGAACAAAACAGGCATGCAGAGTTCAACCCCGAGCCGTGATGACATGGATGGCTGTATTTAAACCATCTGTATGCAATGACTTCAACTCTCGCCTTGGAGTCTATCGACTGTCGTGATTGTTTCTGATTTATCCAGGTCCTTCACCCAGCTTTGTAGAAGCCGCATGCGGCATAACCTCCATCCACAGTCCAGTGAGCTCGCCGCATCATCAGTTTTTGGGCATCTCAGACAAAGGGGAGACAGGGACTCACCTCCTGTAACGTAGGATGCGTCGCTGCTCAAAAGAAACACTAGAACCTTTGCCACTTCCTCGGCTTTTCCCATGCGACCCATCAGGGTGCCCGCGCTGACAATGTCGGCGTTGAACAATCCTTTCGCCTCCCCCTCGCGAAAAATTTTGGTATCGATAGGGCCTCTGGGAGGCTCTGTCAATTGTGTATCATAGACCCCTAGGCGGTGCGGAAGTAGACCCACGGCAAAACTGCGTTCAGTCTAATTCCCTTCCTACCATACTCTCCTGCCGCAGACTCCGTCAGGCCAATCACGCCGAATTTGCTGGAGGCGTAAGCCGCATTGTTGGGGAGGCCCCTAAGCCCCGATGTACTCGAGACATTGACGATTGAACCCCCAGGTCGAGTAATCTCTTGGAGCTCAGCCCGCATACAGTTCATAACTCCCGTCAGGTTGACTGCAATCATCTTGTCCCATGCTCGTTGATCCTACCGGCATGTCAGTGAAGGATTGAGGGTGCAGACTGTGTACCTCACGATGGCCTCAGTGATCTGCCCGTCACCTGAAGCGATGCCAGCAATGTTTGCGGCGCCGTCGAGCTTACCGAACACGGCGACTGTGTCTTTGATCCAAGCGTTGACCTGCTCGGCGTTACTCACGTCGACTTGCTTCACTGTGAGCTTTGCAGGGTATTGACTGCCTTCACTGATCAGTCACTACTTGGGATATGAGCAGCTCAGGTGCAATGCGGATTCTCACAGAGAGATTCTGTCTCCTGAAGCCCAGCCTGATCCACGTCGCTGATGGCAACACCTTGAGCGCCCAGCTCCGCGAGCCTTATCGCTGTTGCTCTTCCAATACCTGAGCCTGCGCCAGTGACAGCAAACACTTTGCCTTCCATCTGAAGTTGTTGTATCAAGGTCCGCGAGCGGGTCGATTCTTCGAACTGCCAGCCAATTTCTTTGAGGAACTTGGGTTTGTATCTTCAGGCGGTGCTCTCTCGCTAGCAGTCCAACTCCACTAGAGATTCAACAAGTCATACCAGTGTCGAGGACTGCGCGTGATCGAATTTCGTCGGCACATTTTGTCCGGTTGGTTGGAAATCGCGGGCTTCAGCACGGAATCCGTAATTGTGAAAGATCTACCCAGTAGAACGCGCCCTCTGATCCAGAGCGGCATGCTTGGTTTGGAATCTGTTCCGAGCTTTTCTGAAGGCCCCGGCTCGGGCCGAGAAGGAATTACAGTAGTTGGAAGTTTTGATTGTGTCGAGTCAGACGCAACACGCAGCTAAAACCACGTTCTCGCCAATTGGGCAGCGGGCCTTTCGAAAGCTTACTTGTGTCGAGTAAGACAGATACCATCCACATGCAGGAGAGGCCACGTGATGGCCAATCGGCGGTGTTTTCCTGGTCGGCTCAGAAAGTTACACCGCATTTGTCGCAAGTGTGATGCATACTAACAAGTACACCGTACATGTTGCGGGGCCCTTCTTGGATCCGCACATGACATGTTAGCAAAACTCTATACTGGGTCGAGCAATGTCAGTAGCCAAGGCTTGCGGATTGACTTCGGAGAAATTTTGTAGACGACAGTCCTCCGTACAGCAGACCAGTCGCGATAAAGGCGGGTCACACCTTCAAGTCACTAGAGTGCGAGGCCAGAGGCTACTAGAGGCTGCACTGCAAACTTCGGGCCTCAAACCCTTCAATATTCTGTTTAGGGTTCATGGAGACGGCATCAAAAGAGCGGCGGAGTGTGGAACATGGAAAGCAAGCGCTGGACGATTCGCACGTATTAACAATTAAAATCACGTTCCCCATGGTTTCCTTCATTTGGGCGTGGAACTCACCTCAATAATCCTCAATTTGCCACCGAGTGCTCTCTGCGCAAACAGTTCGCGATTTTTGGACACAAAATGACCGACCAGTCCAAGATCATTGAACAGCTTCAGGCACGCTTACAACTTTTGGAGGACAAGGATGCCCTCGCCACGTTGCTCAATCAGTATTGCACCACCGCCGACGCGCATGATTGGAAAGGCTACGCCGATACTTATATTGACGAAGGAGCCATAATGACCTTCGAGTCTTGGGGTGATATTGTTGGCAAGGACAAGATCGCCAAAGCAGCGAGTGCGGAGCAAATCTTCGAAGGTCTTCAGCACACCATGACCAATATGCAATTCCAGGTTGATGGCGACAAGGCCAAGGGCACCGCATATCTCTGGTTCTGTGCAACACCCGAGATAGCCAAACCTGAAATCCACTATGCATTTGGCGGACCCTACAGCTTCGATTTTAAACGGACCAGCAAGGGATGGAAGATCTCATACATGAGATTGAAGAAGATATGGGCGCACGGCAAAGACACAAAAGGAGTCTTTGGCCCCACCTAGACTGAGACTCTGTTGTAGCAGGTCTTGGGGGCATACATCTAGGATGTCCAAAGCTCTCGTAGAAGACCATCGGATAATAGCCCCAACATTTTCTATCAATCCGCGTGTGACTACCTCAGCCCAGTCATGACTTCGTGGTTCTCTTTGTCTATTCTCGATCCCAAAATCGAATCAAAAAGGACGTCGGAAATCCCCAATTTGTGTTGTCCAATGACTCTACAAGAGGATAGGGATGCTGGCCAGCCATTTTGGGCAGGCACAGACTGACCTATTGCCGAGGAATCACGTTCGTTGGCCTTTTCCATCCAAGTCTAGTCCGTGGGGAAGTGACCATACGAGCTGAGTGCTTCGGAATTCTAGTTTGAAGTTCGTCCGGTTGGGTAGTCATGGCTTCTTTACGGCACACTAGGCTCGCATTCACCCGCCGGTATGAGATCCTAAGAATACAAATACCAGAAAGTCCGGCCAGAGCAATCTGTATGTTCCAAACCGCCATCCAAAGAGCCTATCAATACCTCGCAACCACATGAATGGTCACTCAAGCATGTTAGGGCCGGACTTACTGGAGGGCAAGGTTGGGCTGGTCACGGGTGCAGGAACACCGTATGGAATCGGCCGGGAATGTGTCAAAAAATTTGCAGCGGCCGGGGCCAAGGCCATTTACGCCTGTGATCTGAATACAAGCAGTATCTCGTCACTCCAGGAAGAGTGCAAGAGAGCTGGATATGCGACCATAATCGAAGGACGTCTTCTCGATGTATCCAACGAGGAGCAGACGGTCGCAATCGTTAGGGAGATTACAAAGATTCATGGTCGATTCGACTTCTGCATTGCGAATGCTGGTTTCGCCAACTACAGGTACGCATGTCTGTTCACACTGACGGAAACCAGTCTCACATACTGACGATCCAGAAATCTCAACGATACTGAGATGGTCCATTACGATCGACAGGTCAATGTCATGACGCGCGGAGTATTCCTAGCCATCAAATATGGAAGCCAGGCCATGATGGTCACGTCCGACCTGAAGCCTCAGCCTGGTGGCACCTTCGTGGTCACTGGGTCGTGCGCAGGCTTCTCTGGGGCCTATTCAGACCTTCCGTACGGTAAGTTATTTGTCTTCTTCGTCTTGTTGCCATGATTGACCTGACATGCTTGTTCTGGTAGCGGTGGCAAAGACCGCCTTGCATGGCATGGTTTCCAGCGGTTCTGCCCACCTTTCGTCCAGCAACATCCGGGTAAATGGGGTTGCGCCTGGCTTCACAAAGAGTAGCATCTTGACCGTCTCAAAGGATGCCGAAAATGGCGAATACAAGAACGACCTGGACGAAGATCAATTGAAGGAGAATCACATGTGGTTCTTCGAACGCGCCGGATTGCTCAAGTCGCCGGAGTACTTTTACAACCGCCTGCAGGATCCGTCGGAAATTGCAAGCGTCCAGTTGTTTTTGGCTTCTGATTTATCTTCGTGTATCAATGGCCAGATGATTTTGGCCGACAGCGGCAAGACTGCAGCAGCTACCGGAGACGCTTGCACGGGGCCCATTCCTCCAATTAAGCCGCTTGATCTCTCGTGAAACCCACGGGGCAATAAGGACGCATAGGGTACTAAGTTGATTGATCAAAGACCTTCATCCTACCATCTTTGCACTTCCTTGCGAGTATGGCTTCTTTCTGCAGGGCGTTCCACACGTTGAGACATGTGCAACTGGCTTAGTGGTGCACTTAGTGGGTGTGAATGCGAGGTTTGGCATACACCGAAGTCCCTCCGTCTAACGGACAGCTGGGCGACATTTTCGCCCTAGAGCAAGAGTAATGACGGTAGATTTCGGGATCATCGGTCTATCTGGGGTACAGCGTTATGTTGAAATGTTTATTGCAGCCCGGTGGCCCGTGTATAACTCGCGTGTAAAAGAATACCGTCAAAGACCTAGGGGGGGGGGGGGGGGTCTGAAAGCTGATTTGGAGTGTATATGAAGCCGCAGAGGTCCCTGCAGGACGACTAGAACCGCATCAGAATTCCGAGACCCAACGCTACCTGCAATTCAATATAAATCGATGGCACTCATGATAAGTCCTACCATCATCGTTGGCGTGCTCATTGTAGCTTTTGCGATATGGAGACTCTTACGAATTGGTCGACGAGACCCCAGACTCCCGCCAGGACCGCCAACGGTTCCCGTGCTGGGAAACGCTCACCAAATTCCTCTCACGGGATTGGGCAAAAAGTGGGTTCATGCTATCCATCACTTTGTACGCCAAAGTCAGGGGTTTGGACTGATTGCGAAACGCAGATTCCACGATTGGGCCAAAGAGTACGGGCCGATCTACTCTTTGAAAGTCTTTGACTCGACTATGATCGTGTTGGCCGATCGCAAAGCCATCTATCAGCTGCTGGATAAGAAAGGCAGCATCTATTCAGAAAGACCATATCTTGAAGTTCCCATTTTCATGAGTCGGGGCTGCCATATGACTTTTGAACAAGCAACACCAGGCTGGAGAGAAAAGCGCTCCGTAGTCACAAGGAATTTGAATCCCAAAAACCTGGACGAGAAGCATTTCAGGGTCCAAGAAGCCGAGTAAGTCCGTGCAGAGGGCGGAAGGAGAGTGAAACTCTGACAAGAACAAAATCCCAGGTCGACCGTTTTCATGAACAACCTCCTTCACCATCCTACCAAATCATTCGACTACGCTAGGCTGTACGCTTCGTCCGTGGCGTCAATACTCGCATGGGGCTTCAGGGCCAAGGATTTCAATTCCTTCTTCTACAAGGACTTTTACGACTTTGTGGACCAGGCAAGTCGAAACGTCAATGTTCTTAGGAGACCGGTGTTCCCAATTCTAACAACCCGTCTGCTGATAGTGGCTTGGTGCAATCGAGCCAGGTGCAAATCCGCCCGTGGAGCAGGCGCCGTGGCTGTGGTATCTCCCGGGAGCCTGGAAGAAACGAGCTTACCACGTGAGGGATCTGATGGATTCAACGTGGTCTAAAGCGCGGAAAATGGTTGAAGAGAGACGCGAAAGAGGCGACATCCGCAACTCGATGATCGATCTGAAACTTACCGAGTATGAGAAGGACGGCTGGCCCATGTCACAGTATGCCTTCAATAATCTTTTTGGAGAATTGCTCGAAGCGGGAGCAGACAGTGAGTCTCAGGCCCTGATCGAGCCACCGTGGACGATGTCCTGTACTAACGCCACGCAAAGCCACCGCCAATATGCTTCTGACCATCATCCTTGCGGTTACAAAGTTCCCCGAAGTTCAGGTCAAGGCAAGAGAGGAGCTAGACGAAGTCTGTGGTACCGAGCGAACGCCCGTCTTCTCCGACTTCGACCGCCTTCCATATATCAACTGCATTATCAAGGAAGCTTTGAGATGGCGCCCAACGTGAGATCTCCGATATGAGACGGCTATTGCCGTGTCGCTAACCCTCTTCCTTGCCCAGCTCCGATCTTGGGATTCCACACCGACTCGCTCAGGGTGAAGCCCTCGCCGTCATCTTCAGCACTAAAAACAATGCTAACGGCCTACAGATGATTGGTACGAGGGCATGTTTTTCCCAAAAAACAGCACAGTTTGGTTGGCCGCTTGGGCTATCCATCAAAATGAAAACGAATATCCTCATCACGACCGCTTCAACCCGGATCGATTCAAGAAACATACCAAACTCGCCAGCGATTATGCCGTAGGCCCAGATTGGCAAGGCCGAGATAAGTTCTTCTGAAATTGATTTCTAGCTACTTTCGTGCTGACTATGAAGGTTTTACATCACTACGGATATGGAGCAGGCCGAAGGATGTGTCCGGGCATCCACCTGGCAGAAAGAAGCATGTGGCGCGTTACCGCAAAATTGCTCTGGGCCTTCGAGTTTGAGGAACTGCCGGACAAGCCACTCGACGTAAATGCGTACACTTCATCGAATCTTGTGCGACCGCTGGAATACGAGGTCAAAGTGACACCTCGAAGTGAGCAACATAGAGATGTCATCCGACGTGAGCTGAACGGAGCCTTGGAATTCTTGAGCCAATATGACTGAAAGCACATGCGTTGATTGCAAGGAAGGTGTTATTGTAGCCAAATTGAGAAAGTCGCGATACAGGTGTCAAGTTCACCAACCAAATTTCTACATTGTAAAGATTCGTCGTCCCTTAAGAGGCAGACTGGTTGCTCTTCTTCTATTTCCTCTGTATTCCCCCATGACAACATCTCCCTTGCAGCTGTCAAGCAATTCTAGACGGTGGTGAGTTTTGTGCGAAAGCTTGATATCCAATAACTGGCTGGCTTGGTCTGTCCGTTGAGCGCATATGATCCGCCTCAAACAGCGGAACGGGAAGAGCGGCGGATGGTTTTCGGACACTTGCAAGTGCCACAGTCCGACCGGATACTTCGTTCAAGCCCTAGCTACTTATTCCGATTCGACTCCACCACACTGGTTCACGAAAACGGATGAAGCCTTTATGGCATAATTAAGTCATTCAAGAAGTTCCCGGTCTTTCCTTTTCATTTTATTGTTCGACTTACGACCAAATCAAAAAGCCATCATGTCAATGCAAGGGAAAGTTGCAATTGTGACAGGAGCCGGCCTGGGGCTCGGCAGACTCTATGCCTTGGGACTAGCAGCAAAGGGTGCCAAAGTTCTGGTCAACGACTACGGCGGGACTCTGGAAGGGCAGGCAGGCACTATCACCAGGGCCCAATCTGTTGTCGACGAGATCAATGCCGCAGGGGGGGTCGCGGTGGCGCACAATGGAGATGTTTCCAAAGACGCCAAAGAGATTGTGGAAGCCGCGGTCAAAGAATTCGGCACTGTGCACATTCTGATCAACAACGCCGGTATCACGGGGAAGATGTCTTCTCATTACGACGTGGACGGGCCTGCATTTATGCGGGTGCTCGAAATTGGTGTCCTCGGGACGACATTGGTGACCAGTGCCGCGTACTCCATTATGGCAAAGCAGAATTACGGCCGTATCGTTAATGTTTCGTCGAATGCTATATACGGGTTTGGGACTGGAGGCGACTGCGCATACGGTGCGTCCAAAGGCGCGACATTTGCAATCACGAGAGAGCTGGGCAGATGGTCTGAGCGAGACGGTATCAAGATCAACTGTATTATGCCGTCTGCCGCATCGAGAATGGGCGACTTATCCGAGGGTACAAAAATGGTCACCCGCACCTATTTCCCTCCGGAGGTATGTATTCGACTTATCTATGAGTTTATATGTAGTCGTATAGCCCTTTACTGACTTAAATCGTACGATAGGGTGTGGTGCCCTTCGTGGTAGCTCTTTGCTCAGAAGAATGCCCATCGTCTGGGGAGGTCTTTACAGCTAGTGCTAATCGTGCCGCACGGGAGACCCTGGCAACCTTTCCAGGTCTCAAGTCAGAGACAGCAGAAGGATTTCTGGTCGACTGGGACACGGTCATGGGGAAGGGGGACACTCCGTTCCTGGCAGACAGCACTCTTGATCATGTCAAGTATATCATTCGCGAGGCACATGGCAAGGAAATGGAAGATATCCCAGACTTTGGTATTGCAGGGAAATAGCTCAAGCACCATTTTGACTCTGTTTGGTTATAAGAAGACTTCATATATGTTTCGAAGCCACGCTTTCCATAACGACCTTGGTTCCACAGGCATATATATTTCATCGAGTAGAGTATCCCCCGCAAACGGGAAGGGTGATTCCTGTCACATATGATGCCGCGTCCGATGCCAGCCACAAGGAACCTTGGGCCACTTCGTGGGGAGCCGCCCACCGCTTCAGGTAACTTAGGTCCGAAAAGGCCTCGTGGGTGGTGCCAATAGATTGCAAACTGGCGGCTGACATCTCGGTCAAGATGGCTCCTGGAGCAATGGTGTTGACTCGGATCCCCTTGTCTCCGTACTCTAGCGCTGCCGTCTTGGTCAGGCCTACAACGGCATGCTTCGACGCCGTATAGGCAGGCATGTTGTACTGCGGCTTGAATGCATTGATGGATGCAATGTTGATGATTGACCCCCCGTAACCCTGCTTGAGAAGTTGTTGCAACTCCCACTTCATGCAGAGCGCCGGGCCTTTCAGATTGACAGCGATGACTCTATCAAAGTATTCCTCGTCGAACTCCGCCGTTGGGGTCTTGTCCGGTATCATCGCAGCATTATTGACGGCCACATCGAGTTTCCCGAACTTGGCCACTGTTTCGGCGACTAAATCCCTGACCGAGTCCGAGTTGGACACGTCTGTCTTGACAAAATACGCCTTGCCGCCTCCTTGATTGATCTCGTCGGCAGCCTTTTGGCCCAATGTCTCATTGATGTCGGCAAGAACTACACTTGCACCAGCTTTTGAAAACACCTGGCGTAATTATTTTAGTTTCTAATTCTGCAGGAGGTAGACCGCGGAGTCGGAGCCCACCAAAGCTGTTGCCTTCCCCATTCCCATCGCCGCCCCCGTCACGACGGCGACTTTCCCTTGCAGCACTGGAAATGTAGCTGCCTCTGGGGCATTGATGTTAGGAACTTCTTGTGGCTCTCGCTCGCCCATTTGGAAAGGTTTTGTGAGGAAAATGCGAATTTTTTGTGCTCGGCTTCCTGGACGTATCGGCGGTATATAAGCTGGTAATCCTCTAGCGGTTTTGTGGAGCCATGCGGGGTCTTGTTCCAGATGCTGGTAGATAGATGAACTGCCAAAGTGTGTGACCTGATTATTGGGTTTGTTTTGAGCAGATCGGTCACACCCTCTGGCACCGTAGCTTTTGGAGCCAACTGAGACCCGAAGATAGATTTCTCCTTTTCACAGGCAGGACAGGCCATAAGCTCTTCGGCCAACTCTTCGGGCGGACTAATTTGGTTGACCTCTCATGGCCATGGACCCTAACGTAAATTTACCTTCACCGGTACCGCTTTTCGGAAATGAGAGATCCGAAACTGGTATTTACATCGCTGCTCTCTGAGCGCTTCTTCATTCGATACTAGCGACAGAAGCACAAAGTCCAAGTTTCATGCGGTACAAGGCCGCAGTCGATTTGAGGACCAATACACTGCAATTTTGAGTTTTCACTGTTGTACACCTCGAAGATAATGGCTCAACTTGCTAAAACGAGTCTCCTGAGCGGCAAAGTGGGAATTGTCACTGGTGCAACAAGGGGTAAATCATCGACGAACTTGGCGCGTTCCTCTAAACTAAACAGTTTCTACAGGAATTGGAGCGGCGATTGCGCGGAACCTCGCAAGCAAGGGCTGCTCCATTGTGTTGGGCTACACGTCCGAGTCATCGAAGAGGCTGGCCAAAGACCTGGCAAAAGAGTTTCGAGAAAGTTACGACGTGACTGCCGTGCCTGCACAGGGCGACATCGGCAACGAGGGGGATGCTTTCAGGGTCGTGGAGATAGCAAAGGAGAACTTCACAGACACCAAGAACGGCAAATGCCAAATTGACATTGTTGTCAACAATGCCGGTGTCGCCGACTTGAAACCGCTTGGGAAGATCAACGTGGACGATTTCAACAAAGTATACTCCACCAACGTGCTCGGGCCTATCTTTCTGCTCCAGGCATGCCTCCCATACCTCCCGACAGATCGCTCCGGGCGGATCGTCAACGTGTCCAGTGTCGGCAGCGCTCTGGGACTTCGAGAGCAGACAGTTTATGCCGGCTCCAAAGGCGCACTGGAAGCTATGACCCGGGTCTGGGCTCGTGAACTGGCAGAGCGCGCGACGGTCAACTCGGTCAATCCAGGCCCTGTCCTCTCTGATATTTTCATACGCTGCTCAAATGATATCAAAATGCTGCTGGGACAATGGAATCAGGTCTCTCCTTTGGCGACGGTGAGACCCCAAGACGAGGAAGCGGTGCGACAATGGGAAAAGTTTGGGGGGCGGCCAGCCCACGCTGCAGAAGTCGCCGGAGTGGTTGCCATGCTCTGCTCGCCCGACGGTGGGTGGACAACCGGGAGTGTCATCTCGGCCAATGGTGGAATGAGGTTCTCATATTGAGTCTGTATCGTTGACTCGTGGCTAGCCTCTACGAAATAGACTTGGTCTTGTACATAGTCCGCCCGAACTGAGGCCGGGGTTGGGGTCTCCCTATCGAGGTGCTCGTAATGCGTCCAAAATGCTCCTGTCCGTGCCGTTGGCCTCCCGGACAGATCGATGTAAGAAGTGAACACGGCCTAATCACTTCTCGGACTATCCAAACTGCGCGTGTCGCTAAGGATATCACCTCGTCCGAAGTCATAATCCTTGAGATAGAATTTAATTTGCGGCCTTTGCGAGAGGATAAACCCCAACAAACCAATCGAAAAATGTCGCGGACTATCCTTCCAGCTCTTACAAAGTGGGCACAACTTGCCGATCCGAATGGAGGGTTTTGTCTTCGTACCATATTCGCATGTATCTTTACCTCACAGTCATTTCCAGACCAAATTCCGAGAAGTCATTCAACAAAATCACCAAGAAGCTCTGCAACCGAAAGACGTGCCCCCCTTGCCGTGATTGTCATTCCCGCTTTGAATTCCCCCAGTGTCGTACCAAAAAGCTCTCTCCTTTTGAGCTGCCACACGAGAAGACACACTTATCCCTATGAAATGTGCCATTGTATACAACAGTCCATTAGCCGTTTGAAACCTTATCCACTCTAGCACTGATTTGCTCTGCAATTGATGCAAGATGGCTGCCGTGGCCAACGGGCACGTTGATTCACATATGGGAGAAGTGACCATACAGACGGACGTGCTCATCATCGGAGCTGGCCCAGCCGGCGCGTCGCTAGCATGTTTCCTCGTATCCTACGGCATCAAGGGTACAATAATCAGCAGAGCGTCGGGCACGGCAGACACCCCACGCGCCCACATCACGAACATGGCGGCGCTTGAATGTCTTCGCGACATAGGCCTCGACAAGGACTGCATTCAAGTCTCGACCAAAGGGGAATGCATGATGCACACAAGATGGTGTTACAGCATGGCGGGTGACGAGTTCGCGCGTGTGTACTCATGGGGGAATGATCCGGCGCGAAAAGGGGATTATGAGATCGCCAGTCCCTGCGAACCTTGCGACATACCGCAGACACTGTTGGAGCCAGTGCTGATCAAACATGCAACAAACAATGGCTTCAAGTGCCGCTGGGACACTTCCTTCATCTCCTTTCAGGATCTAGGGGAAAGCAAAGGGGTTGTGACAAGGTTGCGCGATGACTTGCATGGTCGGGAGTACGTCGTACATTCCAAATACCTCTTTGGTGCAGATGGAGCAAGGAGTCGAGTGGTCGAGCAGCTTGGCCTACCACTTTCCTCAAAGCCCGGGGGCGGTCTCGCCATCAATGTCCTGGTTAAGACGGACCTCAGCCACTTGATCAAGCACCGGAAGGGGAACCTTCATTGGGTCATGCAACCAGATCGCCCGCTTTCCGGCTTTGGTCAAATGGCCATCGTCCGCATGGTGAAGCCATGGTACGAGTGGATGTTCATTCTCCTGCCAACACCTGGATGGGCCGGCCCCGAGCCGAGCAAGGAGCAGTACCTGCAACAGGTCAAGACGTTCGTCGGCGACGACTCGATTCCAGCGGAGATAATCAGTGTTTCGAGATGGAACATCAACGAGATAGTGGCCGAGCAGTACTCGCACGGCAATGTCTTTTGCCTAGGAGACGCAGTGCACCGACATCCACCATTCAACGGTCTCGGCAGCAACACTTGCATTCAAGACGCATTCAATCTGGCCTGGAAGATCGCCTACGTCGAGTCTGGGAAGGCACATCGATCTTTGCTTACCTCCTACGGCTCCGAAAGACAGCCCGTTGGACGAGCAGTCATCACCAGAGCCAATGATGGCTTCCGAGAGCATGCGCTCATATGGGAAGCTATCGGAATGCTTTCAGAGGACATATCCGACCGGATGGCCATCCTCGAAGAACTCCAAAGTCCCGGAGAAGCCGGTAAAAAAAGACGAGCTGCTCTTCAAGCGGCCACTTTGAATACTTGCCACGAATTCCATGGCCTGGGAATCGAAATGAATCAGTTTTACACGAGCCCGGCAGTGTATGCAGCAGACGAGAAACTTCAGTTCAGACTCGAAGGTCCTGCCGCGGAAGACCCTGTCCTATATCACATGCGAAGCACGTATCCTGGTCGTCGCCTTCCCCATGCATGGTTAAACAAGCGAAGCCCATATCAGGAACCGATTTCCACCATTGACCTCGCAGGGAAAGGCCATTTCACCATCTTCACGGGCATAGGGGGAAGCAGCTGGAGGTGCGCGGCCGAGGACGTGATGAGGAATCTGGGAGCTGGGTTACAAATCACTGTCTGGTCGATTGGTCCAGGCCAGGAGTGGGAGGACATCTATCAAGATTGGGCCAGGGTTCGTGAGGTCGACGACGACGGTGCAGTGTTAGTGAGACCCGACCGATTCGTTGCATGGAGAAGTCACGATGTCCGCTCATGTGAGGGCGGCTGTGAATCAAAGCTGTTGCAAGTCATGAGAACCCTATTAGCGTTGGATTAAGCTGTCACCTGGCCGTCAATTGATTTACCTCTGATATTGCTCGATTATCGTGACATATCTGACCTTCTGTGCCGTCTCCCACCTGCTTGAACCCAGTTCCCACAGGAACTGTGCAAACGGCTCAAAGGACTTCTTAGCCTCAGGACGGTGAGCAATTGGTAGGGACCTCAGCTGTCCATTTTAACCAAAACAGTCGTCTCAAATTCTCATAATGGGGCTGAATTGAATACTATCAAGCACATCTAAGACTGCTTGAACGGCGATAGCCCTACGTTGCATCAATATTGCTATTCTAGAATGCATGAGCTTCCTCAATCTCTGTTCAACCATTGCTGGCAAGATGGAAAAACTACCCACTCCCTGACTCCCTCTGTCATGTACCACAGGTAAATTAGAAATCCAGTAAACCACTTCGGCCTCGATCGGTTTCCACAGCTTGTTCGAATCAACCAAGGGAAGATAGCTTTTCTTCGTGGGAAGATGTTGCGTTCTTTGACTCGGCGTCCATGACAGCTTCGGACTTCATTTCTTCGTCCATGGCCTGCTCGAAGTCCAAAGCCACGGCGTCTCCGAACTTGGCCCCCAATTCTTCAAGAGAAATTCCTGTAGTCTTGTGGAAAGGTCAGATGAACTTCGTAGAGTGGCAAAACATCGACCGGGAGCTGGACCTACCTCTGGCAGATAGAACATGCAGGGAGTGACAAGAACAAAGGTCACCGCAATAAATACCATGTAGTATTTCCAGCCGATTGACGCAAATGCTTGAGCAGCTGGTGCAGTGGACCAGATGGAGAAAACGTAAAATCCAAAGTACGAAATGGCAGCACCTTTGCTGCGCAAGTGAGTTGGCCAAATCTCGCAGCCGTAAACATAGCCCGTGCACTCCAAAGTCGAGGTGAACCACCAGGCAATGATGAAGTAGATGGCCACGGCAGCTTCTGTGCCGGCAAGATTGTGACCGTCCAGGTAGTGCGCTTGAAGGGCCGCTTCTACTGCGAGAAGAATGATCATGCCCCAGCCTCCGGCGACTAGATGATGAGGGTCAGCAATCCTTCTTTGCTCAAAGGAAATATGACTCACCGATAAGCTTCACTCGGCCAATCCTGTCGATTAGGTAGATGTTGAAAAAGCAACCGATGAACAAGCAGACAGTCCACACTAGACTTAGGGCGAGCTGCAAGACGGTTCCGTAGCCCAGGGCACCAAAGAGTCTCGGCGTCAGGTTTGCGAGGACTGTGATGCCCGTAGACTGTGCCATGCTCCAAACCAGAAGGGTGCAGATGAGTCTCTTTCGCAGGGACGGGGTTCGTAGGATGTGCAGCCAACTGGTGGGCAATGAACGATCCAGCTCCACTTGTGCCATAATCTGATGCAACTCGGCGTGTGCAACTCTGCCATGAGGGTCATCGGCGGTCTTGTGAATGCTCACGAGAATTCTGCCGGCCTCGTCAGAACGGCCGTGCTCGACGAGCCAACGCGGAGACTCGGGCAACGAGATCAAGGACACAAGCAGGGCAAGAGCGACACTGGTGGCGATGATGAAGTTGAGGCGCCACTGGTAGTCTTCTGACACAAAGTGGAAGCCCAGCGCTGCGCATGAGGAGAGGATGTAGCCCAACACGATAAAGTTCCCCTGAAGACCAACCAGCAGACCACGGCTGTGGGCAGGGGAGATTTCGCTAAGATAGACAGGTGTGTTGCTAATCACCATGCCTGCCCCGAAGCCAGTTATGTACCGACCCACAAGGAACATAGCAATGTGCACAGCACCAGCCTGGAGCGCGTTTCCCGCCATGAGCAACATCGCAGCCACGGCTGTCGCGCTCTTTCGGCCCCATCGGTTGGAGATGTAAGCTTGCAAGATTGCACCGAGGAGAGCACAGCCAAAGAACCTGGGCATCGACCGTCAGACAGTTCAAACATAACAACTTTAAGGAGTGGCAGGAACAGCATATTGGGGAGGGCTTTACCCAGATACAATGCCGTCGATGAGGGCACTGGCATTGGAACCGCTCAAGAATTTTGCGAGAAACGTGACCTGAGCAAAAGACCCAGCGATGACGTTGTTAGAATATCCGTAGTTGAAGCTTGCCAATGTCGCTGCAAGAATGAGCTGTCGGTTGTCAGCGGCCGCCTCCGGTCACTGCGAAGCAGACATCGATAGCGAGGACATACCAGTAGATTTTTTCGACTTGTCTCGCCTTTCAACCCGCCAGCGTTGAAGTAACCTGCCATTGAGAATAGCGGATACAGTTTTAATTATGTTTTGGCTGTCAAGGGGAAGCAGAAAGAGGAGAGTGAGAATGGAAATGGGAGGGCAAAGGGGCAGCGTTGAACCCTCAAGAGCCTTGCTGAAGGGGTAGCGGAATGGATGTATTATATGTTTATGACTCGGTCGTCTTCAAACTCTCCATTGGGCGGACTATGGTGTACCTACCAGGGGCAAACTTTGAGAATCCCCCAGAAAAACAAGCGAGACTCCCCCGCCCAGGCCTGGGCTGGGCGTGCTCGTAATCCGGAGACGCAGGAATGCGGGAGACACCATTACAGCTCCGGACCCCAGTGAAGGACCAACACAGCCGGTCGTAATTTGCACGAAGATGGGCCGCAATTAGTGTTGTTTTTAGAGTTGGGAAGGCAAGGCGAGGCAAGGCGAGGCAAGGCGAGGTCAGCCGCTGGTCGAGATGGCCGCTTTTCCCCGACACAGGTGGCTAGCCCCCTTTGCCCTTCTCTACCTTTTCCCACATCCGTTCAACCACGGCAGGCTCCTGTTATGAGGCAGGGTGTCCGAAAATGGCCCCTGAGAGCTCGACTTCCGGTCGGAACGCTAAGACGGCGGTGTATAAAGCCTCCGTACGGTATTAACGGTATAGTTCGAGGGAGCTCATCGTTGTCGGCCATCTCGAAGTGGATCAAAATGGCACGTCCGTGGACTCATCTAATTCGTTTCATTGCCAAAGAGGATGGCCGCATCCATCTTGGGCAAATTAACCCCGAAAAGTTTCCAGATGTTGGCTTGGCCGTTTTCGAAGGAAAGAGTGTCGATGCAAAGGTTATCTCCGGGTCAGTGTACGATGGTGTGGTAACGGATCGAACTCTTCATGTTGCTCAGGTGAGTTTCAGCCGCAACGAGAATCACGTCCCTGCCATTTCCAAGGGGGAAAAAAAATACTACGATCCTTGCCCGAACAATGCACTGACTGGACGCATTCGACGAATAGCTGCTGCCACCTGTGACCGTCGAGCAGACGCCATTGATCCGATGTCTAGGCCTCAACTACAGAGATCATGCAAAGGAGGCCAACATGCCGATCCCTGACGTCCCAGTGCTCTTCATCAAGCCACGAACTAGCTTGAACGGGCCCTATCCAGCCAAAATCAATATCCCCAAAATCGCTCAGGACGACACAGCTGACTATGAGGCTGAACTGACCTTCATTCTGTCCAAGGATGGTCGAGACATCCCTGAGTCGGACGCAATGGACTATGTTCTCGGGTACACTTGTGGCAACGATGTCAGCGCGAGAACCCAACAGCTGAAGAATAGCCAATGGAACTTTGGCAAGGGTGAGAATTCTCGACTAGAACGTTGGAGCGCTCGATCGGCTAATGTCTGGTTCTAATAGGTATGGATGGATCAGCTCCAATCGGGCCTGTCCTCGTTTCCCCAAAGGCAATCCCGAATCCGCACGGATTGAACATAGTTGCAACACACAACGCAAACACGGTCCAAGAGACAAACACAAGGTGAGATGAAGACCGGACTTGGACTTGCTAAGTGGCTTGTTACAATCCAAGTCCTTGACTGACCACCGGTCTATTGACAGGGAGATGATCTTCAACATTCCCAAGACTTTGGCGTATTTGTCGAGTGGTACCACCTTAGAGAGAGGCACCATAGTTATGACAGGGACAGGCCCCGGAATTGGCATGACCCGCAACCCAAAAGTAGTGCTTCGACACGGAGACGACATGAGGGTGTGGATTGAGAGTATTGGGACGTTGGTAAATGAGGTATACTACGAGTGATGAAACCCATTGGATGCAAGACTAGAACTGGAAATAGTCTCTATGCTTGATATCTTAGCGGTACTATAGATTTGGAGTAATTTCGGATCGCTTCTTGCGGCTGGGCCAGCCATATGACGAGGACGCAACCGTGTTTGATGATCCTGTGTCCCGAAATTTAAAGCTCGGCGTCAGAGAATAAATGTCCAAGGGTATGGTAGCGATCATCTGTCTGTGGATTGGTTTCTAAGGTTACACTGGTCCGATCGGCGGTGCCTGGTCAATATGGCCATTGAAGGCTTGCGATCGGTGAATCTCTTGCTTTTGAACCACATGTTTCACATCCGCCAACATCTCGTTGAAGATCGCCGAGGACTCGAAAGTTTCCCAACACTTCCTAGTTCTCGTCCTTAAAAGGGTAAACAGGTAGTCAGGGACCATTCTCTCGGTACACAGGGATTCGGGTAGTTTGTGAAGCTACTGACCGAATATAGAGACTAGCCATATTGACGTCCAGACATTCCTTGAGAACGGCAAAACTTTGAATGGTAATAAGAGGGGAATTCTCTGACGCTTCCACTCGATCAACGGCAGCAGACAGAGTTCCCAGAAGCTGTTTTCGATGACCTTCGGGGGCCCAAAAGTGAACTACAACGACGAAGCTGTCTTTGGCGTCTTTGTCCTTATCATCGGGGCGCGTCAAGAAGCCGTAATGCATGTCATAGTAGTGGAGGTCATAGTCTGGGCTTCCAAGCCCTTGAACGTGCCGGAGTAGTTTGTCATCATCGACCTTTTTCATTTCTCGCTTGAACACGTCTGAAGCAGGATGACCGATGAAGAAGCCGATGGGATGTCGGTAGCCTTCTAGACCCCAGAGTGTATCCGGTTCTCCATCAACGTCTTGTCCCCAATAGTAGGACGTAGAGTAGGGTTCAGTGGCAGAAACCTCGCACAATGGGACCAGCCTTTCCTTCCACTACAACAAGCATAGCATTATTAGCCGACCACTTACTTCAATCAAAATAATTTGGTAGACATATTGAAGAATCACGACTCATACCTTAGGGAATGCCCCGTCGGACCCGACAACCCGTGCCAGGACGAAGAAATCCGGCATTGATGTTGATGCTATAAGAATGGGAGTCAAAGTTCTGTACTCGTCTGGGAAAGTGATACTTCAAGGTATCTTTGAGCATGGAGTCTTATGCACATCTATTGCTGACAACCCATGTGCAGAAGCGTTCACCTTTCGCGTCCATTTTCTTTACTTATCTGGTCAGAGGTGGTACCAACCGGAGCCTCTTCGCCCTCCCTTGACCTTCATGGGGTGGCCCATCTCGTCCTCTACTCAAAATGGGGCCTGCAGTGGGGGAGTTGGGGATGTGCGAAAGCTCCGGAATCCAGATCCATGCCCCCTATGTGAACTGCGAAGATGGTCCGAACTGGCTCCGCCGTCGAGTCTGGGGTATTCCCGCAGAGATTGCCAGACCAGTGATCCATTGCGCTTGATCGGCCTGTAAACGATGAAAATAAAGGACGTCAATCCAACATCCAGATTAGATGAAGGTATTTCAAACCTCTGCCTCAATGACCGATCAAACCGGATTTTCATTTTGGCATTTTGAGATTTCATAGACCGTTGTAAGTTGATTGATGGTCATTATTGCTCATGATGCTTAACCTCAATGGTGCTTTTGCACTTCGATCAATATCGATCACAGGAGTCGCTGTGGGTGTTTTGTTCACATGGGCCATTTATCGTCTACTACAAGTGGGAAGTCGAGACAAGCGATATCCTCCGGGTCCTCCAACTATACCAATCCTGGGTAATTTGCACCTGGTACCCAAGTCCGGTCTGGGAAAGAAGTAAGCCTACCGGTACACGGTTTCACACCTGCCAGTGGGAAAGCTGACGCAAAAACGGGCAGGCTCAAGGAATGGGGAGAAACCTATGGCGGTGTCTACTCTCTTAAATTTGGAACGGGTACTGTCATAGTTTTGTTCGATCGCAAGGCCATCAACCATCTACTCGATAAGAAGGGCATCATCTATTCCGAACGGCCGCAGAGCTATGTTCCATTTCTTGTCACAGGAGGTGACAGCTTTGCATTTATGAACAGTACACCTTTATGGAGAGCTGAGAGAAAAGTGGCCGTTCACAATTTATCGGTATGTGCTGTAGCTTTCCCAGCTCTCAGAGGGGCGCTTTGCTAACAAACAGGCAGCCGAAGATGCTGGAAGAAAAGGTTAGGCATATCCAGGACGCAGAGTATGTCCTATATCTCCTGTCAGCCTTATTCATCACCAGATCTGCTAACCTCAGCCTAGGTCGGTGGTGCTTCTTGCGGATATCCTAGATAGGCCTGAAGGATATTACAACCACATCAAAAGGACCACAGCGTCTGTGGCCAGCGTGGTGGTATTTGGACACCGAGGTCCCACTATAGACAATTTCTGGGCCCGTGTAACAAAGCAAATCTAGTCCTGCTTGATTGAAACTTACACTGATTTTCGATTCTAGGCCGTCTACGACGCAATGGATAATTACTCTGCAGCCCTAGAACCTGGTGCCAACCCTCCAGTGGATGAGTTCCCTTTCTTAAAATATATCCCTGAAAGCCTCGCCGCCTGGAAGAGACGTGCCAAAGGGTCGTACAAGTGTATGGACGACACTTGGAATGAGGCTCGACGCAGAGTTGACGCCCGACGAGAAAAGGGGATCAGACGCAACGCCATCATTGATTCTATCCTGGATGGCGAAAAGCATAGCGACTTGGATGTCACCTACAAGCAGATGAATCATTTCTTGGGCGTCGTTGTCGAAGGCGGAGCAGATACGACGGCGTCGGCCACCTTGACCTCGATGATGTATCTAGCTCTCCATCCAGAATTCCAGGAAAAGGCTCGTAAAGAATTGGATGCCGTGTGTGGCACGACCAGGTAAGTTATTACGAAAGCGTCGTCTACGTATGAAAAGCAAAGCTAACCTGACTCGCTAGATTGCCTTCGATTGACGACTTTGATGCGATACCCTATATCAACTGCTTAATCAAGGAGGCAATGAGAATTCACCCAGTGTCAGTACTAGCCTCTAATTTAGAGCGGTCTAAGTATGCGTGGTCCTAACAGCTCTTGTAACAGTCTTCCTCTTGGGGTGCCGCACCGAGTCAACCAGGATGACTGGTATGAAGGCATGCTGATCCCCAAGGACGCCACCGTCATCCTCCCGACTTGGGCAATGCATTTAAGCGAAACCCAAGGATACAAAGACCCTGAATCGTACAACCCCGACAGATTCTTAGGCTTTCCTAGATTTGCGGACAGCTACGCTGGTAGCCCCGACTTCCAGAGCCGCGACCACTATAGCTATGGCGCGGGTCGACGAATTTGTCCAGGTATCCATCTTGCCGAGAGAACCCAGTGGCGCCTGAATGCAAGAATTCTATGGGCTTTCGAAGTACAGCGAAAGGTCGACCCGAAGACTAGCAAGCCGATGCCAATCGATGTGAACAACTACCACGAAGGGATCTCCCATTGTCCTGCGGAATTCCCGATTGTTTTCAAAGCCAGAAGCCAGGCGCATATCGACGTTATAAGAAATGAAATGACTCACGCCAAAGAGTTCTTGAAGGCATGGGATGATTGAAGACTAGGCCTTTGTCCTTGTGTGCGTCCCAACGGGTCAGCACAGAAGGCTGAATTGATGGATTTCAAGTCTCAGATACTTTTTGGCTGGGAAGAGGTGTTGACAGCATTGTTACATCCGCAAACTCTTCAAGTCAGCGATCATTGTATAGAAACGTACAAGTCCAGCCAAGGCTCGACGTATGGAGCTCAGAATTACAGACTTTTGGAGCAACACTTTGAGCAACCAGCATGTCGTTTGAGGGTTCTAATCTCAGGACAATGAAGACTCTGTTATCTCGAGCATGCATTACTGAAATGCTCAGAGAATTTTTTCTAGCACGTGAACTTCCCTGGCCTAACAGTCCCATCAACTCCATGCGGAGATGTAGAGAGGCGAACCCACCCATTCGAAACTATTATTGGGGCAAAGTGGTTCCAGTAGATGCACACCGAAGTCGATCCGCGGGTCAAATTGCTCCGCATCTGTACCAATATCTCATCTGCTACAGAAAGTGGTCCGAGAGTTATGAGCAACTCCCCCGTTGAATAAAAGATTCAGCCTCACTTGTCTACGGTCTGAGAGCAATATAAGCTAAGTCTCTTGTCCCTCTTCGTGCTTCAAGAGCTGCTCAACAATTGAGACGAGAAGCATACCAACAAGAAAGGATCAAATCTCAAAAGGAACTAGCCGGTACCTTTTCGGTGTTAAGGATATCACCTTTTTTTTCTTCATTGAATTGGCGAACATTAAAGTGCGAGAGGCCAATCGCTATGGGTTTAGGGTTATCAGGGTAAGAACGGACAAGCACAAGGCCACCTTATCTTGTTTTCAAACTTGCCCAATAATCACACTCACCAGGATAGTGATGTTTGTGTACAATATAGCTGACCTCTGCGTGTTTCAAAGGGTGGCTTTAATCACCGGCGCAGGAGGCTCCATCGGGCGAGCAGTAGCGCTTGGATTTGCTCGACACGGAGTGACCGGCATCGCCGGCCTGGACGTCAGCAGCAAGGGGCTCCAAGGGACAGCTTCCGCCCTCTCTGCAGTATACCCAGCTGTCAAGTTCCTGCCCATCACCGCAGATTTGACCTCCGAGTCAGCCGTTGCGAACGCTGTCTCCCAGGTTGTTGCCGAGTTTGGAGCGATACATTATGCAGCCAACAATGCCGGCATAGGACGACCTTTTGGACCGACGCATGAGACAGACACAAAAGATTATGATTGCGTGATGGAGGTCAATGTTAAGGGCGTCTGGCTCTGTGAGAAATATGAACTAGAACAAATGCTCAAACAGGAACCTCGACAAGTCAATCCGAGCGTACCTGGGGTGTTGGAGCGAGGCTCGATCGTCGTTACAGCCTCTACCTTGGGACTGCGAGCTATGTCCAACCTGAGTGTTTATAACATGTCCAAACATGCAGTCCTAGGGCTGACCAGGACTGATGCCATCGATTATGGGAGAAAAGGCGTGCGCGTCAATGCAGTCTGCCCAGGGTTTGTCGACACCCCCTTATTGCTGGAGTCAACGAAGCAGGCCCTGGCAAGCACCATCGATAGGATACCACAAGGGAGACTGGCAATGCCGGAGGAAGTGGCAGACAGTGTCTGCTTTTTGGCCAGCGGTTTGGCAAGCCACATAATTGGGGTCGCTTTGCCAGTTGATGGTGGCTTTGTCGTCACCTAGCGTACACATGGGATGAAGCCTCCGAATTAAAGACTGCAACTCGATTCTAGAGGGATGACTAGTCTATCCGAGAACCAGATGAGCCACCATCCAGTCTTGATACTTGAAAAAAGGATTAGAATTCATTCCTGCAGGCATTCAAAAGCTCAAATCCGATGCCAATCCGCCGCGTACATTGGTCAATCAGAATTTCCGCATTGTACATACCACTGGTTCATGGTGCTTCCTTTGGCTTGTCGGGAGAACAGCCGAGGTTAGCGACCTGCCCTGCATAATTTGGAGCTCGCTTAGACTTCCAGGGCTTTAGCGGCCCAATCGCTTAGCAGCCAGAGGGCATCGTGGCAGTCAATCCAAACACTTAATTCCCCTTAATACTTCACTTTTGGCTAGGTAAATCCTTAACTTATAGCGGCCGTACTCCTGTTACTTTGTAGTTAGATGGCCTTGAGACTCTTGCCGCTATAGCAATAGCCGAGGCCCCGCATTTTGAGAAAAACTTCAAGTCTATGCTTCTCAAACATGCATCATTGTCATCCAAGATAGCCGAATAGACCAGAGCTATTCTATCCACATCGTGATCTTGCCAAGATGCCCGTGGAATTTGCATCTGATGGGCCCGCTGAAAAGCGACGGCGAAACTATAGGCGCGTTGGGGCACAGCTGGAGAAGAAGCGAGCTCAAGACCGAGAAGCCCAGCGAGCCTTTCGCAATCGCACCAAAGAGCTTGTCGCACAACAAGAGGCAGAAATTGCCCACTACAGAAATGCGACAGCTCACTTGCAGTCGCAGCTGCAAGCTGCACAAGATGCCCGGCGAATTGCACAGGAAAAGGCTGACCATCTCAATCAAGAGCTCGAACGCATGCTCAACACCTTAAGGATGTTGACCAGACCCTATGATCCTCGACCTCCGCTTCCACGAACTGGATTGGAACTTGACAACAATCTTTTCAGTATTCCTTCCAACCACTTGATTTCAGTTGGACATGATGGACCTATCGATCCTCTGGCAAACAGTTTTCGACTTCCACCGCTGACTCCACCGTCCATTTCCTCCACCGACCAGCTCGACCGCCCTTTGCCGTTCCCGGGTAGGACAGTGGACTCCATCCAAACGACAATCGAGTCAACAGAAGGACTTATGACAACCCCGATCTTTTGTGAATCCACATGCGCCCTTGACACCATCTTGATCAATTTTCTGACCACACAGCAATCAATGTCGGCAATGGGGCTCCAGGACCAAGCAGCCGGACCACCTGCACCAAATTTGTCCAGGGTGCTAGATTTGACCAGTTCTTGGCCCACCCATGCTCTATCCAGGGTGATATCGGACATCCTTTCACGGTTCGACGTAGTACGTGAGCTCCCGGAGAAGACGGCAGTGCACTGGACGTTCCACAATCTTTTAAGGGTCAGACGGTACCTCCCATCCCCATGCATTGTCCGTCGCGCAAAAGTCAACTAACAAAATCCTCAGTGGCAAATCCATCCCACCCAGCAAAATTACCTTCGGATCGTTCCCTGGCTTCGACCGCGGCCATGCCAACTGAGTATTCCTCATCCACCATGGATGACCTTGGTCCCATGGCCCGAGATGAGGGAGATCATGATTAGAGACTACCAAAGTTTCCATCAGCACGACTTTTTCCTCCCCTATACCTTGAAGCTCTCGGTTAATTGGACTGGCGGGAATTGCCTAACGGCGGATTTAGATCAAGCAGTGGTGGGTATTGAACCGAGCTTTGAGGGCCACATTGGCGATTTGGACAATTGGAGCTTAGGTACCTGCTTCGTGAATGCTTTTCCAAAGCTTCAAGGTACCTGCAGGATCAAAGACTGAATGCAAGCAAAGGACAGAGGCTTCTCCTTTGGTCGAGGAAATTCCTTGTGGAATGCCCTAATCTGGGGAACATTTCGACAAGTGATACTTGTACGGAGTATAATGAAACGATATATGCTGTTTGATTACCAGGTAGGCCGACTTTTCGCACTTTGGATAAGCATCTCCAACGTCTTCATGGCGCCTCGACAAAGTATGGCACATTTAATTAGTGGGCGGCTTCCTTAACGCGGAGAATCTACTTATAAGGCCCCCCCGGGGTCGGGGGGGAGGGCGTTTACATTTGGCGAGGCGGGTTGGGCGGAACTCCCTAGATATAGCGTTGCAGGGTCTGATCATGATCTCTCTTGGTCTTCGAGTCGTATTTTTACCCGCCGCAGACTTTGTCAATGTCGGTGTGTGCTACTTACTGGTGACCACTGCCTTCAGCCCGAGCTCACACCTCGTCCGTGGTAGCACGTTGCCTACCCATGACGAGAAGAAATGGGATAGAGGACTCGAGGGTTCGTGAGTACTGCGCCATGAATCCCTTCCCGCATTTCATCCAGAGTAGTTCGGTGTGCTAGAGCGTCGCAAATTCCTGCAGAGATAATGTCATCTTTATCATTGATTCGCAATTCCCTTAGAATCAAGTGGATTGCCCCATTGGAAAGGTCTCACATGCTTCGTCCCAAAAAGCATGACATAGGTCTCCTAGATCATGCTCCAAAGGCAGGAACTTCTGCGATATACTTTTCACGTAGCGCCACGAATCCTTTTCGAAGATCACAGATGAGTGTTGTAAATTCGCAGCAACTTACAAAACCTAGGGACTCCGACGCGCGGTAAGCCCGCCAATAACTGTTACCCATTGTAACAAGGCAAAGTGGCTGTGCTGGGCTGTGCTGGGCAGGGCTGGGCTGGTAGAGCGGTGACAGGGAGGAAAAGTTGGCAGAAAGGGGGTGCGGGACAGTTTACAGTGATGGCAGAGTGCCATTCTTTACAGTTTGGAGAAGAGTATCACGAATTCCATGGTTTTTGACGCCGTCTACCTAATACCTCAGTGTTTTATCAGTTCTGTCCTGTTCCTCGATGCTGCCGCTGTGCTAGGTGTTCGTAGCCCTAGCCGCTGCCCCTCTGGATGGTGTTGGTGGTGGTGTTGTCTTGTCAGTATCAACCAGAAACGCGTTCTCGATTCCCGATCTGCTGGACAGGCCTCTGTGCGTTGTTGCACGTGCACGCCGAACCATGAAGTGCTCTGTTACAATAGTAGTAGCTCTAATACTTACTTTATATAATAGTAAAGAGAGAAAGCTATGAGAGTCTCCTCTCACCCGAATTGGGTGAGAATAGACTCCTAAGCGTTGAGTCGTTATTAATAGGGTTCTATAGATAGATCAAGACGTTTTAGCTACTCCAGTTCTCGGTACCTACTATGTGGCGTAGGTCCCTGATAGTAGGTCGGTAGGTCGGTGTATAGGTATATACATAGGAGTTACGGTGTGTGTCATCAATTGCCCTCCCCATACGAGTACAGTAGCAATCCTGCCCCGCCGCTGCCCCCGGGTCGCGTGCCATATTTCCTTATGCGTCCAGATGATCTCAGGTACCAAAGGAGGACTGATCCTTTGTAAAAGCGTTCCCTTTCTTTTTGCTCTTGTAGCCACCTTTCTGAAACACAAACGTAAAACCCAATCTCGCATCTTCTTACTGCTTCGCCCCACTCGAGGAGACCCACGTGAAACTTCGATGTGTGTCAGGACGAATCCGGTGCGCTTCCCACCACAGACGACGGCGGCGGCGAATAGGTAAAACAAAAACAATCCACGTTCCATAGCAGCGGTCGAAGGGGTAGCCGCGCGGCGATGCTGTCAACACGGTTCGTGTCGTGATCCGAAAGACAACATGTTGCGAGATGGTGAATCAGACAAAGGCCATGCACCTTTCCCCGTTTTCCATGCTGCGCTTCGTATTTCCAATGCCGATTCCATAGCCGATTTGCGATTTGAAATGCACGTCTCTCATTTCCCATTCCTTTTCAAGCCCTTTTCAATGCGTTTCTGCAAAATTCACCTTGAAACAGACGTTGATATAGTACATGTTCTCGTCTCGCCAGCCTCCTGCACGTTCATACGAGAATGATACTCGTGTCCATGGCTGTCTGTCCTTCGTTCCTGGTTTCGATGTCCTTCTAGAACAAGGTCGCACGTTTGTCTAGACAATCCTAGTCTGAGAGAGCTCGCAAAGTGAATAGCAATAGCTCACATTGAACATGTTGTGCATGTTGCACTGTTTTGTGTGGTGCGCGCGATGGATTCAGCTGAGCGAAGATTCTCTAGTTGGACACCCCCACCGTCAGCGGCTCCGCAAGTGTCGCGTTTTCCTGGCGGAGTCGCTCGTGGCAATCGTGGACAGAGTCATCGGTAGTTGCATAAGTGGTGTTATTGGTGTAGATTGAAGATTTGGTTGAATCGCGCACCGGTTGTCGATAGACGCCGCCGACATAGCCTCTCTCGATGGCGAGATGCTTCAGGGGAGAGGGGTCGAATCGGCGAATAAACACCTCGTCCAAATCGCGGCTTTTTGGTGCGGAATATCGTCTGTATTCTTCGATACAAGCGTCAGGGGTCCATCCTGTCACCTTACGGAATGCTGCCGTGATGCAACCGCTTCGGTGTTTCCCTTTGTTGCAGTGGATGAGCATGGGATAGTTGGACGGATCGAGCATGAGTTCCACGACCTTGGATATGTCTGCGTCCGGAGTATAGACTTCTGCATCCTTGTTGGCAAGAACAGGGATGATATAATGCGTAATGCCGTGGGAGGTGATGAATTTCTGATAGTCGAGTGGGAGAGGCCCGGGAACCAGGGTCACAATGGTCTGGAGCCCGAGGTCGCCAAGGGTCTCAAAATGTGCATACTGGGGATAACTCGATCGGTAGAGTCCAGGGGCAATTACTTGGAAGTTGACCGGACGTCCAGTGCCGTCTGGAGTAGGTGGTTGAGATTGATCAAGTTGGATGGTCTTGGAGCTTGATGACACGTCCAGTTCAGCCAGAGACGCTGCAACATCTTCGGAAGTAACCGGTCGGTTGGACACTCTCTGGTCTTTGGAGCTCATTTTGCGATTTCCGAGAACAAGCGCGCTGAGCGAGATGGCCCGTCGTTTGGGGAGTAGTCGGTGGACAGAGATGTCGTTGGCTGCTGTGCGTTGTCCAAAGCTCGGGTTGTTAGAGTGGCTGTACAGGCAATCGATCTGGGTTGTTGACGAGGGAGGAAATGAGGAGTGATGTGAGGAAATGGACCTCCTGAAGTGGACTTTTATATAACTCCCGAGGGCCAAAGTGGGAAGGCGGCTGAACACCTTGAAGAGGTGGTTAGAGGGCCATCTTGCGTGGATGGAGTAGGTGTGCCAACGGATAGGCTGAGACCGAGATCTTGATCGACGACGGAGGTCCTCCAAAGCAGCAGTGACTGTAGACGGTGGCTCTGATGGTAGGAATTAAGCTTCCTTGGTCACGAAGACTCGAATCGGCAGACAGGGGGAGACTGGTCGCTGTTTTGTAGGCAGCTAGAGCGGACGAGGCAATTATCTGGACGGGAATCGGCCTTGACAACAAGGCATGGTGATTGGACGCATGGCGAGGATTGTTTCGGGAGAGCTCTGAGTGGAAAGCACCGCAGAAGGAATAGCAGGCGGCATGCTGTGGCAGAAGACGACTGGGGGAGAAGAAGGAAAGAGGGATCGAGAACGAGAGTGAGATGGTGGGAGAGAAGGAGAAGAAAGAATGATGAGCTGGATCGACGGGCGAGAGTTTTCAGGCAAAGAAAAACAAGAGGCGCCCGAGGTGCGTGTAGCTTGGTAAGTTCTGGCAACCAACGTGACAAGCGTCACCAGCGTGCAATGCGGACGTGGTAACGTGTGGTTTGATTGTGGTTCCAGTCAGAGGAAGCGGATTGGCAGCATCACCAATCACCATTCGCCAGGCAGCCACCACGGGACGACAGAGGCAGAGAGGCAGACGAGGGAGGGAGACGGGGGGGAACGGGGATAAGGCGAAGACGGAAGCTGCAAAGGCCACGAAGAAGAGGAAGAAGAAGCAGCAGCTAGGTTACAAACAGTGGTGAAGACGGAGGCGAAACATCGGGCAGCGCGGGGAAAAGAAAGAAGAGGGAAACGCACAAGAAGATGATTTGAGGTCCCGGGTAATGAAAAAAAAAATCCATTCATCAATTACGAGGTAATTAGGGTGGCATTTTGTGCACTGGCAACTGGGCCTTTTTGATGGGGGCTTGTTGGGGGGGGGGGAATCTGATGAGGCAAGGCACGTGCATTCTTGGGCGGTCAAGCCGGTGACGGGTCGAGATCACGCGTGGTCTGGGCAGGCAGATAGATCTTCCTCTACCCAATATGGGTACGAGGTATGTACTGTACATACCGAGCAGCCCGTCCTATTTCTATCATGAGACACATCCCCCTTCGGATCAATTCCCTAATGGCCCAATCCAAACATCTGGGTCGAATTCGCCCACGCTGCCTCGCACACTTCCTCCACTGCCAGCGCCTTCACGCCGGCAATCACGTGCGCCACCTGCACGATGGTCGCCGACTCGTTTCGCCCTTTGACCATCATCCCTTTCTGCCATCTCTCCTTCTTCACCGCTTTGGGGATCACCGGCCCATCTCTCAGGTACTGCGATGAGGCATGAGACGCTCGTATCTCACACCAGGGTCCATCTGTCTCGATCTGAAGACGATCCAAAGGAACTGCTTTGACCACCTCCAGGTTCTCTGCTGTCTTTATACTGCACCCGTTGATGCCGATGTCAAACCCAAGCTTGACCAGTGCCTCCATTTCCGGTATGGTGCCGGTAAAGCTGTGCACCAGGCCGCGTTTGGGCAGCTTGTCTAGGCGGGCACTGAGGATTCTCTCAAAGTCCTCGCTGCAGGCTCGCGAGTGTAGGAACAGCGGCAGCTGCATCTCCACTGCCAGGTCCAGCTGCAGCTCGAAATATTTGAGTTGGATCTCCTTCGGCGATAGGAACAGTCGATCGTAGTCTAGCCCGATTTCTCCAAAGGCGACCGCATGTCCACTCTCTTTTGCTTCGAGGGTCAGATCACGAAGCTCTTTGATGAGGGCACTCGGGCCGCCCGCGTGATGGTCAAAGTCCTGCGTCGAGCACGGATGTACCCCAATCGTCGCAAAGCAAATGCCCGCTTGAAATGAGTCAGAAGGGCGGACACTGTCGCCAGGGTGCCTGTTACATACGGTATTGTTTCGCGAGCTCGACCGCATGATGGGACTCTTTCAGGCTGGAGCCAGTGACCATCAGTTTGGTACAACCCACGTCCAGGGCTCGTTGGACAACGTCGTCCAAATCATCCTCATGCGCTTGCTTTCCGTGGTACACCCCGCGGAAAACAGGGTCTCCAAGGTTGATGCCAACCTGAATCCGTCAGTCAGCCTTGAGAATGACTCATCCGTCCCATCCAGCTACGCACGTCTGCGTACCTCAACGGTTTCGTGTTGTTCGCCATGGTGGCGTAGCTGGCTATGTTTTTTGGCCAGGGACTGACGTGTATCCTACCAAGCCATCCCCCGGGATTTGGCCCTATGACAAGACTCAGTCGTGCCTCTCTAATCGAGGACTTCGCAGACACGGTGACTTACCACCAAGATTGAGACGAGACCAAAGACAAATGGCTGACAAGGCTGAAGGTTTCAGGAAAGGGAAGACGCTACAGCTGGAAAAGGCCTGTAACCGCAATAGCATCAGATTAGCTGCAACGACTTGGGGCGGCTGCAGGAACAAGATCTGACCGTTGGTTGGCGTGTGAGTTGTCGTGCCCCAAGGGGGACAGAAGTGAGAAGTGAGAACTCCGATCAACAAAAAATGTCGCCGACGCTCTCGGCGTCAATTCCGCCGAGATGCGACCTTCTCGATTCACGTGATCCTCTTTCCTCGCAAGCTTGCTCGCAGCTCCAGTCACTCCAACCCTCCATCTTCCCTTCCACCTCTCTCCGCACCGGCCTTGACACCGACAGCCTCCCGTCCAAGTAGGCCATCTCGACAAGGGGCTAAAATGGTCACTATCGGTGTCACTAACCGGTAACTATACCTTCGACCGATGGAGTAAAATAACTTGGATGGGGGCTCTCATGGTGGGAGGCTGGACTGCTATATAACCAGCGCCTCAGATGCTGTCTCTTCTGCTTACCTATTTTCTGGGATAGAAGAATCGTCGAGCTTCCCAGACGGGCCCCCAATGGCGCAACGCAAGATCTCGGTAGCTGAGATCTCATCTCACAGCGCAGACACCGACTGCTGGATAGTCGTGGACAACCAAGTATGGGACATCACCAAATTCGCCCCTGAGCACCCTGGCGGTCCCGGGATCATATACAAGTACGCGGGTCGAGACGCCACCCAGGCGTACAATGAAATCCACTCTCCAGCGATAATCAGAAACAACCTTCCTGCAGACGCCCTCAAGGGAGTGTTGGACAGATCCACAATCACTGAGGAATGGTCACGACCTCTTCCCACCGAGACATCCAAAGCCAAATCCGGCAAATCAGCTTCGAGTTCCAATAAGCCACCGTTGGATTCGCTGATAAATGCCCACGATTACGAACTCGCCGCCCGGAACAGCGCTACCGCAAAGACATGGGCATTCTACTCCTCTGCAGCGAACGACCTGATAACGCGGGACCTCAATGCCAGCCTCTTCAACCGCGTGCTCTTCCGCCCGCGTGTGATGCGTCGCGTGGACAAGATCCACACCGAAACCACCATTCTGGGCCATCCCGTCTCTTTTCCACTGATGATCTCTCCCGCCGCAATGGCGCGCTTAATCCACCCAGACGGCGAACTCGCCATCGCACGGGCTGCAAAGGAGAAGCACATTGTGCAATGCATCTCCAACAACGCTAGCTATTCTGCCAGTGAAATCGTCTCTCAACCTTCTGTGTCGAGCTATCCGTTTTTCTTCCAGTTATACGTCAATCGCGAGCGGCCCAAATCCGAACAACTCCTCCGCAAGATCCACCAGCTCAAGAACGTCCGCGCGATATTTGTCACGACTGATGCCGCGGCAGCGGGGAAGAGGGAAGCCGATGAGCGGGTTAAGGCTGATGAAACCATCCAAAATCCAATGATGACCAGCAAGGCCAAGAACGACAAGAAAGGCGGCGGCTACGGACGGCTCATGGGCAGCTTCATCGACCCGAACCTGAACTGGGATGACATCGCCTGGTTACGGTCTCAAACCAAACTCCCGCTCTTGCTCAAAGGCATAATGTCCGCAGACGACGTGCGGCTAGCTCTTGACCACGGCCTCGAGGGCGTAGTCCTATCAAACCACGGCGGAAGAAACCTCGATACGTCACCCCCGGCCCTGCTCGTCCTGCTCGAAATCCACGCACGGTACCCGGAAATAATCACGCAGCACCACCCTGCCTCCCCCGCCGTCCGGTCCGGCCACTCAAGGCCGTTCAGCATCTTCGTCGACGGCGGCATCCGCCGCGGCACGGACATCCTCAAGGCCGTCTGTCTGGGCGCCGTGTCCGCGGGCATCGGGCGCCCCGCCCTCTTCGCCACGGGATACGGCCAGGACGGCGTGGAGCAACTGCTCGACATCCTCAAGGACGAGTTCGAAGTCGCCATGCGGAATATCGGCGTGACCAGCCTGCTTGAGTGCGGGCCGCAATACGTCAATACAGGGGCGATCGACGAGTTGGTCGTGAAGACACGGGACCACCCGTATGCGGTGTCTTGGGCGCAAGACCTGAGGACCGCGCAGAGAACTAGTCTATTCGAAACGGGGAGGGAGAGCAAGTTGTAAAGGCAATAGATTCCCCCATGCAGAGGGACACAGGGTAAAAGGGACGAGGTAAAAGAAAGAAGAGAAAAAAAATGTGCGTGCCTACGTGGAAGACGCGAACGGACTCACTACAATAGCTAAATCTCCGATGTTTCAAGGCGCTGCACTGTTGGGAGCCTCCCCCCTTGCCTTCCCTTCGAGGCTCACTTGCTAACAAGCTCGTTGCATAGATTATCATCTGTGTGCGCATCGAGCATGGTTTGCTACCAGCCGGCTTGGGCCCGTCATATATCATCCGATCCGGACATAGATATACGGAGCAGATAGAGAGATAGACCTCACCCTGGGTATAGATATAGACATAGACTGAGACAAAGACCCTGCAAATGCAACGACCCTGGAAGCGCTGGCACGCACGCCTCGGCAGCATGTACATTTGCTTTGCCTGGGAAAAACAAGGAAGAACGAAGAGAAGAACAAAAAAAGATTTTGAACTCGGGTAGTTATGACAGACATCAGACTCGCATGAAGATATATGAATGCATGGACGCATGGATCTACATGTATGTACATTTATTGTATACACACCCAAGCCCAATCTACTACCACTGCCTAGATATGCGGGCATTGCATGACGCGTAGGATGGGACGGAATGGATGGATATTGCATCTGTTTTTCATACCTAGTCTCTTCAAACATGATGATAAAACCCCATTTCACAAAGGCGGACCGTACCGGTCGCAATTCCTCAAACACCGTCTCAGAACCCGAATCACGGCGGCCTGATCATTCGGCTCGCGCGAGTGCCACAGCGGGCGCACAGAGTCCCAGACCGCTTCCACTTGCTGGCGAGACCCCGTCGAGTTGGCGTAGGCGCGCAGGAGCCAGCAGATCAAGGGCCGCGTCGCTTCCACTTGATATTGGGATGTGGCCGGAATGGGTGGGACGTCGCGACCGTCTTCTACATCTGTCTCAGGACGGGAGTCTGTCTCGGCATCGGAAAACGGTGCGTCGGCGGTAGCGGATCTAGCAGGACTGCGCGATTCTATGTCTGGCGAATCTGTGTCTGTGGAGGATGGAAATGTCTGCGGTTCTGGGTCGACTCCCGTCGTTTCGGCCGTAGTCTGCTCTGGAGAAGAGGAATCGTGTAGGTCGCTGCTTGATGGATCGATTGCCAGGATCGGGGAGGGCAACACATACTCTCCTTCTTCTTGGTCCAACTTTCGCTCTCCCAGCGGGTAGTAGGTCTTCTGGTCATGTGGTGGCGATTCCTTGGTAGAACGAGAGAATGGATTTCGAATCAGAGGTTCTTTCTTCTCTCTTTCCTCGTCAAAAAGCTCGGCATGGATTCTTTCGATGTGTTTTCTTCGCTCTCTGGGAAACGCGGCGAGGTCAAGGACAAAGTCATCCCATTCACTCATACGTTTGAAAGCTTTGTGTTCTCCATGTATAGATTGTTCTCTTTCATCAGAGGTTTCGTTGATGACGTCAATGGATGGGAGCTTATGGTGATACGACTTTGTCTGTCTTGCACGTTTGCGAGCCATTTGGCCATCTCGGATATCTTTTCGACAAGCTTCCCAGGCCAAATCCAGACGGTGCAGATTCCAAGTCGCATGCGGGTTTCTTGTCGCGCCATGGAGGGCAAACCCCTTGAATAGCAACTGATAGTGGATGCTCTGTAATGGGAGACCAAATAATTCCGACATCTCGTTGATTAACACTGTGATGCGGTTGAGATTTCCGGAAATATTTGCATGATATGAGATCATGGTCCGAAAGGTTGTATGGTCTGGTCTCAATGGCATTAATTCTTGGGCCTCCTTATGATGCTCCGGCAGGATACGCTTCAGCCTGCTCGCAAAAAGCAATACTCGCCGTAGAGAGTTCGCTGCTAGCTTGCGGTGTATTAGCTCAGGACCAGGGCCTGGATATTGCCGGTAAGATGCTATTGTGCCGTCGCTTCGTACTTCTCGACGTGTGTTGATATGAAGACTCTTCATCCGCTCATATATTTGCTCCGCCGCCGCCGGTTCCTGGGCATTGAACAGCGCCGCCATTACGCAATTCAGTACAAGGGTGTCGACAATTTCCCCCGCATCGACAAAATCACGGTAAGCTTTTCGAACAGCGTCCCCGTCGCCTCGTAACCCATGATAATAAATGACGCTGACACGACCAAGCCTGTTGAGATGAAGACCACGGTCATGCATCTCTTTCAGGATCATTTGAGCCAGGGGATACTTGTTGGCTCTCACTGCAATGTCAAAGAGGATATTGAAAGTGACATTGTGAGCTTGTACACCAGCTTCTTGTTCCATCTGCCTCCACAGTCGCAACGCGGCATTCAGTTCCGACTCTGTTACTTTGGAAAAAGACCTGCCAGCCAAGTATACCGCAGACGCCCATTCTGACCGTGCGATTGGTAGATTGGCCTTTTGCATGTCGTCAATGAGGGATAAATATCTGATCATTGATTTTTCGCTCTTTTGCCAAGGTGTTGACATGCGTTGCAGGAACAATCTGATCGTTCCCTTGGGAAGAAAAGCGACCCCTGGTTGCGGCAGACTCTTGTAAGCTCTGAACAGTGCTGAGTTCGAGGAATGATTGTCGAGAAGAAGATCTACAAAGGCTCTGAAGGCGGAAATCTCGCGCAGCTGCTTTGATTTGAGCATCTTCTCCACCTCCTTGAGAGGCGATTCATAACCTTCATCATCCGCATAAAATTCCGCATAGGCTTGAGGTGGTGCAAAGTCTTCAGAGAGCTTAAATGCGTAGTCTTCCAGGAATTTTGGCGTAGGAGATGAATGAGGCGATTCCGGGTCGAAACGGCTGCTGTGGGTAAAGAAGTAGAGGTCCACCAAATTCTTATAGTCATCTTTTGACAACACAACAGCCGGTTGCTGCGAGGCTCCCTGTGTCAGCAACGCAGGATGTTTTGATGTGGGAGGCATCTTGTGCATTGAACTGTCCAAGCTGGCTTTGGCTTTGGCTAGCTTTTCCTCGAGATCTCTCACAGACTTCAAAAGGGCCATTTGTTCCTCAAGCAGGGGCTGTGATGGCTCGAGTTCATCCCGCTTTTCTTGTTCAACGTTCTCTTGTCTTACTTTCTCATAAAGAGTGCTCAGATCGTAGAAGAAGGCGGCCGGCAGTCGACTGTTTTCCGCGAAGTCAAGCGCATTGGAATCAAAGAATTTCCACGCATCAGTTCTGTTTTTGCGCCGACTCCGAGGGCTCGTCGACTTCCCCGATCCATCTAGGTCCCCAAGACGGCTTTGGTTGATCACATGGCTGACGCTGCGGTATTGGCCCCCGAACATGTTCTTTCCTTTCTCTTGAAGGTCTCCATGCTTCCATCGATTGGTTCTCCGGAAAGCGGACGTCGACAGTGGTGTTTGACGATATCGCCTCGAACATTCTCCAGCACGCGATAGCCAACTGTAGAAAGCTAATTCCACAGCTCTAACAGTGTCCCCTCCGATGGTATCACTGCCGCATTGACGTATTGAACGCTTCGAGGCAACGGCTGGACGTTGGCGGATGTTAGGGGCGAGGAAGTCGCATATCGAGAAATTGTTCCGTGCTATTGGCGTCGCACTCGGAAAGCTGCTGCATCCGAGAATTTTGGAGGATTGATGCATATGACTGGGAACATGTTGTCAACTCTTCATCATCGGCTTGAAATGAGCAGACAGTCTTTTCCAGGTGCTTGTTGAAGCCATCGTCGAAAAACACTCGCGGTTGAGATTCCAAAATGGGGGATGTTGGAAACTTCTCCACTAGCGCGCCTTTTCGCCGCAGCTTCGAATTTCAATGGACGCTCAATTTATCCTACAATCAAGCTGCCTGTGTCGCTAGATACAACGACAGATCTATAAATCTGCGGGCTTGGGAAGTTGGACTGCTTTCTCAGAAACCCCTGCTCCTCCTGATCGCCCAGAGACACATACCAGCCAGATCGAACCCCTCCCCATCCAGCTGCCCGTCATGGGCCGCTTGAACTTCACTGCCATCAATGTCCGCAAGACAGCGCTTGCCAAATTCAAGGCCAAACAGATTCCTTCCGTTCCGAACTGGGTCGATATCGTACACGATGTTCCGCCGGCGCAAATTCTCATCCGTCAACAGCCTATGAGGCATCCTCTAACCAAAGTCCGCACACGAACCCTCCCAGGCGGAAAAACCGAACAATACGTGCAAATGTCGGAACCCAAGAGACCAAAATCAGCGAAAGCTCGCCATGTCTTTACTCCCAAACCCTTGCAATACGAGGAGGATTCTCTACGAAAAACCTTCTACAGCGATCACCCCTGGGAGCTCGCGCGGCCTCGAGTAATCGTCGAGACGTCAGGAGAACAATACAAACACGCGGACTGGTCAAACGGCCTGATCCAGCCTGGTATCCCGTTGTCGGGCGAATGCGTGGTCCAACGACAACTCTGGCTTCTGGAGAACGTGCCGGACATCACAGTCCCGCAAGCGTACGACATCGCACGAAAGGAGTTTTACACGCTGCGTCGACGACAAGAGAGAAGGGATAGGATTGCAGCCGAAGAGGCGAGACACATGGGCGCCCGCTTCGGCAAGTCAGCCTTGCAAATTTCCATGGGCATCGAGAATGAAATGTACAATGACTGGGAGAGATGGAGCCGGCAGGTGGTCTTTGAGCAAACGTCAAGAGCGGCGGCTTTTGAAGGGACCGTAGCTAGCGCCGAGGAAGAGGCGTTGAAGGACAATGCGCTGGATGAAGGGACAACCCAGCCGCAGCAGCCAGGTGGTCGACCCGCGATTGGAGCTGCCGTCTTTGCTCAGCAGGCGCAGTTGGATTCGCGTATATCGAGGCGTCCGGGGTCTTTATAGGAGGTCCCAGTGTATATCCATAAGGAGCTGGCTTCAACCAAATGTGTTATAACACTAGTATCTCAGCCAGACTCTAAAAGTATTTCGCTCCTGCTTGGACATGGATATTCGCGACGCAGTGTCTCTCTCCACGACGGTTCTTTACACCCTCCCACATCGCAAAACAGCATGGACGCTTGCTTCCTGCTCATCTTACCTGTTCCGCCCAATACAGTGCTCTCAAACGCGTCCATGAGATGCTCTCAAAATCTCCCATTCATCCCCTACAACTCCCCGAGGCTCAATCTGTCGATCCGGCATGCCTTTGTCTCCCACCGAGGCCACAATGTGCCTGGAGATAGATTGAGACTGGGTCACGAAATTTCGAGCTGCCACACCCGGCATCAGGCTGTTGATTCTCTGGCAAAGCCGAGTTTAATCCCATGTTTGTCGTCCTACATGGCACTAGGACGTTCCCGATGAGACTCTTCTCGCTGTCTCGAAAGCCCGTTGAAGTATATTCAATGTTGCTTTGTATTCATTTCCTACTCCTGAAGCGGCTTACAAATCTTGCTCCTATCGATAGCGATTGCTTGGTCTCATCGGTTGACGGGCAATCCCACCTCCAGATGACCAGCCAGAACATGAAGTTGGTACGGAGTGCTAGGTATTGAGAGCGGCTCCGTTGGCAGTGTAGCTTTTTGATGCAGCTTTTTGGTGCAGGAGAGACCAGAGAGATGTTGACCCAAAAACGGTTAGCGTAAGATGGCTGAAAGAGCAGCAACGGGACATTGGAAATAGCGGCCCAAGACCACCCAAACCGGATCTTCGCGTCCATCTCGTTCCCGTCGCCCTGTTGACTTCCTGGTCCTTTCCCATCCATTCCACCATCAGCCCTGCTGGCTCCATCGGAACATCTGGTCTAGCTGCAAAGGCGTCATCTTCTTGCGGTCACCATGTCATTGCCATTCCCAAATGTCTATCATCTCCGAACAGTAGCTGAAGCTTCGTCCAATGCCTGCTATGTGTGTCACCGGCCCTCCGCCAAGGTGCTGATCACCCCTGACAATAAAGTGAGTGTCATTTTCTTTGCCGGGCACACCAAGCGTCCTGATACTGCGTCATGGCGATTACCATACCAACTGGTCTTGTCAGGACTTCTTCTATGTCTGTGTTTCCCACCTCAGCGATAGAGGATTTGCTTCCCCTATTGTAGACGCCGAGGCGGAAGCCGCGAGGAAGAAAAAGGAATGGATGGACAAGGAAATCGAGAAGATCAAGCAGGAATACGAAGAGAAGCAGCGCAAGAAGAAGGCCAAGAAAAAGGCCAAAGACGACGACAAAGACAAAAGGAAAGACGACGACGACGATGACAAGGCTGAGAAAGAAAGGGATGACAAGGTCGGTTCTTCTCCCGCCTGTCCTCTCACTCACCCTTCCTCGAAGCTAATGCTGCGAATGGCTGCAGATCAAAGCCATCCAGGCTGGCGCAAATGCCAACGACAAGCCAGAAGACATTCCTCGCGTATACGCACTGCACAAGTGAGTCCTTCCTCCCTTCTAGTCAGCTGTCTTCTCCTCTGATGTTAATAGAAATTTCTACCAAATGCGAATCGACCGTTTACGCAACTTGGAAGTTGCAAAGCGGAATCAACAGCGAATGAAAGACCCAAATTTGTTCCCTGCAGTGCCGAAGGGAGACATCTCATGACCCGACATCAAATTGACATCCATACTCGTTCTTCATTGACCTCTAATCCCTCGTCTCGTCTTGGTTCATTCTCTTATTCGGATTTTGAAGGTGGGACACCCCCAATAACTCGAAAACGTGCAGGCTCAATGGGGGCCAGAAGCTTGCATCTGAGCCTGGGATGATCACTCAACCTTCATCAACTGCATCACTCCAACAGCAACACCAGCGATGGTGCATTCTGCGGGTTGTCAACCTGCATATCTGGTGCGAAGTCGTCTGCAGCATGCTGCAAAGCTCGAAGTCGGCTAGGGATTTAGGGCTAGTAGCCCTTGTCAGCACTAGCGTCGAGGTGTGTGGAAGCCATCCATCCGGTGGAGCTGATACTGTCTGTCTCCTGCTCTCATCCATGCTCAGAGGTCAGCAGAGACTCAGCGACCATAATTATCCTTATTCCCATTGGTGGATCTGGATGGGAACGATGTCAACAGAAGTCAGGTATTCCAGCCTTTGTCGTGACGACACGTGGTTGGGTACAACATTTCTCGCTCGCAAGGTGCATAGGAACACGATCTCGCATCGTGCAGTTCGTGTTCACAAGAAGCGAGAGAAAAAAGACTCAAAAAGCGCCAAACTCGAGTTCAATACGGCCATCCCGCTCTTGCAGTCGGGCCACCCACCCAGCAGTCGCTTCCACCAATCTCGCCCGCTTTGGGGGCTAGTCTGCCCACATGCCATATTCGGTCAGCGTCGCGTATTACAGAGGTGCATCGCGCATGATCAAGACCACTTTCCCAATTTACAATGCTTCAGGATCACAGATCCATAGCGTGCCGCCATAAGAGAGACAAGCACCCTGGTTGATCCTGGCCCGACGTCCTACCCTCATGCCGAGCCGCGGTTCTAGATGGCAAGCGAGATCCTTTTTTACTTGGCCCACTAGCCCTTCATGGTTGGGGTAAATGTTGGGGGTCGGCGTTTGGAGGTTTCCGGGCTCCTGCTCTAAGTTCTCACAAGGCTGAACCTCAATGTTTCACAACATACCACATTGTCCCGGCCCTACCCGGTCACTTCAGCTCATACACTTCTGAAGGCGTTCTTAATTCTCTCCCATGCTCTCAATTTCAGTCCCGCCCGGATTGGGAGTTCAGATAAGCGAGCCGTGGACACGTGGATGATCACAACAGCCGGAGTGTTTCCGCTTGTTGCTCACTCGGAGTTCTGGCGAGCCTTGATTGTTATCCCGTTTCAGGGGTGGCGTGGATTGAGACCTGGTCATTCAAACTCAGAAAAACAGTCGAAGCTCTGACTTTCGGAGCGCCCGACGGTTCGAGTCAGCGAGCCGGTTTTAAGCTGCAGTATTGACAAGCTCGACCCCGGTTTTACAGAGCATGAAACATGCCAAGCCAAGAACTGGCCTAAGATGTCTAATCATACATAACGACTGCCGCATGTCAGCATCGAAGGATTCTGCATACTTGTTGGATCAATAAAGTATGCAACCACGCGCGAGCCAGAGGATCACTGTTGCGGAGGTGATTTCCAAAGCTACCGATGTCGCGAGCGAACGGCCGGCGGCAAAGTGAGCTCTGCCATCTCTTCAAACTGCTCCATCTACCAATTTAGCGAATGGCCCTGTAAGGCTGAAATCCAGAGACACACTCATCGATGGGGCTTTCATGAGAAGGCTGACACAGAGACCCCGAGAACGGCGATCACGGTTGGAGTTGCAGCATCCTGTCAAGAGCATTCTCGTTCATGGCTCGTTCGCGGGAAGACGAAATGACCTCGCCCAGTTCCTTTCGGACCGCAATGCGGAGGCCACACTTGCATCGTCAAAATGTTAAGGAGTGTGCCACACGAGGCAAGGCCGGATGAACACTTCGAACACCGTCAAAGATCCTAACTTCATTGCCTTCACAGACGCATTTTTCATGAATCATGAGTTCTTAGATGCGCGGGTAGAGGTCGGGACACAACCACTTGCCAGTTCGGGTAAGATGCAGCGGCTTTGACTAGGTACACATGTACTTGTAGGGACAAGGTGAGAGTATTAGCTGCCTCCCCTCGAAATGGACCCAGCAAATGTGGAGTGACATCTGTCAAAAATTGGTAGGTGTTCGGAAATGCCAAACGAGGAAATTGTACTACACAAAAGAGTGCTTACTCGTGTGGTCCTGACTCCTGACCGACCCCAATTGACCGGGACCAACCAGGCTGCCAGAGTGCCTTGCCCGCTTATCTCAAAGAGGCAAAGGGCGGTTCTGCCCTTCCTGCCGAGAACACTGGCAGCAAGCAATTCAAGAACCCAGCGACGCCCCTCTCCTGGAATGAGGAACGAAGACTTGCTTGCAGCTCGGAATGTGCCACGAATGCCTATCGAGAGTTCTTGTTCTTACAAAGAAGGATGACCCGACAAGGATTCCCGAGGCGAAGACCGCCCATCAACCGTTTATTCTACATGGATCCTATGTACAAGAGTAGAACGTCATCATGCCTGAACTAATGCTTCACGGCGTCCTTGGACCTTTGGCAACGGAGACTGTTTGCCGTCAGCGGTGGCAAGCTTTCAGAAGCCTTGTCAACGTTAGGCGACCTTAACTACTGTCCTGTCGTCGGTCCCGACGACAGGACGCATCGTGGAGGGGACATTTTCTTACTGCACATCGAAGAGGAACGACAGCCTAATTGGAAGGTGTTAGTCATAGTCCCGGACGCAGACTTACTGTTTGGGGTCGCGAGAACGTAAAGCAGGAAATCGACTGACTGCTCAACGCTTGGGCGGGTGCAGGGAGCGCACCTTTTCCGCATCGCTCAGGGTCGTCGGGGACGAAAGGTCAGTCAGAGAGGCACATGCTGTCTCCCACAGCGGCATGAAGAACAAGAGGCCTGGAGGGACGGAATATTGCTTTTGTTGGCGTGGGTCCCCCCTTGAGGTTGAATGGGGTTGTATATTTCTATGCCCTCCTCCGCGGGAGATAATATGACTTGTACATATGCCCGGATCAGATCAACCGCTTCGTACGCACGTAATGTGGATGATTCAGCCTTGCCGTCTAAAAGTCCATGTCCAATGAATGCATGCTTGATTTTATGCAGCTTTGCTGATTCTCGCCATAATCCAGACGCGGAAATCCCACAAGTGTGTCACAAAGTGGTCTTTGATCAGTACGGCACGGCTTTGCCCAAACTCGACTTGTTCGTCACAAGTTGCCATTCCCTGCCCTCCTCATCCCAGGGGGATATCTCACCGCACCGTTGAAGACCGCTTTCTTACCTTCTCCATCTCCATGTCCAGGCCCAAACGAAGATGCTGGTCCTGGTCCCTGTCCCGCTCCGCCTCTTCTGGATGAGTTTTCCGCACGAACTCGCACCTCGTCCACTTTGCCCTTTGCCAGACCGAACCCCGGCGTCACCCACCCTCCACAACTGCAGCGTAAACCCTGCCACGCAAACTTGCCGATGTTGGCTCCGCACCACTGCGTCGGACATGTGAGTCGGCCGTCCAACTGTCCCTCTGACAGGACCGGCCTCATCCACGACAAGGGGTGGAGAAAGATGTGTGCGCATGGGTCCCCGGCAGTGATTGCTGCTGAGGGGTCGCGGTGCGGAGGAGGCTTGTGAGGTAGGACAAAGTCGGATTTGGCGAGCAGGCGCCTGCATTTGCGGCATTTGATTTCGACGTTGGCAGGGAGAGGAGGCGCCGGGGAAGGTGACGACAGAGTTATGTCTGGGTTCAATATTTCGGTCGGCTCGTCGTTGTCTGGGTCGAGGAGGGTGAGGCTCTGAACCCTGTCGTTGAGAAGGTCGCTCCCGTCAGGTTTTCCCGTTCCTGAAGACGAACTTGGGATGTCGTCTGGTTTGCTGTTGTCGTCATCTTCCTCATCCCGAAAACTGATATGGTCCATCTCCGGCGCCCGATTTTCGCTCAGTGCGTCTAGCACATTCCGTGAATTCATCCACCGTCGGTAAATCTTGTGGCTTTCTAGTTGTTCCTGTGTTGTCGGGCAGCCCATGGCTTCGTACATGCGGAGTTGCTTGATGAACCCGGAATTGGGTTCAACCTGAGGCCGACATTCGCGGACCAAGGCAAGGGCGGAGTCCAGTGTTAGCAGTGTGGGTGGTAGGGAGACCATTTCTGGTGCTGATGATGTTGACGACGATGGAGACGGCGCGGAAGCATGCGCTGGGGAGTTGCTCTGAAATTCAGTATTCAAGATGTTTGCTTGTTGGCGAGAGTGCCACAGGAGATAGGCTATGACGATTGTTGCAGAGCGGGAGACGCCCATTGCACTGCCAGATACAGGTTAGCTATCATTGAAATTTCCTGATAAACCGAGTTCATAAGAGGAATGTGGTAGAGGTAAATCTTTGGCGGCAGCGGCGGCAGTAAGGTGTTTCTCTTCGAGACAGGATCAAACACTCTTGTCACATTGGTTCTCTCATGTCCATGTGACAAGGGATGATCAGTCACGTCCGGAGACGTCTTCGCTGAATCCCAACGCAGACACTGTGCTTCATGTTGCAGCCTCATCATGTCCGGAACCCCTTTTCCATGGCCTCAGCCTTGCGGCGAAAAGAGTACCCAATCACGTGATCTAATAGCGGAGATTGAGCCACGCATGGAAGGCTGTGGTCCCAGCCGATCTTTGTTGACCTGGATGGATTGTAGCTTCAAAGACAGTGCCCCTTCACATGCCTCGATACTCGATTGAGGGGACAGGTCCCGTCTTGACCCAGAGTGGCGGTACCCTAACAGGGACGCTCAGCGTGGCAAACCCGAGATTCGGCCAAGCCGCCAAATGCAAACCTTGGGATTTTGTGGAGGACGCGTGGTCTGTTCCAGCCTGCGTACAATGTAGGCCAGTCGTTCAGAAGTACGGCCGGCTTGGCCGGCTCAGAGTTTTGAAAACTTGTTGCTTTACGAGATGTGGACCAGGCGCTCGGGTTCCTGATAATTGTGGTCGCCGATGGGTGCCCATAGTTGATTTCAACAAGGACAATAGATAACGCCCACTAAAATGAAAACCAGGCACACGGACATGCGCCAGTGTCCTATGAGGCAGATTTGCGCAAACAAGAAAAGGGCTGCAGTGGCCAGAAGCCAGGAGGAAAGAAGAAACCACCTACCAGTGTACAAGAACCCCGCCCGGAATCGGGCTGATGGTGCCCTCTTTGAGGGAAGCGCCAGAGGTGTCAAACTGATTGGAGCCCGAGTACTTCAAACCTTGATGAATGAAGGCATTGCTCCGCGGAAAATGGGACAAAATGTTGGAATCGTAGACATCGTCTAATGGAATATGCAGGTGTTGGAAACCGCGAAGCGAGGCCCAGTCGTTTGAAAACTTCCAGTCCAGGACCGAAACAACATGGGTGATGTTGGAGCCCTGGAGGATTTTTGGGCGACGCAAGGCTTGGAATCTGAAAAGATCTCGTCAACATGCATCATCAGAACTTCCCCTTCATTCTCTCTATCAGCCTGACTTCGAAAGCCGTTAAAACAAGTTGAGAGGAGCGGCGGCATTTACAGTGCGAGATGCGGATGGAAAGGACATGACACCAAAGAACCTACCCATCAATGTACAGGTTGTACCCTGGGACCTTGCTCGGCAGGGTTGGGAAGTCCATGTTGGCTTTCAGGATACTGCAGCTCAGGTGATTTACGGATTGGGACTCCAGATAAGGAAGAGGAACCGGCCAAGGCCAGCCGCCGCGTGCACAGGGAAATTGGCGGTGAACGGTGAAGGGTGGACAGAGACCCGAAATGTGGATTTTTGAACGGTCCCTTGTCTTGCTCGGAGAGTGGGCGATGATTCCGGGTTGAGGTTGCGCTTTGTCGTGTTGGCTAATGTCTTTCTTGACGGGGAGAGAGCTGAAATTTTCAAATATACAAATGGAGTAGTGCGAGGGCGACAAGAGATTGGTTCGTACTGGGTATGCGGTTGGCGCCTGACGGTGGTGGCCTTGAAGTGAAGCCTGGAAGGCCTGGGAGCCTGGAAGTTTGGAAGTTGAAGGGAAAGAAAAATCGAAAGAGCCTCGGCTGGTGCCAAGACTCGGGCGACCGTCGCGTCTGCTTTCATTTTGCGTTCGCTTTCAGCTCCCTTTCGCCTCGCCATGATTTTGGTCTTGAAGAGTAATCAACGAGTCCACTAGTACCGAGTACGAGGTATATAGACACCAAAATCCCGTTGTCACTCAGCGGTGCAGACTGTGCGTGTGAGTGGTGGCTCGAGCACCTGCCTGCGCCGCCACATCAGATCTGACGGTATGTCCTCCATATGGCTGTGGCGTTTACTATTATATCCGTGGCTGGAGAGTTGTACGTAAAACGATCGGCAATCAATCAGCATTTAGCCGGCAAGAGTAACGAGGGGTACCAGAAAAAGAGGAGCGCCGAGGTGAGGTCGGAGGTTTAATGTCTCATTGGCACCTTAACGACGGCCCGTGGCGGCGTTCAAAGAGGCTGCGAGGCGGATAGCGACTCTCTGACAACGAAACCACATGAAGGTCTTTTTCATGGCACCTCTGGCTTGCTCAGGAACCCATTATAGCATTGGAGAACAGAACCAAAGTCGATCACAAAACGCTTCATCGCAGAATCTGGTTCCGGGCCGGCACAAGGATCAATATCATGTCCCAAGTTCCAAGCGGTTGAAACTGGCCACCACCTTCCTCGAAAGGAACCGCAAGCGACGTGAATGAAGTTTCTGGAAACGGGACTAGCGGCCTGTCCGCAACTGTCCGCAACTGTCTGCAACTTGTCGGTCTGGGATTTTGGAAGCTCGGAAGAGATGGTGGGTTTGCGACTGGGGGGGGGGTGGTCTGGTACCTGATAGGAATCCCCACACCGCAAAGGGATCGAATCCGCAGTTGGTGATCCTTGTTGGGCGTGCCAGTCACCAGGGCACGCTTTTCCGGCGACGTGATCTGAGATACGACGTCAGTTTCGGCCACTCGCAATGTTTCCCCAGTTTCTTCCAGACCCGCTCCTTCATCCACCCTTGGCAGACCAAGAGGATCCAAGAGGTGACTTCTCGAATCTCAATCGGATCTTTGCCCCTGTCTGGCTTCTTGCTCCGGAGCCAGGCGCCGTTTCGAGGCATACCTACCTACCTTAGGTATTCAAAGTACGCCTCCTCGTCAATGCGCTGGCGCCATCATTTGTCTGGAAACTTCACCCACCAGCCGATTGCCCATTCAGGTCACAGGCTGGAGAAGTTGATCAAACTGACCATCTCCCTGGCCAATCATGCCGTTGCGGTTGGCTAAGCGCCAGCCTTGTCGGCTTCCAAGGCTTCAAGCCCTCAAATGGAAGGCAGCAACCTCCTTGATTCCGCTACCGAATCGAGTTTGTGCACTTTTCCAATTCTTGCAAATGATATGATCCACACGCTCGAAATCATGCTGAAACCTGTGCCACCCCTGCCAACCACAATAGACTATCAATCGAATACGAGGATGTCGCGACCCCTGTCTCCTTTCACCCGTCTGTTTGCAGTATGCCACCTCAGGATTTTCCGAGGGCAGAGAGGACTATGGTCCCCGAATAGAGGGGACAAAGAGAACATGGCTCATGCATGCCTTGATCATTTCGGGAGTCGTGTCTACCGAGCTTGCCGGTGCCACTTCACCGGAATGATTGGATGGCGTCCCATCGCCCTTATGAATGAAGCTGGCGCAATAGCAATTCGTCGAAGTACGCAGTACTAGGTATACAGCCCACCTGTGAAAGTGTGCAACAGCAAAGGAGAGCGAGAGAGGTCTTGACTAATCACGGAGGGGTGATAGTGTGGGCAACGGTCGGCTCTGTAGGGCGTCACAGTCAGCTTTTCGTAGGGCAGAGTACTGGGTCAGAGAGGGCGTAGGGCTAGGAATTGGTACTGATCATCTAGAAGGAAGTCGTTAGGGAGAATCGGGCCCAGAGTCGCAGCAATTTGATTCCGCCCTCACCTGCATCCCCGACATGGCCGCTAGGCGTTAGTGGACAGCACAGAAACAACCTGTGGCTCGAGTCAGTAGCCGTGGAGCCATGCAGGCAATCAGTCTCGGCATACCCCATCTTCTCGAGGGAAGGTCAAATGACACTCCTCTCGAAGTACCCTATACTGGATCAACTCCCATGTTTGATACTTTCTGAGAAGGGTGGCTGCCAACACACAGCACCAAAGGAGGGACCCTTGGTACGAGGGTGAGCCGTTAGCTCCCGCTTGATTTCTGGTTCTAGGGTTTTCCCAGTGCCCTTGTCAGCGTGGCACTTGGTGCCTACATACCTAGGTATGACGTGAAAGCAAAGACGAGCCCTCGTACTCGCTGGTGCTGTGGGCGACAAGGAGCCTTGGAACGAGGGATCCATTGGAGCTAGACCGCCTATGGTGAATGCTCAACATCACGAACCCATGCCCCCAAAGAAACCTTGTTGCAGCAGACGACCAGGCATGATCGATCTGCGCGCACACCTAGGTAGGTGCACATTGGAACTCCCCTGTTCCCTTGTTCACTGCCTCTTGTCTTTTGTCGGCAGTGCCTACCACAGGAGGATTTGGGAAGGTTACGGGTAGGAAGATCTGTCCGCAGTGTGCAACAACGGGCGCTCTAGGTAGAGATCTTGCCCGTTTGTGGAAAGGGAAGGCTGGAAGGACGGGACCTCGTGCGGCGTACAGGAAAAGCATCTCGCATCACCCTAACTAAATTATGCAAAACGCAAACAACGCCACCAGGAATGATCCCGCTTTTTCCGGGATGCTAGTCATAAGGCTTCAGCTTGGGACGACCAGACCGGCGGACGGGTCCAGGCGGGACCAGAAGATGAGGGACTCGATGGGCGGTTGGCGGCTGGCGGTTGGCAGTGCTTTTTTTTTATGGTAAGATAAGAGGATGATGGATGATGGCTGATGGGAGAAGGAGGAAGAGGAGGAGGAGAATGATGGGATGCTGGTTGGAACCATGATGCCGTGCTCGCCGAGTCACAGTCCTCGTGTCATGGTTCTGGCCCTATCACGCGTCAACAGTCCACCGCAGAACTAATGCCTGCGAATCATTCCCTACGGGCATCAGCTCGCCTCTCACACGGAGCGCAACAGCCATGGCCCATGAGATGCCCAAGAGGCCTCCCTGGTCGCCCTGGACGTGGGCATCATAGGGCTCAGGCCTACTTTCTCCTCAATTCCTCGTTGGTCCCACCACTAAGCTGCAGGCAGGTTTTGGCGGGGCAGCCCACAGTCCAGCGTTGCAGGGGCTACCAGGCATCTCTCTCACACCTCGCCTTTACTTAGCTCCGTGCACCACTCGGTCCTGGCCTTTGGTCTCTCCCTTGTCTCAGCGACAAGACCAACTACTGGTACTTACCTACGATTCCTGGCTCTTGCCTGGGTGCCTGGTTGGCTCGCCCTATCGGGTGCCCACCTTGACTCTGGAGTCCCCATTATCACCCATATTACTTACGGAGAGCCATATTACCGCCTGGGGGTACACGAGGTCAGCCCATGCCGCCTTTCTCCCCTTCCCCTTCCCCTTCCTCATGGGCCACCGTTCAACCTAGCAAGGTTGGGTCTCAGCCATCTTGTTTGCTTATTGCCAGGGGGGCTCAGCATGCCGTGTGTGCGTGGCTCATCATGCGCACAAATGATACTTGAATGCAAGGGATCAGGGCACAGAGCACATTGTATGCTACTTACAGTCCTCGGTAGTACATGGTAAACGACGGCAAAAAGTGTGGAAGCTGCTGACTCGATTGAACCTTGCTACAGCAGCACTGACGACGGAACAGTCCCTCCGCGTGTGTTTGCGCACAGAGCCGAGTCAAGATGATATGTACCTCGTACGGAGGAACTAGGTAGATACTCGTATGTAGCGTGGAAAGATGAGGGAGCCAAGGGAGAGGGAGATGCGGGAGGTTGACCAAGCGCGCCCCCGTCCCCGACCCCGATGTTCCATCGCTTCGAAAGAGACCCAGGAAGCAAGCACAGAGAGCGAAGAGAAAGATTAAACCTTGCATCTCGACCAGCCATAGGCTCCTAGGCCCCCCAGGACTAGCCCGGCATGGTCTGGTCGGGGCGACCAGGGCTACTAGGCTCCACCCTCCTGGCCTCTCTCGGAACGGATGCAGCCTTTTTCTGCGGTCTTTTACGCTAGAAGCCACGCCGATCTGGGCTGCGTGTCGTAGGGCTGAACCAGCCCAGCTCCAGCTCCAATTCCAGCCCAGTTCTGTCTGATCTGATAGCCTGACGAGAAAAAAAAAAAGCCCATGGGCGCCAGCGCGTGCTGCCGACGGTCGAGACTGGCTCACTCGTTAGGCCCTGGTCTCCTAGAGTTTCCCGTTTGCTGGCTGCCCCTCGAACAGCCCTGCTGAGAACGTTTTTCAAGCCACTCCACTTGGATCCCAGCTGCCCTGCCCTACCCTGCCCTACCCTGGCCCGATTTGCGAAGAAAGAAGCAAAGCGCAATCGCATGGCGACATGACTGACTTCACACAACGACTGCGGAGCTCGTCCAAGCACTGGAGCGTGCCATTGTCATTCTCATAGCCATCGCCCTACCTGTCTTCGTCAGAGAAACTATTCTAGTCCTTCCACGCCTTCCACAACGATCCTCCCTCGCCTCGACCTCCCCCCTCACCACCTCGTCCCAATCCTCAGCCTGCGAGACCTCGTAACTCCCCCCTTCGTACACTACGCTTGCTACGGCCATTGCTGGGTGTCAAACCCAAAAGAAACCAAGAACGGACAGGACCCTCTCATTCCGCTCACCTATACCGTGGCCCTGCCCAACTGCTGGCTGTGTCATCCCCAAAACAGCCTGCGGGTGCGAATCCTACAAGCAAATCGCCGTCTGCCGCCTTCCCTCACCTCCCATCCTCCCTCACACCGCATACCTCATTCTTATGCAGCATGTCTATCGCTCCTCCAACTTGCTGCCCGCCTGACTGTGGCTCCCCAGCCCGTTCGACAAACCCCTCCTCCTAGGCTCATTCCTCATATCTGCGATCCCTCCATTGACTGGTCCTCAAATACTGTCATTTCCATTCTGCCACCCGTTCCGCCTTGAGAGAGAGGGTGACGAGAAAGTCTCCTCTGCTCTCCATCCTGTCCTTACCGCCAGACTCTGTAACAACCCTGTACTTTTTCAACCCACGAGATAGACTGCTACATTACTTGTTCCCTTGAGGGAAGTCATATCCACACATCCCCCCCCTGTTATACCACCTATCGGCCAGAAGACCACTCGAAGAATTTAGCCCTCGGCGGTTCTGGATATACCGCTCAAGAAAAGAAGAGACCCCTTCCCCCTGGCCCAGGACACCCAAGGGTCAGGCACAGGTGCATCGGCCAAGTCACGCAAACAACTCAGGCAAGGCACACATATCCAAGGACGGGGCGCCCGCGAGGAGCTGCATGCCCTCGCCACAATCAAATCTAAAAATCCGAGCAGCCATTCCTTGCAGTATAACTACCCAGCTGAGCTTTTGTTGCCTCCCGCCATTTTCGGATGTTGCAGTGGCCGTGAGGCAAGATCACCATGGATATCCGCAGGACTGGCACCGCCGGAATGCGTATTCCATTACCACCCTGCAGAGACAATGCTGCTACGCCTCGATTTACTTCTCGGTCCAACTCCCAAAACTCAGAGGACTCCCTTCGACCTCGAGAAGCCATGGTCATCCCGGGCGCTCGCTTTAACGACGTCCCTCCACCACTGCCGCCCCCTCGATACAACAACGACTTGGCCCAGGGAGTCGACATTGCCTGGAAGTGGGCCAACGGCGAACCCTTTGACACACAGCGACAACTGGCGCCCATAAAGCCGGGCTCGAGCCTGTACGGCGGCTATTTGGACTCAAAGAGCCACTTTGTTCGTGCTCAAGATACCGATGAAATGGACCTCGATGACGACGATTACGTCCGCCGGAGCAGCAATGTCTCGACGTTGAGGTCACCCTCGCAAAGCGACATACGTCTGGCCGGCTCAGTGCCTGCCTTGATCCGGAAACCGCCATCTCCAACTCTGGGAAATCCGAGGTGAGTCAGCCGTGGCATCTTGGGCCAAGCCCAAAATTTCAGCTTAACCTTTTGTTCTGTTTTTCCGTGTCTTTTCATCCTGTCGAAATCAGGGCGTTACAGTGTCGTATTTTACCGGCTAATGCTCCACTGATCTGTTTGTTTGGGGTTGTGGTGTTGGTGCCCTTTTTCCTTTTTCTGGTCATTTCGCACGCGTCGTGGGGGCCAAATTGCCACCCCGTGAGCCGTTAGCCGTAGGTGGCAATGGGCGAGGAATGCTGATGAAATATTCTATTTTAGACTACAAGGTGAAGTGCCCTTGGCACAGCGAAATTTCGACCGCTCGTCGCAAGCATACGATCAAAGACTTTTGTCCAAGATCGGAAAGTCGAATTCGCCTCCGCGACATCAGCGTTCGGGCTCAACTGAGTCCTCGCCTTTTGGCACGAAACTTTCCCTGCAAACAAAGGATTCAAAAGTCCAGTTATTGTCAGCCAATGAGCTTCCTTCGGCGCTCTTTGATCCGGTGTCCAGATGGATCACAAGTCCGGTATCAGCAGGCGTCTCACCGGGATCGCGACCGGGATGGCGTGACTACAATATGGATCATCGGAGTCCTTCAATGGACAGCGCGACTAACTCGCTCGTGTTGGACCCAGAATTGTTTCTTCAGCCTCGACCGAGCGGTATGCCTGCAACTGGCGGCACCGGGCCGGGATACGATGAAGTGGCCAGTCTTGCGAGCCGCTCACATCGCGGCAGTTATGACCAAGGATTTTTCGCCGAAACAGAATCCGACATTGGAGGCGAAGATGGCAGCGCATTCCGCAATCTCAATCTGAGCGACCGACAAGAGCAGCAGGTGGGTCGGCTATCTTCTAAGCAGGGAATGAAGCGGCGTGCAGGGTCACCCCCATCCGATGTGGCTCGGGACGACAAATCCCCGTCACGTGGTAACGCTTCAGCAGAATCGCTCCCAAAAGTCCACACGGGCGCGTCTGGACGCTCGCCGGTGTCGAAGTATTATCAGCCCAAGTATGGATCTGTTTCGTCGACCGCGTCGAGCGTCAGGCACAACTCATATGCATCGTCTGTGGCTCTTTCAGTGGCCGGCAGTAGCATGACCAGCATTTCTTCCTTCGAGCGACAGTCACCGCTAGACCCTGCTTCCCAGGCTGCATATATAACCTCGGCCCAGCCTGTTTCGAGCCCTGCCACGTCAATTGCACCATCTAGAAAACCGTCCACGCAATCTCCTCTCGATACAATACCTCCCCCCCCAAAGACATCTATACAATCCGTCATGAGCGACTCAAGACTCCCTCCCGCGACCCGCGTTGGCAATTACTTTATCTGCGACTGCTGTCCCAAGAAGCCCAAAAAGTTCGACACAGAGGAAGAATTGAGGTAAGTGGACACCGTTGGGATTTTGTGCTGCCCACCCCACACTCCTCCCCAGGGTGTGATCTCCCATTTTGTGTCCGTGGATGCGACGCTGATTGTCGACCAGAGCGCATCAAATGGAGAAACAGTATACTTGTCAGTACTGCAACAACCGCTTCAAAAATAAAAATGAGGCTGAGCGTCACCAAAATTCTCTACACCTACGGCGCCATTCTTGGTCGTGTGCGGCCATTACGAGCTACGAGGCTGCATTTCACCCATCCTCTCCTTCGACGTCTTCTTCTGCTCCAGCCCGTGCTCAGACGGACGTGTGCGGCTATTGCGGAGAAGAATTCCCAAATCTACCTCAGCCGGACTGGGATCGCCGGATCGACCACCTCACCAATGTCCACAAATTTGGCGAGTGCAACCAAGCAAAGAAATTTTACAGGGCGGATCATTTCAGACAGCATCTCAAGCACAGCCACGCTGGGCAGAGTGGGAAATGGACCAACATGCTGGAAAATGTGTGCTTGCGCGAAGAAGTCCCCCAGGATCCCACTGGAATTTCACCAAGTGGAAGTGACTCAAGTCCAGGACGCGGCCCCAGCAGTCTCTCAGACCGGCCCATGGGTGGTGCCACGATTGACGAAGCCCAGGACGAGACTTGAAAGGCGACAATTTGGAATCGGGATTCGGTCCTAACAACCCCTCCATTCTGCAAGGATGGGAGAGGAAAGGTTGAGGGTTGCAACTGATATCTACGGCTGGCGGGAGGACCCGAGGTGCAGGATAGGGATGCTAACCGGCTCGAGAATTCTCTGGCGGCTGTCGACCCCGCCATCCTTTGTTGGAGTTTCCTCTCTGGACTGCCAACTGTCGCCAATTACTAGTCTTGCAGATGAGTGCAGAGGATCGAGGGTGCCGATCCCAGCTTTACCCTTTGCTCGTCTCCCTTAAAGGTCATGGGAATGGTTGGATGGCTTGTGGCCGGATCCTCTTCGGTCATCGACCCTCTACCTTGTCATGCAAAGGACTTCGAATCAGAACGGCTCCCTCCAGGCCTATGACGACTATATGCGCGACGATGTTACGACTCGCAGCCACCCACGGACTGGGGGGGTGCGAAAAGGAACGCAGTTACTGCCAGGCCAATGATCTTTTTTCGCAGCGTTTCTTGCTTGTGAGGCAGCAGATGGCAGTCTCAATGATACCTTAATTGACGTCAGACTATAACACGGGATCACATCGACGACGCTGCCTGGATACTAGCTACGAGCATAGCACTAACTATGCCTTTGTATCATGCTTCTGTGTACTCGAGAACAATTTACATTTCGCACACAGAAGGAATGAATGTGGGCAGCAGGGCCTTTCGGCACAGACTTAACCCGACAGTGGATCACCCCAGGCACCACACTCGCCCACCATGACCACTTTTCACAATTCGCCCGTTGGCAGGATAAAAGGCACCGTGCTCCCATATCACTGGGGTCTTTCTGGCTTGTATGGAGATATTTGATGGTGATGTATCCATCACTCAGTTAACAATTGCGAATAGCGGAATGTGGTCACCCTGCGACCAATTGGTCCAAATGCACACTTTGGTGCGGGAGCTTTCTCGTCATTAGCCCAGTACGGGATATTCACAGGCGGCAAACATTCATCCTGGGCCAGGGATGCAGAGCCTCGGACCGTCTGTGGGTACATCGGTGTGCTGGTCACAGTCTCGACGATACTTACTAGGTTTCTACCTGTCCAAAGTCAAGGGAATGTGGAGAACTAGCAGAGCTCTGGACCTCTTGGGTTCAAGGGATCCCCTTCACTGCTTTGCCCGAGCAGTACCAACGACTCGACGGACCTCAGACTATCGCAAAACGAGTCACAAATCTGCATTGGACCTATTGCGTCGTGCCACGCCCCTAAAGAACGAACGAACCAGAATGTCCGACTTGGACGCATCTTGCTATCATCCGTGGTGACCGGCGGAATCAGTCATTGGTTGTCGCTCTCGACTGCTCTCCCTGACCATTTGGCCAAACCCAGAGAGGCAGAGCACATCAGAAATTGACAAGCCACAACGCAAACAGGCTGCTGACGACATGGCCTCGTTGACCCCTCATCCGGCGTCTTAGTGCTTACCGCCCATTCCAGGAGGGGACCTCTGAAACTTGATCAGGGTACGGAGTTATGATTTGACTCCTCTTGAGATCGGATCAACAAACGGCCTTCAAACGGATCGGAATATGACCAGCATATTGGTTTAAGTTAGACCATCGGATTAGTCGGTGATGCACAGCGGCCCCCTCCCCCTTGTGAATTAGTTGAAGCGATGGGACGGAAAAAATGTTGGAAGGATTTCCCGCCTTCTTTGACATAACAGTCCAGAATTTTAGCTGGAGCGCCTCGTCTCAATGCCAAGGCCCTCTCACAGTATGGGGGTGCCTCTGCACAGCGCCGCACATCACACCGGAATTCCCTCTCGTCAGCAAATGATTCGTATCACCACCGCCAATAGCTAGCGCTTTCGGCAAGACCATCCGACCACGACCATGTGCTGGGCACCCCGAAATTCGACCCGACCCCCAGGGTTCGCCAAACGTCAATGGAGAGATCCATGATCCAGCCACATACGTTGCTCGTCTCGACTGCCTTTCCCGGTTTCAGCGAATAGTCGTTCCCGGGGCAAAGGCGGTGGAAGTCGACTTGGCCAGCAGGACGAAACGGGATGTCACGGAGAGAAGATTTTCACTCATCCAGTCTCTTTGCAGACTGCAATGTAACATCATGAAATGAAGGTACCAAGGACCCGTACGGATAGAGCAGAGATGGAGGTCAAAGAGGACACACGTGCAATACAACCACGGCACAAAAGTGCCAGGTTGAACATCCTGCAGGCATACAAGGCTATCGAGTTGCAGCTTGGCGGGGGCTTGAACAACGGAACTATACCCATACAGACGCAGTCTGGCTACATGTCAGTTGATTGTGACGTCTTAGGGTCACATATTGACCCGTCTCGTCCCAGCCACACCGTCACAAGTCAGTCCGAGAGCAACAAGAAAAAAAAATGACACTCCCTATTCCCCATTCTGCTTCATTTCGGTTCCTTTTTCTTTTAGCATTTGCTTTTTGCGGTCTGGGAGCAACTTCCTCATGATTTCTAGGTGCCTGCAACGGAGAACTTTGTGTTTCTTGGATCGGAAAGCTGATTAATGATAGGGGAGTTGGCAACCTCTAGCACCCCTGGATGACATGGGGTAGAGAGAAGCGGTATTGAGTGGACTACATACCCCGTACCCTGCCAGACTCTTTTCGTCGTCAGGCCTCTTGTTGTCCCGAGTCGACCGTGGTCCAGACCTCTTCTGATGTCTGCCACTTTATTTACTTCCGCCCGCCTTCTGATTACGATCCTGGCCTAAAGCAGATTGGGTATATCGTCCGTCGGATAGAGGGAAATAAGGGCTCGATGGATCCAGGGCCAACGCCGATCTGTCCTGTCTCGACCTCAATCGAGACCTCCTAGCCGACTGGAGGTGTGGTTTCCTTGAGGAGGTGGCGGGTGACTTCTGTGCTGTCTAGCAGTGACTGGGGGTACCGAAGATCATGCAACGGAAAAGAAGAAGCAAAATGGAGGAGTGTCCTCGAGGAACCTTTCTTGGAAAGGAGCAACAGAAGCGGCCCTTTTCAAAGGTGCCGACTTTGCTACCACTTCCACCAACTCACCTAGTAATCCAGCGTCCTCTGAGGTCATGCCATGCAAGTCAATTTTGTCCAGACGTTGCCTAACTCGAATGAATACCTAGGTACCTCAATTCCCTGAACCCTGTCACAACGGCCACATCATGACTGATGCATGGCCCGCGGCACGAATCAAGCCCAGCTACATGGCAAGAACTTCATGAATCACGAGTCGGTAACACTCACCGACACCTCAGGTATTAAAATTACAGGTGCAGCTCAGGCTGCTCTCTGGCCCCAGTGGCTAACCTCTCCTCTGCAGACATTACTGCTGGTCCAATGCCATCCTCCCGGCAGTGATCTGAGATGGACACACACAGAGGAACAGAAGGAGGACTACGTCGCATTCGTGGCGTCACGGCATCAAACTGCGTCTGTGGCTTGCCTGCATTTATGCTCAACCCACACCTTCGCCACCATATCATTGACGCGACTACAGTACACCCTGCAGAATCGGCTGGCATATCCTCTTACTCTAGCCGCTTCAGATGTCTGGGACTACGTCGATAGCCATGTGGGCTGCGAATGAGAAGAAGTATCGCCAAAAGAAAATTGGGAATTCAACTCGCCTTTGAAAGAGGTGGTCATGAATGAGCCGGCCCCAGAAGTACTCAGTTCCACATGTCACCGTCGTTGCGCGATTATCTCCCAAGGGAGGATCCTACTTAAGGTGTGCGTGGATCTGATCTGACCAGATCAATGTTGGGTGACTTTCGGGTTGTCATCGGCGCGAGAGCAACGACGAGACAAGAGAGAGAGATGAGCAGGCCAAGGTATACGACATAACCGGTGCTTTAGCTGACAGTGGCCAAATGCACAAGGGCAAAAAGGTCAAACGGTGGTCGTACTCCTCAGCAGTCGGAGCTGCTGGGTAAGAGGACTGATACCGTTGAAGCCCCGTATCCGTTTATTCGGCTAAGACTGAATCCAGGGGTTTCAAGGTACGTGAGATTAGTGCGTACTTATATACGCTTGCGCTCCGTACATGCCCTGCTACTAAGCCACCTAGGACACAACGGACAGTACATTGCCGTACCCCGAGAGCAAAGCGTTAGCCCAACGAAACGGCTCTACCAACGCAAGCACAGGGTACTAGTTGTGGAAGCTGGTTGAGGTTCGGGAGTAAGTTATGAAGCAAGCCAACGATTGATCTTGTTTGTCGACGGTTTCTTACGTGAGCGGGGGGGAAGTTTGCCAAGTTGCCAGATTGTCGGGGCAGCACTGCTATCCACTGCGAGGAAGGCGTACATGAGGGTGGCTAGGCATACGGTAAGCGTTCAAGGAGGAGGAATGGATGGCATTATCGACGCGGGAGGCGAAGCAGTAGAGGTAAGGCAAGGCTTGGTGCTGCAGCACGGGTCTCAGCCTGATGGCTATCCCCTATCACCGAAATCTGTAAGTACTAACATATTGTCATGATTGGCTGACTTCCTCCTCCTCCTCCTCTCGCCTCTGTCCCCATCTATATTTCTTCCTGTCTCTGTGCTACACCAGTATCCCTCCGACGCCTTCTCACTTCCTTTCGCCGCAGCACCCATCCATCATCCCCCTTAGAGATGGCGAACTCAGAGGCCTCCGTGGTGCAAGACAGCCCTAAAGGTGATTTTCCGCGGGAGGGTGACGACGACCCGACGACAATCACAGCCCACATTGTCCGTCCATTCGGCAATAGATGTTGACGTACACGCGGCCTTTGCTCCCCCGTGAGGCCTTTTCAAACCTTTTCAACGAAAAAGAATCCCAGAGACAGAAAGGGAAATATCTCTCTTTGAACAAGATCGTAGGATGGCCAAGTAATATGGCTAAGTCAGTACGAATACGGGGGTTAGTAAGCTGAGCCGGCTGAGCAATTGGAACGCGTTAGCATTAGCTGGCGCCGCAAGAGGTAAGAGAGGAGAACGTCTCCGGGCGAGCGCGGGTCCCTCCCGGTCGGTCGGTCCATGTCATGTCAGGATGCCTGCTTTCTAGGTTCCACAACTATGGCTTACCTATGGCATTTTACGACCAGCTCGGCAGTTCCAGGTGTGACGCCAGGACGCCTTGTAGGATGTAGCTAGCAGGGATGGAGGGCATTTTCCCACGTGGTTGCGGCTGATGGTGAGGACGATGATGTTGACGCCGATGCTGATGATGATGGGGGAGGGATGGAACCTCGTGCTTCTGTGTCATGGGGCGGCGCTGTCCGGAGTACAAATGTAAAGCAACGCCTACAGATTACGGAGTACTTCGCACAGCATTCCCGTGCAGCTTGAACAGGTGGTAGGCAGTATGAAGTAGTAATTAATACTGCATACATGAATACCAAAAAAATGGCGAGGCGAATAATAAGAATAATACTCCGGTACTGGAACAGAAACAGAAACCGATCCTGCCTGCTGATAGTAAGTTTGAGGAGGGAACCCCCCCGTCTACACTGCTCGTCAAGGGTGTGTGCAGTGCCGATAGCTCGCTCCCTATTCCAGTTTTTTTCCACCCCCTTGGTTCTCCGCGGTGTGCAGAGGGTTGTGTTTCGCGTACGTACGTACGTACGTATGTGTGTGTGAGTGTGGGTGTGTGCATATATGAAAGTAAACAATCAAGTAAACAAGTAGGCTCTTCTTCGGAGAGCGAGAGGGGCGTTGGGAGGGGCGAAAAATTCCGTAGGAGCGATAGCAGCTTAGTAATACGCGTGGCGGACATCGGAGGGCGACAAGGCTCCGAGGAGCAGCTGAGGAAAAGGGGGCCGGAAAGGGGTTGAAATGACGGAAGTCAGTGGCCGGTTATTCAAATGACATTACCGCACGGGGGGCGACCGAGGGGGTAAACTTCCGTACTAGGTAATATTACTCACTTGTGCTCGTCATAACACTACATTTCCGTGCTCGGGCAAAGCTGATAATACCGAGTATGGCTCTGCTTTTGCTTCTTCCGAAAGGATGTTCGTCCCAGAAAACGAGAAAGTGCCCATAAATCTCGTAATCCGCCGAAGACGACTTCTATACGGTGCTGAGTAGGATCTTCGCTACAGCGGACATGCCATTGACTATTCTTCTCTAGGCACTCCTACCGGAAACGGTGTTTTGAGGATGCCGAAGTTGCATCCTTGCACCTTCGGAGTCTTGCCATCAAACCGCCTCGCCACAACTCCATTCGTGCCCTCAGGCAGAATGTACCCCAAGAATTCCGATCGTATGGCCTCACTGCGCACCAAGACGCCTTATGGGGCGTGAACCGGGAAGCTGGCGCATTATCGGGTGGGCTTGTAGGAATGTTGTATGCGGATGGGACTTCCCTTCCTCGGTGTCCTCGCTGTAGAGGGCCGATGCGAGCATGTGATATGAGTGCAGACCGAGCTGTGGAGCTGGAGTAAATTCGGTAGGTCTCTCTTTTTGAAAATTTCCGACATCCACCTGCTGTGTGCGGAATTGTGGCCTTCGGACAAAAACTCGACCGAATAAGAACAACTAGAAACGCTGGAGCGTTCTGAGCGTTGTAAAGATTGTGGGAGTGGACGAGAGGGTTGTGCTCGTAAGCACAAATCAAACCATGACTGGGGCATAGATGAAACAGAACAAGAAAAGCAAAGGACATACCAGATTATTGACCCACGACTGAGCCTGAGAAATTGCTGTTTTCCCAAAAGGGAAATTGCCAGCCTTGCGGTGAGACCTCCTGTCACTTGGCGTAGCTTCAAGCGAGCCCACGAAACTCACTCTCTTACCTTTGTCTTACGGGATTCTGGAATCGTCGGAATGAACACACTGCCTGGGACGAGGTCCAATATCTTGGTAAAGAGTCTGGAGATCGAGCCCACACACTCGTTCAGACGGGCCTCAACATTAGGCACAGCTGGATTCTGAAGCGTCCTTTGTGATGCACCTCACATCTGCTGTTGATCGCTTACACTTTCGAAGCTGTAACTGCAATTGTAGTTTCGCTAGGGTAGGGTATGATCTTGCCTGGCATCTCTGAACTGGTCTTGAACAAAAGTTATGCGCATTTGGATATTATCAGTCCTGCATAACTGCCTCTGCGATTAGGAAGTGAGAGAGTAGAATAACATCTTTGCATTGACTCGATGTTCCAGGGAAGCGTGTGGGCCATAGACCGTGGTAGGGCTCCTTCGTTTCAGTTAAACCCCAGTTCTATTTGGTCTAGTCTTGTCCACCCTCATAAGTTGAGGGCCCCATGATGATCGGCACCCTTTTGGAGAGGCGTACCATGGAGCAGGTGGCCTTCTCGAACCGCCTCATACTGGCTGGCTAGGGAGTACGCCGACTGTTACCCTGAGATATGAGGAGGGAGGGCTTGGCATATTGCTGCAGGTTTGGTAGGAAAATGACCTTCAGTACCGGGTACCTCGTAGTATTGTTTGTGCTGGAGCATTGCTAACTTCGGCGGAATGTCGTCATTAGGCGATGGCAATCCTTCCGCACTTGCCTGACTGAATTGATCCTGTAGGCCAAATGAATCTGCAAGAGGTGCACGTTACTTTCCCCGTTTGTCAGCAGTTCCCGCTAACATGCGACATATCATGCAGGGTGTCATGAGGGCTTCATCTTTGTGCAAAGCCAGTCCTCCATCAATTTGGGGCCACTCGGGTTGACCGACATCTCTTGCCAATAGCTGGAAAATATGGATCCTTGAAATTGCTCTAGTTCCAGAGGAACTGCGTTCTGCGCATGAATGATGTGGCTCCCGCGCTGCATGAAACTCCCACAGGCGGCGGAAATCGAAAAAAAGAGACTCATGCTAGTCGAGTGGAGACATAGGCCTCATCTTTGATGCGCGGCATTCTGCAGGGATTTGTCGAAAGAATCGTCGTCAGTCAACAAGGCCTCTTGCAAACTGCGAGCCGTTCCAGAACGGAGGGAGTCACCGGGCCAGGCCGTCGGCATGCTGCGAATCGACACTTGCATTGACACGACAAATACTTAATAATCAAGAGGCGCATATACCAAGAAAAGGATACGGACTGACAGGGTCCTGTAGAGAGAGGGCTCTGGCTTCTGAACGGTTGCAGATTGCTCTGACAGTTCGGGATGCCTGAATGTTGCTAAGCTTGATGAAACACGCACACCGAGTGTTCCTGCAAGAGATCGGAGAAGCCGAGAACCTGGAGAGCAACGGCTCGATGCCGAAAGAGAGACTTGCAACTTGTAACAGGATCTTGGTCAGACCACACCTGGTAATGGTCGCGATGGATGTCGCTCCTGATCTCGTGAGGCTTCCCCAGCCATCGGACTTTCGGATACATCGGCCGCTTTTCCGAAGGGTTTTTCTTCCAGAACACTAAGTTGGGCGCCTGAGCGTGCAAAAGGTCCGCCAAAGCTGCATTGCAGTTACGAGCTTGGTGCTGGCACTTTTTTAACCTCGAGTATTGCGCTTGGAATCGGAACGTACCGCTCGAAATTGACGATCGGAGGCTGGTGGCCGCTCTCAAAGAATTCGTAGAAGATGGCATGGTTAGGGCGGACAAAATGAGGGTCAGTGTGGTGGGGGTGGAAAGCCTTGCAGCGATTTGGACGGAATGGGTTCGAGCATATTTTGAATATTCACGCAAAGCGTCCACATGGTGATAACGCAGATAAAAAATGTCGAGGCGTTGGCCATGGTCCCGAGACGAAGATTCCATAAAAAATAATGCTGCACCATGGTGTTAGACTGGCTGAAAGGCCTAGAATTGTGACAGCACAACGCCATGCCAAACGTGCAGACTTGTCACCATGGATGGAGATCGACCGGCTAGTCTGCCAGTGTGTTGCCGTGGATTACTGGCAAGGCTGCATCCATGTATGGGAGAAGCTTCTTTGATGTAAAAGGTATTTCAGAGGCCCCAATCTAGGTGTGCGTAGAGAGCCGCGGTAAATCTCATCGATCGATCATTCCAAATTGCTTGTCCAGAGAGGCAACAGCAAGGTTGGGGGCATGTATCGATGCTCGTCGTACATTGAGCGTTCGCTGGCAGTTTCTAGCTGTGCAGACTCGAAGTCTCCAGCAAGTTCGTTGAGCAAGAAGAGCAGAAGGAGAGGGGCCTGGGGACTTTTCACATCATCGCCATTTTCTCGCCACATCATGAGACGTGGTCATCCTTCCTAGGACGGGCAGGCTGTAGGAAATGCCGGGACGAAGGGAGGAGGCTTGCGGAAAGTCTTTCGTACCGTGAGTGCGAGAGGAGTACTTGGCTCATACAAGCGAGTGAGGGCGATGAAGTCGTGCTCTTGCCATCAATTACAACCATTCATCAGGCTTCAAATTTCCGGCAAGCAAACACGAATGAATGGACTGGTCGCCAAAGAGCTGCTAGAGTTGTTGGGTGGATGTTGCAACAGCGAACTCGAACGAATGAGGCTTGATTTGATGCGATGGATGTTCTGAAGTGTGGTAATGGGGCAAGGAGGGGGTAATACAAATGCGGGTGATGAAGCCTCGAAAGAGTCGAGAAGAAAGAATGGCTTGGTTCCCCTTTGATGGAATGTGACAAGGTGGATAGATGATGATGATGATGATGATGATGATGATGATGCTGCTGCTGCTGCTGTTGAGATGGGCGACGTGGTTGGAGTCTCGAGGAGTCAAACATCTTGATTCTTCTCCGCAGCCAAAACTGTGTGAAAACGGCGGCGTCCATTTCGCTTCCATTCCACTTACTCCATACACACTTCTTGTTGGCCTTCCCCAGTTTTGCTCTGGCCATCGACCAGAGGCTTGCGTTTTCTAATATCTTTGCCCGATACCAGAACTTCCTTGTCTGCCTGCGGCAAAAATCCGCATGATCCATCTACACACGAGGGAGTGACCCTGATCTGCGTGGCAGCACCGAGAAAAAAAAAAAAAACAATGCAAGTCGCAGCATTCCTGTCGGATCTCAAGTCCCTCAGTGTTTGTGTAAGTGAAGTTCGGTTGAAGTCTGAATTCTGCTTGATCAATCCCTTGCCCATCTCTATGTCAGTGGACTCCGGCTTTCGTTTCCCAGAGATTCTAGAATATGGACTGACTTGCATGGGTCAGTCTCACGAAGCCGCCATCGCCCTGGTGAAGCCATCTTTGATCACGACAGCCGATGACACAAATCAATCGCCAGCCAAGGCCGAGGAGACACCTGGGCGACCATTACAGCCTTCGACATCAGAACACCATGATCAGGACCTTCAACGCGCGAACGAACTGGTCTCACTCTACTACGACGTCAAGTTGAAATATCTTGAGACAGGGCCTGATCCAGACCTTGTCCAGGCGGGAAAGCATGTCGACCAGATCATAGCTGCTTTGTCCAGGTCAAAGCGATAGTCTTGATAGGCCGTGGTTATTGGTAGAATCGAATCTGCGCCGAATAATAATGAGCCTATGTTCAAGAACGAAGGTGTCCACTGTTAAAGCCTCCGATCCTTTCACCATATTTGAAAACACAATAACGATATTGCCACCATCCCCGTCGCACTTCAACGCACAGTGTTCCCCATGGGCCCTAGCAAAGGAGGCTCATTGGCGGCAGGAGCTTGTAGATGCCGTGATGCTGCAGGTACAGCAGGGTCTCTCGCCTCCTTACCGCCTTTAGCTCCAGGTAACCGGCCTTTACACTTGCACTTGAATAGTGCGACTCGAGCCCTGCTAGTTGCATGTCTTTGCATCACGTTCATGGTAGGGCTGTCCCTCTGGAGCTGCAAGCGGTGATATCTCCGCAAATATTTTGTCCTCGTCAGTCCTCGACACTTCAAGCACCTATAGATGTCCTCCGCTTCCGCATGGAGCCTGGCGCTCGCGATCTTCTGATCCATCTGTCTTTGTTGGATATCTCTTTTATACTCCTTCCATCTCGCATAGCTGTGGGACAGGTCACTAGGTCCATCTAAAGGCAATGGACCGTCAGGCACGGTTTTCCCGGCCGCGTTGAGCTGAGGGTGGACCGCATTGGCCAAGTCTCGGCCTAGAATGATAGCGAGGAGGCGCTTCCTGACAACTACCCGGCGGACTCTCTGGATGACTCTCTTTCTTTTACCCATCTTGGTTCCCACTGGCAAGCCAGATAGGGCAAGTGGCAGAGCTGAAGTCACTGCATTGACGGGCACTGCATTTGTGACTGTTGTAGGGTTGACGAGGACACTGGTAGGTGCTGGCACTGCCCCTACAGGGTTTGACGCAGCATTGAGTGGTGTAGTGGTCGCACTTTGTTCCGTTGCTGCCTGAAAAGGAGCGGGTGACTCGCTTGCACCACTCGTAGCCGTTGTTCCAAGTGAAGCAGCCATGACCGTGCCGCTGGGTCTGTGTATTCTAATTTCGGGGATAGAGAAGGGCTCAATATATTCGGCTTTAGAGGAAGTGTCCACAACCAGCTCGGGTATGTTCTCCGATTTCGTCAACGGGTCTGTACTGGCTTCTGCAGCACTCGGGCCTGCTTCTTCAGCTTTAGACTGTGTTTCGATTTCCGGGGGAGCAATGTCTTTAGGACCTTGGGGATCGAAGGCCGGCTCAGTTATGGCTTGAGAGTCCAACTGTTTCTGAGTCTCTAGGAGAGCCTCAGACGCCTCAGTCATGCCTCTTTCCCTTTCTGCCTCCTCTTTGGAATGGTCGTGAAGTGGGTCAGAAGGATGTGCGACAGAAGGTTGGTGAGCCGGAATGAAGACTCGTCCTGGTGCCGATATATCGGAACTTTGGGGCGCAGGGATCGATGCCTCGGAAACGTTCAGTCGGCCTTTAGTGACTCTTGCAAGAAAGGGCAGTCCCAACCCTGCTATTATCTCCTGACTCTCACTGTCTTGGACTGCACCAGCGGTCGTCCGTTCTGAAAACGTGTTCCGCCGGCAGCTCATTCCCCGTGTACTTAGACCACCACCAGTGGTATTGCTTGCCTCGCATCCTTCTTTAACGCTCGAAGTCGACATTTGAGTTTCAAGCTCAAACGAACCTGCGGATTCGATGGTGGCGACAATTGGAAGCTTAACACCTTCTGGGATGATGATCGATATGGACTGAGCGGATGCTTTTACTCTGATTCGCGGCCGATCTTCAGCTGGGCAGCAACTGGAGGATCTCTGAGAGGCTATTGGAGTTAAAGAGCTATCAGAGAGCTTTTTCCTAAGCGCTTGCTCAATGAACTGGATTTCTTCTCGCAACCCCCGTCTAGGGGAGGCTTTTTCAGGGCGGTAATCGGAATAAGGCTGTTTTTGCGACTTGAGGGCAGTTAAATATCGCTCACGCAGGAACGGCGAGGGGCTCGTGGAAGCGTGTACGAATGGAATTCTAGGTACCCTGCCGAGGTGGTCTTTCTGGTCTTGTCAGTACGGTGATGATCACGTAACTGGACATACGAACTGTCTCAAAATGACCGATAAGTGCTTCAACGGACGGCTTTTTCGGAGCAAAAGAAGCCGTCCAAGTGGATGTAGGCAGCGTAGCTGAGCTGATTCGATGGTCTGGGGCTTTGTGAAGGGTGCTCTTCCGAGAATCTGCAGTCGACACTTGCGGGTCCTAAGCCTGTCAGACATGAGCGAAGCCCTCGATTTCTCGGAGAAGGTCCATGCCAGCTCTTTGTTTCTTTGTAGATACCGATGAGGTTCTCCGTCCGGGAGATGAGACAGGGTTGGAGAACCGGGCGCGTGGTCGCAGGCAGGGTGCTCCAGCCAGGGCCAACCCAAGCCGGTAGAGTGAGGAGAATGACGTCTATTTAAGGGGCCACACGGACAAGATGTGCTCATTACTCATGTCGAGTGAATATGGAAGCAAAGTCATAGGCGAGGATAAGTAGGAGTAGTAAAATAGGAGATATGAAGACAACGCATCATTGAGTGAATGCGAATGATCCAGGAAGAAAAAGAACAAGAAACCATGGACGCTCTTGCGCAATGTCGAAAAGGGAAAGAGCAGACCTCCCAGCGCATTACATAGTGCCAATAACAAGCTCTTCGATTGTTTATCCCATTACTCACCGTGATATAATTATTGAGGATTCCATCTTCTGGGTTTGCACAGAGCAACGAGGCTGAGGAGCGAGGCCTTGTGAGGCTCAAGCTAATAAGCGGGGTCGCTTGACCTTCCTCACCTTCCTCATCCCCGTTGAGTATCCAGTAAGTCGACTTTTCCCAACTTCTCCAAAGTTTCTCCGGTCTTTTCAACTGCGCCCGTGTGCCTAAATCTGGCCCTTGTGGACGTATTCTCGCGACATCATGGCCACGGCGGTTGACCAGAAACTACTTCGGCAGACCAAGTTTCCTCCCGAATTCAACCAAAAAGTTGATATGAAAAAGGTCAATATCGAGGTGATGAAAAAGTGAGCTAGGCGTGCAAAGGCTACTCGCCTGAACAGTTACTGATACTTCTTTGCAGATGGATTGCAGGCAAGATCTCCGAAATACTTGGCTCCGAAGATGACGTTGTTATCGAGCTTTGTTTCAACTTGCTCGAGGGTTCGCGTTTCGTACGTCAACGTCCCCTCAGCCGTCGCCCGTTCAAGACTAATAGCCTCAGCCCGACATCAAAGCGCTTCAAATCTCGCTCACCGGATTTCTTGACAAGGATACCCCCAAATTCTGCAAGGAATTGTGGAACTTGTGCTTGAGTGCGCAGTCAAATCCGCAAGGTGTCCCGAAGGAGTTACTTGAAGCCAAAAAGCTGGAGCTGATACAGGAAAAGGTACAACGAGCGCGCCACTATGTTGAACTTCGCTGATGTGGCTAGATTGACGCTGAGAAAGCTGCCTTGGAAGCTAAGAATAAAAAAGACGAGGAACAAGCTCAAGAGCGGGAGATTGACTCCATCCGACAGCGTGAACGAGCCGAGCGTGGCCGTGGTCGGCGTGGTGGTGGCCGTGGCGGACGAGGATACGATACGCGACCGCCGAGATACTCAAGGTCTCCTCCGCGTCGCAGAAGATCTCCATATAGAGGCCCCCCACCCCGTCGTGAGACTGATACCTATGTTCCTGGAAATCGAGGCAGAGGGGCGCGGAACATGGGTCGAGGGCGTTCGGTGACCAGATCACCCTCTCGTCCTCGGTCCAGGTCCCTCTCCTCGTCGCGATCGCGTCGTGCTGGCCGGTCCGCGTCAAAGTCAAGATCCAGATCGAGGTCCAGGTCCAGGCCCAAGACACCGGCATATTCCCGAAGCCCATCCCCAGCACCGCGAAGAGAACGAGATTCAAGAAGCAAGAGTCGGACTAAGTCACCTGCGCGGAGGGGAGCAGGCAGGTTGAGAAGGACTTCCGAATCACCCGGTGATAGACGCACACGATCTCCAACACATTCTGATGTGTCGCGCTCACGGTCGCCTAGAAGACGACGACCAAGAAGCCGGACAGCTTCAAGCCCCAGTCGAAGCCCAAGCCCCAAGCGGCGCCGATACCGTCGAGATCGCTCATATTCATCATCCCGGTCAAGGTCAAGATCGCGGGACGCACGGAGGAATTATAGAAAGGGTGACAGACGTTACAGGCGATCTCCCTCATATTACTCCTCTGATGACAATCGAAACAACAGGCGCGCTGATATTCTCAGGGGTCGCAATGCACACGATGTCCGTCGTTTGAGCCGCAGCCCTGACGATTATAATTCTCGACGAAGAGGCAGCCCGAGTCGAAGCAGAAGTCGGCGCCCGCACCATAAACGAAGGCGGTCGCTACAGAGATATGAGCCCGCTCCGCGCAGACGACGCAATACTTCATCGTCGGAATCGTCGCCGGAGGTGAAACGTCGGAGACGTGATCCGTCAGACGATGAGGCGATGAGGGACTCCCCTGGTAAGCAAAGTGCGGATGGACGTGGTGATGTTGACTCCCATTGAGCTTTGGAGAACCGAACCCGACTGCATCCCAATCAGGTGACTCCAAAGTCGAGAGCCTCGACAGCGCCAAAGCCGGGAGTCAATTTGAAGATATTTCGTGGGCCAGCAAAAAGCAAAGAGGTCAGAGTGGAATGAGTGGTAGGGACACTGCCCTGCTCTGTCTATATCGGCTCCGCTGTGCCCAGAGCCTTTTCTACACTGCCGGATCTGATACCCTACCAGTGATACATTAAAAGCCGTCGTCAAATCAATTTGTAGCAATACACTGTGCTGCGTACTCGGTACCGCGCTTCGCTTTTCACTGCGTCCGTGCATTGGCATCACGTGAGTGACGTTAATGCCGAAGCATTTTGTTGGTAACTCCGGCAGGCGACGTTCTGCGTAATGCACATCCCGGTCCGCCCAAATCCGCCCTCGCAACTTTCCCCTTTTGGGTCACTTAGCGACCTGGATTTGAGTTCTGGAACCTCAGACTTTGAGCGCATCCTCACGCTCCCTGATCACTTTCTACTTCGTATACATTTCATAATTCTACACCACGACACATCTTCAATTTTATCATTTCGCCCAGGACATACTTCGGATTTTCTTCGTTCACTCCCGGACCGGCTTGACGCCCTTTCAATCATTCTACATTCCCATCTTCTCCGTTCCTTTCGTTCCCATCCGCTTCTCAGTCCATCATGAGTTCAGGACCTAGACTAGTCAGCAATGCTGCAGCCAGGAGGCTCCTGTTACAATGTCAGTTTATGCATCGATTCCGGAACTGGATCTTGACTGACTTGGGCATAGCATTCCCTCGCCCCTCACACTCTTCGCTTCTCAGCGTCTACTCCTCTCGGTCCAAGTTCGCCAGAGACCTCCCCCCTAAACTCTCCGCACTGGCTATTGCTTTACCGCAGAGAAATTATGCAACAGAGACCACCTCGCATGGCCCTGGCAGTGGACCTCCTCCCGGCTTCAATATTGACCAGGCCAAGAAACCTCTGCCGAAGGACGAGACCAAGAAGCCATCCGAAGCATCGTCTACTCCTACGGTCGCGGAGCTGAAGAGGTCTGATGAGCAAATCCGTGTCCCAAGAACAAAGGCGACTGCGACCGCTAAGACCAGGGCCTTGGAAAACGCCAGTCTCAACGAGCTAGCAGCTGAAAAGGCTGCTGCAGCTCAGTCCGAGAAGGAGCATGCCACGGAACTAGCGGCCAAAAAGGAGGAAACCAAGAAACTCACGATTGGCCAAAAGATAAAAAAGGAACTCCAACATTATTGGGACGGGACGAAGTTGTTGGCCGCCGAGGTCAAAATATCCTCGAGGCTTGCGTTAAAAATGGCCGCAGGGTACGAACTCAGCCGCCGAGAGAATAGACAGGTAAGCATTTGCTTGATCGGCTTGGGTATGTTCGGAAGTATTGACAATTGGTCAGCTGCAACGGACAGTTCAAGATCTGGGCCGCCTGGTACCGTTCTCGGTTTTTGTCATAGTCCCCTTCGCAGAATTCCTGCTCCCGGTCGCGCTGAAATTGTTCCCGAATCTGCTGCCCTCGACATTTGAAGGCCAGAAAAGCCGCGAAGCCAAGGCTGCCCATCTGAGGGAAACGCGCAAACAAGTTTCTGCCTTCCTCCGCAATACGCTTCGTGAGACCGGCCTCCCAGTCTCTGCCATCAACGCCAGGAAAGAAGAGTTTACCGAGTTCTTCCGCAAAGTCCGTGCCACGGGTGAATCTCCTTCCAGAGAAGATGTCATCAAGGTCTGCAAGATCTTCAAGGACGATTTGACATTGGACAATCTATCCAGACCACAATTGGTCGGCATGTGCAAGTACATGAACCTCAACACCTTCGGAACAGACGCTATGTTGCGGTATCAAATCCGCCACCGTATGCGCCAGATCAAACGTGACGACAAAGCTATCTCCTTTGAAGGCGTCGACTCTCTCTCCGTACCTGAACTTCAAATGGCATGCGCGTCCCGTGGTCTTCGGACCCATGGCATGTCGCCCGGCAGGTTGAGGGAGGATCTGCAAATGTGGCTCGACCTGCGTCTCAAATATAACATCCCGTCAACGCTTCTGGTACTCAGCAATGCGTACATGTACACGTCGGCCAAGGACAGCGAGATTGATTCGCAAATTGATGCGCTGCAAGCTGTGCTTAGTTCCATTCCAGAGGAATTATTCCACGAGATTGAACTTGAAGTCCACAATGCAGAGGGAGCGGCTACAAATAAACAACGTCTCGAGGTGTTGAAGGAGCAGCAGGAACTGATCGAAGAAGAGAACGAGCAGGCCGAGTCAAGTAAGCAGACGGCAGAGACTAAGGGCGATAAGAGCTCCAGCTCGACAGTTAAGGATGATAAAGACATCGACGAGAGACCCAAGCCCAAGCCTGCTGATGCTCAACAGGAGGCAAAGGAAGCTGGGGCGGCGAAAGAGGCCGGAGAGGCCGAACAAGATGTCACGGAGCAAGGGAAGCAGGAGGAGGTACAGAAGGCTCCCGAAGTCAAGAAAGACTAGCTGCCTCCCGCCTTTTTCGTCCAGAAATATCTCTCTGCGATATTCCACCACTCATTCTTTTTCAACCGCACAGAGAGACACATATTTTTGACTCCCAGCTTCTGATCATTTGACCTCGGCGACCATAGAGCATGGAGGGCGAGATCATGAAGTTTAGCTCGACATACATCGACTCGACTCAGCGAGTTAGTTGGAACATGCCCGTGCTCCCAACACTGCACTGAAATAGGGGGAAATGGGACGGGGGACCACGATGAGATTGATTAGGTATAGCTGCATGTAGCCCCCAAGGGCACGGAGCGGAGCGACAGAAGAAAGCAAGGTGTTTGACGAATTCCATAGACTTGACAGTATATATTTCAATCCCGCGTCTTGAACTTCTTGAATGCCGTGCCAGGTCCAGTTGTGTTGATTGTGGGCGAGTGTGAGCACGAGCAGGGGCAATGAATATGCTCAATCAATCCTGCGTACGGAGTACTTCGTATTCTGCATACCATTTGTGTGTACGGGGTACTACCACCCCTTTTTCGATCTCTCCCTGATTCACGACAAAGTAAGCCATCAGATAGCAGTGGTAAGCAACATGGCATAGCTCGTTGTCTTGTTCACAGGCACATGTAATGTCTAACCCATTGCTCTTCATCGGCGGCGGCAGCACACTTATGCAATCAATCAATCCATCCGTATCCATCGATCCACAAGGCGATAATTAGCAAGGTAGGTCCGGACGTAAGGAGGTAAGTAGGGAGGTAGGTAGGTAGGCAAGCAGGTTGTTACTGCAGCTGCGTGAATTGCTGCTCTTACCACACAGATATGCGGATACCTAGGAACATGTTGTGGCAGCTAACGTGAACTCGTGGGCATTCGTTGTGAAACCAGCCATGCTGGTAATGGCTCTGGCTTTCCAGACATAGGACTTCCTATCATCCAACTTTCCTTCGCGTCGTGTCGTACCGTAGAATTTGCCCCGTAGTGGTTTGCACCCATAGCTTCTAGAGCCGGAAGTCGAGGCCCAGTTCCGCCCGTCCTCACTTAGAGGTTTATGTGTAAAGAGAAGGTCAGTTGCTTCGGGTAATCAGACGTATTTCCTCAGCTGAAAGCTCGTTAGTACCTCCACACATACCTCCATGATGCCGGAAAGCTGAAGCAATATGCGACTTACATCTAGCGTTAGGACTTTGGAACTGTTCGCTCCTTGGTCCCTATATACCCCCACCAGTGCCTCGCTGCCCTGGAAGAACCCGGTCTTTAGACTAATCACGATGAATTGCATTCCCGGACGCTATCATGACATGGTTAGCTCCACATCACATGCTATCAGCCAGATATGCTGCTTCCTGTGGCAGACCGCATAGATCGACAGGGTGATAGCAACAGGGAAGACGACTTACCGCATGATTCTTCACGTAATTCACCAACTTGCCCACATTAGCATTATCCAAGGCCGCGTCCACCTCATCCAGGACGAAAAATGGACTTGGCTGAAAACTATGAATCGCAAAAAGTAGCGCCAGCGCTGCCATCGTCTTTTCCCCTCCTGACAAATGCTCCATATCTCGAAAGCGCTTCGTGGGTGGCATAGTGTGGTAATTCACTCCTGCTAGGTACGGCTCTTGCTCATCTGCTGTGAGGTAAGCGCGGCCTCCAGCAGGAAATTCGTCCGATTTGGTCAAGTTGGAGTAAATGGGTTCGATTTGTTCCGAGATGTGGCTGAAAGCCTTGTTGAAGAGTTCATTGCGCTTTTTCATTGCATCCTCGAATTTCGCCTTGAGGTCAGTGTATTTGTCGCGTGACTCTATGTATTCCTGTTCTGTGTCGCGTGCACGGGCTTCTGCGGCGGCAAGACGTTGAGCGGCGTGCGCATTAGGCTGCATCTTATCTAGCACGGCATTGAGTTTGGCAATATCTTCCTGCAATTTGGTTTCCATGGCTTCATCGTCTGCTTCTTTGAGCTCGTCATCTAGTGCATCAAAGTCGGGTTCGATACCGTAGTCACTGCTGGCAAAGTTGTTCAGAGCGGAAGACGTTGGCTCGTCTTCATCAGCGTCCATCGCATCGGCATCTTCAACTGGCAGGTCGTTGACGGGCACACTGTCCAAGCTCGCGGATTGCTCAGTCAGTGGAATAGCGATATTTTCAATCTTGCAGCGGCGAAGAAGGCTGTTTCTCGTTGCAGAATGTCGTTGGATCTCCGCTTCGAGGGCATTAATCGCTCGAAAGGTACTCTCCATCTCTTTGGCGCGCATCTGAAACTCTGCCTTCTGCTTGGCCAGCTTTTCGGCTGCTGCGGTTAGGAGCTCCCTCTGCTCGTCCAGCTGAGCATGGAGTTCATCGAGTTCATTCTTCAATGTTTCGAGGTCGTCTTGGATACCTTGTCGCTGTTCATTCAGCTCGTCGATCGTCTCTTTGTCGCGTTGTTCCTTGTCTCGAAGAGCGAGGAGACGGTCGTCTGTTTGCTGAAGCCGTGTTTTTTCAAAACTGAGTTGACCTTCAATTCTGGCCTTGTGCGTGACGAATTCGAGCCTCTTCTGGGCAGCTTCTTGCTGGAGTGATCCTTGTCTAGCTTCATAGTCTCGAATGTCGTCAAAGCCGTGCTTCTGGCAGAAATCTGCAAAGATTTCGTTTTCCACATTGCTTACGGATTCTTGGTAGTCCGAGATATCTTCGTCTATCTTTTCCAGCTTGTTCTCTTCCTGGTGCATCTTCGGACGCTCCTCTGCCAACTGACGCTTAGCGTGATCAACTTCGCGCATCTTGCTCTGGAGATTCTTGTTGAGGGCTTCAAGTTCTTCTTTAGCATATCGTAGTTTGCTTTCAAGACCGGCCAGCTCATTTTGGAGTGTCTGTTCCTCTGCTCGACGAGAGCTTTCTTGTGGCAGAGCAGCAAAATCTTCCATCAACTTGTCTTTCAGCTTGTTGAGCCGATCAACTTCAGCTTCATCCCATCTTCGAGTGGGTTGGTCCCTGCCACGACCGCCAGTCATTAAACCGCTCTTGTGGATAACATTGCCATCTAACGTGACAGCCTTTGCATCCACATGGCGGTTGTAGCACAGGTCCTTCGCTATCTTAAGATCATCACAGATGATTGAATTACCGCAGGCATATGAGATTGCTCGCGCGACAGACTGGTCATAATCCACCGTGTCGATGGCTGGACGCATGCCCTTATGCATGCCTTTCAAATTCGAGTTGAGCGACTTGACTTGTATTGTGTCTAGCGGAATGAAAGTCGCTTGGCCCGAGCGATGATCTCGTAGATACTCGATGCATTGCTTGGCGGTCGCTTCGGTGTCGACAACGACAGAGTCGAAGTGGCGTCCTAGCACTGTACTGACAGCCTCCGCAAACTTCTTCTGCTTGGGCTTGCATAGTTCATGAACACGACCTTTGACACCGGGATATGTGCGCTTGAGCATGGTGATAGTCTCCCGCATTCTCCCTTCCCTCTCGTTTGTCCGGCGGCCATCATCCGCTTCCAGAAGTTTTCGAGCCACTTCGGCGAGCTTCTCATCGAGCTCAGTGCGGGTTCGAGCTGCCTGCAGTCGCTTAGACACGACAGCATTGAGCTCTTTCCTCTTTGCGTCGATCTCCACCTGTGCCTCTTGCACCACTTCCTTGAGTGCGTCTCGCCGTTGGCGGAGGGCATCGGATTCATTCTCGAGTGACCTCAATTTGTGTTCAGTACTTTCAACACTGTTCTTCAGATTGTTGTAGGTGGCTTCAATCGGAGCTCGATCGTTCTTGAGCCTCTCAATGCGACTTTGGTCGGCTGATGCACGCTTGTTGACTTCTTCGCGAAGTCGAGTGTACAGCTGAAGATCAGCATCACTCAACTGACCGCCTAACCGACTGGCGTTCTGTTCCCATTCTTTCTGCCACTGAGCCTGGGCCTTCTCGACAGTCTTCAGGTCTTTTTCAAGTTGTGCTACTGCAGCGGCCTGCGTTGCTCGCTCCTTGATGATTGTGTTCGCTCTGTTTGCATATTTAGTGAGCTGCTGGGTGGAGACTGAGATTTGTTCATCAATCGGGACGAGAGATGCCGTGTTGTCCTCAATTTCCTTTTCTTTACTCTTGATCAATTTCTCTATCTTGCCGACACCTCGTGAAGCCTGAGCATGTTCTTTCTTGGCAAGGTCGAGAGCCTTTTCATATTTTTCCACACCGCGACGGTATTCTTTCAACTCCTCTTGATGTTTCTGGATCTGAGCGCTAGACTCCTGCATCTGGAGTTGTAGGTGATACATTTTCCACAAGACATGAGTCACAATTGCTTCATCTCGCTCTGCAGCCTTCTTCTGAAAATGGTCCGCCTCCCGTTTCTGCTCTTGGTACTGGCGGACCTCTGCGTTGATACCTCGACGTCGATTGAGTTGAAAAGTCTGTTGCTCCGTCGCCTCCTCTAGTTCTGCTTTCAATCGGTCGTAGTCAGCTTTGTACTCAATGCTGCCCGAGACCTGTTCGATCAAGCGTGTCAAATCCTGTGGTTTCTGTGTCGCAATAGCTTCGACATCTCCCTGAAAGACGAGAAAGTTGCGCGCTTTGATCAGAATGTTCTCATCCTCCAGCGACTCATTGTATTGTTGAGCGGTAACAATGCGCTCATTGATGCGATACTCGGAGACACCTTGATTGGTGATTGTGCGCTTGTATTTCTGTTCCAAGCCAGCGTCATCTTCGTAAACAGCCATGACCCAGGCAGACTTGGGGTCATCGCGCTCTTGTGTGCCGTTCGCTTGCGATTCTTCTTCCGCTTCTTCTTTTTGTTCTTCCTGATCATGACCTCCGTCTCCGTTTGCTTCAGGTTCGCCATTCGCAACGGATTTTCGCAGAACGCGACCGCGGTACACCAGTTCTTTCAAATTGGCGGATCGAAGATGGGACGACTTGATTCCGAGGACGAACGAGATGGCGTCCATGGCGTTTGATTTGCCGGAGCCATTGGGGCCGATGATGGATGTGAAGTACGCATCGCCAAATAGGAGGGTATGATGGTCCTTGTAGGACTTGAAGTTGTAAAGTTCGAGCCTGCTGAGTTTTCCCATTGTCGGCTTGACGGTCAGAGGGAGAGGTGGGGTCGCGCAAAAGGTGAGTTGGATCTGAAGCAGGTTAAAGCGCAGACATGGAGAATGGAGAAGTCCAAGGAGCTGTGCGAGGGGTTAAGGAAGAAGTGGAGGGTGAAAGTAAGACACGCGACCATCCGTTTGTGCTGGTGCTGGATCGGGTTGTTTGATGTGTGCGCAGCTGGAGCGTACCAATTCACATTGGATGGACAAGACGCGTGCGAGATGCTCGTACTCGATAGAACCAGTAGTGCGGCTTGTACCGAGTACTCGGTATGGAGTTCTCGGTAGGACGCGAGGCAACGCAAGGCGCGTTGGAAAGACGGGACAAGTGGAGGCTGATGACCGGCTATACTTAAAACTGCTTAGGCTACTTAGGCTTCTAACAAGTACTTGTACCTACCAAATACCTCGTGCTTGTGCCTAGGCAGACTCTTGGCAGACCCTGGAACCACTGGAGAAGCCCAGGAAGCCGTTAGTCAGTGCCTGGGGGCGCGGCTGACCGGGCGTTGGGGGGTGCCAGGTGCTGTGGTGCAGAGTGGGTGCGGCAGTGCTTGTCTACTTGTAGAATTGACGTATTGCGCCCATCGACTCTGCCACTCATGGTACGCGATATTCCCACGCTCCTCAGCCTTTCGCTCTCAACACCACAAAAAGGTACATAGACACAAACACCCTTACCAACTCCCTTACTCACAAGACTCATGTGCACATTTGGCAGCATGACCATCCAACCTTCGGTATTGCTGGTCATCTGGCACGTGCCGCTTCTCTCAGCATAGTATTCTTTACCTATTTCTTACCTGTGTGCTGCTGTGTGTCCTTTGCCTTTTGCCGATCTGGTATATCTGGAGATTCAGACCCCAGCGCATCCATCACATCATCCCAGGGTCTCCGATCCAAGCATTCCGCCCTGCATATCAACTTTCTCCCGCATCCCGTCCTCTCTCCTCCCTCGCTCGATATTCTTCCCACTTCTTCCTATCGCCCTCCTTCACTTCTCTAATGCGCCATCTGTAGCTGTCTGTTTCAACCATGTCGGAACCTATACCCATCCCTCGCTCCAAGACCGGCACCGCCCTGGATGAGATGACTTCCAACGAGATCGCCGGTAGTGCGGGCACCGATACTGCGGGCTCCTTGACGGATGCTCTCACTCCAGCCTATCAATCTGGCTACCAGTCTTCCAGTCCCGGAAGCCCCTACCTACTCTCCAGAAATCCCTCCTACGTGGGCAGCCAGTCTTTACAGGAAGATTGGGAGGTCCCCCTCGACAAGCTGACGTTTTTCGACATCTTCGACAATCTCGCCTTACCAGCCAAGCTCGAAAAGTGGCAGGTGGCCTTGCAGGCACAGAAAGAAAAGCTGGCACGTCAGCAGGAGAGGATAAGAAGCTCGGGCAACAATGCGAAGGACCGCGCGGTGGCCGAATGGCGCAAACGGGTTCCCCCAGCCGACGAACAGCTGGCCAAGTACCGCTCCCGCATGAAGAAATCTGTGGATGATCTCAGCAAGAGATGGAACGAAGTGGTCACAATATCGATCCGCGAGAAGGTCTCCTTCATCTCCGCCGTCCTCAATGTCTTTCTGAGCGGTTACCTGGTAGGGGCTGTACCCCAGTATTTCTACTGGTGGTATACTATACAACTCATCTACTTCATGCCCATACGAGCCTACACCTACCACCGCAAGGGCTACCACTACTTCCTGGCCGACCTGTGCTATTTTGTCAACTTCCTTCTCCTTAGCAGCATCTGGGCGTTTCCACGTTCAAAGCGTCTCTTCATCAGCGCCTACTGTCTGGCCTACGGCAACAACGCTGTCGCCATTGTCATGTGGAGAAACTCTCTCGTCTTCCATTCCCTGGACAAAGTCACCAGTCTTTTCATCCACGTCATGCCCCCGGTCGCACTACACTGTATCGTCCACCTCACGCCAGACGAATACTTGCGCGAACGCTTTCCAGCCGTGCACACCATCAAATACAGCTCAAAGGGCTCGCCAGGGCACTACGAACTGGCGGCAATGCTCCTGTGGGCCACCATTCCTTACGTGATCTGGCAATTATCCTACCACTTCTTCATCTCTGTCCGGCGCGCCGAGAAAATTGCAGCTGGAAGACCCACATCATTCACATGGCTACGTCGTTCGTACGCGAAAACGTGGATCGGGAAATTGGTCAATTCGCTACCAGAATACCTACAAGAGCCGGCGTTTATGTTGATCCAATACCTGTATGCCTGTCTCACGATAGTACCGTGCCCAATATGGTTTTGGTATCGATGGCCGAGTGCGTTCTTCTTGTTATTCGTATTCAGCTGGTCCGTGTGGAACGGCGCCAATTACTACATGGACATCTTTGGTAAACGATTCCAGAAAGAGCTGGAGCAAATGAAGCGGGATGTGGCCAAATGGCAGAACTCCCCGGGAGCGATGTTTAGTCCGCCAAACGGACCGGTGGATTCGGATGTAAATTTGAACACGGCAAAAGACGATTCCAGCAAAGGACATGACAAAAGACAGTCAATCGATAAGATCCCGTTGCTGGATGAGACGGGACAACCCCAGCAGAACGGAAACGCAAACAGTAGTCCGAATTCGGAAGCCAATGCAAGGGCCACGGGTGCCGAGATCCTGAACGAGGCGGACGGCAACATTTCGGATAGGAAGAATGTCTCCGCACCGCTTACGGGGGCAACAATGTGAGTGAGCCAGGCAGAAAGGAAAGAGAAGGAGATGATCCACTTTGCAACATTACGCGAGCTATAAGACCGTGAATCAACACAAGGGATGTAATCTCGGGAAGTGGCAGCATTGATGAGCCTGTCCGTGAGAGGAACCCTGCAATTGGACTGGTGTGGTGAGGAGTGGTTGGAATGTGCGCGTGCATCGAGGACACAACCCTTGTCATGACCTGCGATGGGTTGAGATCGAATTGGATGAATAAACTGGCTCAAGCACTTGGTATGTCAACCCCGGAGAAGGCAGGATCAGTTTCTGGTGACTCGAAATTTGACGGCCGGGCTGCCTGGAGTTTGTTTGATGAAATTGTGTTATTGACCTAGTTCTACCTTGTAGATAGCCTGATACCCTTTCGCTTTTACTTGATGAAATGCCTTTGATACTCGAGACTCGATGGTTTCAAACTCGAGATGATGCTCAGGACTGATCTGTGCCAACTTCCCTTCCCTGTTCCCGGTCCTCTACACCTCAAATAGAGCTGCTTCACCAAGTACATATATTGGTCCGTACATATCTTGGTACTCTCTGAGACACAGTACTCGCCGTGTCCCGTGGCCGAGCACCAACGAATAATAGATATATGCCCCCGCGGAAGGAGCACCGTCTGTGTGTCTGTGTCCATGTGCGCAGCCCCTCGATCAAGGGATGAACGAATGAATGAATGACAAAAAGACCCCTGTTGGTCGCCTTTCGACGGACGCCAGCCGAAAGTCCCCAACAACCTACACCGCAGTCCATGATCCGTTCTACTTGCGTGCATTGCGCGCTACCATCACGCACAGCTCAGTATTCCTCCACCTGAGAAGTTTCTCGAAGACCTTGGCGCGATCGGCCGGGCGAAGATGAGAAAGATGAAGAGGAAGAGGAGGAGGACGACAAGGGAGGGGGCGAGGTGCCAGTTTCTCGCCGACGGCGCCGAACTTGGAGCTAGCGGTGCGTCCTTCCGTCTCCACGTCCGCCCACCGGCCCTGCTTGGAGTCGAAGCGCTGGACAACCATCCGTCGTCGAGGTCGGCGGTTCTCGTCACAAATCTCGGCTGAATGAGCTCCCTCTCCCACCTCCTGGGAACGGTGCGCAGGGGTCGCTCGACGCAGCTCGGCCGATCTACAGTACATGTAGACGCTATCATGGCCGCCGGAGATGAAGGATTTCTCGGAGCGGTCGCAATTTTCTTGGACGAGAGCGCCGTCGACGTCGAGAGGGGGGAGGGAGGGGGGGGAGGAGGAGGAGGAAGAAGAAGAAGAAGAAGAAGACGGGGACTTGTTGTCGGAAACGTCCTCTGCCTCGTCCTCATCTTCCTCATCGCTGTAGAGCGGCTTGCTCTCCTTTACCAGCACTGCGAGCAACTTGTTCTTGGGCTCGGAAAGGGGCCGGACTGCTTCTCCCCTGCCAGGGTAAACGATGGAAATGAACGGGTCGTTCCGGAGACACACGCCGCCTTCTTCGCTGGAGGCGCTGCTGGCGGCGCTGGCGCTCCTACTTCGTCCAACAACCCTCGAGGGGGCCGGTTTAGGGGTTGGACATTCAGTAGGTGACAAATATCCCTGCTCTTCAGGTGGGGTGGGAATCAGGATGGGGAGCACCGAGAGGACTTCGTCGATGTCCAGATCTGCAGGGTGTCTGCGAACGGCGGAAGGCCGACTTGGAAGGTCTTGAGCTACTGGCGGCGGTCGTACAACGGGCACCGTCTGCACTGGCGACAGAGTAAGTACGCTGACGGAAGTCGGAGAGTAGGTGATGGTGCGGCTCGGCATGTTTGAAGCGATACGTTTGGTGTTAGCGACGGTGAAGATTGCTTCACGGCGGTGATTGTTGTTGTTGTCTTGTTCTTCGGCGTTAGTCGATAAAGCGAGTGCTGTCCCTGTTGGTGTAGCTTGGTGGTAGCGAGCGTAGTGAGAATCAACTAAAGAAACTCCAGCTTGTATTGCTGGACTGCATGGTCGCGTCGAACTAGCAGCACGACAGCTTCTTGTATATTCGTGGGCGATGGACCTGTGAGGACCTGCGACTCCAGCCTCGAGACATGCGGACTTCCATCTTGAGAGTGTCACCCCAGGAACTGATGAAAAAGCCAGGTCCTTCTTAAGATGAACCAGATCTTGCGTCGTGCCGGAACCAACGGTACGGTCGAGCCAAGTGTTTCTTTGTGGCGGAACCAGACACTCGTGAGGACCTGGAGGTGGAGGTGGAACAAAGGCTTCGCGTTCTCGATGCCGAGTTGATGAAAACGTCTGGGACAGGTTGCATGCAGCGCATTCCGTGGGCAATCCAGCAACGCCTTGAAGGTCCCGATCGACACACTGCTTTTGAATCTTGTCATCGGTGGTAATCTTCGCAAACTGCTCGTCCGTCTCAGCGAATGCGGGAGGACATGCTGTGGGTAGTCCGTGCCGCCCGAGAACAGCCAAAGCATATTCGGGCTCTGTAACCCACGCAGACGAATTCTCTTCCGATACGGATTCCGACACAACTTTGTCGGGAAGATTCCACGTTGGCGAGGTTGATGTCACGGACACGTCTTCCTTTTTGATATCACTCCTAGAAGAGTCATGGCTATCCACACGGCCATGAAAACTCCCAAAGACCAGTAGCTCCTTCAAACTTGTTTGGTTTGACTGGCCGCATCCTAGTATTGCTCCCATTGAGCAATCATCCTTTCCAGGTTGTGTACAACGATGGCACAAAGGGTCTTTATATGTGTTGTACTCCGGGGGAAACCAGGGCGGCTCGGCTTTCATTTTTCTATCACTTCAGTTGATCGAAGCAGGTTGGATATGATCCTATCGGAGTGGTTTTACATTCGAAACCAGGATCAGTTTGTCTCGACATATATATGTTGTTGCTCGTCACCAGATTGAGCATCCGTCGACAAAACCGACAAACGGACTCCTGCATGGTGACCATGAAGTGTCCAGCTGGGGTTGGTATAGTCACGTAGATGAGGCGTGCTGATAGTCCACCTAGGGATGCGGAGGTGGTCATTCATTGCCTCGATCAAACGAACACCGCTCGATGAACGGGAAGGTTTTGGTCATCAACTGACTCCTAGTGTTGATTCTGCTGAGTTTAATGGTCACTGATTCCCCTCCACCGCGGCGGTGGTGCGTAAATCGTCGTGAATATCGTAACGAGCTTCTTCCCTATGAGGGGAGAGAGCCATGGCTCTCGTCGTGTGGTCTTGCTGCTGGCGGCGTCCTTAACTCGACGTAGGTGACTTACCTCTGCCACATGAAATCACATGGTCGTAGTTCATTCCGCATTATCGTCCGAATGCCTCACCCATTCTTCACTCGCCAAGTAGAGTAAAAACTACTCGCAGGTCACCCTACTTTCGGCTGAGAGTGATGTCGCCTATGCCTCCCCCCGACTCACCCTAAATCGCGCGTGATAAGGAGTGATCACCCATGTCTCACCTATCGTGTGTACAGTCGCGAGCGAAATTCTAGAAAATTAGTAATTTTACCGAGGCCGTATAATAATATACATCGTGCAAGACCGTGTCACGAACTCACCGTTGCCCCAAGGTATCCTACGTTCTCTCCCCGAATTGGGTGAGCATAGAAAGGAAAGGATAAGGGAAAGAATGGTTAAAGTATTGTAACAAGGCAAAGCGGCTGTGGCGGGCTGGTAGAGGGCTAGCAGAGAGGGGGGTTGTCTAGTCATATGTCAAACCAAAATGGGCTGGTAGGGGGGAGTGCGGAACAGTTTACAGTGCTGGCAGAGTGCCATTCTTTATAGTTTGAAGAGAGTATCATGAATCCCATGGCTTTTTGGTGCCGTCTACCTATTTCCTGAGTGTTTTATCAGTCCTGTCTCAGCTCCTCAATGCCACCGTGCTAGGCGTTCGTTGCCCTAGCCGCTGCCCCTCTGGGTGGTGTTGGTGGTGTTGTTCTATCAGCGCCAACCAGAAAAGCGTTCTCGATTTCCGACCTGCTGGACAGGCCTCTGTGCGTTGTTGCACGAGCACGCCGAACCCTGAAGTGCTCTATTACAATAGAGTTTAAGAAAATAATAAAACTAGTGTTTAGAGCGAAAGATAAAAAGAAAAAAAACTTAAAAAAAGATAGTAAGTCTTCGATAAATCGAGTTTATTTAAAAATATATAACTAAGTTTAGAATACTAAATATAGCGCTTAGTTAATAAGATAATATTATAATCTTTATCTTTAAAGAAGAGTTAAAGATAAAGATTAAGTAGAAATTACGATACTTAAAAAAAATATTACTAAAAGATTAAATAGTCGTCGCTATTAAAGAAGATAACGATATTAGAGAATATCGCTAATAAAAATCTTAGAACTTTAAAAGAATATATATAATAAGGGCTTAATGAGCTAATACTTAAAAAAGACGCGAACTTTACTACGAACTATAACTAATAAATTTAGACTAAGCTTAGAAAAAACTTAATATTTTAAAGAAAAATAAAAAAAGTAAAGAAAATCTTAAGAAAGATAAAGAGATTATTTACTATAATTACGATAAACTAAGCTATTATACTAAAGACTATAAGAGTAAGAAGAAATAAATCGCTATAATAGAAAAATAGCTTAAGTCGAAGAAAGTCGTAAAAGCTATACTCGTTAAAATTAATATAGTCGAAGAAGAATACATTAATACCGAAGACTTCATCGATAAAGAAAAAGTTATAGTTATCGCGATAACTTCTATATAAATTTTTATCTATATAAAGTATTAAATATGTAGATCTTATATCGATCTCTTCTATATAATAAATATTTCTAAATATAATTATACGATATACGAGCTAAGAGAAATATCTATAATAACGAAAATAATCTTTAGTATTAAGATTTATTAAGATGAGAGATATTCTTAATTAACCCGAACTTCACTAGAGAACTAAAGACGTAACTTAGTGAGAAACTTAAAGACTTAATAAAAGAAGAAATTAACTAATTAATTTAAAAAGCGAGAGAAAGAGTTATTACTGTTCGGAGGACTTAGAGAACTATCTAATGTATAGATAGTAAGGCTCATATGGATCGTAAACCTTATAGGTAGGTAACTGACTATTAAAGAACTTAAAGATAACTATTTACCTAGGGAGGGTAAAGGTCTTTATATAGATAATGAGTGTCCATAGTTAAGACCCTTAAAATGTTGATTTCAAATCAACATTAGTAAGCAAGACTAATCATTTAATAGAGTACGAAATTAATACCGTACTAGTCACGTGATTTCATAGACTCTTAGTCTAAATACGAAGTTAAATCGTATTTAATTACGTAACTTTAGATCTAATATAGACCTTTAGAAAGCGATATTCCACACTTCGGAAATATCTTCACTATAGTATTTTATTCGCGACTAATTAAACTACTTCTTTAAAGAGCCATTCATCTTAAATTCTCCTTAATATTTCGGTTTTAAACTCTTTCGTAGAAAAGATTTCCTAAATAATTAGCGAACTCTATCTCTATAAGTAGCCTCATCGTCTTTTAGAGTTAAACCGATATCTACGCGAATTTTAATCGTTAATCTTAAATTCCTATTTAGTCGTATTCTTCACTCTTTAGTATTAACTCTAGTAATTTTTAATATAGTATCTTATTAAGATATAGTCGTAAAGAGCTCGAATCTTCGATGAATAAATTATCTTTCCGCGGTCGCTAACTATAATAGAGTACTTTAGGGTTCGGCGTATACGTGTAACAACGCACAGAGGCCTGTCCAGCAGATCGGGAATCGAGAACGCGTTTCTGGTTAATACTAATAAGATAACACCACCACCAACACTACTTAGAGAGGTAGCGGCTAGAGCAACGAACGCCTAGTATAGCGGTAGCATCGAGAAATAGAATAGGACTAATGAAAACACTCAGGAATTAGGTAGATAGCGCCAAAAAGCCATGGAATTCATGATACTCTGCTCAAACTGTTCAATCTGTAATGAATGGCACACTATTAGCACTGTAAACTGTTCCGCACTCCCTTCTCTACCAGCCTATTTAGGTTTAATATATGACCTAATAAATCTCTATCTACCACCGCTCTACCAGCCCAGCACAGCCCATTATAGTATAGCCACCTCGCCTTATTATAATATAGATCGAGTTAAAGATTTTTATAGCTTTTTTAAATTAAAATATCGATAAATAGACGAAATTCGCGACTTTATAATTTAACGAGTCTGCGACCTTATTAAAGATCTTCTAAATACCCGTATAAAGTTTTAAAAATACTTTAGTCTATACGCTAAAAAGAAAGAGTTTAATAATAGACGAAATCGTCGCGTAGAGATATATAATAAGTTACTTTCTAAATACGACTAAATAAATAATATAAGTCTCTTTAATTATAAATATAGAGAGAGAGACGTTCTTATTTCGCGCGGAGAATTCGTAAAGCTTTCTACTTAAACATTAATAGAATTCTTTAATGAATTAATTATTCTATACGAAGAGAATATAACTATACTCTTAAACTAATATTAATTCGCTTAGAAATACTTACTTTAATATAACGTAATATCTCTTTAACTACTATAAGTCGCCTTATATAAAATAATAACTTATTTTATTTAAATTCGATAGAATTAATATTATAATATCTCGCTATATTTAATTACAAAGAACGTTTAGATCGTTCTCGACGATAAAATATTTAACGATAATAAGCGAATCGCTAAGCGTAATCGTTTTAAGTGGTTAAATATACTTAATCGGTACGAATTTATAGAAGCGGCCGGGCTATACTAAGTAGACGCTCTTTCTATAAACTATAATAATCT